AATACTCGAAGCCTTGTTAAAGTGGGAAGACAAGCTGATTGGATATCGTATCCATGTGGTAACGGACCACGAAGCTTTGAAGTTCTTCGACAGACAAAAGCGACTGTCAGCTCGTCAAACTCGATGGATGGAGTACCTATCTCGTTTTGACTTCGATATCCGATATGTCGAGGGAAAACTGAACAAAGTAGCCGATGCATTGTCCAGATACTTTGAAAATGACGTCTGGGACGATGTACACGATATCTCTGAGTACTCGAATGCCGACTACAGGCTCGACAAAGCCATGGATGATCTGCCACCCCAGCGGGTTGCGGAAATCGTCAATAACGACGTCGAAATTCGGGCAATGACGCTTGAAACGCCACGTCGATCGGCCAGGCTACAGAGGAGACTCCAAGAGAATGTTGAACTTCGAGATATTGAGGCCCAGAGACTTGCAGAAGCGAACCGACGCGATAAAGGCAAGGAGACCGAGCCACAAGCGCCAACAAAGTCTCAGGACAACGAGGAGGACGATCCTACCGTGTTCGAGTCGAGAACTCGAGGGAATAGCATTGGGGAAACCATTCCCAATGCAGACGAGTTCATAGAAGCGATCAGGGCATCCTATAAGACCGATGCACTGTTCAGCAAGGTCCTGGAGTCGCCCAAGATGCATACCCAGTTCGAAGTCGAAACAGGGCTGGTGTATACGCGAAATCGAGGTGGAGAGCGCGTACTGTGCGTCCCACATGGATCGTTTAACGACAAATCGCTCCGAGGAATTGTCCTAGAGCAAGCCCACGAGATTCTCGGTCATTTCGGACCACAACGAACGTCAGACTACGTCAGACGATGGTATTGGTGGCCTAGAATCTTTGTTGACACCCAGAAGTTCTGTAGGACGTGTCAGACTTGCATGATGTCGAAAGGAGAGAATAAACGACCCCAGGGACTGCTCCATACGTTACCCGTACCAACCAAGCCATGGCAATCGATTGGTATGGACTTCATCGGTCCATTCCCAGAGGTAAACGGCAAGAACTACCTCTGGGTGATAATTTGTCGCCTCACCTCAATGGTGCACCTAATTCCTGTCCACACGACGAACAAAGCGTCAGAATTATCCGAAATCTATGTCCGAGAGATAGTGAGACTCCATGGCTTACCAGAGTCGATTGTATCGGACAGAGACTCGAAGTTTACGTCGAAATGGTGGCGAGAGATCCATCGGTTATTGGGAACGAAACTCCTAATGTCTACAATCGTTCCACCCTCAGACAGACGGAGTCACAGAGCGTGTAAATCGAAGTATCACGCAGATCCTTCGAGGTGCAGTACAACCGGACCAGAAGGACTGGATCTCGCGTTGCCCTCTGGTAGAGTTTGCTATCAACTCGAGTGTTAGCGCTACAACTGGATTTGCGCCATTCGAACTCACCTATGGGTATATGCCATCGATGTTGAAGGCATTCCCGGAAACCGAGACCAGATTCCCGCCAGGAATCACTGCATACGCCAACCAGGCACTCCACTACATAGCAGACGCCCATGACGCGATAATCGCAGCTCCGGGTATTCCAGAGGAAGCATGCTAACGATAAACGACGTGAAGAACCGCCAATTAACGTCGGGGATCCGGTGTATTTGTCCACCCAGAACCTGAATATCTCACAAGGGAGAGCTTCGAAGCTTGTTCCGAAGTTTATTGGGCCCTACAAAGTCACGAAAGCGTGGCCCAAAACATCAACATACGAGCTAGACTTACCTGAGCAGTTGAAGTCGAGGAGAATCCATCCGAAGTTCCACGTGGGATTGCTGAGACCACACTACCCAAGTGACGACATGCTATTCCCGAATCGGTCAAAGCCCGAACCTTACGATTTTGGCGCCCCAGATGATACGGAATGGTATGTCGAAGAGATAATCGACCATCGGGGAAGTGGAAAAGCGATTGAATTCCTAGTACGATGGACTGTGGGTGAGCCCACTTGGGAACCGTTATCGAACTGCAATAAATTAGTGGCGCTTGATAATTACCTCCAGCTTCAGGGGGTGAAGCAGGGTCCGAGACCTCAAGGTCAAGGACAAGTCAACCCCTAAACGCGGGCGCGCGTCGCGTGTTCGATAAATCTGACTTTAACATTTCAAGCTCAGCTTTATCTACAATTTCATTAATTACACACCTCATCCTCATGTTCGACATCCCTTCCCCATTCACCACATCGTTTATAACTACCTATTTCACTCTATTCCCCTTCCCTTTCGTTGTTTTCGCTTTCTTTTCCATTTACATTACTAAATTATGCCTAGGGACCGGGAGTGGAGGGCTCACCATAAGGAAATCCTCATAACCCACGATCTCAAGAGCTGCAACGAATGCCGCTACTTTGCGGAGCACAGCAAGACGTTGGACCTTGGAGGGGATAGGAAGAGGGCAGAGGATGCGATAGCCGCGAGGCTTTCGGGGGAAATCGCAGCGGAGAGGGATATGTTGAAGAGGAGTCTAGAGCAGGTGACGAAGGAGAGGGACGAGGCCAGGAACCACGCAAATCGCGCAGACGACGAGGTCTACTCGCTCCAAGCGCAGCTTCGCGAGTCTGACGCCATTATCCAGGCCAGAGACGAGCGAATCCGGGCTTTGGAACAGCAGATCGCGCACCAGGAACAGCTCGACCAACGCCATCGTAAGCGACCTCGAAACTCGCAGTATAACACCAACAACTCGTCGCCAAACCCGCCGAATCGACTCAACGCGACTACCAACCACCTCCCCAACAAATATCCCCACCCCAAACCGTCTGACGGCATCGACAAATGGGCAGAGTACGCGTACTACAACGGAGCACCACGAGGCATCCTCGAGGACCTCAAGAACGGCGTCAGTATCCGGTGCATCCGAGGGAGGGACATCGTCCACCAGCTCGGGCCTGCTCGGGGCCCTAAGGCGTGGACCCAAAACTTCGCATTCGCCATCGCTTTCTGTAAGATGGCTGGATGCGAGGGCCTCTACGATCGAGTACTCAAGACTATGGTCCTCGACGTCGCCCCCAATCGTTCGATCACCCCGTATGACGCCTCCAAACCACTTACAACCGCCAATATCATCGCTTGGTGCGCCGGCGTTGGCCTTACGACTCGCGATATCGATGACTGTGCGCTGTTCGCGCAGGTATTCCTTCGGCAAGTTATTGACTCCACCCAGTTCATCTCGGACACCCACCCCGCAGTCCAGGCAGCCATTTGGGTTCACCAATGGATGGATCGCGTTGTCGGCAAGCCAATCGACAACCCAGAGTGGTATCGTCCCAAGGAGATCGTCGACATGTATGACAAGGCGAGGACGGCTCGATTCGAAGGGAAACCAGCCAACACACCCATCTACACCACCAGCAACGGTGTCCAGGTCCTCCCCAACGCGCTCTTACCCAAGGAATGCCCGACAGTCGAGGAGGTGATCAAGACTCACGTCGACGACGTATTCCTTGCGTCAATTGAACCCACCATGGACGTCGACGCCCCCAGCGCTCAATAGACGAGCCCCACTGCCAACACCTCACATCCCGGATCCCTCCCCATCTCCTATGAGAATCATCTCATTTCCCTCGTGTTTTCCGCCGTACTTTCCTCATTTAATCTTCATTTGCTTTCTTCTCTACCGATACACGTTTTCGAACATTCGCTTACCCATACACGATTTTCCAACCTTCGAAATTCCCGTATTTGCTTGCACTCACCCCAACTCCGCTTTCGAGTCTCGCGTTCTTGCTTTCCTAAAATACCTATCATCTGCTTAATACCTGCTTACACCGTTTACATAACACCGAACTATCGTAGACAGGATTTACCTTAGGTAGTGGGCCGCGTGGCAGGCCCAGAGGGGGAGAATGTAAGGAGGACGTACTTTACCTTAGCGCCGTAGATTAGATCGGCTTGTTTGGTTTTGTTAGCATCAGACGCGCTCGCCCTTACGGCCAGCGCTCGCGCGTTCCCAACTTTCCCTTAGCCTCATCGTACCTCACTATTCATTCACGTAGATACTGATACTTCCAATAAACCTTGGTCGTGCGTATTCTGCGTGTGGTGAATCGAGGGCGAGGCTACTTTACCACACACCCCTTACAGTTGGGTCGGCAATTGTTTTATCGTGTGGTGCCTGTCTTGTGTATAGTGCGTCGTCGTTGACACCAACTTCACTTTGTTTCTCCGTCAGATTGAGCGGTGGATGCAGGCCTTACATTTGATCGCACTCCTCTCCTCGGGCGCCCGCTCATACTATGGTCCCTCACTTATATAAACGTAAGTTTATCCTAGAGCACAGTTCCGTCCACTCATTGTGCCATAGCACACCTTAGAATTTAGTTTGTACTCGCAGGCAGCCTTACACCCCCGCTCGAGTCAAGTTTGACAGCGTATAGGTGCACTTCAAGTAAGCGCCCAGAGCGCGCCTCAGGAACAACAGCCATTCTCCCACCTCACAAGGGCAAATGGTGTAGTTGGTTATCACATCCGCTTAGCATGCGGGGGGTGTCCGGTTCAATTCCGGATTTGTCCATTCTTTTTTCAGTGAATTGAACTGGAAGGGTACCACCAGGAGAAGCCACCCCTTTAGCGCCCGCACCCGAGGCCAAGCGGCGGCCCAGGGGAGCGACGAAACCTCCTCTTACGTTGAAATTTCAATTTGGAAGCCATTGCAGATTCTTGGTGGAGGACGTTCTGGAAAAGGTAAGGTGTCCCCTATCTCTGCTTTGGGTTTTTCCAAGCAGAGGATGCCATATGGTGCGACTACGGCCGGCAATTGCCGATGCCAGCGCTAAACCCCCCATGGGCATATGAACCTCTCCTCATTCATAGCCCTGCACTGGAGCACCACCTTTTCAGTACTACCAAAGCTCCCCTACTCAATGAAAGTCCTGGACCAAAGAACAAGCAGACCTCCGTTCATGGGTTCACAATAATTAGGGTGTCATATATTGGAGAAATAACAAGGTTACTGTATATGATACAAAAAAGTTCGATCAAACCAAGGCTTCCCAATAGCCCAAACCCGCAAAAAAGATGCCCAAAGAGATCAAGAGGTTCACGTAGACAAAGGTGTGGACTCCTATCCGCGGTAAGATCCACGCGCTGTGGAGAACAGCAAGGGTCAACTGGCAGAGTGTTACGCCCAGAAGCGTGATGATGAAGAGGGTGCTGGAATTGTTCGACAGTTCAATGTGGAGAGTGGGATGAAGGTGGTGGATATGATGTGATGGTGGGGAACTTGCTGCGTAGGGAGAACGGAGGTACGAGCCGGAAAGAAGCAGGAAGCTGCCCAGGGACAGCAGGACAGCGTTGATACGGTGCAGGCATGGGATGAACACCGGGATATACTGAGTTTAAACGTTAACGAAGCACACCAGATCACAGCATAAATGACTCACGATAAAGGGCAAGCCATATACTACCTCCAGTTCTGCACGGCCTTTCAGAGCCATCAACTGCTCCAAGTCATTCTCCAACTCTCGCTCGATGGCCTTTCTCGATAGATTCGGCGACACTGGGGAGAGGAGTGGCTGACGTTCGTTGTCTTCATCACCCCTCTGAATCAAGGAGATGTCTTCTCTTGAGGTAAGGTTTTGTGTCGGAAGGATGTCAGGTGAGGGTATTCTCTTGACAGTGACGAGAACGTCGCGATATAGCGCAAGGCTCTCGTAACCTTGCTTGATTCCCACTATCGCCTCTATGCCTGCCCAACCTAAAGCGACAGCCCAGACCCGTCGGAAGGCGTGATCATGCCATGTTGGGCGATCATTGTCGTCCGAGGGCGAGATAAGGAGGAGGATCGTCGTTGCGAGCTGGAGAAGCACGGATAGCACCGACTGGAGGATTGTTGATGCAATGGTAACCAGGAAGCTTCCGCGGTGGTCTTGTAATTGTGCTGAAAGTGTCGAGAGAAGATCCCGGAGGAGAAGGCTGAAGGCCCAGAGAGCTGCGCCTGCCAACAGCTCTGGAAAGGGGTATGGGAAATACGGTGAATACGGGTAGGGGGTATGAGGCGAATCTGAGTCCAATGGGTATGCCAGTAGCGGTAAACACGTCAGAAATGCGAACGTTAGCAACGTCGACAGCGGCGTCAGAGAATACAGCGTCAAAAATCTCTTGTAAGATCCTAGGAAACTTGAGTTCCAGGTTCATGAGGTATCCACGGAAGACGCACCTCGGTACAGACCCTCCCTCGACAGTTCCTCGTCAATCAGCCATTCTTCAACCCGTTCATCGAGCTCAACATGCTCGTCGTCGTCCCCGTTCAAAGCAGCTCCGCCAGTATAACGCGGCGACGGCGTGTCGAATTCCATCTGTATAGAGTCTTCCGGTACTGCCACCAACAAGGTTGAGCTATTTCGTTTGAGCCTTTCAGGGCTTGTACGGGCTCGTGGACTTTGAGACCCTGTGGAAGGCGTTGACGTTGTGGCCCCGTAGTTCGTCGCTGGACGTCGATGACGATCGTCTGTCTCTGGGCTTTGTTTGCCATTCCTTGGCTCCGGTCCGCTCGCGACCATGTTGGATGTCTGAACCGCTCGATATAGGTCAGACCCGTATTCTTTGAATCTTGGCCGCCTATATGGGTCCTGAGCTCATAGCCAGGAGATGGAGTGAAAAAGAAAGGATTGTATGATGTCAAGATTGAAGAGGCTGTAGTGCCTTGGATTGTCGCCGAGGTCATGTGGGTGGGTATCACTGAAATGGCCAAAACTTCAACCAACCATGCTGTCAATTTGAATTTCAAAGTCGGGCTGTATCCGAAGCGACTAGATGATTCACAAAATACGCAAACGAGTGGAGACTTTGTTTGATTCGTGTACGAGTACAAAGGTAGTCCATGAGTGCTACAGACGTCGTGTACTTACGTGATAAATAGGTTGCGTTTCGTGTCAAGTCGTAAATAGATGAAGTATTAAGAGCAAGATATCCCTGCGAATCATAAAACGTGAGTAAAGGAGACAGAACAAATGGAAGAGAAAACCGCGAACGAAACGGAAGAGATCAACGTGAAAGACCAGAAACTAACCCAAACAACTTAGCAAGGGCATATTTGAACGAACGTTCGCAAGGAATGGGGATACCGGTTAAACGGTGGTGGTGGTGGCGAAACGAATCGCAAGCATAAAAGAGAACACCCTCAGAAGGGAAGAAAGAAACTCTATCACTACCCCCGGATCTTCCACCCATCCCCCTTTCGATTCACCTTGCCCACCCCACCAAATCCTTCTCGTACAGCAACCCACAAACCGGTACTGCAGACCACATCCTTGATCTCCTCTGCCGTCAACGTCAGGCCCTTGTACGGCTCCTTCTGATCGCCTTCATTGGGACTCTGAGGAACGAAGCCCTTCCTCGGCACAATCTCCATTCTCTCCACCTCGACGTCGGGTAGCGGGAACGGGATCTTGAGCATGGCGACGACTTTCGGATGGTGCGGGGTTTGCGAAAGCGTGCCAACCTTGAGTCGAAGGATCTGCTCCTTTTCTTGAACAGGAAGCCCCGATACGCCGCCATTCTCGGTACCTTCACCGCCAGGGGATGGTGATAGGAGTCCGAGCCCGTCGCCTGCGCTGACACCGACACCGCCGGGAGCAACTCGACGAATCTTGAGTGTGCACACCCACGGCGTTTCAGAATCTTCAGCATCGCTCTCGTCATCCCAGTCCCCACCATCTTCCTCTTCTTCCCCACGGCCTCGCAGCTTAAGAGCAAGCCTGGCCTTCGATGATGTGCTCGACGCATTCACACCTCTTCTCGAAGGCGAGCCACGGTTCGGTGACCCATCCCTAACTTCCGGTGGGAGGCTGCTCAGACTGGCGTTACTTGTCCTGTTTATTCTCCGACGCTCAGATGCCGACATTCGCTGTGGAGACATCTCAACAAGGCGCCCATCTTCCATTGTCGACGTCTGAGGCGGCCGAGGCGTCTCTTCCTCACCTCGCGCCACACTCCCTTCGCGTAGCATATCACGGGCCTTAACCTCCCCCTTCTTCTCCCGATTCTTCCCCTTGTCCTTCTTCCTCCCCCTCTTCTCCTTCTTCGCTCTAGCCCGCTTCCACTCAAACCTCACCTCGAACCCACCGCCGACGACAGGTCCAAGCACCAACTGCTGCCCTGATTGCTGCTGCAGCTGGACTTGAGAGCCGCTCGGACTGTTGCCATACGCCGAGCTCGTCGAAGGTTGTTGGGAATGCGAACCAGCGAGACCAGTGATCGACGGGATAAGACCAATACCAGCGCCAGCATGCCACGAGCCTCGCTTGCCAGGATCCCTATCCCCCCGATCCTTATCCCGGCCCACAAGCTGGCTGAATAAACTCCCCCTGTTCTCGCTAGGCTGTCCCTGGTCCCAAGGCCCACCAACACCCCTCTTCTTCAACCACCGCCGCACCAGCCACACATACATGAGCGCCTTCTCCTTGCCCGTCATGCCAGGACCGGACCCACTGCCACTGGGAGCATCGCGGTCGAGGTTGAGGCTATTCCGAGCGCTACCAGGCCGCGAGCCCGACCGCTTTCTGTTGGCTTCCGAGACGCTCTCCTCGGTTTCGCCGCTGAGCGTGCTTCGACTCTCGACTTGCCGGATAGCTCGAGCGGCAACCTCGTCCATGCGTGGTGGTTGGCCAGTCGTCGAAGTGAGACTGATGGTCGACGGTTGCTGACTCGGATAGGCGGGGGCGTTGAGGGGCTGGGAAGCAGAAACATAGGTCGGTTGAATTCCAAGAACAGGGGGCCGAAGTTGCAATTGGCGAAGGGTGACATGTGGTACAACGGCAGCACCCTGTGCAGGTTGCGACTGCGCGGGAGGGGGTATCGACGGCTGCTGGGGGGGAATAACGGGTTGAGTGAGAAGCTGAGACAATGGCCGAGGAAGGGGTTGCTGGGGTTTCAGAGACTCGACCGACAGTTTCCGGTCAGGAGTCGCTGAGTTTCCGATGAACTGCTGCGAACTAGAGTGCTGGAGGATGCGCTCGAATTTGCTCTTAATCCCGCCGACCGGATTGGAGTTCTCGGTGCTCACTCGTGGGCTCCCATTCATTGTCTGCGGTGCGAATAGACCGTTACCCTCTACTACTCCATTCCCATTCGCAGTGTTGTTTTGCCCTGAAATTCCGGCCGCAATCTTACCAAACAGGCTTCGAGCACCGCCGGAAGGGGCTGCGGCCATTCCTGCAGTGTGCGGTCCAACAGTAGATCCCCCTTCTCGCTCAGACATGGGTGAAGGGGAAGGCGAATGACCCTTGATACCGCTCATGAAGCGGTTCTTGCTCCTCGTAATAGCACCCGTCAGGCTCAGGTTCCTGGTGTGCCCAGCTCCTCGATTGACGGTACCGGCATCGTCGCCGACCTTTAGTGGGTGGACTGTGGGAGTAGGGCTGATTTGACCTTCATTTTGCGCGTTCCGTGGGGTAATAGGAGTCTGCGTCGGGGTATTGCTGCTTTGGGAGTTACCAGACAACGGTGAAGCGGGTACTCGGGCAGTGGACGCATTCCCGGCGGCTCTGTGGTTGAGATCGCCGGGGCCGAGGGGTGCCATGGCAAATTGACCGAAGTCATTGAGTTGACCTCCTTCGGTGGCAGGTGGGACAGCTGGAGTGACGAGGCTGTTGCGTTTGGTGTTGAATTTGAGCTTGCCGAAGAGACCACTCGACTTCTTGGTCGGGGTAGTGGATACAAATGAGGTGTCCGTGGAAATATGTGACTGTGGAGATGTGGGAGGATTCTGACGATCAGGCACATCGATGGGTGGTGGGACGGATCTAGCATGACCAGTGGGAGCTTGGGAGGGGACGCTGGAATCTGAAACATTGGTCGGAGGTGGACCCTTGAGTGGGAAGGTATCGCGAGAAGGCGGGGCTGAAGCAGGCGGCGCGAGAGAGCGCTCGTGGGGTGGAGAAACCATAACATGAGGATTGTTGAGGGCGTGGCTAACGTGAGTGGAATTTGAGGCCAGGGATACAGAGCTTCCGGACGGTGTTGCTGGACGGCTGGACGTTTCCTTCCTTGCTCCAGAAGGCTGTAGGAACCCGCTGCCCCGATTAGCGCCCGTTACGCTACCCCTGTGGAGTGTGTGGTTTTGGTGAACGATGGCCCCCATTTCATCGACTGTGATCTTCATTCCCTCCCGTTTAGCTTCCTTACTTCTGACCCCCCAGACTTCCACCGGTTCGAGGATGGCAAGGTCGATGAGTTCCAACCCCCGTTTCTGGAATTTTGCGACTTTCGCATCTGTCCCAGCATCGACAATGGTGTTCGTTAGCACATTGTGGGCCTGTAAGTTGTACAGAGGGATGATCCTCCTTGAGCTGCGGGCACTTGAGCTGCTTGTGGCCGATGAGGTCCCCGATACCTCCGAGATGTCAGAGGCGAACGAAGTCGTGGAAGTGGATGAATGGTTCGTGGAATAATTAGACCGAGTCGACCGAGTGCTGGCAGTTCGAGCAACAGACGTAACGCTACGACCACTCTCGGTCGATACCGTGTTCACTGAGGAGGCCGACGTTGGGGTTGTGGGCTCATCGTTCACAGGAGTAATTCCGGACGGCGCGCGGGCGTTGGGTGGTACGAGTTGAACCTGCAAATTTAGTGGATGGTTCGACTTTGATGGTGGAGGCCGGACAAATATGAACGTCTAGTTACGTGCTATGAGCACCAGCGTTTGAAGTGGAGAAGGCTGGGACCAGCGTACCTCGTTGGCCATCTTCAAGCCGTCCCTTTCCTTCTTTGATTTCGGTTTCCGTCTATCTTCCTCTCCCTCATCGTCATTCTGTAGACGTCGTTCTTGCTCTCTTGAGGCCTGTCTAATCAGTTCCTCTTCGTCGCCCTCATCATCAGTAGTGGGGTCGAAGTTCGATTGTGGAGGGAGTTCTTGGGCGCCAGAGTTGTTCGAGATGGGCGCCGCTATGGTGTTCTGCAGCGCAGACGGCAAATACTGTGCGAAGGATGAAAACATGTCCGTCTGAACGGCCTTTAGGAAGCAAGCTTAATGGTTTCAAGCCCGAGCTCTATAAATCCTCCCTATATCAGCATCACTTCCCGGTAGCAACGGTGGAACGACAAACCGCCGGCCCAGATATTCGTGTCGTTGTCCAGGAAGTTGGTGTCAATGTTCCAACTGATTTTGCCAGTTTAGGAGGTGCTGGTCGTCGTCTGAAGAAGCGCTGGCGGTTGTATTTAGTTGGAAATACAATCAGGTCATGTTCTTAAAGCGAAAAGCTTGTCGTGGGTCGAATGACACAGGAACTTCCTCTTTGCCGCTTGACACGCCTCGATTACATCATCCCACGGAGCTGGCCCCGCTGATGGCCTTGGCAAGTCTCCGGTGACTTTGATTTTATCCCCTTTCTCTTTCTGGATTCCTGTCCAATGAAGGCGCTATATTTAGTGTGAACAAGTGCTGATTTCTCGTTGACTTTGGGAGTACTGGAGAAAACCTCCTCCAATCTGCCTACTTCCTTCACTTCCAACCAATCTGAATTCGATCAATGCCCTCTTGATCTTGTTTTGATGGACCAGAACGGGCGCCTTGGCAAAAATCAACTGGGACAAGCCAGTTTGCCGGATCCTTCAGCCTTTTCTGAACCTTTTCCTCCAATGACAGCTGCGCTGCGCAGTCCAGACGCTAGATTCAACTCGGACCGCATGTTGTTGCGATTACATGAATATGGCCATCGTTCATCCTCCTGCTCGTCCACTGGTTTCCCCGTGCACGTACGGCTTCACCCATATGTTCCACACCATGCAACTAACGACCTCTTACTCAAACCCGGCTATTGGCTATCCAGGTCCTCCAAAACTTCATGCTATTCTATTCCTGTCACTTCCTTTATCTTTTCACCCACACCCTGGATCCTGGTCCGCGCGAATGCTGCGATCTCCCCGGTGCAGTCCGCAGGAGGCGCAAAATAGCAACCGGGACTCTTCATCCGGTTCTAACCAGGGCAAACATGCCCACCTCGCTAGCAACTCGCAGCATGAACTTACTGTCTTCAGATCATAATTCCAGAACAGTGGTGAACGCTACAAGCCGCGTTTCCACTGACCCAAAGTTACCGCCCGCCGCTTCACTGCCGTCAAGCGTGACTGAAACTCTTTATCTATCAGCTGTGACGAAAACTATCTGTGAGTTCTGCTGGATCACTCAGTCACCTCCCTCTGAAGACCACCAATTCAGTTAACTGTCAGGTACGCCTGTTGTTGAAGTATTCCATAATCCGGTCATCCCACAGAAGATTGATTTCAAATTTGAAACCGTCGTAGTCTCGGATATGAATTCTGTCCGAGCCACCCAACTGACCAATCCTCTCCGAATTCAATTAAGTCCCCTCCATTATGTCCAGTATAGAAACCGTGAGTTCACTTCCCTTCGAAAATGTTTCTGGACATTCACTACTTAGCGCGTGTTAGATTGATCAGAGCCCCGCCGTACCTTGATGCTGGCGTCTAATTTCAGGTCACCCGACTTCAAAGGAGCACCCGACGCTTCCGAGGCCCGAAGATCGTTATTTTTAATGGCGTTCCACATTACCGGGCTGCCCGAGGTACCCTGTGGAGCGCAAAACGAATAGATGGCTCGAGGGATCAATAACTGCCCACGCGACTCCATGGCTTGGGCGCTTCGAGTTAGCGCTTAAGTACTAATTGACTATATGCGGTACGCACTGGTGCCCAAGATTACCTCCTGTGCAAGGCTCGGGGAGCTCGCCTCTTGCAATTACGATAACCATCTCACCCATATTTCAGCAACTTTGCATTTATAGGTCTCGCAAGAGTGACTTGAACGTAAGCGTGATTAGGAGTGTGTGGGCATGAAAAGGGACTAGATCGCACGGGCGCTGGCATATTGGAAGGCTAAATTAGATCCGTCACAATAGCAGTGTTAGTGTTGACAATTCTCCACTTAGCCTTCGAGGATACGGAAGCCTGGGAGAGACGTGGACCGGGGTGAGTCGAAGCAGGATCTCCGGGAGCGTCGTAATCACCTTGATGGCGACGCCTTTCGACGGGAAAATAGTGTTCCTTTGATCCCGCATATGTGTAGTGCTCCGTTAAGACTGCGTTCGGGGACCCTGTGCGTCCGAGCTTTGAATTACCGGCGCTTAAGTTGTAAAGGCAAGCGCCGAGACTGAGGACCATGGCCAATTCCGATCATTACCACTTCCGCTCCGCTGACAGGAAACGTCATCGGAAGCAAAGAACGCTTCAATCTAACCTCGACGATGTGTGGCTCTCAGGTATCTGCTTCCTCGTAGCTGTGTATAGCAAGAATGATTCAGCCAGAGATTCAAGCTATTGATTGAACTTGACCAGAATGGCAAGCTCAGTCAATGATGCAAGCCTTCAATTGACATTTCCCCGCTTTAACCCACTACAGACAACTAAATAACACACCAGTGAGCCCGAGTGAAATACCATATGATAAGAACCAAGTAAAACCCTAAAGTAAAAAGACCGGAGCGGAACATCCCAGAAACCTGCGAGTATATATAAAGCTAGTGTGTCAACGTCTCCTTTGGCATGCCTCCCCACTTCCACTTCTCGATTCGTCCCTCCACCCTCGTCATGGCTCCTTCGCAGGACCATCCGTCGCCTTCCTCCCCGCATACTCCCGCAAATTCATCGGCCCCACTTCATGCTTCGGCCACGCAATGAGGTTGGCGTTAATCGATAATATCATGAACAACACCGAGAGCATCGACAGCGTGAACAACACCGTCATCAAGCACAATCCTGTACAGATACCCACCCCTCGAGCGACCTTCTTGACTGTCGGTGTGGGCGGAGGAGGGGGCACTGCGTTCGTATTGACTTTTCGGAACTGCTTTTCGATGTCGTTTGAGCGGCCTACGAGAGTGACTTGGCTTGAGGAGAATCCGGACGGGCGCTTTTGGTGCTTCGACCGGCTGTACGGCCCCGTTTGGTGGGACGCATAGACTTTGGTGGATGTCGAGTAGAGCGAGAGAATGCTGTCGGTGTCTCCGACGACCGTAGTCAGCGAAGACAGGGAATTGTTTCGAGCGTGGTTATAGATGCTTGCATTTTGCCTTGAAGTTGGCGACTGTTCTCTGTCCTGGTTGGAGCGCGGAAAGACCAGCGGTGGTATCGTGAAGTCGGAAGCATCGTAGCCTTGGCGGTTATTGGGCCGCTTCTCCGGCTCGTACATCGAATATTTATGGGCGCTTGGAGTGGGTGCGCTAGCACGCAAGCGCAGAGGAGAGTGGAAGGTGACTGCAGCCAAGCAGAGAGGAGGCAAGATGGGGGAAGCCCGAAGGGGCACGTTTTGTCCGGTGACAGCATGCACTAGTTATATATGTATCGTGTGCACGTTTTTGTTTAAGTTCCACCCCGAGCGCCCAGTGTCGTGTTGCCTCCTCTCAGCCCCAATGCACTGGTTGATGTGGATCGTTTCCTAGACCAGATGATGAAATCTCACTTTATGCGATGCTTGCATATAGGCAAAGGTCCGTGCCTTTACACCTGTGGATTCCTCTCCTACGTGTATTTCTTATAGACAGTCAATACTGGATCATTTGGAATGAAACCATGTATTCAATTCCAAAAGAATAATAGAGAAATGCGTATGGTTAACCAAAATACAGAGATCGTAGACTACATGATAACGAACGGCCGAGCGAATTGTCAACATACTATCTACTGCTGTGCGGGCTTGGGCTCCTCCTTTTCACCAGCAGCGGCAGGTTTTGCATTGTTGTCAGCGGCTTTCTTTTCGGAGGAGGCGGGGGAGGCCTTCGCTGTGGGCCTGTCGGCTGGAGAACCCGTGTCCTTCTTCACCTGCGGCTCATCTCGCTTGGGCTTACTGATCTCCGCCTTCTTCGTGTCCTTCTCAGCCGCCTCGCCCGCTTTCTTCTCTGCGGGCTTCGCAGCCGCGGGCCGCTCGGCGGGGTCGGGCTTGCCCTTAGAGTGGCGTCTCCTCCTCTTCTTCGCGTTCGTCTTGATCTCCTCCATCTTCTGTTCCAAGAGCCTCCTGGTCCGCTCCTTCTCGCGTTGAGCCCTCCTCCTTTGCTTGATGAGCCTGCGGCGCTGGCTTGGAGTGAGGCCAGAAGGGAGGTCGTGCCTAGATCCAGCCCTGGCCCTGGCCTTTCGCCTCCTGCCAGAGGGAACCTCGGCCTCCCTCTTCTCTTCGATCTCTTTCAGGCGGGCGTTGAGTTCATCGACCAACTCCCTAGTGCTGAACCGCTCGAGGACGGTAGAACGCAAGGAGAGATCGTCAGATTCGCCAAACTCGCGGGCCTCGTAGTCGAAAGAGTCGACTTCACGCGCTTCGAACTCCACCGGCTCGTATTCACGAGCGGCAAAGTCGTCGTCCAGCTCTCGGAGGGCGTGGTCAATCTCTTGGTCGAGAACATCCCGGAGAGCGTAGTCGACGTAGTCATTGAGGTCCCGGGCGGCGACGCCCTCGTCATCAAAGTCCCGAGCAGCGTATTCGTCGAAGTCGCCAAAGTCGCGGGCCTCGTAGGCACCGATGTCGTCGAAGTCGCGGGCTTCGAAGAGCGCGTCCTCAGTGAGGTCTCGCGAATCATAGGGGTTGTAATCCTGTGGTGACGTGGTCAATACGTGCAGGATAGAAATCGAGTATATATGAAACTTACAACCTGTGCCCTTGCAAGACCAGCAGCAAGAACAACAGATGCTGAGACGAATGGAAGGAGCTTCATGCTGGTGGTTGGTCGTAACCGGTATATATTATAGGTGGATAGAAATGAGTGAAGAGTGGGTATGGAAAGTTGAGTGGGCACTGAGATGAAACGACATCTGGGGCGTCCGGTTTATATAGTGATGGGCGCTCTGATGAAGATGGAGACATGTAGATGCCGGTATCAATCAGCACAGCGCTCACCGTGATGCAAACCGCTCAAGCATCGCCACGTCGCTATACATAATTGCAATGAGGGCGGTCGATGCATCGTCGGCTCTGGAGAGCCAGAGAGGCGGTGGTAGCAGAGATCATTCTGGATTTGAAGTTGAAGTCGAGCGCCTGGAGATCCTCCCAGCGAGCTGTGATAAGAATCGAGACGAGAGCAGATGTCGATAATTAGGGAGTCGAGTGAGTGTGTGCCTAGCCTGAGCGGATGTGGGGCGTAGTTTTTCCTGGGACTCATGCTACTTGCACAGTTTAGTAGCCTTATCTGAAGCACCGTGAAATCCCTTTGCAAATAAGCGCCCGAGTCACACTGAATTTCCCACGCCCCTGTCTTTCCAAAGCATCCAACAATTGAATTGAGACCTACTGTCGAACGCAATGTATGACTATGCCCGAGAAAACGTAAAAGACATGGAGAAGGCAGAAGAAATTGAGTCGCACAAGGTTTGCTTCTGTCCGAACAGGGACATTTGCGTGGGAACTATCATATGGGCAGACCAAATCGCTATTGCACTTGCTGTGGTGGTTTGACTCTTTGACCTTGATCCAATATTTCGCGATGCTCGCCAGCCTTCCACCGGAGCTCATTATTAAGATTGCAAACATCTCCCTCGTAGGTGCCAACGCAATAGTAACGGTATGTATCGTTTATTTCCACACCTCCAAGTTGATCCTCACGCATTTTGCATTTCATTCCAAGTCCGAGCTCATGAGTCGACTATTCGAGCAGGTTATGCTCCTTCCTTGCATCAAGCACCTAACACTATCTGAGTGGGGCAAGAAAATCTTTAATCTGTTTAGAACGCACCCGGGGTGGGCCTTCCCTGTTCTGGAGAAGTTGGACTTGAGGTCCCTCAGTTGCCTTAGTCACGGAGACCAAAGGGATCTCATGGAGTTCCAGGAGATGATCGGTCTCATAGCGAAGGGTTCTCCCAGCTTATCGACACTCTTTATTGAAGTGAGAATGGAGGGGCCTGAGCTGGACAAACCAGAACGAGGCAGTTGAAACTGGTCTCCCACCGTCCTTATGCACTGAACAATGACAGTTGTATTTTCCCGATAAATGATTTCGCAGAGCCGAACCAGCTCCTAGCCAGTCTTGTGCCTTAAGATTAGGATAAACATGGCAATTTCGACTCCTCCGACTATAGCTGCCACGGCAATTACAATCCACCCCGCCGTAACGAATGGTCGCCCAAAGATACGACCATCCTGACCTGCGGTTGGAACCATGAGTACGAAGTGTTGAGCATGGCATCATTGTCTTGAGAAACTCACCGACTGTCTTGACTGCCCTATCGACAAGATGGGCCTCTTTGCTACGGTCAGCAAAGTCGTGGTTGGAGTGCCTAGATCTGAGAAAAGCCAGGACGAATAGACCTGCGCCCAGAATTGCGAAAAGAAGCCCAACTGTGTTGAAGGTTCAGAAGTGTTCACTCGAGAACGTCATGACTCTTACTGCGATGAAAGGCGGAGTCGAAAAGTCGAAGAATAGTCAGTGCATATCCCAAAGATCCCAGTGCCGTCCTGCTGTATGCCCCATGAAACGTCCTTTGGCGAGCTCGAAGCTCGATGAGTTCGTTGATGTCTTGTGCCTCAAATGAATGTCGGCGGTGCCCCCTAATATTCGCTGTTCAGATAGCTGAAGAGATAATAAAAGAGGAGGTGAGCTCACCGATATGTACGATGCGGTCGTTTCCGACTTCGTGTTAAGCTCATGGTAAAGCCGTCGTCGTCGTCGTCGACATGGTCAGTGGACAGGAGCAAGACCCGTGCCTGGAGCCCCGAAATGAGCCTATTCCTTTCGGGGATAAACAGACGCCTGCCACGTGAGGCGACGAGGACAGCGCGGAGACGAATTTTTGCTGCTCGTCACCTCTCTTCATTGCTCAAAGTCGTCAATGGCGTCGACAGTACGGGTATTGGGTCTGCGCTCTCTGCCGTCGCTACGATGCTCGTCGTCGTCGTACAGTCGACTGGCTCGGCCCACCCCGCTTCTGACTGCCCAGACGCGTCTCTTCTCTGTCGGCCTGCAGCGGGTGTCTCAACGACCAGCGCTGGTCTCCGCTTCTCTCCTTTCACGGTCGTATGCAACACAACCTCCAGCAAGCGAAACGACGGAAGCAGCAGCAGCAGCGACAACTCCTGAGCCTGAAGTCCAAGCCATCGTCGAGTCGGTTTCCGACCCACTGTCCTTCACCGACGCTGTTGTCCACCAAATTCCTCCATTGGCCTATGGAGATTTCGCTGCCCTTGGACTGGCTTCATGGTCACCGATAGGTCTTATTGCATGGTCCTATGAGCTTCTCCAAGTCTCCACCGGCCTCCCGTGGTTTTACACCATCATTGCTGGCTCCGCCCTCTGGCGATTCGTCTGCGTTCCCTTCGCATTGTCGAACATTCGCAACTCCACTAAACTCCGCCCATTCCAACCTCAAATTCTTCAAGCTCGAGAACGTATGACCGCAGCCCAAACCAAACGTGACGCCATCGAGTTGCAGAGAGCGAGTGTAGAGATGAAGAAGGTGTATTCGGAAGCTGGTGTCAGTCCCTTCACAGGCATGATTCTTCCCATGTTCGCGCAACTGCCAATTACTATTGGTATGTTCTTTGCGCTGAAGAGGATGGCCCAGCTGCCCGTAGAGCAGATGAAGGAGAGCGGTGTCGCCATCAACCTCGACCTCCCCTGGACCGGCCCCATCTCGTGGTTGTCCGACCTTACCGTTGCCGACCCCACCTATCTCCTTCCCGCTGCTTTCTGCGGTCTCATCAACTTGCAGATTGCGGTTGGTGCTAGGGAAATGGACACCAGCAACCCCAGCGCTGGTCACCTCATGAACGTCTTCCGCGGCTTGTCCGTGTTGACCATCTACTTCATGTCAAGCTTCCCCCAAGGCCTCTTCTTGGGCTTGTTGACCACAAGCGGTTTAACCATCGTCCAATCTCTCTTACTCAGGAGTGATGGTGTCAGGCGTCTTGTCGGTATTCCTGTGGTTAAGAGGGAGATGCAAGGCAAGCTGCCCAGTTTCTTGGAGAGTTTCAGGTGCGTCCATCTCGTCTGGATGTTCTCGCGCCCCTTGACTGATGTTGTGCTCTAGATATGCCAGGAAGATGATGGAAGATAAGCAAAAGGCTGCTGTTGCTGCGGCTGCTCAGCAGCACAGGCACAATGTTAGGAGGGGCCCCAAGCCACTTTAATGACGGGTCATTAGAAAGGCGTCTCATGCCATCCAAAATGAACGCTAACGCCAGTTGCTCCACTGCGGGTAGATAGTACTAATCATCTCTAGATTATCTTAGTGACGCACTCCGTTGTAATCATCGCATAGTTTTCGCAACCACCATTCCATCAGATTCACACCCGTTTCTTTGAATTCAGTGTCCTCCTCAAGCGCCCACCGGACAAAGGCAGTTAACGGGCCGGTCGGCTTGCTCCTTCGGCGTGAGAACCCGGAGGCAGGCAAGCGGAAGCCGGGCGGCGGCTATTGGACAAGCATCGCGGCTCATTCGGGTTGACTCTCGACCAGCATCTTTCTCGCTTCACAATTCGAATCTCACCCAAACTCCATGGTTTTCCAGCATGAATATTCGGATAAACTGGACGACGACAGGACTTGTGAATGCGTGGCTTGAGCGCCCATGGTTGCTGAGCTAGGCAGACTTGGACATATCCCAGTTTCCCGTCCATTCTCGCGGATTTTTGGCGCAGTTGTGGTCGCAGCGGAGACTCCTATGACAGCTTTTCAACTGTAGCTTCTCCTGCGTTCGCCGCAGGCATCGCGAGACCACATGCTCCGTGTGCCTGCCCCGTCTCGACAAGTGGTTCTTCGCGTGTCGCTCTCTGGCTTTCCCCACTTCTTGATGGATCCACATTCCACGACGATCCCGGAATTACTTGGGTAAAACTTCTACACTCATGCCGTGTGCTCGCGTGGAGTATCATCTCATGGAGAAGCTAGCGTGGCAGCACTTATATCACTTTAGATCCCCGCCTGTCCCTTTAATTTGTGTCTATTTCGTCAGCTTTTGTCAAGCGCTTACCGAATTCGGTGGAGCGCTGCCCAAACCAGGAAGCCTTGGGCACTTAGAAGAGCCGAGGATTATCCTTCTTGTGCTCACGGGACACCTTCCAACGTTCTCAAGAATACGCGTTCAGAGACGCCCAGGGATGGTTCCATAGGATTCCAAGCCAATAAGATTCCGCCGCCTGCCGTAAATCGCACCAACGCGACATGCTAGGAACTCGACTTGTCGTCTACACGGCTGGGACTGGAATCATACATATGCATGGGATGCAGCTGGGAGGATTCTCTGCCGCCTGCCGCCCCCGCCTTCGTTTCACTATTGGATGGGCATCATGTCGCGGTTGCCCTTCGTCCTCACGGCGCTTCTCTTCGCGCAGAACGTCCTAGCCATTGGACAACCTTCTTGCGTCTCCTCTCGAAGCTCTTCCGGCTCCTTCGCTGTCGTCGCTAATGGCCGCCGCGCAGCACCCATCTTCACTTCTGAGGAAGATTGGCCCGGTGTTCACATCGCTGCTGCAGATTTCGCCGCCGACATTCGACGTGTCACAGATGTCAACCCTTCCTTGAGGAACGGTACCGTCTCTGACCTGTCGGGAAGCAGGCCTATCATCGTCGGTACCCTCGGCAAGAGTGCGTTGATCGACGCTATCGTCAACTCCAACTCGACGGGTTTGGATGTGTCGAGCATCGAAGGAAAGTGGGAGTCGTTCATCGGCAAGGTGGTAGAGAACCCGCTTCCTGGTGTGCAGAGTGCCTACGTGATTGTCGGCTCGGATAAGCGAGGGACGATCTATGGTCTTTACGAACATTCGGAACAGTTTGGTGCGTAGCGTCCAGTTCGAATCCCTACACTGCGCTGACCGGCTGCCTTCAACTTTCAGGTGTCTCCCCATGGTACTGGTGGGCCGATGTCCCAACCACCAAGCGTCCTCAAATCCACCTCACCGCTGAAGGCTGCTCCCATGGCGAGCCCACCGTCAAGTACCGCGGTATCTTCTTGAACGATGAACAACCCGCTTTGCAGAACTGGGCCTTTGAGAAATTCACCAACGGCACCGGCTCGGAACACTTCAACTCTCCGTTCAACAGGTTCTTCTATACCCGGCTATTCGAGCTTATTCTGAGGTTGAGGGGTAACTACTTGTGGCCTGGTACGTCCTCGCGATTCGCTGTGTGTGAGAAAAGGGGGCTGATAGGATCCTCCGTATAGCTATGTGGGGAAGTGCTTTTGCTATGGACGACCCTCTAAACCAATTCTTGGCCGACCGATATGGTGTCGTTATGGGCACCAGGTGAGATGTCACCCAAACTTCAGCTGGCACTGGCTAACGCTTCGTTGTGCAGTCACCAAGAGCCCATGCTTCGATCCACCCCCAACGAGTTCACCATTGTTGGCAGCGGCGGCTGGGATTATGTCGGCAACACCGAGGCTATCCAGAAGTACTGGAGAGAAGGTGTTGAGCGTGGCAAGGACTTCGAGTCTATTTACACTATGGGCATGCGAGGCTTCGGTGATTGTGAGTAAACATCCACTCCTCGGACGTTGGGTATGTGGTATTGATGTACGAACTCCAACAGTGCCACTTTCTGAGGAGACCAACATTGAGTTGCTGGAGAAGGTTATTGAAGACCAGAGCGCCATCTTCAGGGAGGTGTATGGTGAAGACGTTGATCTTGCCACTATTCCCCAGGTCTGGACCCTCTGTACGTCTCTTTCACCTTCTACCATGGGGTTGTAAAGCTGACTATTCCAAAGACAAGGAGGTCGAGGGCTACTATGACAAGGGCATGCGAGTTCCCGATTACATTACTCTCCTCTGGGCCGATGACAAGTGAGTTTCCCGGCACGGATATTATGTTTATGAATTCTAACCTTACCTATCATCCAGCTGGGGCAACATCCGTCGCTTCCCCACTCCCAGTGAGCGCAACAGGACCGGTGGTGCTGGCGTCTACTACCACTTCGACTACGTCGGCGACCCACGGAGCTACAAATGGTTGACCACCACCCAACTCGAGAAGGTCCATGAACAAATGTCCCTCGCCGTCGACCGTGAGGCAACCCGCCTTTGGATCGTCAACGTTGGTGACATGAAGCCTTTCGAGCGCGAGATCGAATTCTTCCTCAGCTACGGTTACGACGCACCCCGATGGAAGCACAACAACATCAACGAGTTCGTCAACTTGTGGGCTCAGCGAGAGTTTGACGTCGACCAGAACACCGCGGAGGCGATTACTGGCATCGTCGGCAACTTGACCAGGTACAATGCTAGGAGGAAACCCGAGCTTTTGAACGGAACGACATTCAGCTTGATCAACTACCGGGAGTGAGTACCTCAGAATACCTCTCGATGCGACGCACAATGCTGATAGTCCCCTGTTTTTAGGGCTGACAACGTCTTGACCGGCTGGGACAACCTCGTCTCTGCTTCCACCAGAATCTACAACCGGCTCTCGAATGCCTTCAAGCCTGCCTACTTCCAGCTCGTCCACCACCCCGTCATCGCCAGCGCCAACCTTGGCCACATGCTTATCAACGTTGGTCTCAACAACCTTCGAGCCTCGCAGGCCAGTGTACGTGTTTCTTTTCTGGAGAATCTGGGGAGACCTTGTTGACATCCTTTTAGCAATCTGCCAACACCTATGCTGCCATTGCCGAGAGGTTGTTCGACCGTGATTGGGAAATCGAGACCGAGTACCACAAGTTGCTCGATGGCAAGTGGAATCACTTCATGTCCCAAACCCACATCGGATACTACTACTGGCAACAGCCCATGGCTAACACGTACGTTTCGCGTCAAATCAAAAGTCCTGAGATCTAACTTTCTGACTTGCTTGCAGCTTGCCTGGTCTCGTCAAGGTTGCCACTCGCAAGCAGGCTCTTCCCGGTGTGATGAGAATCACCGCTGAGAACAGCAACGGTGCATGGCCAGGAGACAACAGGAACAACTGCCGCGACGGTTACAACTGCGGTGACCCTACCCTCACCATCGACAACTACGACACTTTCGGCAACAAGTACATCGATATCAGCGCTGGCGGTCCATCGTCATTCGACTACAGTATCAAGTCCAGCGAATCTTGGGTCAGGATCTCTTCTACTCGGGGATCGATCTCGCAGAAGAACAAGGACATCGAGCGAGTGTTCTTCAGCGTTAGCGACTGGGGCAGCCTGCAGGATGGCCGCAATGAAGCCAGGATCACCGTCACTGCTAATGCCCGTGGCCAGAACCCTCTGGACGTCAATGTCAACTTCGTCGCTATCAAGAACGCCGTTCAGGGTGACTTCAAGGGTGAGTTACTCGCCTGATTGTATTGGTAGCACCAAACTCTGACCATCGTTGGCCAGGCTTCGTTGAGGGTGCTGGTGTTATCTCTATTGAGGCTGCTCACGCATCGCGCAACAGCAGCGTTGGCAACTATGCCTGGCAAGAGCTGCCTGGCTATGGCCGAACTCTCTCTGCTGTAACTCCTCTCCCTCGCACCGACGACAGCTACGAGGCTGGCACTGGACCTACCCTGTACGTCTGACCTCCTGGATAGTTTGTGCGAGGTGCTAACCATGATGTAGTGAATACGACTTCTACAACTTCAACGCTGTTGGCGACGAACACAACGTCACGGTTACCGTCCTCTTGGCTCCCGCCTTCAATTTTGCTACCGAGTCCAACCCTCTTGCCTTCGGTCTCACCATTGACGACCAGCCCATCCAACGCATCCAGCCTATTCCTCCTCTCTCCAAGCCTGGAGACTTCCCTCCTGGCTGGGGAGGTGAGTTCGGATGGGTTGCCAACTCCATCACTCCCTACGTGATTACCTTCAGCAATGTCGCTCCTGGTGCCCACACCCTCAAGGTAAGCTTGTTACTATCACTGCAGGTTTGTGGGCGGGTCCTTATCGCTTTTATAGTTGTCTGCTATCGAGTCGGGTGTTGTTGTCCAGAAGATCATCATCGGTCTGTTCACCTCGTCTACTTTACACGGTTCTGAAATAAGCTCACACGCATTTCCTAGACGCCGGTGGACTGCTCACCAGCTACCTCGGTCCTCCCGAGAGTATTCGCGTTTAAGTAGCTATTTATTCCTCTGTACACTTCTAATTCCTTTCCTCAATCGCCAGACAATCTCTCCATGTATTAGTTGTATACCAAAACACGACGGAAAACATCCATTAGGAGATACGTACAAGGGGAGCTACCGATACTTGTTCACGAGCTTCCAACTTTCAAGCCCTGGGCTCTATGACATAGGTGCTCACCAAAAGGTCACCGTTCTGCAAAGGACCGCGGCAGTCTGAATTTCTGAGAGCAATGTATTGACAACAGCTGGTCGTGGTTTAGATACTGGACATAACCCATGAAATAGAGATCCAAAACACATTACAGCGCAGCTACAAGCTGACTATACTCTTCCGATGTAAAGTTCCACCTCTCCTCCAACTGACTCTGAGTACCAGCGTCCGAAATCCATTTCTTCAGCGTCGCCTTCTCCTCAGGGGTGAAAGGTCCACGGCACGGCACCGCATAAGTGTGGAGAAGTCTGAAGTTCCCCAAACCAGTCAGCCACTTCCGTCATGGATGTGTTGTGATTTGGAAGCGACACTCACCTCAGCGCCTTTTCTTCATAGTCATGGTCGGGTCCGACGTGATCTCCATCCGGGCCATGCGGCAATGGAGTTACAATCGATGAGATCACCTTGTCCAGGAGACCATATTTTCCAAATGCCTCCAGAGTAATCGCCGATGTCTGTGACCGTGATGAATCGCGAAGGTGGGCGGCGTGCGAGTTGGGATGGATGGGATTCTCTGGGTTCGCGGGTCTGTTATCTGGTGTTAGAACGTTGACTGAAGGGCCTTCTATTGAGGTCACTGCGGTAGATGGTTGTGCATTTAGATTAGCAGGGGCGTCGGAAAGCATCAGAGGCGCTTGGTGAGCGGCGTGTGGGTGTGGGCCAGGGTCGGTCGGGATAAGCAGTGCGCTCAGGAGGAATACGGCTTTGCGGCGAACGGAGATTGCTGGGTCTAAGGAGGAGGGGTGGGTCGGAGAGGAGAGACGAACGCGAAGAAAAGAACAAACCTTGGAGGGCATTCCGAAGGGTCTCCCAACCGGATTGCGATAAATCCTTCAAGGCAGGTGCGTTGTGTTTCAACAGTCCGGATAGAGTGTAGATGGCTTTTGACCTCTCCTCTATGGTAGAAGTTTGGGGTGAAAGGAACGAGAGGATTGTGGGCAGAGGTTTCAGTTCGCGGTACTGCGACTAATAGTGAGAAGAATGCAGGTCGCGTAGACGATGAATTACTCACAACATCCTGAGCAGCTGGGTTGTTTTGTACTGCAGTTCCAATAACCCACAGCGTCGCCACTTTGATCTCTTTTGAGGCATCCGAGGTAAGGATCGACTGTAATGGTTCCCAGAGTTTAAGCTTCTCGAGATCTGGGTAAACATTTAATGGCTACACGGGAAAAGCACGACAATAACATACTGTTCGCATTGTCGATTTGTTCGATCAACTGCACGTAGACAAATGAGTGAGAGTCGAGCTTTAATCCAATCCAGAAGGTAGCTCACCATTTCCAGGTGGTCGAGTGCGTTCAGACGTTCGTCCTCGGACTTGGAGGTGTCAACTGCCACTGCTACATCCTCCTTCATCAATTCTGCGTCCGACTTTCCGAGAATCATATCTATGATTTCGGGATTCAGGTCTTCCCGTCGCGCAGGAGGCCTATCGGACGGTGCACTGTCGAGGGGCGTTGAGTTCTGAATTGACCATCGTAGTAGGGATTCCATGGTTCCTGTAAGTCGTTGGGAGAGTTTCAAGTGGGAGATGTGATGTATAAAGAGGCAAGAAAGCTTTATTAGATCTGTAGTCGTTCTGCCCCATTCATGAGCAAACCAGAATGTCATCGAAGACACTGGAATCTTATCTAAGGATGCCAAGACCAAGAGCCTATCACAGATTAAGACGGAGCTCCAATCTTCGGCCAAGGCCGCAGGATAATTTTTCGCGTCGCGAGCGCCTCCTCCAGGTTGGCCTCGTTTTCCATCCTGGCAAGGTTTTCGAATGCAGACTGTGAGTACATCGTTCTGTTCTTCTATATGGTGATGATCCGAGATAATACCATACTTTACCACATTCCGAATCTCATGAGATGTGGAATACTTATCGATTTCAGCCTTGTCTGAGCTTTTCTGCCCCGTTTATTGATTCGTGTTGCTGACCTTTCCATAGTCTTTCCCATAGGCGACATCGGTTTTCGACGAGGGTTAGGTTATGACAGTTAGCTAGAAGTCAACTCTGTTAGTCTATGTAAATTGTAAGTGAACCTGTCTCAATTTTCCCTTCACCTCTCGGTTTTCCTTTCGTGATGATAATTTTCGATGGGCGGACGGTAATTCTCTCCCTATACCAAAGCTTCCAAGTGTACAAAATGGAAGTGGGGAGGGTAGTTGTTGAAATGCATCGATTAGCTGATCATTGTCATTCGTGCCATGTTGTTTCACCTTGCTGATTCACTTTCTACTTCAGATATCCAACATGCAATCTATTCCGGAGTTTGGCTATCTCTGTGGTCTCTTTCTCGATGCATCCAGCGCTACTCTCAGTGGAGACTGAAGGGCTCTCCTCACCTGCAGTGTCCTGGGGAATGCGCTAGCCCTACGACCAGCTGGAGCGTCGCGCGTCCTTGTGGACTTGCCACGCCTCTCTCCACTGTGTCCGTCTCGCCATTCAGCACGTTGATGCTTCCGCACATTCTTCTGCCTCAAGCGAACTTTCTGTGAGCTACGCCTCACTCCAGAGGTTCGCGAGAGACTGGCTGAACGGAGGTTGCTTCTTCCACCCAGCCTGGTGTCGCTACCCGTCAAACTGGGACGCACTGTTACTTCTGTATTCCATGAACTTTCGGTTGGTTGCCAACCATTTTTCCCATTCTTGCCACCTTCGGTGACGGCATGTACCTCATCCTCGTACCCGGTTTGAAGTGGTCTCCATCTAACTTTGTGCTGTCGATATCTTTCCAAGCAACGGCTTACCGCCAATCATCAAGATCAATTGCATCTACTCTATGTGTCGTTCCAATAGTATGCATCTCAGGCTCTCATTTGCCTGCAAACACCCGGTTTCGGGCTCAGATACGGATCTGGCGGGCGAGCTTTCCTATCCCTCCGCGTGTCGCCGTTTCCCTTGCACGCCAGTGTGATGGCCCTCTTGTCCGCCGATGCAAGCTGTGCGGATGTTGGAGCCATCGGAGCCTTTATAGTAATATCTACTGAAGCGCGCTTCGCCGCAATGCCTGCTACTACCCAGCTAATTCGCTTTCTACTTTTATTACTCCCTACTCTTTTCTAATGCAACTTGTACTTTCCCTCCTTAATCTTTACCCACCCTCCCATCTTCCCACAAACCCCGTGACAACGCATGTTGATCGCCCGCCGGGCCGCCACTCCAACACTTCTTCAATGCTTTTCAGCACTTCTCCCTTCTCCTTGTCCCTGTACCCCATGAATGGCACGTATCCGACCCCCCCGTCTAAAATCGACCTCCTACTCTGCCCGCATGTGTACGCCACACCACATACGTGCTCACCCGGACCCTTGTTCATCCTCGAGTCCCTGTGCAGCGAGAAGCCCCGATCTTCGTACTTCTTCAACCATCTTCTGTCTCGCTGCGAAATTCCACCACCCTTTATGTTGATCCAGCCTGTCTTCCTAACCGTCAGATCCCTATAGAATGACAACACGCCGCAATAACCGATGACGTTCATGACCACTGTAGAATGGAATGCCAGTATCGCCGGCAGAGCGGATCTGTAAAAGTTCCAGGTGAGTTGCGATCCTTTATAGAGACCATATCCATCCCACTCACGGTGTCGATGTAACGATGACGTTTATAATCATGTCTTGGCTTTCGTTGTACCAGTAACCCACATCCTCGATAAGAGGCAGCTTTCGATAACCAGCAAAAGGCCGCTTGTTGACCAAACTATATTCCCCTTTTCGCAATCTCTTCCAACCTCCCGAGTGACGAAGATGCTCTGCCAACTCTGACGATCTTTCCTTGGGTACGTAGAAATCGAGATCTCCCGGTTCGAATAACCCTGGATATATCACTGTTAATACAGCTGATCCCGAGATATACGCCCCTGTCCTCCAGAGCATCAAGATCGTACGACCGGCGTCAAGGTTGAACTTATTGAGCAGCGCGGCCACCCTTCTGTCTGCCTCCATTGTCGCGTCGATCCACACGTTTCTGTTTTCCGATACGACATCGTCGACAGTGAACAAGGAGGCCAGGCTTAGCACCCATAGTAACACTCGGCGAGGCAGGTAAAAGCGAAACAACAAAACTGTACACCAACATAATCAGCGCCTCAGCGCCTAGATTGAAACGACACTCTTTTGGAGCCGGTGGACCTCTCCAATACTTGTAGCATGTCGGGGTATGCTCGTGGACTTGGCAATCAATAACCAAATTACGGAAGTCTTTAGATCTTTTCAGACAGGACTGTTCATCATCCAGCAGAGGGTCATAGCCCCGAACCGACGAAGGCTTGAAGCGATCCGATTGAACAGTTGTTGTTGTCGCACCGGGCGGGATTTTGGGGATGGAGTTCACAATTATGTCGTCGAGGTACTCCGCTAACTTGTCGCGGAAGAGGGCATTGGCCTCATGTAACAGTTTGGCCTTGAGTTCATTCGGATTCAGTGAACCTTCAATCCAGATGACAAAATGAGCGTGAAGCGTCCCTCTACCTTGCGCCTCCACACACCCATATAAGCCCTTTGTGTATCCAAGAGCACCAATTCGTCGTTTCGTAGGATCTGTTCTAGCATCCTCATCCCACGCCAGAAGCTCCGTAATAAATGCATTGATGTAAATGTGAAAAAACTTTGCTGCAACGACCGGATTCTGGGATACGAGCTTAGCCAAATCCCAATAAGTCGGAACCAAATTATCGGGGAGATTATCAATATCTATGTCAGATCCCCCTAGCACGGCAACCAGTGGATTGAAAACGTCGGGAGGATTTACGGTAACATATAAGGAGGGAAGACCAAGTTCAGTGGCAAACATACTGCGGATCTCGTTCCTCATGGTAACACGACTACCGCTTGATCCAGGAACATCTCGAAAGATGACATTCACCTGCTTGTTGAGATTTAGAGCCTGCGATTGGGCATGAGTGTCAGGAACGGGATACGAGTTTGTGGAAAGAGACGTCACAATTTTATCCAGCACTTCGCTTACAGCGAGGGATGACACACCGGCAAAGGTGGAAGCAACGTCATCGAAAGAGGATCGCCTTGTGCGGAGTGCAATTGACAATAGCACCTTTCTCCTTTGAATGATGTTGAAAGCCGTGAACATGAAGGAGTGATGCTCCTGGAATCGTCGCTCGCGGATGCATAGCAGGTGGCGAATGTGGCTTTCGAAGGATACTGGGAACGCGTTTTTCTTTGCTTCTGGAGCGCCAAATCCGAAGGGGAAAAGGCTGGGAAACAGCATAGGGAACAAGGCGGAATTCTTGATGTCGTTCACAAGCCCAACGTCATGAGGAATGCCGTAGAATCCCTCGTTCTTGTCAATGACATGCTTTACAGCAGAAGCGCGGAGTTCATGGGAGGTCATATCAGGTGAAGCGTTGGCAATGAGGACCGATTGAAAAGGAACGTCACCGAGCTCTGTTGTTTCGACGGGAGTCTCTTTAAGAGATTCAAATGGGTCATAACCAGACGTTGTTGCATCGCGAGCACTGTTCGGCTGGAGGTGCTCGACATGGAAGGGAAGAAGGGATCCGTCTGTGGGCATTTGCTTCAGAGTATCGAGGTCAAGAACGACGTCCTTGTAGAGCGGGTTGTTGTCCTTGAGCCACAGAAGCGCGGCTCGAATTCGATCAGGGCGAACGGCAAGGGGTTTTGCAAACTTCTGTATCCATTCCTTTGTTGGTGGAGAAGAATTCACAAAGATTATGCATACGTACTGCACAATGTCATCGATCGAAGGAGGGAGAACGGCCGGCAGGATCTCGGGGTGCTGGGGAAAGACAAGCACGTTTCCTTTCAGCGCTTTTTGGGTTATGCGTTAAGATCACCATCGTACTTCAACTGGAGAATGAGAGTTTTTGCACGGCATCGGGCTATCATGCTCTCTTCAACTATCGTGAGGTCCGAAAGAACGGGAGGTGTGTGACCAGTAAAGAGTCCATTGGCGTAGGATAGACGGGGAACTCTATTGTTTTCCAAACATGCTAAACATGTTAGGCATAGAATAAGAGAATAAGATGCAGGACCCGTACTAATGATCCCATCGAGCTCCAAGCATAGGTGGCGCAGAGGATGTGATTCGGGAAGTGTATAGTGAGGATTGTCGGCCTTGATCGTAAGTACTTCATGGTTTACGTTGTTCAAAGGCATTATTTCGAATTGGTTGGGATAAACACATAATGCGCAGGAGGCAAACGCGAGGTTTGTGCGCGTTGGTGGAGGTGGCCGCACGGAAACGGGATATTAATTCTGCTTTTTGAGCGAGTGTCGGAATTTCAGGATACATGTCACAAACATTGTCAGCCCACTCTTGACAAGATTTCCTCGACTCAGTGGATAAAGGCAACTCACCAGTGATGGATTCTTTCGCCAATGACAAGAGTACAGGATCAGGGCCATCGGAAGATGAAGGAACGTTATTGGGATCAACATCTGCGAGCGAGAGATTATTGAGTGTAAGAACCCGGCGCAATACGTCTTGAGATGCACATCTAAGGGCAGTGGAGATGAGATGGGAACGATAACGTGTGAAAGACAGAGGGTTGGAGCCACGAATTACAGACCTTGCACACTCGACTTTGAGTTGTGAACAGCCGTCGTAAGGCGAGGCGAAACACGAAGAAGATGCAATGTGATCAAATAGAAGATCGAGTCTCTTTTTTCTGGACCCGAAGGGCAAGACACCGTGGCGCTGGGCCAGGACAGCAGCATCCTGAACGGAAGTCCTCAAAAAAAAGTTAGCGATGAAGAAGCTGTCAAGAGGAGGGTGAGGGTGAGTTTGGGACAAGAGCGTATGGTGGGTTTCAAAAGAATGAAGAATCTCATGCATGCGTTGGGAGCGATAACCGAAACACGAAGCAAAGAAGGTGACAGTGGAAAGATTTGAAGAGGTGCGAAGAGACGAACATACGTGAAGTAGGATATCACGACGTAAGGTCATCGGGGATTCATAATGGTGCATGACAGAGCACACGTCTCCGTTGGAGGTACGGCAAAAGCCGGACAGAATGTGGAATGCAAGGAGCTCAAAGCGCGCGCTTATAGAAGTTGAAGAGGGGCATTGTATGGCATGGGATGATAAGAGTGAATTTACATGGGTGTGCACGGCGTCAGGATACACGATCCAGGCAGACAGAGAGACAAATTGGTCGATAAACGATGCCAGTACACTGTTCCACATAGAAGAAAGCGGTGGGAGGGGGAGGGTCTTATAGAACGGGTAAGATTGGGAGGCATTCAGTTTAAGAATTAACGTACCGTGGACATTGTAGAGAAGGGTAGCGAGAGCAAGATTATTGATCAGCAGAAGAAGGGGGCAGGGAGGAGGAATAAGTGTGGGACAGAGTAGAAAACAATTGAGGCAAGGACCGACGGTGAAACAATAGGGCGGTGGAGAGGATTCGTGTAAAAGACATCGGTGGCAGTGTTGAGGAGAATGTGGCTGTGAAGGGTTTTGTCGTGGGAGTTCCAGAGTAAACCTTCTACTACTAACGTAGTAGCAGGAAATTGGCGCCCACTGCGTGCTTCTCAACCTTCGGCACCCATCCTAGCCGCAACCCACGAGGCCGAAATCCCCGCATTACCCTGGGTTCGCGCCGATTCGCGTTTCATACACCGTGGTTCTTTGCACGCCAAGGGATGCGGAGCCCTTGATCTCTACAGCTTTCACAAACCGGAGACTGTATAAAGTGGGCGGGTATGCTGGGCAAGGCTAAGGGCTCCCTTTTGTCCTCTATTGCATCATCATCGAGCCTCGCGCCAACAACATGTCGACGGCACCCGTCCACCTAATATTCGACAATGCTCCCAACGCTATAGAGTTCAATCCACCAGAGGCATGGACGGAAGAGGTGGTCAACATCGACAGACAGGAATATGGGAATATATGGGGTGGTAATAATGCAAATAAGCCCTACGTGCTGGGCATGCACCAGACCCGACCTCCATTCAGGCCCGACAACCAGACAGCGGAAGTGAGGGTGGTGTTTTCTGAGGGAGCAGGTAAGTTTCTTTTCGCCAGACCCTCCCCACGAGACATTGCATCTAACACACGAACTTCTGCTAAAGCCAATTCCTCTATCGAGCTTTACGGACGATCGTACACCACAACCTCGTCAGGAATCTCCGCAGAGAACTTGGCGATAACCTACCAACCCACCGACCAACAACCTGACGTTGCCTTCTCTCAAGATGCTTTCCTGGCTATCAACTTTGGAGTCGTAGCTGCAAAGGAGGACGCGAACCTGAACGGAAGCCGGATCATCGTGGACGACGTCGATACTTCTCAGCTTCTGTACTTTGGTGATTGGAGGGAAGACAGCGGAGACGAGTTCGCCGAGCGGGAAGATTTGGCCGACGCCAATGCGGCTCGGGTTCGTGTTGGGCCACGGATCTCCTATAGAGGAACCAGGCATACGGCCTCGACTGTTGGTAGCGGGTTCAGGTTCCGTTATTATGGTCAGTGCACCTCCCTGCCCTCTGGCGTCCACGTCTAACAGTCCGATTTGAAAAGACAGGCAGCAGCATAGAAATGCACGGCTGCGTCCACCTTACGAGACCAGGCGCATTAATGGAAGTGCGCTGGAGTGTAGAGGATCCGGGTGAAGAGCCCACAGAGGCGTACGGAATCCATCGAGAATTCGATCCCGAACGGGATGGCAGTAACACGACCCACTGCGAGACCAAGTTTCTGCGGAGCACACACAGTGAAGAGCCGGTGGAGAAGATTATCACCATGAACATCGTCAATTCCCCGGACCCTTCGTCTGCGAGCTTTTCCTTCGATTACTTGGTTTATAACCCTGGCTTCGAATCACTCTCGGACAAGCCTGAATGGGACATTGAGCAGCTGGAGCCGGGCTACTCGTGGAATCGGACTTCGAAAGGCACTATCATTGGGGCCAGCGTTGGTGGATCCCTTGGTTTCTTGCTCATTGTCGGCTTGATCATCTTCTGGTTCCTTAGGAGAAGAAGGAGACAGAATGCGCAAATCCGAGGGAAGGCGTCAGGGTAGTCAAGAGTCACGTGGAGAGGTATGGATGCAGGCGATGCCATAAATAAATATTCGAGTCGAATAATACAAGGAGTACAACAACAGCAGTACGGCTAACTTGAAGGCACATCATACAACCATAGGCAGAGCCAAGTCGGTTCTAATTGAACCTCATTCTGTTGATAGCAGATCTATACGACATGTTACTCTGTCCCCGATACTCTCCAGGGTCATACCGCAGGAACGACGATCGCGCTTTCTGCAGGGCAGGGCGGATGGGACGAGCAGTCCGAAGTTGCTGGACGTCGTTCAAGGTACTGCGCGGGGCTTCTGGGCGCTTCTCCGGCCCTCTGAGGCTCCAGGTGAGCCAGTTCGATGAATCATCTGCCTTGTTCGAATTCTCAGCTCGTATCTTCGTCTCTGGGCGCTTGTTTTGGTCTTTGGTCATGGTGTCAGCCGCCCGTGCGTCATCGTGATCAGGCTGATCCGCCCGGTCCTGGACTACACTTTCTTCCTTTGCCTTGACATGTTCTCTCATCTTCTTCAGCCTCGCTACAATGGTGCCGTAGTTGGGTAGGGAAAGGAACTCGGCTGTCGGCGACGGGTTGAGTGGGGACGCACTTGCAGCTGTGGCAGGATTGGCGTTCTGGCAAAAGGTTAGACACCAATCATAGTCTCGCGGATTGAGGAGAACTTACCCTCGGGGGAGGCGTTACAGGTCGCTCATCCCTGGCACGGGTCTTCTTCGACACTGGGGAAGGCAGTGTAGGCACGAACAGCGTGTTTGCCCGCGGAATGTCTCCGTAGGAACTCAGCGTGTATTCGTCGTCTTCGTCATAAGGGATCCTTTTCGTAGGCTTTGGTCGACCATGGTGGTCCAAGTGGGATCGCGAAGATGAGTGAAAAACGTCAACTGGAGGCATTTTGTTCTAGGTGGCTCAATACTTCGCTCCGGGTCTATATATCCCTCTCATCTGTGGCATTGGCAATACGTCGAGAGGCAACAATCTTGGTCAATGCTCTTTGTATTAGTCGCCTGTCCGCAGTCTTGGTCTCTACGCAGCCACTGTGACCAGGCCATCGCATCCGGATTGATCTGCAGCCAGTTCCTCGAATTCTCCTTCCGCCCAAACGGACATTTTCAAGCGCGCCGCGCGGTTTCATCCGCATCATCGTCGCGCCAAGCCTTCGCGATTTCTCCTTCGAGTCCTACTCAGCGGCCTCCTGCACAGCGTCGAGACTCAACCAATTTGTACATGTTCATCCAATTGGCAATGGGATAGGTAAAAGCCCCGCCCTGCTGTCTATCAGATGACATCTGAAATAAAAGCGGGGGAAACACCCTCCTCGTCGGTTGTCCGCGCCCTCCCAGCACCATGATGGCAAGGAACGGATCCAGCACCCCTGTCTACCTAGTCTTCGATGACGCCTCCGATAAATTCTCATTTGAGCCACAGGGTGCTTGGTCACACGAGGACCCTGTAGCAGAGCAAGAACGTTATCGTGGCTACGGTGATGGTATCCGCCACACCCATCCAGGGTTGCGGGAGGCAAACCAATCAGCCACTGTGACGCTCGATTCTCCTCAAATCGCAGGTGAGTTGTGTAATGGTCTGCAAACGCCAAACAAGCCTATGCTAACTCCGTCCACAAAGAAAACAGGGCCATTCGACTCTTCGGCCGCGTTTATGGGCAAACGACAAACCAGAATGCCACTCAGGACCTAATCATACAGTACCGACTACTAGATGACGAGCCGGCAACGAACCAAGTTACCTTTTCACCGAACGCGAATATATCCATCGATTATGGTGTTGCTGTTGCAGACGAGAAGGTGAACCTCGAAGGAAGTCGGATAATTGTAGACGACTTTGATTTCGACGAAATCGCGTTTGGTCCACAATCTACACGGAAGCCGAAACGACCACTGTGGAGGGGTTGGTGGAAGGAGAGGAAACTGTGGCACGGCAAGGGTATCGCATCCCGTTCAACTACACTGCACACCTTTCAACAGGTCTGGGCAGTGGGTTCCGATTCCGATTCTATGGTAAGCGCTGTACAAACTAGTATCACCTCTAGAGGCCTGGATTTGACACCCCTGATTAGGACGTTCCGTTGATTTCTATGGTTGCTACATCCTACGGAACACCAGCAGCACGATAGACATCACCTACGGGGTCGCCACTCGAATCGACAGTGACGATGTCCGGTAGTTTCGATGCGCCCACCACCGACGGTCAACGCTGCGAGCCCTTCCGCCTAGCAAGAGTAGATATCGAGGAACCAGGGGACTACGTCCTTTCAGCTCAGGTCTCTTCTGTCACGGATACTGAAGAAGCCGTCTGGCTCTTCGACTATTTGACGTACGAACCTGCGTTCTCGACGGTGGCCGACAAGCCCCAGTGGAACGTCACCGAGTTGGCCTACTGGCCAGATAGCAACAATGGTGACAGGATAAAGAAGATTCTTGTTCCAAGCTTGTCGGCTGCTGCTGGGTTCTTCGTCATTGTTGGAATTATTTGTTATGGAGTAATTCTGTGGAAGAGGAAGGCCAAGAGAGCGGCGAGGTTACACTACTGACGGACGTGTTATTCGTGGAAAGCAATGTTTGATTGAAGTCAGGCCGCCTCAATAATGCTACCGTTCACAAGCACGCACTGATACTTTTGACTTCTCTCTCTCTCGGTGCGTGACGATGTTCTAAACAATAATGGCTGTTACAGATTCTCCTTGATCAGGGAGGCTGTGCCCATGCCAAGGCTCGGTGGTTAAGCGCCCGTTCGGCGCCATTAGTCCCTGCACACCTTTGCTTACGATTTGTCCTTGTAAAGCGGGCAACAGACATCGGACCATACGATTTACCCCTAGTTCTTCTTGGGCGCGAAGAAACCAAGTTTCAAGTTGGGTGCTTCTCTGCCAATCTCCACATGGTACGTTCACACCTGTCTACTGAACGGTTCTGTGGGATACGGTGCAGTTATAAGGCACTGCTCCAGGCTTAATGCTAGGTATACATCAACGCCCATTCCCCTATGTCGAAGAACGACGCATCGGATCCCGTGTACTTGATCTTTGATGATACTCCGGACGCGTTCGAATTCGACCCTCCGGAAGCATGGTCTGAAGAAATTGTCGATATCGACAAAGAACGCTTCGCGATATCCACTCGCTCGCCGGCATTGCCTCACTTGGGCATGCACCATACTCGTCCTCAACTCCGACGGGATAATCAGACTGCCAGTGTGAGGACCAAGTTGCCGGGGATAGCAGGTTCGTGAGCTCATTCGATCCAGGGTCCAGCTCATGATTATCCCTGTTAAAGCGAACTCCCCTATCCAGCTCTACGGGCGATCCTACACCACCAACTCGTCTGGGCTAGCGATCTCTGCAGAGAACCTGGCTATAACCTATCAGCCTACAGATGACCAACCAGGCATCTCCTTCTCCGAAGATGCATTCGCAGCTATCAACTTTGGAGTTGCTGTCGCAGGGGAGGATGCCAAGATGAACGAGACCCATATCATTGTCGATGATGCGGACACGTCCCAACTGCTTTACTTTGGTGATTGGAATGAGGATGGCGAGGCGGACGACTTTAGCGAGGGGGAGGGATTGGTTGTCGGAAATAATGCTCAAGTTCGCGTTGGCCCCCGTATCTCGTACAATGGGACCAGACGGGCTACCTCAATCGACGGAAGCGGGTTTAGGTTTCGATTCTGGGGTAAGGGGTCTCTTATCCCTTACTCTTTTCGTCCTTAGCTAACACAAACGATTTCGAAACGCAAAGGGCATGACCTTCACATCTACGGATGTTTCAATCTATCTCGGCCTGATTCTCGCGTCGTCCTCAACGGCGTATTCCAAGAGACGGGAAATCCAGACGTAAGCAATGTGTGGATCATCGAAAGCCCATCCAACGTCGTTGCCCCCTTGAATGGCACTCGATATTGTGAAACTGGACACATCGTAGGTATGGGGTTCGGGGCCACGTCGGAAGATGAACCCAAGGAGATGATACTAACGCTACATGCAATCGCTGTCTTGCCAAATCCTGAATCAGCGAGCTTCGTCTTTGATTACCTGACCTACCAACCTGTCTTCCAACGGCTTTCCGAGAAACCTCAGTGGGATTTGAAGCAATTGGAGAGCGACTATGTGTGGAAGAAACCCGGGCCCTCCAAGGGGACCATCATCGGTGCGAGTGTTGGAGGCTCACTTGGGTTTTTGCTGATTGTCGGATTGGTTGTGTTCTGGGTAATCAGGAAGAGGAGAGGGACCAAGAAAATGTAGGATAGTTCATGAAGATGATGGATACACTGTTTATAGTCACTTAAATCTGGGTTCATCTAAAATCATCCTCACAGTCTCCGTTCAGTGCCAGATCTACCCCACACATGACCTACCAATGTCGTTAATCTGCCTCAATGTGGGCCCATCCTCTGGTGGCATCTCGGAGTCGATCTTCTCTCTGTGTACACTCCTTTACAAAACGTGCAGCCAGTAATGCCGATCCCAATGGGCATCGTTGTCAGCTTCCCAACACATTCTCCTCGCATTTCGCACTTTTGGTGCAAAGAGGTAACAACAAGCCAGCGCTAAGGCGAAGAGTTTGCGCAGACTCGAAGCACGATCGAGTGCCTGTCCGGATCGCGATTCCGCTGTGTGGCGTAATGCGAGTGCCGCCATAACCGGTAGGGTAAGGGCCGTCATATAAATTGGCTTTGTCGTCTTCTTTCTTGACCATCTACCATCACCTTCAAGGAACCCAACTTATTGCCGGGGGGCCTTGGATGCCAGAAATTCGCGAAAACTGGTGTATCTGACGACGGAAGACGCGAAAACCATAACGAAGGCCACTTGAACCACTGGAAAGGTCGACAACCATGGCACCGACGCTCCTCTCACTCCCCGTCGAAATCCTGACCAAAATTTTGTCACTGCTACCATGCCCATCGTCCCTCCTCTCCACAACGCTCGTCTGCAAGCGATTCCATGAGCTGTACACCTCCTCGTCCTACCTGCAATACCTCGTCCAGCTCTCGTTGAGCGGGATGCAAGACAACCCTTACTGCTCGCACGACCAGGTATCCCTAAAGGAGCGACTCGACATTCTCAGAGAGCGTGAAGAGCGCTGGAGGACGCTCGAGCCCAGGTGGAGCATGACGATACCCATCGAAGTACCGGGCTTGAAAGAGGGAGGGAAGCGTACGAGCGGGGTGTACGACGTCACGCCCAGCTGGTACTTCCTGGGTGTCGCACAAGGGAGATGGGGTCTATCGTCGATGACCACAGTCGGAGTGCAGAGCTTGAAGATGCCCACCAGTCCGGAGGAGACCGTACAACGGAAGGAGATCCCGTTCACCTCTGATAACCAGGGCGAGATTGTGGATTTCGGAACATCGATTGAGGAACACGATCTAGTGGCTGTAGTCGCTATGTGCGTTGTCTTCATTCTTCTCGCCTGTTCTGTTTAAGCTTACTCCTCGTACCTCAGGAAACCGCTGGAAGATCCTCGAGCTCCGGGGTTGAACTTCCTCTCTGTTCACTTGCTTCATCATTCTACTGGTCAACCACACTCACGCGCCCGGATGCCTGTTCTACCCATCTGCACAGTCGGGCAATCTGTGAACATCTCCGTCGAGATATGTGGGGAGAACCTTTTGCTCTCCGTGTTGAGCGAAGCAGGAGAGGCAAGTGAAGAAACTGGCGTGTTATTCAGAGCCTACGATTGGATCAGGGGCGTCGCTAAAGGGGTGAGCATTACTTTTCCACTCAATAGCATCCCTTCTCTTTCTCACAACCGCGCAGTGGCACAGACAAGCATGGAACCTAGGTCTAATCTTCCTACGCGAGGACATCTTCCTCATCCCCTCCGCGCGACACAACCGTCTCGAGATCTATTACCTCCCTCCTTCATCCTACTCTTCCCTCCCTCCAGACTCGCACTCCATCCGAGGGGTGCCTTTCAACCACTGGCTCTACTCCGTCCCAGCAGACATAACCCTCTCACCTATCCCGATCCATTATCTCGCCCTGCCCGCGCTAGCAGCACACTGGCGTCAAACCACTTCCCAATGTCGGTGCGAACCTTCGCCCATCGGGCTGAAATCCTCCGCGTCGAAGTACGTAGAGGGGAACCGACCGTTCACGAACGACCCGGATCGCGCGATCGCCGTTTTCAGCGTCGACTTTCACGGGCCTGAGGGACCCACTCCGTTGATGATGTTCGTCCACCGCAAGACGTTGCTGGATCTCTTGCCTCTAGACTGGACAAAGTGGGTCGAGGAGAACATGAAGAGGAATGCACGGAGAGGTGTGGGTGAGGATGCCTTGTTACAGATGGTCACGCGGTGGCGGGAAGAGGGCGTTGAGTACCAAGGGAATAGGCGGCCTGAACCTGCCCCTCCGCCATCGTCTTCGATGTCTTCCATGGGCGCTGCGGACTCTACCACTCATGAAGAGCCAAGCCAAACATCACCGCCCGACTCAAACGCAACCTCACCCTCATCCTCACGCTCCTCTCTCTCCTCCACATCGTCCACAGAGCTCCCCCTCCCACGCCCATTCACCTCCCCACCTCCATCGGAGCTTCCCCTCCCCATCCCGCTCTCCTGGTCAACGTCCCTGTCATCCCTCTCACCACCAACAACACCCTACGCGACGTGGTCCCCGCACAACGTCCTCTGGCTCAACGCACGCGACTTTGCCTCAGTCTTTATCACCTCCACCGCCGGTGCGCGGTTCGTCAGTTTTCCGATCGAGAATGTTCTGGCTGCTGGCGGAAAAGCGCAGGTTAGAGTTTTGGATTTTGATGAGTATAGGGTTCGAAGGGAGGTGGAGAGGCGGAAGGCGAGGAAGAAGGAACGGGATGCCGGAGGGTTGAAGGAGGTCGATGGCAAGGAGGACTGGATGCCAGAGCGGGCTGTTATCGGGCGGGAGTGGAGGGAGGAAGGTTTAGTCCCACCTTCGCAGAGGAGGCGGACGAGGGATATAGGCGTAGGTACCAGCGCCAACGGAGAAGAACAAGACGGAAACGAAAACGCAAACGCAAACGGGCACGCTGACGACGAAATAAGCGTTATCGACATCGACATCGACGATAGCGAAACGGACGACACGTTCATACCAGGACACCGCTTCTTCCCCTGTTTCAGCGAGGACGTCCATTCGAACCCGTTACCCCACGTCGAGTATCTCAGCAAAGCCGAGTATGATTGGGATGCCGTTCTGGTTGACGAGCAGCGGATTATTGGGATGAGGGTGTGTTTTGGTTTTGTGGTTCTTTCATGGCTGTGATGCTGATGCGTTTTTTCTTTCTGTAGCACGATAGAGACCCGGGGAGTGTGAACGTTGATTCGATTGAAGTGTTATATTTTGGATGAAATACGAGCCGACCGTGTAGTCTGACCTGCTTCGACGGAAAAAATCAACATCAAGCACAGGCTCGAATAAAGAGTATGGTGAAGAAAAAATCCATTCAACAATAGTCTGTCTGTTTTCCACGTGTAGCAATGAGATTTAAGCAATAACGACTGTACCATAGATCGATAATATTAAGATTCTCCTCTCCTCCAACCTTTTTAAATCCCCACAAGACCAAGTCTCGATCCGTTTCCCGACGACCACCAAACTCGCACCTCTAGTAAAGCTTGCATTGCGTGAAAAACTTGTCCCGAGCATGGAGGACCATGAGGGAGCGCTTGTACGGGAAGTCGAAGACCTGTTCATCATCGTCGTTGGTACGAGTTGAGGGGCGGTGGCGAATGTCGATGGCGAGTATGGACAGTTGGAAGTGGACGATTGGCAGATGGCCATACACGACGACGACCGGAAACGAAGCAGAACACAAAAAATAACACGAATCAACACTCCCTCTCCACCTCCAAACCGAAATAAATAAAAGGCACGTACAAGAACCCGATGGAAATCAGCATTCTCAGCCACCTTGGCAATCGCTTTGTTCCTCGCATCCGGTTCGCCGAGGACGCGGTTCGTACGCGGGTCAGCGAGGAAGATGTAGTGGACTAGAGAGCGGAGCCAGAGTTCGGCTGTACAACAAAAGGGAAAAAAAGAAAAGGAAAACGTTAGCAGGGGTGTTCATACGACAAATACTAAATACTCACATCGCCCACCACCCAAAAACTTGCTCTCCCCCACCAACACATGCACACCCCGATCCCACTCCCCAGGCGGGTCACCAAACGGAAAGTACGGCGCAGCATGGTCTTCCTTGGTATAGTTGATCTCGATGTATCCCATCAGCTCGCCGTCCCAGCTGAACATACAGGGCAGGACGTGTGGGTCGGCAAGGACTTTTTGGATGTAGTCGCTGAAGGGGGGAAGGAAAGGGGATTAATATCGGTGTTTGGAATTGGTGTTTGGATGTTTGGTAAAGGGAAAGGGAAGGGGAAAATGAAAGAGGGAAGGACACTTACCGATGAGCCTCCAAACTCCCCTGCTCACCCCACGCACGATTAACACGCTCATCATTATGCCACCGGTGGAACGCAGCCATATGCCTCGACAGCCTCTCTTCCCCTCCACCAACACCTACACCCACACCCACACCCACACCCACACCAGCACCAGCAAGCCCTTCACTAACACCATCCAAATCAAAATACGCCAACTCGAGCATCTGGCCTACACCCGCACACCACCGCCTATAAAGCACCTCCCCAGGCCCCGGCTTGGGCGGCCTCAACGCATGCTTCGCAACCACGTTCTCCGCCCTCGTGAAACTGCTTATCTGGGGGAAGATGGCGCGAGGGGGGTTCGGGATCCAGGTGTGCTTGTGCCAGCCGACGGTGCCCGCGCCCTGCCAGAACGCGGCGCGGGAGAGGAAGAATGGAGTGTCGTTGAGGGTGTAGGTGGGTGTGAGTGGTTGAGTTATCTGTGGGGGTTGGGTGGACGCTGTCGTAGGTATCGTCATCGTGGTGGGGGAAGTGGACAGAGCGTGCGTATGTGCTTGACTAGGGGGTCGGGTTGGCGAAAGCGTCCTCTTCCTAGGGTACTGCCTCCCCAACCCCGACTCGACGAGATACCCCGCAATCTCCTGCCCATCCCCCTCCTCCAACGCATCCAACAAGACAGGGATATACTCCTGATCACTAAACAGGGTGAACATGGCATACACACCCGCCCAAAACTCTGCCACACCCAACCTCTTCCCTTCTTGATGCGCCAACGACCCGATAGGGTTAACAGTGACAAGTCTGTACTTGGGCACATGCGCCGTTCGACCCTCGAAAGGTGTACCGATAGCAGACAAATCGAAGCATGCCGTGCGGGAGTTGTCCACGGCGTACTCCATGAGGAGCGTACCGTCGAGCGAGAGGCGCGTCACTTCGACGGGGGCGGGGACGTATTCGCGGGTCACTTTTTCGCCGGTGGGGAGGACGACGACGAGGTAGGAGGGGGAGGAGGAGAGTTGGTTGGAGACGGCGGATAGGCGGGATGTTGCCGCTGCTGCTGCCACGGTGGTGGTGGATTGGGATGCCATTGGTGGTCTTTTTTGTCTGGGGAGACTGTAGGTAGTTGTTCGGGCGACAGTTCAGTTCGTTGGGACCCTATAATCGTCGAGGGGCTACACTCCGTCGGTTAACCACTCTGGTGAGAACACCCGATAAGAGGTGGGAAGTGGGAATGGAATGGGGCAGGGGAAGGGGAAGCGCCTTTTGTAATCTGATTAGATGTACCCTTGTGAACTTTATCAGATAAAATTTCGTCGGGCGTCCCACGCTTGTTATCAAATGCGTCGGGATCTATCGGATGTCATCGTCAAGCGGTGACGCGCGACCAAGGACGTACATACCTACTGCCACAATGGACCATCGTTTTTGCTGTATGCGTAGGCCTGAAAGCACTGACTGAAGAGAGACTTGCATGAAAAAAGAGTGGAAATAGTCAGACCAAAGAACTCACAAATATAAATGACTTACACATCAATCTTCTACCAAGCAACCGGCCACTGCCAGGGCTCTCGAATTCTTCCACAGAACACCCGATTCCCGAATTCCTGGGTTCACTCGGCACTGACAATGACATGGGCATTCCAATTGGCGTGAAATTCGTGTGTACAGAACGTGTCCAGGCCTGGCGTTTGGTGATGGTGGTGGATTCGGCCCAGTGGGTCGACAAGTAAAAGTAATTTAGACCTAGGAACCGGGGTTATAGTTGCGTCTAAAGTGGTAAACCTAGGGACCGGATGGTCAGTGTATAATCATGTCGTCGTAACTAACCGATACGGAGACACCAGGAATAGCTTCAACTCCTCCAACTGCCACTGGACTCATGAACATGTAATCGTAACCTCGCCCCGCCCCACTAAGTGCCTTTTGAACGGTCAGTCTCCCATAGTCAGACCCAAGAATACGTGACAATCATATAACCCCAAAGGTATATCCCACTCCAGGGAAACACGATGTATACCATGCACATCGAGCGTCGTCCCTTCGAAAGTCGTAGGATACCAACTTGGTGCCAGTAGGCGCGCAGACACATACACCCCCTTCAACAAGCAGGGATCCCAACGGTCAACACCAACTCCTTCCGAAACTCCTTCCATACATAAGAAAGAAATGATAGGGTAGTTAGTACTCGCCGAATGCACCACTGAGTAAGAGTGAAGAGTACGGGCCCATTCTACCGGAAAGGTAAAACAGTGCACAGACGCCCATTCCAAATTTCCGAACGAAGTCCAAGGCAACCGAAGGACGATAATCGATATTGATTGGCATTCGCGAATTGAAGTAAAGGAAGGGCCCTAGGGTGTAGTATAGAACAGAGGTCGGTTATAGGACACCGGTAGCAGCAGGCCTGGAAGCGTCCTCGTCCCGCCCTGGAAGAGTAATGGTGTCAGCATCCATGTATCCCTAGACGAACACCCCAGCAGCAACTCGGAGACCCCAGACCACGCCTTTGCACTCCCTCTCGAGGTCATTCAAATCCAACCCCACTTCGCTCAAGGCAAACACCCGCCCAACCAACTCAAAATTCCAACACCCAAAACCGCCCGGCCCTCACCGTCACCCAACCCGCGCTCCAAAAAAAACCCACCCAAAAGATTCAAAATTCAACAAAACCCAAAACTCACCCTCATAAAACTTCTGCAAAAACGTCCTCTGCGGCCTCTCCTCCGTATTCAACAGCAAGCCCATAACATGATCCGTCTGGTTCCAGCAGTTCATCGTCTCCTGGTAATCCTGGCGGGACTTGAGGATCAAAACATCAATGGCGCGGGGGTCGGTGAGGTAGCGGTTTTTCTCGAATTTTTGGCGGATGGCGTGGCGGACGTAGGCGGGGGAGACGCTGAGGGCGTAGAGGGCGCAGATTTCGGGGGCCTGTGTGCGTGCGAGTGAGGGTGGGTGCAGGTGGAGGTGGGCAGACAAGTGGACGTGGAGAGGTGCAAGGGTACGGTCAGCCCAACGCTCTAAGACCAATAACAACAACAACCCACCGAACGATACCAGTCCCTGTACAACTCCAAAACCTTCCTCCTAGCCTCAGCAGGGCTCGACGAAACACCCGTCGAGCGGGCTAGTCGCGCGGGAATAGTGAATGCCCTCGTCATCCTTGGTTTCTGGTAAAGAGTGTCGGTGTGTCGGTGCTGGCTACTAGCGTCGGCGTCGACGTCGATGTATACGTTCACTCCCCAATTGGCCGAGTTCAAACGACGCTTGGTGGCCGACACCGGAACAATACATTCCAAACTCCGCTTTTACGGCAGAGAGTGGTGGTGCATCCTCTCCATTCATCTTTATCTTATCATCGTCCACAACTACACCATTCACAATGGCTCGAGGATCAGGTACACATTCTCTCCCCCCTCAAAACATTTCTTACAACCTTACTGATTCTCTCGATTGGTGATATTTAGGCAAGTTCAAGCACAAACGAGGAGGCGGACGAAACTTTAGGTTCGTTCATTGTAAATCATGGACATGCATACATCCCTCCTCCTTCCCTTATCCTCTATGCCATTGGGCTGAGGGCGTACGACGAAATTGAAAAGGGTTGGCTTGACTGACCACCCTCACTCGGATACAGCAAGAACCTTATGCATGTAGACCCTAACGCTGAGTCGTTCGGGGATCGAAGCGCATACCGGTGCGTCCAGCCTTTTCATCAAGAAAGGGAGAGCAGATGTGCTAATCGTGGCTTGTGTGCACTCCCTACCCGTTTACTCGTTATCTTCACCTCCTCCCTCCCATCCACACCACCCCCTCCAGCTCCCGCAGAGCCCAAGACGACGACGACGACGACTCCGAAGAAGACTCTGAGGAAGACTCTGAGGACGGCTCTGAAGAAGGCTCCTCGGAAGAAGAAGAGGAAGAAGATCAGCCCCAACTCACCCGCGCAGAACGTAAAGAGCTCAAGAAGAAACAAGCTCTAGAGAAGGCCAAGGGCAAAACCAAAGCCACCGGCAGCGGCGACGACGACGACGAAGACGAGGATGATTCAGACCTGATCAACCCCAACCACGTCCAGAAGAAGATGACGATCTCTGATTTGAATGCGCCGAGGGAGTTGTCGAGGAGGGAGAGGTGCGTCGAATTCTACTTGGTTCCCGCTACCTTTCCCTCCATATGCATCTACTAACCGACACGCTGGTTGCAGGGAACAAAAAGAGAAGCAAGAAGCTAAAGATCGGTATTGGAAGGTGCGTCTCTGTTCCTCTCCCTCCTCTCCCAAAACCATCCTTACTAACTCCTCTCTCCCTCCCCTCCCCACAACCCACAAATCAACCCACAACCTGACGCAACCCACACCTCCCCACAACGCAACCCACAAACAAACAAAACAGCTCCACGTCCAAGGCAAAACAGCAGAAGCCAAAGCAGACCTCGCCCGCCTCGCCAAGATCCGTGCAGAACGTGAAGCAGCGCAGGCAAAGAGGAAGGCTGAAGAGGAGGGTGAGTGTGCATTTTTTTTCTTTTTTTCTCCATGGTTTAGCTTTCCTTGGGGGGATATGTACGACCTGGGGTATTTGGAAATTGGTGACTCGTTTGTGGGGGCTTCCGATTTGTGTGTGTGTGTGGTTTTGCGGGGTTCTTCGAGCGGTTTCTCTTCGCTTTCCGGGCACTACGTTTCCCTTATTCCCCATCCACACACCGCATCCTCTTACCTCATCTCTCAATCTGCATTCCCTTATCCCCATCTCCCGCTCTAAACTCACACTCCCAAACTCACCCTTCCCCTCTCCCCTCTCAGCCCGCAAAGCAGAAATAGAAGCCAAACGACAAGCCCAACTCGAGAAACTCAAGAAGAAGATCTAAGAATTTAAGATTTTCAGGAGCCCGCTGCTTTCCGCTTGAATCCGCTTCGCGATTCGTCCACTGGTCAAAGTATGTATACCGACCGACCGACCGCGTGTTGTATAATAATTAAGTAATCTCGATTCATATAACATATGGAGGTTGGAGGGTTCACTACTACGTGATAGTGCTACATTTACTACGCAAGTACTTGAATCATCGATACTCCAGAGAGCTCGACGCAGCACCACCACCACATTTACACTGTACACCTCTCCCTAGGCTTTATTTTCTTGAGACTTCACTACCAACTCCAAATGCCTCTCCGACCGCGGCACGACATCGCATTCGAAGGGAAGCGGGTTCCTAAAACCAAAAACCAACGGTCATGAGCGCAACGAGCGAAGGGAACGATGAAGAGGATGTGTTTATCGAGCATGATGAGAAGACAAATCATAGAGAAACACAAGGTTGGAAGACATCCATCGAGAAACACAGGAGAGAAAACAATATCTAGGAGCAGAGAACAAGAAATCCAAAGAAAGACACCCACGAAATGAACGCAGAAGTAACCTCATACTTGAGCGGTTTTGGGTTCCCATCATCATCAAGCGCCGGCTGGACATTAAAACACGCCAAAAGACGAGCCGTGAGGAGCGTGAATGTGTCGGTGCTCAGTTGTCGGCCGGGGCAGATTCTAGAAAGCAGTAGTTGTATGATGTATGAGTAGTAGCAGATAAGCGGTCACGATGCAATAGATTAGCAGTGTGGAAAGGAGAGTACTAATCAGAAACTGAAAGAATCAAAGCTCACCTACGCCCATACCCAAACGCAGCAATCTCAGGGTCCGGAACACCCTGATCAATCTTCCCATCCTGCGTCAAGAACCTCTCGGGTTTAAACTCGAACGGATCCGGGTAGATATTGGGATCATGAAGTACTGCCCTACATACCGTAAATCATGGTGAACATCATCGCGGGAGGCGGGAGAGGTACGCATGTCAGGGGGAGGAGGCTTACCATGTGTTCGGTAAAACGACAGTCTTAGCCGGGATAAAGTACCCATTGAAGACGTCGTCTTTGGTAGATAAATGCGGGAGACCTAAATTTCAATACGACGTTAGGTACTCTCAGCAATTCCCGAGCCTTTGAAACACCAGACAGAAAAATAGAGAATAGAAAATAGATATCGAAGAGGGGAAAGAAAGACGTACTCATAGGCGCCGAGGTATGCCACCGGCTCACTTCCTTAACTATAGCTTGCACATACGGTAAATCCCCCAAATCCGAAAACGCAGGCAAGCGCTGCGAGCCTACGGCCGCATCGATCTCCGCTTGAGCTTTGCTCTGCACTTGGGGGTGCATCGCTAGTGCGAGGGCGAGGGCGAATGCGGAGCTTGCGGTCTGAGAAAGGGTATAGGAGTAGGAAGGGGTTCGTTAGCCCTTGGAAACGAATCAACCTATTAGGCAGCCGTCTTACCGTGTCAGCTCCAGCTGAGGTAAATGCCCATGTGTGCCACGAGTCAGAATTTTAAACTTTTGCTTTACTCTGTGGACAACTGACCAGTATAAGCCTGCCCCGCGACATCTCGAGCGAGCGCTTCTTGATACTCACGATCCGGATCACCCTCATCCGGAAGTTCCTGAATAGCCTGAGTAGCAAGGCTGATACCATGCTCCGCCGAGCCCACTCTTCCTCCTGTTTTCTGTAAACAAACCCCCAAGTCAAACCTCACTCCAAAAGTCCCCACATTAACAAAATCTATTTTACTCACCGCAACTCTCGCCTTTGCATCCTCAAAAGGCTTATTATGCAGCATATCGGTCATGTCCGCCAACTGCTCCAACTTCGCCTTCCAACTCGCCCCCGGGAACCAGGAGGGTATAAAACGCAAAAGCGGGATGGTGTTGACCAGTAAACGGCCTGGAGAGGAATACTCCAGGAAACCGAGTACGACAGAATCCGCTGCATGGATTAGGTTCTTGTTGTATGTCGCGTCTGCTTCGCCGTATGCGAGGCGCATTATAATGATTCCTAGGCACCTGCATTCAGATGAGCATACAATTTATTTGTAAATTGTGTAAGAAACCAAAGGCACTCACGTTCTGACTTGCTCCCTAAACTCCCTGGGTTTATCGACAAGCTTCCGCAAGAACCCCAGTGTCTCTTCTTCAATCACTGAATGGTGGTTCTCCGTCCGGTAAAAGAAACGGTGGAAGAGACGACGTCTGTTTCTCCACTCCTGGCCATAATTCATGAGAGAGAAACTCCATCCTGTTCGCATGCTAATATTCGGTTGGATTTTCGAATTAGTGGGACTCGAAAACAAGTCCTAGTATGGAAAGTAGAGGACTACCTACAGTTCAGTAACGGGACTCCATGTCCGGTCTGAATAATTCGTAGCCCGTTTCACGAACAGCTGTTCGATCAAGTCGAGGGAGTTGAGCACCAGTATGCCTTTTCCCATCGCCTCAAGGTAGATCATATCGCCTAGTAGATGAAGGCTCAGCAACGCCTTCGATGAATCATACGAAGGGAAAAAAAATAGACACTCGCCATGCTCCTTCTTCCAGTCATGATACACCAACCAAGGATGCTCAACCGGAATCTGCAAAAGGTTCCCGATGATGGGTAGACCCTTGGGTCCAGGAGGGAGCGGAAGATCCTTCCTCCTTTTGAGACTCTGTCGCCGTTTGTTAAGAATCCAGAGCACCGCAGTCGCACAGAGCGTCCAGAAAACCGCAACGCCAGTCGACCATGGTTGCATGGCCGCCTCAAAAGCGCTGGAGATACGCGGAGCCGTTACGAAGTCGCAGAAATGGTATATCGAATTCGAAGACATAGAGGAACAGCAGAAATAAACAGCATTTCAGGTACTCGGAAGCCCACTTATATATGTACCCAAGTACCATGACTCGTCCACGACTAGGTCGGAATAAGTGGTGTCCTGACATGGCCGTTTGGAGTGAGAGCAGATGATACTCATCACAAGTTTGAGGCAGAACCAGTTGCTGACTCCTTTTGCAAGGAGGCGAGGGGCTTCTATGCGCTTCTGCCGTGCTGCCACCGTGACTGAACATACGCGACAAAAGAGTTTACATCCTCCATCCGACCAGCTCGCAGATCTCCTAGAGATCTGCCGCCTGGCAGCACCGAGTTCCTGTCGGTGAGAGATAATGGAAGGCTGGAGAACTGTGGAAGAAATGACGTGGCCTTGGGTGTTTTGGAGATGGATGGTTTTTCGGGTTACTTGGATGGGCAGCTGGGGGAGCTGCGCCTTGGACACAGTCGCAGGAGGGCAAAGAGCCAAGTCGACAGACGATCAGAACGGACCGTCCGGCATCCGTCGCGAGCCGCATCCTGCCGCATCAGGGTATGTCATGAGATTCCCACACGGCATGATAGGCGCCAGTAACTCGCTCGTCCCGGTCACAGATGCTTAGCAAGGAACATTGCTCAGGTGTCAATACGATTAGTATATCGAGAGTGTCGTGACCTATTTCAATGCCGCAGGTCTGTAACGTATTCCTAAGATATCGAACGATTATACCGGTCCAATCGCAGTATTACGGCTTTTACTTCTGAGGAGTCAGGAAGGGTGAAAATCCCCATAGTACACGTTTTTGTGGGGATACATACTACTGGTGTGTGCGACGCCGGTCCCAGGTAATAGCATCGGAGGTCATTTGAAAACTCGGTTTAGCAGAGTGAGACTGGCAAGTCCCTTAATTGTCGCGCACAACACAGAATTACTGGTGAAATACAGTAGTAACCCCCCGCTTACACCTCTCCTTCAATACCAAGAGCTATCGGTAACACCTCCTCGCACTTTCCCAAGAACAAGAAATCCGCCAAATCATCCTTCGGTGATGCATCATAATTAAAAATCGCCACCTTTCCACCCCGATCCTTCACAGTCTTCAAGAATCCAGCTGCAGGATGAACGAGACACGAAGTCCCAACAACGATCAACATATCCGTCCAGCTGAGGTGCCGCGCAATGTCGCCCAGGCCTTCCGGAATCTCGCCAAACCAAACAACGGAAGGTCGAAGAGGACCTCCGCAACGCCCGTAGCGGTTGGAGCCATTCCAAGAAGGGCCACCGCATCGAGGTAGGTCGTCTTTCGACACGGTAGCCGAAGGATTGGTTCCCTCTAGACGCGCAGTGGCGGGTGAATTAGCATCTTTGGGATAGCGACCAGGCGCGAGATGACTGTCCGTCGAGGTGGAGACGTGCTTGCACTGAAGACATTTTTGGCGGAAGATGTTGCCGTGCATCTCAACGAGTCGTTCCTTCGCTTTCTCCATCTCACCCGAAGAGATTTTGTCCTTGAACTCGTCGAGGGTTCGAGGTGAGAGGCTGTCCATGTTTTGAGTGATGAAGAGCGGTGGGGAATCGGGATCTTTGAGGCCCGGCAGGACTTTCGCTCGTACACTTGGAACGACTAAAGAGGCGAGCGCTCTGTGTGCCGCATTTGGAGTTGCGTCTAAGCATCTGGGTTCAGGGAGCCCGTATCGGTGACAATGTATTCAAGCGAAGATAAAGACGAAGAACCCACAGCTGTCTCATCATATGGTGAAATTGCCAACAAGTAACAGGATCCTTTTCGAAACCTTCGACAGTGGCGAGCTTATCATGATCCATGTTCTTCCAGATCGCGTCTGGGCCTCCACGGTAGGTTGGGATCCCGGATCCAGCAGAAAGCCCAGCACCAGCAAGGATGGCGACTTGTTTCGAGGATGCTAGAGCCGCTCTGAACGCGTCGATGTCGGAGGACGGGGACATGATTCGTGTATATGGTTGCTGTTAAGCTCAGCGTTCAGTGGGAAGAACCTGAGATTGATCGGAAAACAACAGTGGAATGATTGGGCGCCCACTGACAAGAGACAACGAGTTGCGCCCTGACCACAGTCGCAGGAGGCAAAAACAACGAACCGCCCGTCCGGCATCCGTCGTGAGCCGTATCCTGCCGCAGGGTATACCATGTCCAATTCCCACGGCGCCATGATAGGCGCCAAGCGAAACCTAAGTAGATCGTTCAATGTACATACATCCCTTGCTGGATCTCCAGAAATCAGTGCCATAGTGTCGACAATTTATATGGTAGACGGCCTCCAGATCGCCTACTCTAGGAGCAGGAGCAGCACTGGTTTTAGGGTTTCGCCAATTCGATGCTTGAAGACGTTCAGAAGATCGCGTAGACTGCCGTGATTCTTGTCTTCGAGATGGAAATTCTCCTTATCCAGCCTCAGGAGACAACACAAAGAAAAGCGTAAGAGCGAGGAAACATGGCGAGGTAGGAGAGATACCATACGCAGAGAATAGCATCGGAGTGAGAAGAGGAGTAGATCCAGGGGACACAGGACACAGGTTGCAGAAGCAAGGACGCGATCTTGATTGTTAAATGCGGATTGGGCAATGGAAAATGCAATGTCAAAAAAGGGGACAGAAGAAAAGTACGTGCATTCAAAAGGAGCTTCATTCGTAAGGTATAGTACTACCAGAGATCTAATCAACCTCCAACACCGTTCCGCGTTGTACACTTCCCCATCCTGCAGATTCATGGCATCAGCACCATGAACTGTCCAGACCCAAAACAAACAAAACAAGATAAAAGGGTACTCACCAACAAGTCGCCAATGCTTCTCAATCCTCCTCGAAAGTGCAACCTTCTCACCAACCTCCGTGCACGCCGGCGACGTCAACTGAATCTTGGCCAAATCAGCTTTAACGCTCAAAACCCTTCCTCCAGTCGAAGTCGAGCCAATGTTGATAAGCAAGAGCTCGTTTTTGACGAGTTTGGTGACTTTGGTGGTTTTTTTGTCTTCGGATTTGACACCAAGGAGACGGCGGAGAAGGAACAGGCTGATTTCGAGTTCTATGAAAGGCGGTGTGTTATAATTTGTCTTACGAAGGAGTCAAGAGAGATTGAACGCACCGGTGTAAATCTTGGGAAGCTTGCCAACTGCACCCAAAACCTGACCGACCAACCGATCAGCTCTGCAAAGCGTAGGATCGATCCTCGTTCCAACACCAATCAACCCTCCAGGAACCGCAAACTGCAAAAGGTTCTTCTCCGCATGCAAACTCATAATCCTGCTGAAGATAGGTTTGCATCTATTCCTTCCCTGGCTATCCTTGGTCACAATACCAGGTCGGATCTCCACTTCTTGTCCTAGCCGGAGCACACCCCGCAGAATCGAACCACCGGCTACACCTCCCTGCAACTCATCCACTTCCGCACCGGGCTTGTTGACGTCGAAGGAACGGATAACAATCAACCTCGGATCCGAAGTAAAGTCGCGCACAGGAATCGGGATATTCTTCACGATATACTCGTTCACCGCGTCGATGTTGTACTTGAGCTGGGCCGAGATGGGGACGATGGGCGAGTTCTCCGCAACAGTACCCTTGACGAACGCAGAGATGCTCTTCTGGTGCTCGAGAGCCTGCGGCTCCTTGATCAGATCGACCTTGTTCTGGAGGATGATGATGTGCTCGAGCTTCATGATCTCGACGGCGGCAAGATGCTCCGAGGTTTGGGGCTGTGGGCAGGTTTCGTTGCCGGCGACGAGTAGGAGGGCTGCGTCCATGACCGCTGCACCGTTCAACATGGTAGCCATCAGAATGTCGTGTCCTGGGCAGTCGACGAAGGAGACGTGGCGGAGGAGCTTCATGCGGTGTCCACATCCGGGTCGTTCGCAAGGCGGGTGCTCTTCCTTGTCGGACGGGTAGGAACGGTAGCAGCCTGGTCTTGGGCAAGCATCATTTTCGCACTTGTAGATCTGTAAACGGGTCGGTTAGTTTGGGATAAACAGGTTTGGAAAAGGAAAGATATCGCACTTTGGCGTTAGCGTAACCGAGCTTGATGGTGATGTTACGAACGAGCTCGTTCTTGAATCGAACGGTCGTTACACCAGAGATGGCTTTCACAACAGTCGACTTTCCGTGAGCGACGTGTCCGATCGTGCCTATTCACCCCATTCCAAAGTTTTTATCGAAATCAGCGTCCTGATATCTCTCCAAATACAAGATCAAAAACCAAGCAACGCACCGATGTTCACTGTAGCCTTCACGTTTCAAAATCAACGCCCGAAAGACATAGTAAATGGACGTTCAATCAGTTCGGTTTCGTCGATTGAAGGCGAGAAGGCGAGAAAAGGAACGAGAACACACCTGTTTTGAGATGACCTCTGGAGACAAGGGATGCAATTTGGAGATATCGACATCGACGGTGGGGATAACCTCCTCCTCTTCAATCTCCTCCTCCTCAGAATCAGACTCATCCTGCACTCTCTTCTGAAGCGTCTCGTCGCCCGACATCTTTCTTATCTTTCTCTAAAAGATCCTTCTTCCCGTTCTTGAGTTTCGTTCCTTGATCGTCTTTCGCGCAACTGCTGTATGTGCGCTAGTCTGCTAAAAATTCGAAGCTGGGGACAAGCGAGGGCAGAACGTGCTTGTTCTCTGGATCAAGATTCAAAGCTTGTTTTGAACCTTTTTATTGTAATTTGATTACGACGCGGGTGAGTCAACCCTCAAATCGCCCTTGTTTGGCTCCTTGTTTGCCTAGACCTTCTGCGGCTCTGCCCCTTTTTGACTCCGGGTCGGTCAGTTTCCTCTTTGGGAGGTCCGGGTCCGTCGGGTGCTTGTTTTGGAAGGTGGCGGCGGGGGTCGAGCCAGCCTTTGGACGGGTGCAATGCAAAACGTACGGTGGGTTGACGGTGGGTAGGAATGGGATGGAACGCACTGTCTATGGAAGCGTAAGTCAGCGAGACAAAGTGGCCCGTAATATATACAAAATCGCTTAAACGAGTGTGGCGGTGATCACGGTTCAACGCTATCCACTGGACGGGGAACTGGAATTGTCCGCTCGAAACCCGCAAACGACCCACACATAAGTAGCAGCTGCGACTGACGCAAAGGAATACTCGTCACGGCAACCCCACGACAGCCTGCCCCTCTTCCGGCCTAGTCAAAACAGCTCCAACCTAACGACGTCATTAGGCACTTCCCCCCACGCATATTAAGCTCGCAGAAAACCTTAATGTGACTCTCGGTTGCTCTCGTAGCCTTTGAAAACTCACATTCGATGACTTACTACAGCGACGGTAAGAGCCTCCAATCCACGATAACTAGTCGAAGTAAATAACACAATATTCCAACAGGCAAAGAACCTGATCCACGCTTCCCTGTAGGCACACAATCTGGGCTTCCCCCATCTCCAAGCAGGGAGAACCCAGGCCAAGTGAGAATCTTCTCTACGGAGTGCTGCTTGATGAACGAGGCTAACAAAGGGGATGTCGTTAGGTATTTCCATCGAATGACCCAGATAAATTGAAGGACCGGGAGGGTGCAAGGCCTTTAGTTGGATCGGGGAAGAGGAGAACTGCTGGCGTTGTCACCTCAACGGCTCAACCAGAGGGAAGCAGCGTCGAAGATAAAGTTACCACGCAGGAAGGAGGAATGTTTACGGATTAAGCGCCTACAGTGTTTCTGTTACTGTACGCCGAGAGAATGCAGCTGAGATTTGAATTAAAATCTATATAAAGTAGTGTATGGGAAGAAAGAAATTGTCATAACGAAAGAAAATGCTGGTAATGAGAAAATGTTGTAAAAGTCATGCTTGGATGCCGTAGTCTACTTGTGAGAATGCAAAAGGACAAAAGAAGGGACAGGCGCAAAATACGGTTCAACTGGAAATGGTGCCTAAAACCCCTCGAGGCAAACCGTGAAAACACCAACACCGAGGGCCAGCCCAAACACGCGATGCATGGCGAGGTAACTACACCGGTCGAGAATCCCTAGGACAAACTCGTGATCCCTACACACTCAACCTCCCACCGATCGACCGTGCACGCATCGCAGACGGATTAGGTCCATGCATCGACACCTTGCCTGTACAAAAAATCCCAAACCGCCTCGGAATACGTCGAATTATCCGATACGACACGTCCCCCTCATTCCCATCGTCACCCTCAGCCCACCCGTCCGAATTGTCACGATCAAAGTGATCATCATCATCATCCTCTTCACCCTCCAACTCCCTCGACGAAAGAAGTGAAAGAGGAGGGGGAGTAGGTTTCCAAGAAAGTTTCGTCCCAGAGGACATCGTCAATCGGCGGCGTTTAGCCGTCCCCCTCGACTTGCCCATGTTCTTCTCCCAGTCACTGCCAAAGACGGACCCGCTTTCAGCCCGACTCGACCAAACCCGTTTAGGCTTTTTCCTAACGAGTATATCGGTCGACTTGAGTGTCTTTCTAGGACACGGCGGGAAGGCATCAGGAGCTAATTATGTGCCCGAAAGAAAAGAAAAACAAGGTCAATAAACCAGTTCGGAAAGAGTATAGCAAAAGGTTTGGAAACGTGTCCGGCGGGGTTGACATCCCCCGACCGCGTCACCCGTGAACTAAGCGCCGAGGGAAGGACCAAAAAAGGATGACTCACGGGGCATGCATTGCACAGGCGGCTGTGCCAGCAGTAACGGAGACATCGAGGCTAGAGCAGGTGAGGCTGCGGACATGCCAGCAGTCGAGGTCGCGTGGGGTGTCGAAGGGGGCCGCACACCGCCTTGCGGCACATCCCCTTTTCCTTCCCCCGCCCTGCGTATCAGGAACCGGGGAGTCGAAAGTGGCATGACAACACGCCTAACTCGGTCTATAAGATTATATACAGCAAAGCGCGTGGCAGGTAATGAGTGCCCATTGCAACAGTGAAAATTCGTTTCGGGAGGATATTTACCTTGCAAATGGGTGGGGACGTCGTCCCGCCTTTGCTGAAGCTTCTTTAGGATATCCAGGTAGGCCGCTTTGAAAGCGACGGCTGGGGCGGGACACCGACTCCAGGATTGCACAGCAATCCCCTGGTTAACAAGTGTCCTTCGAGCCAGCTATATAGTATATACGTATCGTTAGTAAACCATACCATCTACCACCCGTTGTCATAACCGCAAAAGAACCACTAACCTCTACCAAAGCGATAATCTACCACAAAACAAGTAACTTATAAGTCATCCCATCCCTTTAAAACTCCAACAGGAGACTAAATGGAACCCACCTTTCTACAGTATCGAATAAATTCATCAAAGTCGAGTGAGAGTAAATAGATAAGCGTTTGTGTAGCGCAGAGAAAGTCTTTGCGTAGGGGAGGCCCGAGTTTGATTGCGAGACCAACCCAATCAATGGTGGCAGGATCGATGTTGGGTCTGGATGGCGCAGTGAAAGCCACAGGTACCACCCGCCTCATTCTTGGAGGCACTAGCGAATCACACAGACCCTGCTTTATACTTAACAGCGAAGACTGCTGCAAAACCATGGGCGAGAAAGAGAAGAAAGCGCGAGGTGGCGGAGTAACGGGAGAAAGAGGAGATAGGATGGTTAGGTTAGGAAAGAGGGAGACGAAGCGACGGGTCAAGCCTGTGGCTAAACGGTCCGGCAATTTATGATGTCCTTTGTTTAGAGTCATTCAAGGCGCTCAATGAAAGCTATGTAGCTCCTACTTGTTTTAAAAAAGCTATGAGGCATTTTCTTACAGGTCACTCCCTTTCTCTAGATTTATTACCGCGAATTTGCCCAGTTTTGAGAGCCTTTCTTGCACGATGGAGTTGGATCGGAGTCCAAAAGTGGTCCATGGCCCGATTCGTGGGAAACCTTTGATCCAAGGAAATGGTTCCGGAAACGCGTGATCGACGTCAATGTCAAAAGTCCAGTTCACCCTTTCAGCCTCTTCTATCGTCCTTCAATCGCCCAAAACTAAATTTCAAAACCTTTACAAAAAGACCATACACAAAAACAAAGCACTACATCAACAATTGAAGTCGAAAATTTAAACCGAAACAAAGAAAATAACAGTCTATAGTAACAGCACGGAGGAAGCGCCAATAAAAAGAGATGGCTGGGCAACGAAGGCGAAGATGGTGCAATGAAAATGTCAAAGCAAAGGGAACAGACTCAGTCTGCTCATTCAGAGTATCCAGCCAGTACTTTCTGGAGTACTTCAGGCTCCAAAGCCCTGAGCCTCAAGCATCTTTGGAACAACTTCTTATCAACTTCGAAATTGACACGACTGGCCATGTGTTGTCCTGCCACAAGAGACTTGATAACAGCCGCGATCTTCCGTTGTTTATGGACATTAACGAGAGGCTCAAGCTGCATGGTAGGCGGTAATGGGGCGAGAGCGTCGAACACTTCAGGATGCGCAGGAGGGTTGAAATCTCCAGTGATAGGATTCATCGCAACGATCTCATTGGGTGAAGTGGGATCGATGAGGTCAGGGAGCCGTTTCAAACGGTAAAGCTGCGCGAGGTAAACACCTGCAAAATATTAATTAGCCATGTTATCGAAACAGACTGAGTCAAGGAACTCACCAATGAAGGGCACGCAAGCTGTAGGAACAGGGGGCTTGGAATCGGTACCGGACCTGCTTCGCGTCTGCTGACCTTCCGTTCCGGTGCTTCCGCTGATAATAGACGATGCATGGGAACTGGATTCCATGGGTTTGGCGTCCACGATGGACTCGACAGCACGGCGAATGTGCGCGAACCCATCGGCGCTACTCACGAAAGTCTTCAAGTTCCGGAACACCCGGGTCTCAAAGGTTCCAACCTTGCTCCACGAAACCTTGCGCATGACTTTGTTGACCCAGTCACTTTGCAAGCCGGTAATGATGGCAACAAGAGAATTGAAGTTGCTCAACTCGTAGGATTTCTGAAGAGCGAAAACAACATCAGTTGATCATTCCCAAAGAGAAAAAAGAAAATGACACGAACCCAAGCAACTCGGATAAACTTAGAGACCACCGTATGCCGTTGAGAGGGAGGCGTAAGGACAACCTCGGAGGCGACAAAGTTGGCGATCAAGTTGAACCTCGCCCTTACAGCCGCCAACGCCGTCGTCTTGTCCGCATTCCGGTGCTCAGCCTTCCACCTCGCCCGGTCCTTCAAATACTGCGACCAGTCATAAACATCGACCTCATTCGTCGCCATCCACTCCTCCGTCACCAGCTCCTCAAACTTCACACCCATGAACAACTCCCTATCGATCATCGCAAACTGTTCCGCAATTACGGGCGCTCGGAAGCTTAAAATGAACGACTGGTGGATCTGCAGCGTTTCGTTATTGGGCAAACTTCCGATAGGCTTCATGATCGAGGGATTGGATGCCGAAGCTTGAATTTCCACAGGTGCCGCCGTCACTCGACTTTGAAGGATTTCGATCGGTACAGCATCTTCTACCGCAGGGGAACGAGTCGCAGAACCCGTATCGGACGACGACGATGACGACGAAACTGCAGGAACGCCCAATGTCGACGATCCATTCATCTGGGTGCCCAAACCTTCAAGTCCAGGAGGATTGGAATACAGCGCGATATCCTGTTGACTCGCCGAATCATCCTCATAACCGTCGCCGCCGGCCCGGCGGGCATTGGCCTCCACTTCATCCGCCGAATCCTCCTCATCAGAATCCACAGGGAACCTGTAGTCTTCGTCCTCATAGTCGCCAGTAGCCATCCGCTTCTGGATCTGCTTCACCCATCCATCCACCTTGGTCCTATTCTCTTGAATCTTCTCGGGGTTGATCTGTCCTTCCAACCGCCTGAGAGCATCCGCCACGTCACCATCCTCCTCGTCGTTGCTCAACAAGTCCAAAAGAGCATTTAACTGCCACGTCTGGATGGGACCTCCGATAGCTCCGCCAGAAGCAGCCGATGCCACAGAGTCGCGTGTTGAAACGATACCCATAGACGACACCTCCGAACGACGGGGTAGGAACTCAAAGTCCTTCCGCTGCGGCAGCTTGCGGGGTTGCTTCCTCAGTCCGGGAGGTACAGAGGGTCCCCCCACATGCCAATCCGAAGAGGTATCCGACAAGTCGAGGTCGTCGATAGAAACAATGTCGAACGCCCATGGCCCATTCGCCTTGGCAAATGTCGGTTTGATGCTTCCATTCCCATCCAATATCTCTCCGAAAGACCCAGTCGACGACGCATAGGAACGGATTGACGGGGCTATCACCTCTCCATAGGATCCGGTCGACGATGCAAAAGATCTAATGGAAGGCGCCTTGTTGCTGGATTGAGAATTTTGGAGGGTAAGGGAAGACTGGAACGACTGGTAGTCATCGAGTTCGGGAGGAGGGGTTGGGAGGGAGGGGTTAACGTTGGAATAATCTGGCGGACTGTCGTGTAATGTCGGTTTCTCTGGTGTCGCCTCAGGTTCCGAGCCTGACTCCGCTCGAGGGAGAGATGCTTGCGTGGGCGTTGTCGGCGTCATTGGGTGCTGAAGGGGGGATAGTGGCGCGATGACGGGAAGACCGGGAGGTGCGGGGATCGCAGTGGCTGGAGGCGACGATGGTACAGCATCTTGCGCAATCGACGATGTGTTCACGGATTGGAGGACGCTGGGTGCACTGGGAAGCGGAGAGGGTGTGGAATCTGGAGATAGTGGAAGTGGAGCTGGTGGTGGCCTAGCGGACAGGTATCCATTCGTATTGCCATCGACGTCAAAGGCGCCAAGATTCACCCCAGTTCGGGTATTTGAACGTGAGTGGAGAACACGCTTCAATCTCCCCAGGCGACCGATGGTCTTGACGAAGGCGCGGGACAATGCTCCTTGATGAGTTGGAAGGGGGACCGGTGCCGGATGCGAAGAGTCCCCTTCCGACCCTGCCGTACTCGGGTTCGGGTCAATTCTCTGGAGGATGTTGAAGGAAGATACCGGTAGTGAGGATGTTGGGCGAGTAGGCGACAAGACAGCACCCGTTTGCGCCGCTGCCAAATGTGCATTGGCGGGATCCTTTGGAGGCGTGTCAGAGACCGCATCGGCAACCTCCTCTGGGATGAAGTCCAAGTCAACATCCGAATCATCTTCATCTTTCAATACAGCTTCAGCAAATTTCTGTCCCAAAACGTGGTTCTTAACCTTTTCGGATTTGGGCGGCGACTTTGGTTTCTCAACAGGTGTCGTCCCAGTGGTTCTGATGTGCGCTTGCTTGCACTCCTTGGCTACCTTGGCAAGGCGACGAACGATACCCTAAAGGTATATATGTTAGGGGGAGATGAAACCAAGTGGACATCAAGTTGGACTCACCAGTCCATCCGAATGCTGCTTGAGCAAAGGATCGTGAATCAAGGTGTTCAGCCAATTGGAGATCAAGACACGCAGTTCTCGATTTGGGATGAAGTCGACGGTGAAGAACGTCACCAACCAATAGCGGATGGCAACGAACGTTCGGACACGCACGACCTGTCGGACCTTGGCATCCTGCGGATTCTTGGGTTGCTGCAACGCCCAATGGAACCTAGAAATGAGGAGATGGCCCAGGTCAACAGCACTGATGTACGTCCTGTACGTCAGGAAGAAGTCCAAGAGTTCATCATAGTTCAGGTCGCTCGTCAACTGTGCGATCCACCGCTCAATCGTCGCAGCAATCATGATACGCTGTCCCTCCGTTGTCCCTGGTGCAGTGGAAACACGACGGCTGGGTGGTTCAGAAGCTTTGGGCTTCGGCACACGACTGCTTCGACGCTTCGAGATGCTGGATATCGGCCGTGATGAAGCGTCAGAGAAACTGTCACGCGACACAGAGTCGGTGTCCTTGTCCCAGTCCGGTACGCTCTCTCCCCAAATAACGAAGCGTGGATCGTCTCGTGGGGCTGCAGACTGATCTTCCGCAAGTGAGATCTTGACCGTCTTCCCCTCGGGCTCGAAATTGAGTTTGTCCAGGTTAGGAAGACCTCGATAGGTCTGGAGAACGTCAAAAACGGTCGTGGCGTACTGAGTCAACAGGGACGCTTCCGCAGGGGGCTCATACGTTGACGAAGGGCGTGTCGTCGTTTCCGTCAAGTAAGAGTACCGTCGGTCAGGGAAACGCACCGCCGAGGCAGGTTTGACCTCGTCCGTCTCGCTGGACTCCGCCAGGGTCGGAGGGGTAGGAGGTGACTGAAGATCGTCTTGCCTCGCAGTCAAGCCAGACTCGAACGACTGCATAAGCCGGATGTGGCGTGTTGGTGGGGGCAGGAACTGGAAAACCGGCTTCTTCAACGGTGACTCGAAGGATACGCCAGTGCCGAAAGGCTGCGAGATGATAGCGCTCCCTTCGCTGCTGGAAGCGTGCGAAGAGAGGCTGGAAATGCTCGATGACGAACCAGGCCAGTCCATCAGCTCACCGAAGGCGTCGACGGTCCTTGAGGGGAGGGGTATGGCATATCGAGGCATGTCGGCAGCGGTGACACTCTGCGAATGGGCCCGTCCAGTATGATGGCTCAATTCTCCAAGCTCGTTGACCCCCCGTCCATCGATACTCGAGATGGACCTGGCCTTGCGGAGTTTCTTCGGTACTGAACTTTGAGTGACGATCGTGCTGCCCATAGTGAAGACGGTCGGCGGGAAGATGGTATGCACACTCATCCGGGATGGTCGTTTCGAGCGCGGCGATTGTCCAGCATCGGTCGATGTCTTGCCTCGCTCCTCGATTTCGGCAGCAACCTCCGCAGCAGAGGCAGCGGGAGCTGACAATTCACGGTGCCTGGTAGCAACTATTAACTATAAACGCTCAATTGGTAGATATCAAAGCGACTTACCCAACTCGGAACATCTGCTTTCCATGCTGGTTGACAAACGCCGTGATGGCGTAGGGCGAGCGAACGTTCACGCTGACACCGAAGCGTTGGTCGTACCTCCGCTTGAGTTCGCGGGCGGCAGGGCCTGAGGAAGTCTCGATGTATGTCCCGTCCGCTGAGCAAAGCCTGTTAGGCATCCGGCGTTACAGCGTCGGAAGAGCTGGCGACTCACGAGCGATATTGATATCGACACCAGCCAGTTCCTCTGGCCATGGCTCGAGCTTGGTATCGTCCTCGTTCACGACGTCGGAGAGTGCGAACGCATGCTGGGTATAGGACTGGTCTGCATCTTCCTCCTGCGCTGCGGGTACGACCTTGGTGGTGGTCTGGGAGGCCAAAGGGGTATCTGGACGAGCTTCATCCTCTTCAGGAGTCGACATGGCTGCTGTGGTAACCGATTTTCAGAACGAGACTAGGCAGAGACAAAGCAAAAAACGGGTGGACGAATGGGCGTTTAGTCGCAAATGAGCATGCTCAGGATAGCGTTGGATGCCGTTAAGTAATACAAGTCGCTAACACCAGTGTCGAAGCAGAGAAACAAAGGGCGGTCAAATTAGGCAGAAGGACGTTATAGTCGTGTCCGTCGTTGTGTTCGTCGTCGTTCCAGTCGTTGTCGTCGTCGTCGAAGGCGGTGAATACAAGGCTCACCGATGACACAGAACGAGAATTCTCCCCTGATCCCTGATGGTTCACACGCTGTGACATAATCCACGTGACCGCTGATTGTCACGCACGCGTCGAGATCGCGCCGTCGCCTTTCATTTCTCTTCCATTGACCACCCGCTTTTCTCTGTTTCTCCCAGTTCTACCGTTATTCACGACCGCACACCGAAACTAATAAAGGCCCTAAACCCAACGAAATGTCTCTAGTCACGATTAGAGTGAGTTCACACACGTTCATCTGACCTAGAAAGATTCACAGAGACTCAATTCATTCCAGAATGTCGAGTTCCTGAACAATCCCGCCAGATTCTCAGATACATACCGCTTCCGCGTCACATTTGAGTGTATAGCGCCGCTACAAGATGGTGAGCTGCTCACCAGAAAGCTGCCGAAAGATAGTGGATCCCCCTGACCACATAGCCTACCCCACCACCCAGATCTCGAATGGAAACTCATCTACGTGTCATGTCCCGGCCAGGAAGAGCTAGATCAGGAACTCGACGACTGTCTCGTTGGCCCAGTCCCAGTGGGCGTCAACTCGTTCGAATTCGAAGGCTCTGCTCCCGATCCATCCAAAATCCCACCAGAAGACGTCCTGGGAGTGGCAGCCCTCATTCTCACAGGATCCTACAAAGACCAGGAATTCGTGCGCGTCGGGTACTACCAGAACACCGAATACGATAACGAGGAGATGAAGGAGAACCCACCACCCAAGATCCTATTTGAGAGGCTGGTCAGGGATATCAGTACCAAACCCCGTGTGACGCGTTTCCAGATTAAATGGTGTGCCGTTCTAGCCAATGTTGGGAGGTATGACAGACACTGACGCGTCGTGTATTTTAGGGATACTGCTGTCAAGGTGGCTGCAGGCGCCGCTGCCTCTGCGCCTGTACCCTCGGCGGACGATCTTGACACCAAGATGGACGAAGATCCTGCCCCAGTGAACGGTGCCTAGCCGTTTCCCGGCCCCTCTCTGCCATGTACTTTTGCTATGTGCTTTGGTTTCTTGCTTGTCTTGTAATTTATCTGCTATCTGCTGTCCATTAATGCTCAACCCGTGTACCCTCTTAGGTTTGAATGTGCATGCCGCCGTCTTAACCCTTGTACTGCCGGTGGTCTCAAAATACACTTATAAGCCCAGGGACATCCGTGCATCGAATATCGGTCATGATCAGGATGGGTGGTTGAGGCACTCCGCGACTGAGATGGTCAATCTCAAGAGTTGAGATGTGCGGTTGTTGACAAGCGAACTCGTTCCAGACAGCAAAGAGTGCGGGATACCATGCCGACCTGGAAAATTCCATGCGTCGCTCCTTGACAAATTCATGCATATAAATTAACCCTATGACTATCTGCTGTCCATGGATAATAAGATACCGTGTCCTTGATTAAATATCATCTAAATCAATCATGCCCTCCTCTCCATCAGACTCATCCAAATCCACAGTCCGCTCCTCAACAGGCGGGGCACTCGGTTTCGCTACTTCCTTCTTCGGCGCACGACCCAGCGCAATCTTGCGTTTAGCCGAAAGAGCTTGCAGTTCTTCAAACTACCCGCAATCCGTCAACATCGCTCAACACTCCAAAAAGACAGTGAACAGTACCTTGGACTCGCCACCAGTCTCTATCCTCCGATGACCAGCTTTGACAGTAGGATCGAAACCCAACGACCTCACAATACTCACAGAGTACTGTTTCCGCTGCTTCTCACCCTTCTCCTCACCCTCCTCCCCGTCCTTATCCTTCCCCTTCCCCTTATCCTTCCCTCTACTCCCAGAAGCCGCAGCCCTCGCAGCCATAACAGCCTCCATCCCCTCCCTATCCCTCTCCGCCAACTGCTTCAACAACTTATCAGCCTCGGCGTTCGCCATCTTCCTCTTCGCCTTTGCCTGGCCCTCCCGACCCATATTCTCCCCTACGAACATTGACCTCGAGTCGCCCCCGCCGACGATATGCCCCGAAACGATGTAGGTGGCCCCGTCCGGTTTGTTCTCGGGTAGCAAACCCCATTGACGCGCTGGGTCAAACTCGGTTTTGCGTTTCGCGATGGGTTTGGATGTCATGCCTCCAGTCCTAGATACAAAGTCAGTGATGGTTATAGGTCGCGGATGAAAGATACACACCCAGCAGTGAACTCGGGTCGAGCTGCTCGGCGGTGTTGGATGGCAGTCTGGACGTGGTACTCGCATACTTCACTGACGCGCTTGTCGCACCACCCTCCGCAAGTCTTGCCGTCTTTCTTTCTTACGCCGCATTGGCCAAGGTCCCTGGCCTTGCCTAAGATCGCCACGGAGGACGCAGACTCGGGTGTCACAGCCAGGATGTTGTCCACCGGGTGAGGCTTGTCTGCCGATTTCTACAGAGAGCAATGAATACACACCTCCTCCAGAGAACGCGAGCTACTACGCACCTGGTACGGCTTCAAGATCTTCGGGTTAAGCAACGCAATCACATCCCCGGGGCGCAGCTTATCCAGCATTTCAAAAGCACCCTTACTCCCTCCACGATACATCTTCTCCTTCGTCCCATCCACATGCTCAATCGTCTCCACCGAATCCGCCTGGAACAGCAACAACGACAAAAACGCGTCACCCCTCACCACCGCCTTGCCGCCCGTCGCACTCGACTTGGTCCGAGCCCCAAAGTCAATCAGCTTCATATTGACAAACTGTTTGCCGTGGGGCTTCTTGGGGCCTTCTGCTGCCGCTTCCTTCTTTGCGGCTTTCCACTTGCTTTTGGGGTCGATGGCGTCCTCGTCTGGGCCGAGTGTGACAGGTGCTTTGGTGTAGCGCACTGGGCTGCGTTCGGCGACGACGGCGATGGTAACCCAGTCGCCTGGCACTGGGATATCATAGCCTTGTTTGTCGGGTAAAAGTCGAATGGAAGAGTAGAGCCTGGATGGGGAGATATAATAGCGGCCTTCGAGGTGCTCTGAGAAGTCGGCGTGCGATAGGTTGCGGGAACTAAGTAAACAGTCAATGAAATAGCGTCGTCAGAACAGGACAAATACCCACATCAAAGCAATATTCGAATGAGGTTCTAGTTTCTCAAAATGCGGGTCGTCCAGAGGTGGCGTAAACTCGTATGGACCCATCTCAAAGTCGTCCACCAGCATGAGCCTCTCATCTCGCTTCGCTCCGACAGAGCTAGGTCCCGCCTCTGGTGGGGGTTCAGGCCGGTCATCGAACGACGTTGTTCGATTCACAGGCTCAGACTCTTCTGCCTCAGGTTCTGACTTGACCTGAGCCAGTTTCTGCAGCAGGTTCGATGGTTTTGGCCGCTGTAGTATTGGAGGATTGACATTCTTTGACTTCGATGCTTCAGGACGGCGAGTCGAACTTGTGTTCAGCTTGCTCGCTGGTTGGAAGAGTGGTTTGGCTATCGGGCCACCTTTGGGTACCTGTTCGACCTTGCGTTTCTTTCCTGAGCGAATTTCGTTAAATATCCATAAATATCAGTGAGAAGGAGCTCTACGCACTTGGAGATGGAGTTGCTGGTGCCAGAACAGTAGGCTCAGGCTTCTTCCTCTTGGGCGAAGACTTGGGCGCAGCGACGATTTCTCCCTCAGGCAGACTCGATAGCTCTGCCTGGAGTTTCTCAATCTGCCTCTGCAGTTCTTCCTTCCTTCGCTGTTCTTGCTGTATCCGTCTAGATGACGAGTCCATCGTAGTCGTGGTCGCTGTCGAAGCTCTGGCCCTGGATCAACGATGTCGACGGCGGACGCGACGGAGAAGGCGTGACGCGCTGGGAATGACTGCACGTGGGACGCGACTTGCCGGATCCTATGCCGAGCATCGTCATCCGTTTGATCTCCGCTTGAACCGAGCGGAGGGCGCAGCGGGCACTGTTCTTGGCACTCGACTTTGTCCAGCCTACGATGTCTACTGCACAATCCACAGCTCTCGTTCCAACAGTGAATGACTTGAAGGTAATATGATATCTTTATACTCCTCTCCCCTGTAACCGAAGTTGGCTCTAGGTCAAACTTTGCTACATTTGTCGCGAAGAAGAAAACTACAACGATCGTATGTGTTATGACGAAATATAGTACCACTGACTTGACCCACTGACTCGCATTTCGCAGCGCCCGAAAACCCACCTCGTGCATGGGCTCACCCATGTAAATGCACCCTCGTAGCACACGAACAGTGCCTCCTCAAATGGATCCAATCCTCACAAAAATCTGAAGTTCGCGCTTCGAAGGCTTTGAAATGCCCGCAATGCGAAAGCACGTACGAATTGGAGAGTGATAAACCGTTGATCTTCAGGGTGATGGAGAAGGGACATCGCATTTTGAGGAGGGCTGGGGCGTTCGTTGTGTTGTTTGGATTCGCAACTGTTGCTGGAGTCATTGGAACCAGTTAAGTGCTTCGCTCGTGGAAGCCAAAATGACATGCGCTGACAGGGCCTTCCGCTTTTAGGCGTCTACGTTGTGTGCACGGCTTATGGCGCCTGGGCTGTCCAGAAATTCGTAGGACAAGAGTACGTTTTTTCCAACCCATACTTCCTCGTTTAAACTCACCACACATTGAAGGATGTACCAAATCTGCCTGGGCGACGACCCTTCCAAATGGCCATGGAGCGCCTTCCTCAACCTCCCTCTCCTACCCTGGAGTCTCATCTTGATGCAATTCCCAGCACTCAACCACATCTCCCCAGGCCTTCCTCTTCTCCTCGCATGGCCTACCACATTCAGCAACCAGCGGATAGCAGAGTACTGGAGCCTCCCCGAGAACGCCCAGCGCCTCCTGGTCCGACATTTCGTCCCGACTCGGCGACCTCTCTGGCCACCCAGCCCTATTCTCTTCGGTCTCGTCGGCATCCCAATCATCCGAAGCCTCTACGAGGGCCTGCACGACATGGTCTACACCTGGTTGATGGGCACTCGTCCGCCAGTGTACCGCGGTGCATTCGGTGGACGGAACGGCGCCAGAGTCAACATCGGCAACAACGGCCAGTTCGTTATTCGAGTTAGGGAGGAGTTCGCGCCGGCCGCTGCTCCTCAACCTGCCAATGGCGCCGAGAACGCCAACGGCAACGACAACGCTAACGCTAACGGCCAACAAGCTAACAACGGCGATGGAGACAACGAACCTGAAAACCTACTCGACATCAGCATATCAACTATCGGACGTAGGGTAGGAGGAGCGCTGCTTGTTCCAGTGATTTCGAACTGGATGGGTCAGTTGCTACTCCGGATTGCGAAGAGTTCGCCGTTGCTCCGAACGTTCCTTGCCATTAGGGAACCCATTGGCAAGGTGTGGCTCCCGCCACCACAGGATAGCATTGGGAATTGGAATTCCATGGGCACGCTCAGGCAGTTGGGTATGGTTGCTCAGGTCGCGTGGAAGGGCCTGTTGGTGAACACGGGCACCACGCGAAGCGACCCTGTTTGGTGGAGGAATACAGTTGGGTTGGGGCTGTTCGTCGTGGTAAGGATCACCCTCTCGTTTGTTATGAGTCTGTACTGATGTTTGTTACAGGCTAGAGATTGCGTAAAGTTGATTCACCTCTACTATGCGAAGAGGGAACTCGAATCCAGGAGAGTGAAGAACCGGGATTTCAGTGGTGTCGACATCTCGACATTGGACCTTACTCCCGACTTCTACGCGCGGGCCTCAGCTGCTGCCCAAAGGCTGACATGAGTACCTCGTCCTCTCCATGCATATACAGTCAACCATGGGATAGATATACAACCAATATGTACTTTACACGCACATTGACACCGCATCTCAACTTTCTGATACAGACCACTGTACATTATTGACCTCTGGGCAGTATTCTTGTCACTGAATATAATCACCGCCGCTTCCTATTCATTCGTCTCCGACAGAGTTGCCAGTGATATATGGACGTGACAATCATCCCCAGAGATGACTCTCCTCTTCGGATTGCCCAAAGTATCGGTCACCCTTCACCTGGTGAGTCGCAATGACCTTGTTGATCTCGTCGAGGTCAGCATCTGAGAGCTGAATATCGCCCGCTTTGAGGTTCTCCAAAGTCCGCGAAGACTTCCTAAACACCGCAACAAATAAGATGATAGTCAGAGATATTTGTCCCGCTTTAAATAAGATGAAGTGCCACGTACGAGGAACCAGGAAGAGGGATAACATGTGGACCGAGGTGTCTCACCCAAGCAATCGACAGCTGCGCAGGGGTAATTTCTTTCTTCTTCGCGATCCCTACCAAGGCATCGACGATTGCCATGTTGTGCTTGATGTTCTCCTCCTGGAAACGGGTGAGAGAGGCACGGTGGTCGCCAGCTAAATGTAATCCAAGAATGTTAAATTGAGCGTGGTCAGGGAGGGGGTTTGCGGAGTGTTACTTACGGGGAAGATCTGAGGAACTCTTGATTTGTCCTGTGAGGAATCCTCTTCCGAGGGGCCTGAGGAAGGGAGACGTTAGGTGAAAATCGGGGTAAAGTCTTGGAAGTGTACATACGAGTATGCGATAACCGTGATTCCAAGTTCTTTAGCCGTAGCGATGACATCCTTGGTCTTATCTTCATACGACCAAGGGCTGATTTCAATCTCCACAGCCGTAATCGGGTGAACCTTCGCCCTCCCGTCCCGTCAGTATCGTACTACGCGGAGAAACCAGTCGGATGTACAAAGTAACTCACAGCATGAGCTTTACGAAGAGTATTCGCATTGCACTCGGACAAGCCGATGTGGTCGAATTTGCCCTCTTTGAGGAGGGTGACGAGGTGCTGGGTGAGCTCCTCGACGGGGATGCTGCGATCAATCCGTGCTGGCTCGAAGAGATCCAGTTTCTTGTTGGGTCCGAGAGCTTTGAGGATGTTGTCCACGCTCTTTCTGAGGAACTCGAGGCTGTTGGTTTGGATGGGTATCTCTCCTGTTAGCCTGTCCTCTGTTTTGGAGGCGAGGAGGGGAGCGGACACTCACGAGCCGTCGGGCCCTCGCTTGGTCCAATCAATCCCGCCTTTGACAGATAAGAACGTCTTATCGGCGTAGTCAGGGTACTTGGCGAAGAAACGGGAGAGGAGCTCGAGGTTGGCCGTGCCAAAGTCCTGGGCATAGAACTCCCCTATAGGTCGCAACACCGAACAAGGTCGTTAGCGATTAGGACACGGACTATCTCCGAGTCCCCCATAAGGTATACGCACCGCTGTTCAAGATCATCTTGGTACCAGGAGGAAGGGCATCAACTCCGGCTTTGATAGCCTCGAACGCTTGCTCGTCTGGTACGGGGTTGGGAGTCCACCTGTCAAGTACCTTCGTTATTAGCCAAAGTTGGATGCAATGAATCTCGGCTAGACGGACGTCATCATCATCAATCCGTGCTACAAAGGACAATTCTGGTTAGATCGAAGTTCAGATTGGAAGGTCGGTTAGGTGTACATACGGCTACGACGCCGACGGAGACGTTGGAGGCCGTCCCTCCGAGCTTGGTGCTTTGTGTTACCGTCTGTTGGGCCATGTCTTGGTAGAGATGAGGAATGGACGGAGAAGTTGTGAATCTCGAAGAACAGCTTATGTCCCTGGTTAAATAGAGCTGTGATAACCCCTTTACAGCCCCTGGCAGAAGATGCTTACTACAAATCCCAATCCAGTGCGATAAGACTACGCGTCTCAACGGCAAAGTTGTGCGAAGCCTCAGATATCCCAAAGATGATATCCAGTCTGTCGTCATCGCGGGATCATGGATGCCGAGAGGTGCGTGTCAATGATCGGATCAAACAAAGTTCGGCACGGCAGTTCAGCGATAGGGGAGTCTTGCCCGTGTGTTGGTTAAGTCCACTACTTGCACCTCAACGTCACTCAACCACCATTCATTACTCGGTCCTGAATCAGTATTGAACGCGGCTTACAATTTTTACGTACCCTTATTAAATAAACCTGCAGCCCCCACTCATACGTGGACATCGGAGAGCAACGCCCAGTCCTATCCGAATTTCTGTTCTCGCCTCAACACGTCAACCGACCACTTGGGAGTCTTGGACAGCCTGTTTTGAGCCTGGCTAGCCGAGTACCAGAAAAACTCGCCTCTAACCTCGGGCCCGTATCGCTTCTGGCTACGCCAAACTACTTATCTTCCCGGGCAGCCTCTCCGCTTAGCTTTGAACGGCGTGTGTGGATTTGACGGACGACACGGGGAGTTGGAACTCGCTGCAGCTTGTGAAGGGAATATGAAGAGGATTTTACCTCAAGTCGTCAAAAATCTCTCTGTCTGACTCTTCATTTCTATTCGAGTCGACAAGCCAAGGTCCAGGTGCGCCCTTTCGAACAGCAAAGCGAGCACTCGCTTCCGCTCGATGGAACCCGTCGGGGCGGGATTCATGGTGACAGATCACTTGCAAGTAATTTCTCTGCTTCAGGGATTGTCGCGCTGGAAAATGAACCTGGCTTTTGGTTAAATATCGAAGGCGGGCCACTGGCAGTCGGATACTCAAAGACGTGTCCAGCAACAACCCGCCTCAATCATGGTAGGCTCGTATACCGGAAAGGTCATCCACGTCCCAGCCCTGCTGGAATCTTGGCCCTGGCCAGCGGCCATAAACCCGCTGTACGAGCAGGTTCAGGAGGAATCGACTTCCTGGTTTAGGAAGTTCGATCTCTACCGGGATAGGAAGAAGCAAGCCATACATGACCATCTGGATACCGGTTCGTCGTGCTGGTTGATTCGATAATATTTTGTTAACCACTCGTTTCCTGTAGCAAAATTCGGGGCATCGGTGTGCCCCAAAGCCGACTATGCACTACTCAGACTAGCCACGGACTATCTGCACCTTGGTTTCTGGATCGACTACTTCTTCGACACCTCACCTTCAGATGTTATCCGGCAGCTGACTGAAAGCATCGCGCACCTGCTCGAATCTGGTGATCCTCGCCTGGATTCATCCAGTCCCCAGTCTCATATTGCTTGCATGGAGATCCTCCGCGAGTCCGTCCCTGGCCTTAAGTTTGCAACATTATAATCGCTGACTTCCTTCCAGTTTCAGAAAACGAATAGAAACCTTCAACCCTTCCCAGGAGGACCTCAGACGCTTTGTCAAAGAGTACAGAGGATTCCTCGAAGCAGAGCTCACCCAGGCTATCGACCATGAGAACAAGGTCATTCGTGATATCGAATCCTATCTCTCCATCCGACGTTCCACTATCGCCATCCGACCTGGAATCGCGCTCCTTGGGCTCGCACTTGGTATCCCGCAGGAGATCTTGGACGATCCATACACGGACACCCTGACCAACGCCTGCTTGGACATGGTCATCATCCAAAACGTAAGTCGCTTGATTCTATCATTCTGATAGTATTATGGGCCTCACAGCTTTACCCGGGTCTTAGGACGCATATTCTTGGAACGTCGAGCAAGTGAGGAAGGCTGACGGGCACAACATCATTACCGTCCTCATGAAGCAACGGGATATCGATGTGCAAGAAGCATACGAGCATGCAGCCCAACTGCACCGAGAAACTCAGGAGCACTTTTTGGAGCTTCATGCTAAGCGACCAGATTGGGGGAATGAGGGAAGCATCCAAGCATTCTTCGATGGGCTTGGAGAGTTTGTTCGAGGTGTGGACGAGTGGAGCTCGATGTGTGTGCGTTATGGGCTGTCAGAAGAGTTTTCGAGAACTCGAAAACTCACGCTTCTGTAGCTTGGAGAACACGCGCTTTCCGTGGGCGCAGGCTTTCTGAAATAGAGATAATACCGTAGACTTACCTTTAGAGACTAGAATTAAGTTCACATAATTGACGGGGATGTATAGACGTGCTCAACTGTGCCAGGTAGCTTGCGCCCGTTGGCGTGTGGGGACTGGGACTCCGGAGAGGAGTGGTGGATCCCATCCATCAGCGATTTGGTAAGTCGAAGGGGCATCCAGGAGACACAATTCCACCCAATTCTCAGGTTTCATCAATGGATAAAACAAGTTTCTACTAAATGGACATGCCTGATAACAGAAGAACTTCAACCAGCTTGCCATCGTGGGCTCGATCTTCGAACCCCGAACTTTGATTAGCGCCCACAATGAGCGGACCTTGTTGCACATAAATACATGCCCTATTCGCACCCCCTTTCGCTTCTCTTTCGCGAGGAGGTTTCCTGGACGGATCTCGCACTACGAACCAAGCTAGCGCGGGGCACGCATACTTATGCCCGTCTCGTATCTTCATTCCTCCGAACAATAGAAGCACCAAGGAGATAGCGATGGGATCAGGGGAACCAAGCAGCGCCCAAGAAGGCCCCCTCAAATCCGCTGACACCGATCCAATCAGGGTTCTGTGAACACAGAAGACAACAGGGTGAGATGGGATCGTTGAAATGGGGATATTCTGCCATGCCGACTGCCCCGCCGGGTATAGGTTCGCCTTGCGGTCTTCCCTGGTGTATGTCACTGTCAGGTTTCAGCAACGATACTAATAAAAGTGTGGGCGAGGCGGTGGAGACGCACATACGTTATTCTAACCCACCCCAGCGCTGAGCCCTGAATGTCCTCCTCCTCGTCTAATTTCGCCTACGTCCCTCTTACGCTCTTCGACAATGTTACCCAGCTCGGCAGCATCGCGAACACTTGGATAGTTGAAGGTCTCGTTGACGTCGAAAAGATTCGACAAACCTTGGACAGGTTAATCTCGAAATGGCCGTTGCTGGCTGGTCGAGTCGAGTCAGCTGGAACAAATGTGCGTTCAATTGACTTTTCTCTACTCCTCTAGATCTTGCACTGACCTTTCCTGCCATGTCAGAGATGGCAAGTACGCGTTCCTCTGGGAGACCTACCCCAGGGATACGAAGCCTACGGCCTCACCTCCACAAAGTCCACACTGCCGCTCTCCCACTATACCAAGATCCCTATCCCACCTATCACCGAATACCTCCCCGAGCATCTGTGGTTTCCCCCAGAACGGAAGAAGGCAACCGGCATGGGTCTCAGAGATTACGCCAGTAAAGATATCACACTGACGCACTGGCACGTAACCCATTTCGCTGGACTCGACGAGGGCAAGGACTATTCTTGCATCGGCGTCCATTGGACCCATGGTGTCTTTGATGGTATCGGGTTTTCATTGGTTCTGCGCGCCTTCGAAGCAGAATTGGCGGGAAAACCGTGGGATGTACCGCCACTTCCTACCCCAGGTCCCAACAAGAATCTCCTCCAGACATTAATTGACCGGGAGATCGAGAGAGCCAACGCTGCTGGTAGAAAGATCGAAGAAGAACGACCTCTCAGCTACAGCTCTATCGGTGTTGGTGGGCTTATATCCTACCTAGGGAGGCAGGCTGCGCAGAAGGTTTACCCTGGAGCAAACGATTGGAACTTAATTGTGCCTTTCACCGTCCACGACCAACTCACCGCCGACATTCGAAGGGAAGTCGAAGCTGCAGGGTTGACTGATGCTCGGCCAACAAGCGGGGACGTGATATTTGCTTGGCTACTCCAGGTGAGTATTGCTGGATCTGCTTTTCTCTATATTTGATTACTGACCACGTACCCTGTTAGTCTGTATACATCGATGAGGGGAATCCAACACAGACTGTTGGCCTCAACAACCTTGCTTCATTCCGCGGAGAATGGAACGGTGAACTCGCCCTTTACCCTCACAACGCCTATGCCACCGTCTCCTACCCCATCCTCACTGTGGGAGAGATCTCATCCCTCCCCCTCCACAAGCTCGCCTACAAACTCGCGCAGTCCCGCGTTCACGGGTCAAGAAAGGACGAAGCCGTCGTCTTCTACAAGATCAGTGAAGACGCCGGTAAGAAGGCGATCATTGGCGCTGTCAAGCCTGAAGACGACAGGACGAATGAAACGGCCACGATGTCGAATATGTCGATGGCCCGAATTGCTTACCTCGACTGGTCCGCGGCGGGAGGTGGCAAGACGCTCACACACTACAAGATCTTTGTTGATGCCCTCCATGTCCTTGATGTCTACAACAACAATGGGCGTCTTGAGAATGGGGACCTCATGCTGAGCTGCTTCGTCACCGCACCAAAGGGGAGGAAGGTGCAGGAGGGGTTTGCCAAGTTGCTCGAGAAGTATAAGCGGTAACCTTCAAGTTGTTGACGGCCTCTTCAGCTATACCCATCTGTGCCTACCGTCACATGTAATCAGCTCAGTAGCTTCCTTCCATGCAGACGAGCGCTTAGCGCAGTATTCGTTAGAAGGTGAGAGCAGTTCAGTCAGCTCCTCTCAGAGCATGTTCAAGTAGGAAGGATGCGCGAACCCGCCGCACCATCCGGTGCAGAAGAGGACACGGACTGCCAGCCACCATCGTACCGTCCAAGTCACGCATTTTAGATGACGGAGGCATGTCCACTGAGATACCTGGGAACAGTCATGAGTGGGCAAGGTCCATGGGACGCCAAATCGCAGTTGCGTGAACGCCGATTTAAAAGAATTTAAGCGCCCGTACCAATAGGCTAAGAGCGTATCCTTGATTTTCCCGAGATTTCATAGCATAAATATCCATAATTATCCGGGAGAACATGTGCACAGCCTACGTACAGGCGCAGGCGAAGCGCTAGCTGCTGAGTAGATTCTCCGATAGAATCCCAAGCGCCCAACGAGACGTCGCGGAAGCTGCTGATAAACAGCTACAAATGTGTCGGGATTGTCTTTAGCTGGCCCCCTCATCTTACCAAGTATAACCCATACCAATTGTTCAACAGTTCGACGACTGAAGACTGCTATGGATCTTCTGCTATCAGCAATAACAGCTATCCCTCAAGATTTTCAGTCCAGTAGTGGCGGCTAAGGGACATGGCTTCGTGGAGCTAGCCGACGTGGTCTGAAGACACTATCAAACTTGATTCCCTGGTCAGGTTGGAAAAGACCCCAGACCAATCGGTTACAAAGAAGTGAGCTGACCACCTACTTGTTCCGGCAAAAGCTAACCAGACGGAAGGGGGGCCCACTACCATGTTTCTGGCGCCCACAATGACCCAGAATAAGGAATCGTCGACCCAGGGCTGTCAACTGTGCACCTCGTTGCACGAAGCGGTCCTTGACAGCACTTATCGATGCGAACATAACCCGGTTTACCTCGCACCTTTACGACCGCCCTTCCTGTGCCTTCAGGAAAGCAGCGAATTCTCATTTCCAGTTGACGCCCAGTACGATGAAGAAACAGAAACCCCGGAGGCGAGACCGTGTCTTGAAGTTTTTCGGGTTTTCAAGCCGGGGGAGTGAATCGACTCGGATGGCCTTATCATTACCCGATCCAAAAGAAAACATCGTCGAACGCACCACCTATCATGCGCCTGGAAAGCCATTCAAGCGAAGCCAATCCGTCGAGAAAGACATGGCAGTGCTCTCTACGATCTATCTGCTTCAAGATTCAGACCGACTCAGGGCAGTGATTCTTCTCCTTGTCCAGATCAGCCGCAACGACATTGAAGGGCGGGTAAGTTGTACGCAGTGTTGACAGCGTCTCTGGAAGTTGACCGTACTTTCTTAGCTGTCAACAGTTCTCAACACTTGCGCCGAGTTCTGCGAGCGTCTCATCCGTCTTGCGGACGAGGGTCTTACGAGACCAGATGAGGTCGCCGAGTCATTCTACCGGTATGTCTGCCCTTTCCACTCGGCTGCTGCCAGCTGGTTAAACATTTGTTGAAAGTACCGTTGAGATGGTGCGAGAGTCGACTGCCGATACAACACCGCCGCTGCTCGAGATTGTAAACCAGTCAATCGACTCATTGGCGGTGAGGGCAATTCGCATTTCCAGGACAATAACTTCGCTAAGTGGACATTTTCCTTCCTAGTCCTCTCATCCGATGTTGTCGGCATCAAGATCACCTCGAGCTCAGCATCCCATTGTTAAAGCAGCCCTTGGGACGGGCGTGACTATACTCGACATCTTCAAGGAAGCAAGCGAGTCAGCTGGGGTACCGGGCATCAAAGCCATTGTTGGGTCCGTCTTGAGCCTGTTCAAGGCAGCCCAGGTAAACCATCCCGCTGCTCATTCGTGCCAACCTTGCGATTGACCCACCTTTTGACCCAGCAAACCCAATTCAACTACGAGGACATCCACTCACTGGCATTAACTGCGGGTGAATTTGCTCTCGCCGCTGCCGAGGCATGTTCCACCATGGGCGAAGTTTCCGAGGAAGTCGAACAGCTTATCGCCCGCTTTGAAGGGTATGTCTCTTCCCCGTGACTGGTTATCTGCTCACGGGGGCCCCTTTTAGCAAACTTCGCCCTATTGTCGAGAGATGTAGGGAATTGAATCACAATAGTATACTTTGGTGTTTTCTGCAAAACAGCAATCACAAGAGGGAACTGGAAGGACTGGCCGCAGAGCTCAATGCCGCTGTTCACCAGTTTCAGGTCAGTTCGGTGCGGGTTCTTCTTGGGCGCAAGCTTATATATGTGCATCATATAGAACTCCAACCTTCTCCGGCTACAAGTCAGAATTGATGGAGTCGGTACCCAAGTCGGTGCGCCCTGTTTTGTTGGCTTACAATGTATCGCTTCATAGGTGCTCATTGTGAACGCGCAGACTATGTCACTTTCAATCAGTTACCCCAGCACCCGGACGTCAGCGGGTTACGGAGGGACTATTTTCGTGGAAGTCGTCAAGATACCATCGCGCATATTTCGGGATGGTTGGACGGGTCGAAGGAGCCCCTGCTATGGTTACACGGACCACTGGGAATGGGTAAATCTACTCTAGCCCATCACCTTGCGCAAGAGCTCCGCAAGTGCGATCGACTTGCTGCCTCCGCTTTCTTGACGGCCGTTTCTCCTGATACCGGGCCCGAAACCCTTGTCAAGATTCTAGCGTCGGAAATTGGTAGGATGCACCCAAGGGCAGTGTCTGCGATTGTAACAACCATTAAGAGCTGCGCTGGCTTGCCCCTACAGGACCACTTGGAACGGTACATCCACCAGCCAATCCGCTCCCTTTGCTACCCCTATCCTCTCGTCATCCTTCTTGACGCTCTCGACGAATGGAAACACTATCGCTCCCTCATCCAACTCCTCAGCCATGTCGACCCTTCGATTGTTCGGTTCATTGTCACTAGTCGAGAGAACGCATTGAACTCTGCTTGGAAGAACCTGGAAGCAGTACCACACCAAACATACGCTTTTCCTCCAGTCTCCGACGAAGTACTCAAGTCCTATATTGAGCATCACTTCAATTCAATCGATTGGGGCCACGGCGGTAACCCAGACGATAGGTACATTGCCAAGATTGCCAACAAGGCTGACGGCCTGTTTGTATGGGTGGCCACTGTCTTTGCCATTTTAAATAACATTCTCGACAACGCAACCCCCCAACAACGACTCGAGCAAATCATGGACTCGCAAAGGAACGTCTCAAGCGCCGATGGGCTGTACAACCTTTATTACGACGCCATTCTTCGCCTTTTCCCCGTCCCTGAAAACCAAGAAGTTTTTCGTCGCTTCTTCGGGCTCACAACGGTTTTACAAGAGACGCTTTCACTTTCGGATTTTGCATCCCTTTCGGGCCTAACACCCACCATGGTCGAAGGGGTCCAGGCGCTTCTTTCCGCTCTCAGAACCCGGGGTTCATTCCATCGCGACAAAGTCCAGCCAGCCTCCGCCCTTTACCACCTATCCTTCATTGAATTCATCCATTCCGAGGGCTCCAAGGCGAGCCCGCCAGCCTTCTCCATCTCGCATCGTGACTGTCATTCACTCTTGGGAGAGCGGTGTTTGGAGCTCACTTTCCGCGGTTTCCTTCCTTACCCCTCTACCGCCGGGTCCATTCCTCAACCGCGCAATCCTCGACGTTACGCATGCCTATATTGGCCAATGCATCTATCGACAGGGACTGGGCGCCGGCCAGCGGACTGGGCTCAAACAAGCCACTTCAAGCTGCTGGAAGGCACCGAAGCGAACGGGGCCATGGATCAGTGGGCAATAATGGTTGGAAACTTACTCTATCCGAATGCTGAACTCGAGAGGACACAAGAACAGCCTACTATACTTCTCTATCTAGGACTAATGGTGCGCGAAAAAGAGGGTGGAGCCGCGACTCCATTCGGGATGCAATGTCTCGAAGTGGCCGTGCGCCTGCGGCCCGACGCTGTTCACATCTGGGACATATTAGCGGACTTCCACCACGATCTCTTCCTGAAATCGAGGGACGCAGCGCATATAATCGCGGCTGTCGATGCAAGATCATACGCCATTCAACGCTGCTCCTCGTCGGATCCGAATTGGCCGACCTTGTTATCGCATTACATGGAGTCGCTTTGGGCACACTTCCACGAGTTTCAGCAAATCTCGGATGTCCAACTGGCAGTCGACTTGGCCGAACGTTGGCTGAGCGACCCGCAACGCGATCGGCAATTTGACAGGGACATTTCGACGAACCTTGCCGCCTTCCTTCATGCCCGCTCTAGGTACCACGGATCGGGGTTGGACCTCGACCGATCCATCCGGTTACTTCAAGAGGTACTTGAATCTGAAGCCACACCATCGCCTAGCACAGCTTCCCGTGCCAATATAATAGGAAACCTCGCCATGTCCTTTCTGGTCCGCTTTGAACGCCATGGATCCTCCTCCGACCTTGAGGATGCCATCCGGTTGTTTCAAGAGGCACATGGACTCGATGAAGTGACACACATGAGGAACTTTGCCGCTGCCCTTCATACCCGCTCTCAACTGAACAGATCAATCTCCGACCTCGAGGAAGCGATCAAGCTGATTGAAAGAGTTTTGGAAGTCACCCCAGCGCCGCGTCCAGAACGCCCTAACGCACTGGAAACCCTCGCCGCCATGCTTTGTTCTCGCTGGGACGATCTCGGAACAATATCCGACCTTGAGGAAGCGATTCGACTGATTCAAGAGGCGCTGGAACTCCTACCAACAACACATCCGACTCGTCCTACCTCGCTCCACCACCTCGCCAGTGTCTTTAATCATCGTTTTCGCCACAGTGGATCAAGCTTAGACCTGGAGAAATCCATACAACTGCATCGAGAAGCCCTCGAATTGCAGACACAAAGTCGTCTGAACCCCCCTGACTCGGAGTCACTACATTTCATGGCCCAGGCTCTCTTCAGCCGCTCTATGCACTTCGAATCCGACTCCGACCTTGTGGAAGCAATTCGTTTGTTTCGCGAGGTGTTGGTGCTCGCGCCAGACTCTCATCGGCGTCGCAGATTCTGGATGATTAACCTCGCGACCGCCCTCAAAGAGAGCTCCGAGCCACAAGACCTTGAAGAAGCGATCCAAATCTTTCGGCAGTTGATGTCATTTTCCGGCGATCATGTATTACGCCCTCAATTGTTGGCCAATTTTGCCGACGCTCTTCACAAGCACGCTTACCCTCCGGGAGGACGTGTGTGCATTGTCTCTGACTTGGAGGAAGGGATCCGGTTGCAGCGAGAGGCAGTAGAACTCGTACCAGCTTCTCAAAAACGTCGCCGCCCTCTATTAGTGACCGGCCTTGGTAACATGCTTCGGACACGCTACACACTTGGTGGGTCTTTCTCTGACCTCAAGGAAGCACTTCTGTTGCATCGAGAGGCGCTGCAATCCGTTGAGTCACTGGCAAGCCCGTTCGACCGCGCGTTGGTACTGTCGTCCATTGTTCTCACTCTGTGCCTCCGCTTTGAGCACTCTGAGTGTATCTCGAGTCTCAACGAAGCCATACGGCTGGCGAAGGAAGGTTTGGAATTAAAAACAACCCGCCTAACTCGTACCAACTTCCTTGATCGCCTCGGTACTGCCCTCTATTGCCGGTTTCACTGTACCCGATCTGAAGAAGACCTGATCGAGGCCATTGCCACGTTCAGGGAGGCATTGGATCATAGTACTCCAAGGGACCGTGTCATCTACTACAAGAGATCATTGAGTTACCTTATACTCGCCCTAGGCGATCGTTCTATGTTGACTGGAGCCGTAGAGGATCGCGAGGAGGCAGGCAGGCTCCTGGACCAATATAAACAATTGACGGGTGAAGAGGGCCCGTTCACCTTTTACGTTTATTTTTAGCCCCAATCTTGGACCGCGCTGTACTAAATAGTAAATACCGTCAGTTTACTATCCTTGTACATCTATTAAACGATAGTGGTCGGAAACCCCTCCATCCTCATCTTTTTGACAATCAACCTCCACTTGGCCAGGGTGCGTTCATTGGGAATCTGACGAACTCCTAACCAGTCTTCCAACCAAAGAACGAACCGAGTATACTCGTCGATGTTCCTCGTCGTGCTTGAGATCTTTGCCTCATCGCCACCATCGATTTCTCCTTCAGAGGATGGGTTTTTCGCACCCATACTCGCCTTTCGATCTCTGCCTCCAACCTTCACCAACCCCTCTACAAGCGGGCTTTCAGCGCTCACTTCTCCCCAAAGTACCAACGCGAGCGCCACCGTCGATTCGCTCGGTCTCACACCGAGGTACTTCGCCCAAGCGAACAAGAGGGGGATTTCCGTGGTACGAGGTGTGGTGGCGAGGAGTGAGAGGTAGTCGAAGAGCGAAGAATCCGCGAGTGGGAGGTGTGGGAAGTAAGCGCGGGGAGTGCGAGGGAGAGACGCTTGGGTAGGCGAGTTAGGCGGAGCCGGCCAGCGCCAGATGCCCTTCCCGGATCGAATGCGGTTCTCCCATCTGAAGCTCTCCAATTTGAGCGAGGGGAGCGCCACGCCCAGGCCCACGATGCCTCCCGCCGAGTCCCAAGACTCTCGAACGGATCTGGCGGGTGATTTGATGGACGTGAGCAGCGCCAGAGGGCCTTCGGGTTTCGTGTCGTCCGTGGTCGGGTAAGATGAGGGTCGGGCAGCCAGGCCCATACCAAACATGACCTGCAGGAACACATCTCGCGCGGTGTCTTCTGGTCGCCTACTCCTCCAAAACGTCGCATTGGCAGTCATCGCTTTGGTCACTGGGCGATTGCTAGCCGAGGCACCGTGGTCCAGCAAACGCTTGATCTCCTGCCCGGTCGTTTGCTCCGCTTCTTCCTGGCTCGGACTGTCCCGGGGCAACTTCCATCCCGCAGCCTGTGGTGCCTGCTTCCGCGTCGTGAATCCTTTCCAGATCTTGGCGATTTGGCCTCTAATGCTGCCTTCACTCCACGTTCGGACGTCCTTGGCGGTTTGCAACACGATGTTCAGCGTCGTCACATCTGGAAGGACGCGGAAGAGGGTGTACGAGTGGTCGAAGACGGTGAAAATGAGTTGGAAAGTGTTGATAGGTTCGGGTTCGCGGGAAATTGATATAGGGGAGGGTGCCCGGCGGAGTGAGGTGAGGTAGGTGTTGAGGAGTGAGGTGGAGATCCATGGAGATGGGTCTTCTAATGGCATCGTGCTCCGCCGGTAAGACACGAAGGCGTCCAACACTTCCCAGCTCTTGCGGACCAGTCCCTGGTGGTTCAGCAACTGCAAACCAATCCCGATGAACTCCTCCTCGTCTTCTCTATGCTTCAACGTCGTGCCATCAAGACAACTATCCCCCGCCTGCCAAACAGCGGGAAGGAAATCGTACCGCGTACTGTCACCCAATGTGAAATCGAATCCTCCGCTCTCGTACAGGAATGTCCAGATTCGGTCCGCTTGTTCCCAGTCCTTCCTCAGAACCAGGCCTCTCAGAAGCAAGACATAGCTCCTGAGTGTCGGCTGTAGAACACGTGTTTCTCTCGTAAATTGAGGTAGACGCGCATCGCTTTCCGGGGGTGGGAAGATGGGAGATACGGTGAGCCGCCTGAAGAGCGCTACGAATGCACCAGAATCGAGGCTGAGATCTTCCGCGGCTACCTTGAGAAGTCGGATGAGAGGCTGAGTTAACTCGTAGTTGGTCTTAACGTGAGGAGTTATCGAGGTGTCGCCCGAGGGGAATAATGTGGGCATTCGACGTTCTCGCCGACGTTTGACGATTCGTTCCCAGAGTCGAATGTAAGACCTGGCTGTTCGAACCTTTGCGGGATTAAGAACTGGAAGCGCCGGGTCGTTGAGGAACGCGAACTGAGCTTGGTACCCGTCCTCCCAATCACCAGCATCGTTCTCCATTTCGACCACCTCTTCCGCTTCCGCTTCCATCCAGAATGGGTCCAACGGGCTCTTCTCGTCCTTCAGCACGTTCGTGAAGAATTCCTCCCGCTCCAACTTGGAAAACGCCTCCTGATACGGCATGTTCCCCGTCTTATCCTCCGGCATCGCTTTTCGCTGGCGTGTGGGGTACCTGGAAACTGAGGGCCGTCTCGTGCGCGTTCGGGAACTGATCTTGGAGAGGTCTTTCGATTGCACTCGTTTGCTGAGGTTAGTCCAGAAGGTCTTAAAGGCTGCGTTGTGTTCGGGTAGTGGCGTGATATTCGATATGGCCATTTGTGTGCGGAGAAAGTCGAGGAGGGGGATGGAAAGTGGTGCAGAATAACTGGAGGGTGTGTGGGGTGGTGAGGTGGACGTCGAGCATCCCAAAAGATAGGAATACGTTTCAGGATTGGCTTGAAAAGAGTTTGATGTCATCTGCGAGAATACGGAAGTGATGGAATCGTGGTAGGGAGGAGAATAGGCTGGGATGTGCGAGAGTGCCCGGAGGAAGAGGTTGGAATAGAGGTCGTAGGATTGATTCGAGTCCAATACGAGGTGTTGTAAAGTTGGTTCCGCTTGGAGATTTGGATACACCGGCGTCTTGACTAGCCCTAATTTGACGAATTCATCAACCAAGTCTCTAAGTGGGATGGCCATCCCCCAACTGGCCAAGTGGACAGCGGAAAGGACTAGGATTTGGGATTGGAGGTATTTGGGGAGTGACGGTAGGTTCAGAATGACAAGGTCGAGCAGAGGATCGTAGGCTTCTGCTGCAGAAAACTGCCTGGAAGATAGCAGGTGTAGCGCGACCCATGGTGGAACGGTCTCTCGTGGGATCTGGTGGATTTGGGCCTCCCAGTACCGGTATTCTTCTAAGGGTATTCTAGCAGTTTTCAAGTGTTGAGTTAGGGCGTATCTTGGAACGTTCTGGACATTTTGGGAACGGTTCAACAAGGAAACCAGACGCCAGGTTGGGTCATTGGTCTCGGTTGTGAAAAGATTTGCTGTCTTTGTGAGGAATAGTCTACGACGGAGAAGTGAATAGCATTGCATCCATCTAGTAAAACAGTTAGTGTCGTTTGTATTGGATTGAATACAAGACTTACCCAACCCTGGTCGATGCAAAAGTCGGACTCGAAACCGTCGCGATTTGCTGGCCAAAGCGCCCGTAGGACCCCCCTATATGCCTAGGTATCTCCGATCCCAAACCCCCATTTTTCGCGGTTTTCGCACTTCCAAATTTGGCCGGCATCCGCCGCATGAAGATCGGGGTTGGCTCTTTGGGCTCACCTTCGTCCGCACTTTGGATCTAACATCGCTCAGAGGCCTTCTTGTCCGCATAAAAGCAAAAAAAGAGTAGAATTAGAAGTTCCTAATGTAAATGGGATAATTAATGAATGTACGAGAGTGAAGTCGCCGTAAAACATGGTCAAAGATTGTAGAATGAAGGGAGAATAGCTGATACACTAATCCAGGCCACCGGAAGCACGTCCATAAGTCGTTGACACACGAGTGAAGCACGTCTTGACGCCCATGAAACTCCGTGAACAAGCTTGAAGACCCCGCACAAAGGTGACAAGCCTAAAGGTGGTGCCATTCACAGCTCACAGCAATGTCCTATCGGGTGGAGAACGAGGACAGGGAGAAGATGAGGTGCCTCGAAGAATGAAGCGACGGTGGAGACCCATACGCATAAAGATCGGACATCAGGACCGACGAGGTCTAAACTCCGCATGAAAGATCGGACATCACCCTTTTTTTCTGCGATTTCGTCACATAAAGATCGGACATGGGGGGGTTTTTGGTTTGATTTTCGTCGCATAAAGATCGAAGATAGCTAGGCATATAGGGGGGTCCTGCGCCCGTCCAGTGAGTTGAGCCAAACAATGACAAATAATCACGCGTAAATTGAAATTTCTGGAAATGTCTCTTGTTGACCTTTGACTGCAACCTTCACCATGCCGCGAATTCTCTTTGTTAGTGGTTTTCACCCTGCAACCCGTGCTAGAGACCTTGCCTATGAATTTGAACGGTGTGTAGCCTTTAAAGTATTCAAATGTGTGAAATGAGACTAAGTTCCTCTCCAGGTTTGGTCCTCTAGTCCGTTGCGACGTTCCTGCACCGCGCAACCCACATGCTGCATCGAATCCGTAAGTTTTCTTTCCCAAACCTCTGTTTTTTTTATCAGATCTTTCGCGGTCTTTGGTATCGTCTTTTCGTGGGGGAACGACCCTGGCCGACGCGATGCGACACACATATTCGAGACGAGACGACGCCACACGAGACGGGATGTTGAAAATGCAGGCCACGCACGCACCTGCTACCCGACTGCTGCGGTCACGATCGACCTACGAGTTTCGAGGACCGACACACTACATACGTAATCGGCCTGACGAGCGAGTGGCCACCCTGGCGTCTAGACCGCTTTCTTTTCTCTTTCTTTCTTAACAAAGGTAGCGGGGTCACGACTATTACGATTCTCGAGAACGAAGAGGACGGCGGCAGTACGACCCACCCTTCGAGTTTCCGATTGACGAATTACGATTTCCTCGCATCTATCTTCCAAACGAAACATCCGCACGAACGAGTACGCTCAACGACGATCGAATTCGCAGCTATGCCTTTGTCGAGTTTAGAAGCACCAGGGATGCCGAAGACGCCTATTATGATATGTACGTCGTTATTCTTTTACAGTTCTTTGTTTTGGTATTGATTTTGCTCTCCTTTAGGCACGGAAGGTACTTTGAGGGATCCCGTTTGAGCATCCAAGTACGTGGTGTTTCTTCTAACCGAAACGTCATTCATTCTTACTAATCGTTACTCCACAATAGTGGGCCAAGAACCCCCCTTCGAGCGTTTGGCGCTACGAGCGCCGCTCTTCCCCACCTCCCCGTCGAACCCGATCGCGTTCGCCTCTGCCACCGCCCGGTCCTCCCCCTCCTCGCCGTGACTACGACCGAGATTACGACCGAGACCGTGATTACGACCGCGACAGGGACTACGACAGGCGAAGGAGGTCTAGGAGCCCTGATTTGAGGAGGCGCTCCCCCTCCCCTCGCAGGAGGGACGAAGAGTTGAGGAGGCGAGATGAAGAGTTGAGGAGGAGGGATGAAGAGTTGAGAAGGAGGGAGGAGGATATGAGGAGGGGTGGACCCAATGGAAGGGACGACAGAGCCAGGACTCCGCCACCTCCTGTCCAAGCTTCCGCTGGTGATGTTCCCTTGAAGGGCGGTGACAGAGCCAATGGCGGTGGGGAGAGGAACGGTGATGTGGCTCACACCCCTCCTTATGAACGTTGATTTCGCTCATGAGTAGGGTGTGCGTAGAAAGGTAATGGAGGTCTGCTTGTGCCTTCATTCCATCGACCACTTTCTCATTGGCCCTGTCTGGTTTATTCTGTTCTTCAACCATCCTGTTTTCTTTCTTGCCCCAATATTTGTTGTATCTATGTATGTAATGCATGTGCCCTTTTACATCTGCCTTTCTTTCAATCCCTCTTGTTTGTTTCTACCTCCTCGAAACCCATGCATCATCCCATCCAACCACTTCATCCGAGTTTCCGTACGTCCGAATTATCCATTTTCGTTCCATCTCCGTCGTGTTTATATTGCGTTTCTTGCCCATATGCCTTGTCATTCTTCTTGCGTTCGTGTATGTACTTACAGCTGCTGACCGTTGTTGTTACATACGGGATTCTGGTGCTCCATTGGATGTATCGTACTGATAGTTTTGTTGCCAATGTGATGTGCCTGCACTTTTTGCCTCGAACGATTCTTGTGAATGAACCCCCGAAAACGATGGTAGCCGGTAGGGATCGAACTGAGCCAGCGCTCGTGGCCGTGATCATATTCAGACGCGTGTCAAACGCGAGTCAGTCTACCTCGGTTGGCATTTCACCACGATGTCGTGCAGCCGGAGCGATGAAGAAGTGGGCCCAAACTTTTCTTAAAATCCAACGCTATCCAAGAACGACAACAATGTGGATGCATTGCTGTCAGTTGTGAACCTCCAACGCGACGAGCAAGCTCTGAACCTAACTCAAGTCCCGGAATTCAACTCACGCGACACATTCTTGACTGACGTGAATACGGTCTGCAAACTGGTTAAAGAGTGCTACCGAAGTGAGTAGCCTTTCAACCCTATCCTACGGATGACCTTAACAGCACAGAATTCTCGAGTCTCGTCGTCTTCAAGGACACCTCAAATCTCGTCCAGCCAGGTCATCCTCGTGACAAAGACGACAAGAGTGCCAAACCTGACTTTGTCGCCGGGTTCGAAGAGCATTGGCATGATGGTCGGAAGGACGATGGATCTGAGTCTGGCGATTCAGACGATTCAGAGGACGAAGTTCATCCGAAGGACCCCCATTCCCATATATTGTGGCCCCTCATCAGGGTTGCCGGGGAGACTGCACCTGAGAGGCCCAAATACCGAGATATCGAGACCATTGAATATTCTGGGACCTGTCTCTGCCTTCTCCTCGACGCCCGACCCGATTTCAGAGTCGCCCTTGGTCTTGTACTCGACAAGACAGAGGTGTATTTGCTCGTAGGGGAAGCAGGTGCGGGTATCCACCACTTCACCTTTGCCTGGGGAAGCAGTGAATTGCAGATGGCAATGCTTGCCATGGTTTACCGACTATGAACCTGCCAGGGAGTGGGTCAATTCCAACATCGAACTTGTCTACAAGCCAGCTTCAGCCCACGACAATTCTCCCGCTTGTGGGTACAGTCTCAGATTCCCCCCAGCTGATCTGCCGCATGCGGTACGCGGTGAATTCCTCTGTCGTTACGGCCACAATTTCTTCAGCTCTCGGGCACACGTTTTCATTCACGATAGCCGCCGACCTCGGATTCGTTGCAACGGGTCCTCCCTCAACGTCATCAAGATGCGGTTGTGCCGAAAGGATGTTCTCGGCGAAATCGAGATATTGGAGCGCATACACGAAAAGGGTAGCCTGCCTGGGGTGATTCGTCTGCTCTTCTACGAACGTCTCCCGTACCCTTACGCACGGAGAAACGAGACTTGGATGGGATTCAACGAGATTGGTCAATCCTTTATGTCCATCAAGACCGTTCGAGAGATGCTCATGGTGGAATACGATGTCTTGGAAAGTGAGTTCCAGTGTCTCTAGCAAGACAAATGGAAGCTGACGCCAGTAGTCACACGCATGCTTTTCCTCGAGCGCAACGTCCTGCATCGCGACATCAGCAAAGGGAACGTTTTGTACATCCCCCCATCTGAAAAGACCGAGGCCAGTGATACTCACAATAGTAAGAAGGCGTCTGATGACACGAAGCAATCGATGGGCTCTCGTTATTGTTTCAGTAAATATCTGCTTGGTGAAAGGTACGCGGCGGTATGTTCTTCGTGTGCCTCTTTCTAATGACGCGGTTCAGCTCGGACACAATGGAAACCTCCGCCCTCTTGATTGACTTCGACAGCAGCTAGATATTCCCTGCAGACGAGACGACGGCGGAGCAACCTGCGCCCTCTGGAGCGGTGAGAGCCCATGCGCCTTTTCGACTGAGACGTTATTAACCAGTGTTGCGTTTCAAGGGGACAGCCGCGTTCATGGCCAGGGCGATTTACCTAGGCGGACCGCTCACACTTGACTTTTACTTCTCTTTGCCCTCAATCCCGTTGTCTGCGCACTTGGCTTCCTACGAGAAAACCTTTCCGGACCGCGTTTCGATGTTTAGTGGACTCGTTGGGAGAGACATAGGCCTCGACCCATCGCAACGCTGGAAACTCAATAGGGAACCCCCGTATCCAATACACGGCCCGTGGAGACACCGACTTTATCACGACGCCGAATCGGTGTATTGGCTCATGGTCTTCTGGGCTTTGTTCGCTAAGCCATCGGTCGAAGTCGAGGGCACGCCTGAACACGAAGGCTATATCCCTCAGTACTGTTGGATCGAATTTTGCAGCGGTAGAAAACATAATTGGCCCGACGGCTGCAAGGAGGAAGACATACACCCAGCTTACAGACCTTTTTATGCTCTCCTCAGGGAAATGCAAAGGTACCTGTACGTTGACCCCCATTGGTTCCCGCGCGATTCGCCTATATCGCGACCAGAGTTTCTTCATGAATGTTTTCAGCGGGTTATTCTCTCGTTTCTTATGTCCCACTCCGAGGAAGAGTTCATGACGTTGGAGAAGTCGGACGAGGATCGCGCTATTCCTGTGATACGTGTGCCTCGACCCTCGTGAGTTATTACGCTCCTTGGGGATGAATCTCTTGTGCGGTATATAATATACAGACTGACATATATATGTATCTTTGAATCCATACCCAATGAAGGATTCAACTCTGCCACTAGCTATAGGTGGAAGGGAAAGCACTGTCTCCTTCGAGGTTCAAATTCCAAGCCTCTTCCAAGGTATCGGGGTTTGTCTGCTTCGTCCCATTGATTTGATTCACACATTCTGCCCATTTTCATCCCTCACATGAAGCGCGTTTAAACCTCTCGGGTACAGGGAAAGGAGTTTAGCATGCCCTGAATGGAATGTTTCGTCATGCACTCATCACCACCGTCCAGCAGGCACACCGAATCCATCAAAAAGGCTGCACCCGACTCGGACCCTAGAGCTTTCGACCCTCGCTCGCATTTCAGTGAATGGATTCGAGATGACTGTAGCATGGATTATTGTTTTTTTTTTTTATCCGAGCTTCCCTGGAGTTGCCGTGTTACGGCTCCAGAAAAATAAAAAATTAAGCGAAATGTCACTGAGGCTGAGGCCAAAATGGATGGCTTGCTGCTTTTACGAGACCTAGAAACTGTGTGTCACAGGAAAGGTTCTCGGGGCCGCGACGGTGTGACTCATGAGAATGGCGTCGGGGCATCTAAAAATATCGAAGTCGATCGCGTTTCAGCGCCACCGCCTGCCATGGGGCGTGTCAGCCTTCAGCATTCCCCTCCTTTCACTCCTTTCCCTATCTCGCTGAGTTTCCCAATAATCCGTGTCACCCCGCCTTTGGTGAGTTCGTTGGAACAATTCGTATGTTCAAGCTTCAAACTGATGAAACGGTTTTTACATCCTAGTTTCAAGACTGTAGCACACCAAAGCGATACCCAGCGTTCTCGTTGAAGTTCATCCAAAGGGTGATGTCGTTCAGGGCCAGTCCTGGAGGTCATGGTCCCAAGTACCTTGTGAATGAGCGATGTCCTCCAACCGCAGGAGCTCCCGACGGCTCGCCCATTCCATTTAGTCGGGATTGGGACCACGGCGAGTTGAGCACCCACGCACCTATCGTGCGAGCCCGCCCAGGTGCAAGAGGAAGCCCGAAGCCCTCGACGGGATCAAGCTTCCGGTCAACCGCGTCGTCCGCTCCTATCCCGATTCCGATGCCAACGTCTGCCTCAAACGCCAAGTTGTCCTCGACGAGACCGAGCACGCACACCGTAACGAGTGGAGGGGGTGCAATGGTGCCTCCCACAAGGCGGGAGCATCCAATTTCATCGCCCCCTCGACAATGGAATTCGACAGCGGATTCCGAAGCGACGCACTTTGCGATGGATTACAGTGGCCAACCCAGTTCTCCGCCTGTCAACCGAGGAACTCGAATTCTCCATGGCTCTCCCCGAAAGACTAATTCTAGTCCCCCTTCACATACATTCCCAAACAGAGTTGTAGTGTTGGGTCCTTCGACATCTTCGCATAAGCACCACCACCGACCTTCAAATACTGGGCCAGGCCCGGGCCTGGGATCTTCTCCCCTTCTCGATGCGGGAACTTTGTACGGCTCCCAGGACAATTTAAAGTATCATACGCACAGGGCGATCTTTCTAACCAAGGCGAAGGATAGGAGGGGGAGAAGTGTGAGCCCCGGGAGGGGGAAAGGTCGTATGTACCAACCCCTCTCTCACTCATCGCTCCTGTTGATATCCTCCTCAGATCTCCTCCCAGAATCATTTCGACCGTCCACAACCGTTTTCGACCAGCGGAAGCTTCATCCTCGACCTTGGAGCCAGTTGAGCATCCACAGTCACATCCATGCCCACGGGGGTACCGCCATCGCGGGTCTCGAGGCGTTGTGGTGCAGTGACAACTCTGTACCACCCGAACAAACGGAGGTGTTTAAGCAGACAGAAGATGTGAGTCGGATGCAGCCCAATTCCTCGAACCCGGTGCTGATACCTGGTAGTCGGTGAAAGAGGCCCTCAAATCGGTGACGATGTTGTCCATCGAGGTCATTGTCAAGATCCTTGAATCGGGAGTGCTGGAGTACGTCCCCATTCCTGGGTTAAACGGTGTGTCGAAGGGATTGGTGAAAATCTGGAAAGTTGTCAAAGGCGTGACGGTATGCAGTCGCTCGGAGCACATTTCATCGGGTGTATTAACAGCCAGGTAGAACAATCGACTCCGCCTACTTCGACTGACCCAGCGTTGTGCTCATCTTCTGTTGAGTATCAAGAAGGATGTGGAATCTGCCGGCGAGCGGGTCCACAGTTCGCTCCAAAACGCTCTGGATGCGTTACAACAGTGCGTCACCCGGTATTCCACTGTTCACCGATATCTCTCATTCATGCTCCCGCATCCCATAGTGCCTTCGACAAAGTCCGCCTCCTCGCAGAGAGTCAGATAGAGACCCCGTTCTTGCAACGATTGGTTGGCGGGGGAAACATCGACGCAGAGTTCGTCCAATGCGACGAGGAGCTGAACGAGGCGCTTCGAATGTTTTCCGTGAGTTTACCGTTTGTCCTGTGAGGGTCGAGGTGCTGACAACTGAATATCGCTGTGGTCCTGCAGCTCTCTGTGCAGATAAGCACAATGAAGCTCGTCGTGGAAACTTCGGACGGGCTGCGCCAACAGAATGAAGAGTTGATGAAGATGATGCACGGTCGCAACCTATCACAAAGCAGCTTGGGACACCCGCAATCTTTCAAACGACGCGGATCAGTAAATGTGAGTAAGGCTTTACTTTGGTAGACGTACATATCGATATCTTTTCAGCGGTCACCTTCTCCTAACTATCGCCTATCCGAGCGTCGTCCCTCGACGTCCGATTCCAGACGATCCTCCATGGCCGAATCGAGGTCGAGCACCCCATCCGACCTTCACCGCTCCATGTCACTCGCACAAAGTGGTTCCATCCACCGTCCCACTGCATCCTCGAGGAACAAACAGGTCATCCCTATCGCCAAGACCGTTTCCGAGCCGGTACATCACCATACGCCCAACAGGGGTTCTGTCGCTAGGCGCACCAGTACCCGACGCCCTGGAAGTTTCGGCAGCGGGAAAGAAGTCCTTGGATCGTCTCCACGGAGTAGGTACCACCCAGAACTCGAGGACCCAATCGAGAAAATCAAGCAATATCAACGACTGCAGAACGAATTGGACCGCCAATCGGACCTCAATGACATGAAGCAAATCATCAGAGAAACCCTGGCAGAGGGAAAGGACTCCTTGGTGATCAAGTTGCTGCAGATTGACAGTCGCGACTATCCACAGGCGATCCTGGTTCTTGAGCACGAGTTGAGGGAGTATCAGACCGGGAGGAAGGGAAACATTGCTGGGGAGGGCGGAGGGAGCGACGAACGGGAAGAGCATGCAAAACTGCAGATAGACTTGTTACAGCGTGGTATTGATGCCATGAAGAGGATGACCAAGCAGGAGGATCTGGCCAATATACCTGAATGGGCGATCAATAAGTACGTCAAGTCAACACTGCAGCGAGCCAAGAAGCCGACTTACATGCCTCCCTGAGCAGATTCAAGATTATCGAGCTTGAAACCATCGGCTATGGCTCCTTTTCCACCGTTCGACGCGGTCTTTGGAATGGCCGAACAGTCGCCATCAAGATCTTGTCCCCCAAGACCAAAAGGACCGTTTTTGAGAACGAGATGAGGATATGGAGGACGCTCTCGCACCCCAACATCCTCCCTCTGTACGGCGGCAGCAACTCGACGGAAGAGCCGCTTTTCTTTGTGAGTCTGTACGCAAGGTACGGGAATCTAGTCGACTTCTTGCAGGCCATCCGGCAGAACGACCTTGACGGTGTCTTCGGGGCTATGTTGAAGGAAAGAGAGTCGGGGCGGGGAACGGGAAGTACCTTGAAGGATTCTAATCCTGTTGGTGGTGCCAGGAAGAGGTACTCAGGTGGCGGAGGTGTAAGCGGGTCGCCTGGGACGAAGGAGATGAGGGAGCAGGCGCATCACAATCGGTGGCAAGGGGTTGAGAGGGAAAGAGAGAGAAGTTCTGGGATTAGTAGCTCGACGGATGGGACGGCGGAGCCACTTCACACTCTTCCCCTATCGAAGAGTGAGAGCAAATTCAACCACTGTCATATCCTAAAGGAAGGGGATTTGTATGGGTTTATGGTGGATATCGCAAAGGGAATGGAGTACCTTCATGAGAACGGGGTACTGCACGGGGATTTGAAGGTGAGGTTCGTATGCCTGCTTTGGGTGGAATGGTGCTGACAACGCGGTTGGCGAACCAGGCATCCAATGTCTTAGTTAACGATGATTTGACTTGCGTGATCTCCGACTTTGGCCAGAGCGAGCGGAGGAATGATATTTATCGAGCTAGCGGTTGGACCCCGAGTGAGTGACCAGTCGACGTTAGTAGGATCGATGCTGATATTGATGCTGACGGATATGCAGAGGGAACGGCGAGATGGAAAGCGCCTGAGTTGTTGACCGGAGTTGAAGGGGGTTTGACGCCGGCCATCGACGTTTACGCCTATGCTATTACTTGCATTGAAATCTTGTCCATGGGCGACATTCCGTGGGGTTCTGCAGAGGATAGCTCCCTTGCATATCGCGTAGTGGGTATGGCTGTGCGTGTGATGAACGTAGGTATATCGCTGACAACTGTCTACAGTGGAGCACCTCCGACCGCCCGTCCCAGAAGACTTCCGCCATCCACATCTGGAGGAGTTGTTAGAACAATGGTGGCACAAAGACCCACGTGCCCGACCCGAGTTCAAGGCGATAGTTTCTTCTCTGGAGGCTGTCGGACACCATATCGAAGCGGGGGCGTTGGATGATGTACGAAGGAGGATGTCACAGAGCGCCGCCTCCCTTCAATCTGTAGAGGATGTAACCTTGCCGGATCATAGCCCTCGTTCCGCGGACAGTGCTTCTGTTCTGACGTCGCCCTTTTCCCGTAAGTCGCTGGCCTTCAACTGTGGTACGCAACTGACTGAAGATTTGGTAGCGACGATGTCCGTTACGCCACCGGATGGAGGGCGAAGCTATTTCCCGGTTTGGGTTGCAAGTAACTTCAATGACATGCACCTGAGCCCCAAGAGCCAGAATAGTGGGAGGTTGTTGGATGAGAACTCGCCGACAACGATGCCCACCCCGATGCTCCCGAACCGTTCTGATGGGAGCAGCTGGGGGGCTATCCTGGCGCCTCGTTATAGTCAAACTGACCACCTGGAGATGGAACAGAGCAAGTCCCCTACCCCGCCACCCTCTTCGCCTCTGCCAGGAAACGAACAGAACTTCACATCGTCCTCGACATTGATGAAGGCTTCCGACAGTCGTCAAAAGAGCGGTTCGATGGAGCCATTCGAGGGAGATCCGTCAGGATTTGTGAAGGTCAACTACGATGACTTCAAGAGCCCTCAGTCGTTGATGATACCGACGACTACTGAGGGTGAAATTCGTGACGAGGACCTCTATCGTCTCGTACGACATGATTTCCACTGGAGCCGTAAGTCGTCCTTCTGTGACCCAACACTATCGAGCTGACTGCGATTACGCAGTGAGAGTGCCTTTGTGGAACCCAGTCCTGGTGGAGGTTGGTGATGTAGGGTACATGCACCCCCGGACACAAACTTTCGTCACCCTCTTCAACGCTTTCGAGCCCTGCTACACTCCAACCAACACCGCAATATCCATCCCTTCCATCATGGGATTCGGTGACCCCCTCAGGCGACATATGAGAATTCAGACGCAGAAGTCGAAGAAGTTCTTCCGTACGTTCAGCTACAAGGTCGATGTTGAAGCTGGTCGGCCCATGGCGCATTGTTTCTGCGAGTTTCCGGATTGGTATTACATGGAGAATACGAGGTCTCCGCAGGCGTGGTTCAAAGCTTCGATTGACGAGATTATGGAGTTGCATGGGGAGAAGCACAACATTGCGAAGGAAGACGTGTTGTTGGGTGGGTTTCTTTTTGATACCCGGTGTAGATTGGTCGCTGACAACGTTGTGGCAGTCGTTGGATCGCTTCAGGCGTCGAGATATAGTTTGTTGATCAGTCATAACCATCCTTCTGGCACGGTACGTTCACGTTTCCATTGACCACCACCACAGACTGTACTGACGGACGGAGAATCAGGTCGAGTTCACGGGTAATTCAGGCAAGAAAGGTCGACCTTGGGGAAGCTTTGGGCCGATCTCGATTCAAGGAAGCGGGAGTTCTTCAGAACGCTATGTGACAGCGAACAGGGTCTCTGATAGCGATTCTTCTCAGAAGGCGCTCTTCTTGGCTGCGCTACATTTCCCTCCTGATGCATTGGAGCCGACGTTGAAGTAAGCATCTTGCAATAATGTTTGGCAACATTTGAAGGAATGCGGGGTATCAGGTATTTGAATGCATATGAGTAGTTTGTGAATACAATAGTTTCAAAGAATCTAGTATAGCATCAGATCAGCATTTTGTACGAATAGTGTAGCCATATGGTTTGTGTATTACATACCGGAATAACGAGGACTTGTTCAAGATGGTGGAGCTGTAGAGGCCATGTTGCTGGGTATAGGGGTTGGATTCGCCGTTGACGTTGGCGCGGGCGCTGGTGAGGTTGTCGAAAGCGGTTGCAGTTCCGCAGGTTCCCTAGCTTGCGGCTGCAGTTGCGCAGGTATCGGGGTGTTCGGTTCAGATTCGATGAGGTGGAGGATATTGGGTTCTCTCCATGCTTGTGTAGCACGTCTCATTTGCTCAGAAAGAGTATCGGTATCGCTAGCGTCGATGTGTGCGTTGTCGTCGTCAAAGTCGTCGCCCAGGAAGAGCGTTGCGGATGGTCCATCGTCTTCGCTTAGTCGGATCTGGCCTTCTGGTCTCCTGAATGTTTTCAATCTGCAGAATGACGAATGGTCAGATCACGGTCACTTGAGAAAGGGCAAAGTAATTGAATGAGGAAAGCTGAATGCTTGTCGTCCGTTCCAGTGTCACGGCGCTGGTGTGGTGCACCTCGGTCCGAAGCTTGAAAAGGCTGAGGAGAACAGGACACTAACCTATGAGAAACAACCCTCCGAACTGCCTCTGCTTTTCTCCATAATAGAAAGAGCCCACAGAGTGTACATGTTGTGATTAGGAAGATGAGAGGTTGGTTGCCGATTGGTTGTGGTTTGGGCGATTCTTTGGGTTCTACATGTGGGTTGGATTAGATTACGGGGGTTTGGTTTTACCCAGGGTTCATGGACAACAAGTGCATGCATGCGTACCTCCTGGTGCGACGCCGAGTGTAGTAGGTGCCATTGTTCAGGGTTGTATAGTATGCTGTGGTATGTTGACAGTGGTTGTACCGGTGAGAAACTTGGTTGGTTGAAAAAGTTGAATTGAAGCTTCAGGGTCTTCTGAATGCCCGAGTGCCAAATCTCTTTCAAGTTTCTTCTTGGAGCAAAAAAGGGAGCGTTTCGAAATCTCGGATTATTCGTGGCGTGGATGGATGTAGGTCCCCTCGTTCTGTATCTTCCACCACCGATTAGAGAGATGATTCTTGAATGTGCGTGATGTGGGTGTTGCTCCCTCCAATCGTTCCAATTCCAATTCGTCTTTTGCCTCGATATAGCCCTAGAGACGGGCAAGTTGCGACTCGGGGCCCGTTCGTTCGTGTGCAAGTCGTGGAAGATATGAGCGGAGTAACGAATTTGGGAATTCCTGCACTGTGTGTCCCAGTAGACAATGTTGTCCTTGTGGTTGTTGTGGTTGTGGTATGAGAACAAGAAGGGTAGATGACGCTGCGGTCTTGATTGAGGGTTCTGATGCCCAGTCTACTTAAGCCGCGGCTGTGCAGCTCATGATCATTCCCGTGGGAACCCCACCAAAGTGGTGGGCGCCAGTTCGAGTCCCGGCCAGCGCTAATTTCCGTCCTGGTCGGAAACTGAGCGACTGAGGCGTGAGGTCTTTCGCTTCTTCCAGTAATCAGAGGAAAGGGTCTCTGTAGACCCTTGTGTGTGTGTGGACCCGGCAAGTAAATGTACGCCTGACGGTTGCAGTATCATGGATAATGGATGCACACAAGCACAAGGTCTTTAGACACCGGTGGAGTTGCGAGCGTATGTTCGCCTCACGCGGCCAGTTGTGTGTATCCCGTGAGCCCGGAGAATTCAACGAACTGAACGAGATCTTTGTTCTAGTCCCTTTTTACGACATGCATACGATGAAGTTCAGTGGGTAGTAGTATGTATGCATGTATTACAGAATCTGATGAAAACATATGGGTCTACGGTGTCCGTACTGAGCTCCAAAGTCGGAGTCCAGGTATAGTAAAAATCACAGCAACAATGTGAACAGTGACGAGACATAGTGTATGTAGGTACGACAGGGTACTAGTTATTCAAAAAATCAAACAGGAAAGCATGGATCGAGAACAGAAAATAAGTTAAACCAACGGCGTTGCATGCCCGGATGCCTTGGATCGGTGTTGGAGCAGCTGGAAGAGGAGCCCCCGGATCCCAGACGAAAGCCTTGGACATGATGCATAATGCGTGTGCGAATCGAGCCGCACGGTAGCACACCGTACTACCGGATAACATTCGCAGAGAACGGCTTCTCCTTCTCCGCCTTGACACCCTGCCCCCACACCTGCCACATCTTAATCACCTGCTCCTTCGGCGATGCAGTAAACACATCCTGACCCGTCGGCCCCAAGCACGCAGCCGTAATCGTCTCCCGATGCGCCTGCGTCAGCGTCAACAACCGCTTCGAGGACGGGTAATCGTGCACCACGAGGGCGTTCGTAAACTCTGTTTCCACGATCTTGGGTTTCGGCATCTTGATTACTTGCAATGGGCCGGGTGGGGGAAAGTAGGAAAGGCGGCGGATTCTGTCTTTGATGGAAGTGAGGTCTTGGAACGATGTACCGTGTGCGCTGAGGAGCTCTTTGCATACTGGTGACCAGATCAGGGAGTGTACCGATGAGTTGAGCGTGAACGTCTTTTCGGGTTGGAAAGGTTGAGAGGTAATCGTCGCGAGATTCCATGTCCGGATGATGCCTTCAGGATAGAAGGTCCCAGTCGCCAGCAAATCAGATTTCCAGGGGCACCAGGCTAGACACTGCAAAGAGGGCTTAGGTTTAGTTGAACAAATACAGGGTCGACAATAAACCCACCTTCACTGGCCCACCATGCTTCATCTTTCCATGTTTCCCCCGCTCCGTCAACATCTTCTGCGCCGTCACATCCCAAATATGCACAACCCCATTCACATCCCCACTCGCAAGGTAATTCCCATCCTCACTCCACGCCATAGAAACCACCTTACCCGTATGATACTCCCCCGACTCCCCATGCACACCAACCTGCTGCCTCTTCTCCGACCTCACATCCATCGCAAACACCCGCTTACTATTCCCCCACGTCACCTGATGCCGATTCCAACACACCGCACCAATGCTATCCATCGCTCTCCACGACGTCGACTTGGGAACCCGCACCGCATACCTCGCAGCATGCGTATCAAACACCTCCAAGAACCCCCGGTTATTCGAGCACGCAATCCAGCTCTCATGCTCCGCCCCTCCCCAGCTAATATGTACCGCTTCCTTCACCAAATCGTACTCCCCCCTCGAGCCTGTAGACCCAGCCCTAAAACACAGCGTCACCTCGCGCGTGTCGAGGTTCTGGTAGTACACCTCTTTACCACACGCCACTGCGATGTTGTTCCGGCGAGACCACGAGACGGGTTGGGCGTACTGGTTGAGACTCATCCCGGGACTATCCAGCGCCTGCGAGAACCGCTTCGACTTGGCCAGGTTCTGCGAGACGGATACCCCGTTGCGGTTCTTGGATTCTGTGAGGAGGGTCGAGGCGCTCCGTCTGAGGAGATCGAATGCATCCGCGTTGGCCACTTTCGACGATGTGAGGGGCCGGGATGAGGAAAGGGAGGAAGAAGATTTAGCCTTGGACGACCTCGAACTCGACGATGCGTTGGGTGATTGGTTCTCGTCTTTGTAGGATAACCGGTTCCCACTCAGTATCCCGAATTTCTTGCACATCCTGTTGGTCCGTGGGCTGATGGTGAGGGGTATGATCGTTTCAGGGCGTAGCGAGATAAATCTGTCGCGCTACACGACCACAGTTAAGTCTCCGTCTCATCCACACAACTGAAATATAATCGAGTCATGGATGCGCACCGAAGGTGTGGCTAGAGAGGCACTCTCATAGCTAAACAACGGACCCGTTGTCCTCTGAGCAATCTCTGACGACAGGTCCACCGAGGCCATCGACAATCTCCGTTTCTTGTGGGACCTAAAGTCCGGCATCGACGCAGGTGTAGACAGCCTCTTGCGACCATTCGATGTGCTTGGCCCCGGTGTTTGGAATACTGAATCCAGTACTGAACTTGGTCCAGGTTCTCTGTGCAGATTTCAGACTTTCTGAATATTTCCAACGTAGAGACACTTACAGAGGCATCTTGGCTAATTGTAGGCTGGATTGAGCCTGTAACGAGAAATCGAGAGTCAGGAATGGATCTTGTGGTGAGTGTCGCTGGAAGAACAGTGGCTCGTGCTCGACTCGAGTCGGAGCACAGCCAATAAACTCCGCGCAGACTCCGCGCAGAGACCACGTGATCGCGTCGCAGAACACGCTCACCACTCACCCAAGAAATCGTCTCTCATGTTCCCTCAGAAAGTCAGTCTCCAGAGTATAGGCAAGGTCATAAACGAGTTTAAATAAGGTAGGCATAACGCGACATCAAGAATAGGGCTACAAAATTCAAGACGGAACTATAATAACGAGTGATATCAACCGATTCGTAACGAGATTCGAGGGGCGAGGCCACTCGAAGGAAAGACACAGATCCTCGAGGACTAGATGGAAAGTACATAAGTAAATAATGAAGAGGTAACGCATAAAGATAACATAAAGATAGGAGGGAAAAGATCGGAAGGGGGTGAATGAACGACATTGGATACTTACTTGCATATTTTACTCAAGAAAACCACACGACGACACCAGATAATATCGGACTCGTCGATCCCACTTTAGGATCGACGAGAAAATAAATGTACGACAAATGAACAAAAGCCAAGATCCACAAGAACCAAGAAAAAAGCCTCTGCTATCGTATCAAGCCAACAAAGTCAAGGCTGGACTGCCTTCGAAGTTTGACCTGCTTCCGCTTACCCCACACATCACAGGTATGGATCTTGCCGTCCTCTGGAACCGTAAACACAACCTTTTGGGTATTATAATAGGGAGCCAAGTTGCCCAGAGGAAGATCAGAAGTGTTCAGCTTCATATTCGTCACAAAGCGAATAGAAGGGAACTGCCAGACAGCGAGCGTGTTTTCGATGTTCGTCGTCGGTGGCAAGCCACGAATCTGGAAGGACGGTGCAGAGGTTGGAGGCGACATAGCCGAGCCAGCAGGTGGTGGAGGGACCTTGTACCCATGAGTGGTGAGGAACTCTTTGCACTGAGTAGACCATTGGATTCCAGTAATGGCGGCGCCCGTCTCGACCTTTGCAGGGGTCAGCGCGTTCGACTCTTTGACCTTGGGGTCAATCTTCCAGAAGTGGATAACACCTTTGACATCCGCTGTCAATAGAACCCTGGTTTGCCAAGGGCACCACGCGATAGCCTGAAAGAAAGAACCAGGTAAGAATCAGTTGAGGTGAAACCAAAGGTATCCATGGGACCACTTACGGAAACAGCGCCTGAATGTTTCATCTTCTTTCTCCTTGAACCAAAGTCACCGACCTCCAAGGGCACCTTATCCGCGATCCTCCAGCAGAATACATTCCCTCTCTTGTCAGCGCTTGCCAAAATCTCGCCGTCCACACTCCATTGCATCCGCGTAATGGCCGACTGGTGTCGCATCACATTCGGCGCGAGCTCCCTCATCTTCTCGACTGGGCTAATCCGAGTATCAAAGTGGCGAATGCTACCGTCAGCGTAACCGACGGACAAGATCTTGTCGTTCCAAGCGAGAGCAGACGCGGGCTTGTCGGTCCAACTGAAGATGCGCCTCTTTGTTTGAGTATCGTACAAGGCAATGACACCTTTCGAAGTCGTAAACGCAACCACATTAGGGTTGTTGTCGCCACTACATGCGATGGCGGTAAAGTGACCGTGTTGACTGTGAAGCTTCGTGATTTGGCCAACCTCTTCGTTGCCGAGCAGGTGTTTGAAATGAAGTCGGTTGGTACGCGTGAAGAAGAGCATGTTGTTTGATGAACAAGCGAGCACGTTGGGCATCACGACTGGGGTGAGCAGGCGAGGGTCGGTGATGTGCGGCGGTTGGGGCGGAGGGTCTAGTGGCGGCAGACCTGGGATGACGATTGGTTGGGGAGGCGGAGGTGGTGGAGGAATGGCTGGTGCAGCTGGTGTAGGCGTCACGAACTCGACCAGGAATTTTGGATTTCGCATGTGCGTTTTTGCAGACTCGACCGCGTAGGTGACCTCGGTCGTACCGTTGGAACCAATCGACGCGGTGGACGCTGTTCTCCTGAGACTACTGACTGACGGACGAATGATACGGTCGCGAAGACACGTCTCTACATGCTCCAACGGGTTGAACGCGGTGGTGGAAGCAGGAGAAGCGGTCATGGAAGAACGTCGACTGAGGGATCTGCTACGTAAATTTCGTTTTCGCGTCTCGATATCGAGCTCTATACGGGGCGGAACTGTGTTAAGAGTTGCCTGGAAGTATGAGCTTATCGATTAGAATCTCATTTGAAGCGAAGAGGAATCGTAAGACGCACCTGGATGGCCTCATCCAACGAGCTCGACCCGGAGGACCCACTCGACGATGTAGACGATGTAGACGACGTTGACGAGGTCGATTCAATGCTGGTACTCAATCGTGGTCTCTTGAACAACGAAATGCTTGAAGATGGCGTCGAGCCCACGTCTGAGTCGACCCTCTTCCTGACTCTGGTGTTCGGTGCTTCGGACATGGGCGTATACGGGGAAGCCAATGATAACGGTTCTGGTGTCGTCATTCCCAGTTGACGCCTCTCGCCAAAAGTCAAATCCCTTGACATCGTTGCTGGTCGACTGCGCCTGCGCTGAGTTCGTTGTTGAAGACGAGGAAGAGTGTGGTAAAAGAAACAAGATGGGAATTTGCCGAAGTTGTTCGCCTGCTTTTATTTGTTCCCGGTCGGGACGGCCAGTTGCCTCACAAAACTCCGCCCTGGCTCGTCGTCCACCATGGACCCATTGTCCAGCGTCGTTCAAAGCGCCTTCGCTGCTCAGCTTGTGTCTTTAATTAATGTCCCTTCCGACATGAGGTCGAAAGCCCATTGTCTCAGACACTCGACTACCGCGCCAGAAAAAAAAATGTACAATGGTAATTTATCTCCTCCCAACGCCGACGAGGCATCTCGAATTTTCTGCGAATGTATTCGACCAATCGGTGCTTGGCCGTATGGAATTTGTATTCGTGCGCCGTACGCTCACTGTAAATGGGTGTGCCGAGCCAACGCAAGCCAGCTGATTCCAAGGAACGCATCAAGTATTGGTCGCATGGTCAGTTTTATCCGCGATGAACTTCCCACTGGCTCTCGGGTCGACTTGTTCTCCTTGTCCCATTCGAAGCTGCCCTGGGGACACGTATGAGTCCGTAACCACCACACAAGACATCATCACTGTGTATTCCCTTCAATTTTCAACGGTCATGGCTGGAGAGGGACAAGGGGGTGGCACTTAATCCTAGCCAATGTGATCGGCGTTGCTACCACTGCGTCCCACAGTGCCTAATGAACGGCTTCTAAACTAACAATGGGATCGACAGAAGTTTCAAATTTTCTGCACAAAGGTTGTCGTCGAAACCGGCCCCGTCGAAGTTCGCCATCAATCGCACGGAGGGACCGCGCGACCATTGTGCGGCGGCGCGACACGAGTGGCTCGGTTACCACCAGACGCGTCCTCCTATAATTGGTCACGCCATCTGCATGTGATCGCGCGTACCGCGTTTTCATCCTCCGATTCGGAAACTCATCTCAGAGTCCAGTTCTGTTGGTTTTGGGGCTCAAAAACGATGTAAATGCTTCATCGAACGAAGTCCGGTCAGAAAATTTCGTGCACTATACATGGAACTAATTTGACCGCATGCTCTGCCGCCGCGATGTCCAGAGGTGTTGCACAAATCCTTCACTTACCAATGGCTGGGTTTGTGAGTTTACGATTCTCTTCTACCGATCTTAACAGCAATGCAGTCGCACATGAGAGAACCCCACTCCTCGCAGCTCCCTCTAACAACAATTTAGCTCACTTACCTCCCACTACTTGCAGTTCAACTTCCATTGGAACAGCCCTCGAATGACCGTTAATGACTCGGACTGACCCGCGGGCCTCTCGATTTGGAACTCGCTTTCTTCAGACAAGACAGAAATTCGAAATAATAACTTGAGAAGATGACGCGTCCACTAAATTTTGAACATACTGTGCTCTGTGTGTACAGAGTCTGTAGCTTTCAACTACAGCAATGATTCATGAACCTTCAGAACCACGGCCGCACCACGCTTACGAGAGTGCTGCGGATCGACGATCCACAAATAAACCATAATCTGCAGAAAAACGCTCAGCTCTCGAGGGTTGAATCTCCTATCTCAAGCAACGTACCTCAAGATCCTTGGGCTTGTGGACCTACCAGACGATTCAATGTAACTCGGGGAAAAAAATAAACCATCATGTAACTGAGATCTGAATCTCCCGAGGGCTCAGTATCAGGTACAACGCACTATATCCACTGTCATGGAATCTCAATCTTTCAAAGAGCAATTTATCATGCCATGTCTTGCGCAAAAATACGACTCTTTGACATGTCAATGCCATTAGGTTGTACTACATTCGCTTCCACCTCGCCGATCAGCCAACACGGGTTTTCCAGTAAAGGCAATTGCAAAGCAGTCCACTCACACCTCGGCCTCGTCTACTAGTTGGGCTCGGGTTGAGTTCAAGTGCACTAGACAAGATACTGGAACCAAGGCTTCTAGCTGAACTTAGCTCAAGCTCCTCGCCCTCACCTAGGCTGTCCGGATCGACACCGACTCCCGCAGTCAGACATAGAGCAAGTAGCATGACCCTTACACAGTCATACACCCTGCAGAGCAGTCCAAGCACATACCATAACAGCACGGGCGCTCGTTTCTTCACTCTTCTAATGAGGAGTCCGACCAAGTCGCGTACAGAAGGATCACCAAAAGACCCTCGACTCGACAACCGCGTCCCTCGGGGGAGAAACCCAGAGTCAAAAGCGATGCCTCCATTGATGCGGCCATGATGCGCCGATTTCAATTTCATGGGTACCGGTGATGATTGCGTCCACAAGACGACTCCGCCTCCTTGCTCTCTCATCCTCGAATTTTCAAGAATGCGTTTGGGGTCCTCGTTGAGAGTAAGTATCTATCCCTTGATTTTGATTGTAAGGATACTTCAAGTACGAACGAGAACTCCCGACGCGACAAAGGTAAATTCCCAGATGAAACCTCAACATAGTACTGGTTTCCTCCCCCTCTGAACAGCATAACGTACCAATTAGATCAACTCCTATCACCCCCGCACCGCCAGCCGCCCAGCAGAGCGAAGAACAGAAAAAAAAAAACATATAAAAATCTATTCAATTGCTACAACATTTCCTTGATCTTTCTCAACAAGTAACATACACCATTACGGACCTCTGACATACGGGCGCGCGATGCGCCATGCCTTGGACCCACAATAACAGCATCCCGCCAATATGATAGATGCGAGATGCAACCAACGCCCGAACAGCGAACGCCGACTCTCCCCTCCTCCCAAGAAAGCTTCCAAATGACTTAACCGGCGGCACCGAAGTGTACATTGAACCACACACACCTGTCGAGGATTTGACAGATGCTGACCACAATCAACGGAACGGTAGACACCCAGAAGACGCCTGACTCGCAGAGGACAAGGAAAGGCGCCCTTGTGAGATATGCAGAGATCGTAGGCGTTGCGGCTCTCCATCCATCTACTGACTGTATCATCGTGTGTCACCTGAACAACTTCTCGAGAGACAAAGTCGCCCACCCAACGATGTCGAGCGATAAAGAAGTGATAGATGCGAGGCGCAGTCGGCATCTCCCTTCAAACAAACGTGCGCGTGACACCTGCATTTCACTTTTGAGCGCCAAAATCGAAATTGCTGTTACCGTTGTGATTGATTGCCATTGCTGATTGGGTATATACCGTAGATCATGAGGGCCAGTTGCAGCGGATCTGCATCCGGATGAACATGAGCATTGAGCCAGTGATATGAAGGGACGCGGAATGACTTGCCGCGGAGGAATCAGGCGTACAGAATTCGTTTCCCGAGTCCCAAGTTCCATTTTTGAAGGAAGCAATTGCAGAATGTGTGGGTCCCTTGCGCTGTTTTCGCGTCTCCAAAAGAACAGCAGGGCATCACAGCAGTGCGCAGGCAGCCATCTCTGGGCCAATGGACCGGCAGAAGAGGGTCTGATTAGCTTTGAGTGCTTGGAACTTCCCATTGACAGTCAGGATATGCAAGGCGCTCCGGGAGTTTCGTGGGTTTGAGTGAATCGAGTCCGTTTCCTTCGAAGTCGGGTACTATGCTGTACTATACACAATAATAGGTGTGACCGTCGTTCCAATCATATCTTACAGGTTGGGTCTGGCATCATCGTTCGTGGATCCGCGAATCGCCCTGAACAAACCAGGGACCTCAGTTTAGCGATCTCGATTATCGCTCCATGATAAAAACACTCTCACCCGGTATCATCATCCAGCGTCGGTGCAGCCGAGCTGGCTTGCTTCACCTCTTCCTCCCGGATCTGCTGGTTGATCTCGAGTGTGCGTCGATAGACGGCCCATGCAAACTGAAGCACTTTGGCCTCTTGGCCTGGTAAAACCTTGATAGCTTCGTCAACGGGAAGGAGATGAGATTCAAAGTTCTGCTCGTCTGGCATGCCCGTGCCTACTTCGCGATCCTAGAGTACAAGAGTTACCGAGTGATTCTTGAGAGCATTTGGATGAAACGGATTGACCATGTCTTCTGGTATCATCCCAAGATACCAATGAATGAGGTACTCCCCTCCCGGCTTCTCCACCAAGCGCGTACCCACTCTCCTTGTTCGTGGAGACCAGTGCAGCAGCGTAATAGCGATTGCTTCGGTAGTCGCTCTATAGTTCGCCTCAGGGTCACTGGGAGGAAATGGCGCCAGATGCGGTGCCCAGTGAGGCATAAACGACGCCCGATATCCTGACTGCGAATGACTACAATCAGCACTGACCGCCCTGGACAAATTTATTGAAACCACACTTACCTCTTCGTAAGCCTCCCGTAGAGCAGCCTGCTCCAGACTCTCGCCGACATCCTTCCGCCCCCTCGGGAAGAAACAGTATTTCTTCTCTTTCTCGTAAACCACCACGATTTTGTGGGTGTTCTCTTGAATGATGACCATCCCCACACCGAGCATGAAGTCCATGGACGACCAAACGCTGTCCGGCACAGCAGGAGTCGACCATTCAGACAGCTTCGGGAGTGGTGGTTGGCGTGGTGGCACCAGTGAGGTCGGGCGGCGAGCATGAGTGCGATTACTACTGCCAGATTGCGTCTGTGAGCGATTCAGACCGAGTGCGCGTGCCACCGACGACGCTAGGCCCTCGTCGTCGCTCTTATTCGACATGGAGTGAAATACGCTATATTCACGAAATCATGGATAGTGGATCGTGGTGGTTTTGGATCAAGCCTGTGCAGTGACGGAAGTGTGGGTCCAGGATTACGTTTCTCACACCCAGGGTCCAAACGCAAATTGGACTCAAGAGGCCAGGCAATGTAGCTCACGCAGGGAACGGAAAGTTGAATATACTTAGATTTACACAAGTGTTTACAACAGGGTTAGTCACATCGTGATAGTTCGTAAGAGGTCATAAGTCATGAATACTCGTGAAGATGAACGAGAGGGGTATCCAGCTAGGGAGGGAAGAAATCCAAATAATAAGCAAGGAGAGAAATGTGCCTGTTCAAGGCTCAAGAGCCCGCAAGCATCGCTGCGACAGATAGACCAGCGACCAATAAAACCGACGTGAACGACACGGCTTGAACGGTCCTCGTTCCCGTTCCCTCTGCAACCGGGGGTGGTGGTGCGTTATTGCTATCCGTGACGTTTCCGACCAGGGTGCTGGCGACGGCGCATATCCGTCGGATACCTTCCACGACAGATGGAAGGTCTTCACCCATGATAACACGCTCCTGCCCTGTCCGAAGGAAACTGAAGATACATCAGCTACGGGGATAAAGCGACAAGAAAGGAGCGTGTTTACCAGTCGACGCATTGGGGGAATACAGCCTTGAACGTATCTGCACAGGCACACTGGATAACGTCCACAAAGGCTCCCGGATTGAACATGACCTGCTTCAAGTCAGCCTCACAGTACGAGCCGTCGATTTTTCAAGGACATGCCACGGAGAAGTTCTGGAATACCGGGGTTGCCTCTGCACAGCTCCTGATACTGTCATAGTCCTGGTTTGGAGTAGTTAGTATGCCGAATGATCCTCTGAGTCAAATGAAGGCTCATGAGACACCATCCAATCACCTTTGCACAGATGGGACAAGACTCCGGTTCGTCAGGGAAGTATGGGTCCGTTCTTCGCTGCAAACTCCTGGGAGATAGGATTTGTGATCCAAGGTCGACCACAGGTGAGGCCCACGTTTGTATGAAGATACAAGAGACCAAAAAGAGGGTAATCGTTCGCAGCATCGTCCTGTGCGGTACCGGGATGGAGAATGGCAGTGGTTACAAGCGTTGACTCCTTAAACACTCGAAACGTTCAGGAACTCAAGCGCCGAGAAGATAGGCCTTGAATCCTGCCCCAGCACACAATCAGTTGATCCTGGGAGTTCGAAGGGACCACCGGTGTGTGCTAAGCTCGTCTGGGTCGGGGGGAGGTGGGTGTCGCAGGGAGAGAAGGCTCTGGGCAAGCTGGAATCCCGCTATCGGACTGTGGGGAAGCCTTCGTGGGATAGCTGGCGAAAATGGTAAAATAGCCCCTGGCCATAAGTTGCGCCACACAACGTTTGAGCAACGATCTTCAGGGTAAAAATCGACCTCCGCGACGTTTGAGTTTGGGCGCCCTGCACTCAGTGGAGTAGAGTAGGTTTAAAAATAACCTCTAGTCAGAATTAACCTGAAAATGAACCCTTCCCAGTACTACTATGATACAACATGTGACTACTAACAATACAACGACGGATCCACAACGTCTCGGAACACCAGACTAAACTACAGTACGTGACGAACCTAGGGTATATGAAGGCTCTGCAGCCGAAGTTATGATGCAGACCATTCGTGAAGTAAAAGATGAAACAACGAGGATCCGAGTTTAAATCCTAAAATATCTCTTCGAAACGACCACTCGTACTCCCCGACTCCGACGTGCAATCACTGGCAGGGGAGAGGTTTCGGACACGGCGATTAGAGGCCCTTTTACGAGTATACGGTCTTGACCTTGTTGTTGTCCCGTGGGCGCTCTGTATGGATGGCCGTTCCTGTCGCAATGGATTCTTGAAAGACGTCCGAGCTAGGATCCATCCACGAGTCAGGTCCGATATCCGGAGGAGGCAACTTGTGAAGTTGGCTTTGGAGGTATTGACCTTTTGGCTAATAACAACGTTGATGTCCATAGGGTGTTTGAAGTCTCCCCCCGTATCGTCGTCAAACGCGGAATAGGGCTTCCACAACGTCGCGAAAACGACTACCCGTGCGGTGATGGGGCGCTCGGGGGATGGTGTAGTGGGAAGGAAAAGTAAGGGAGCCGTAACAGTGAACTGATAGTGCGCCATTCTTGGGATACCAAGTTCCAGGTCGGTGAAGAGGTCGTCTAAAGGTCCCCAGTGTACCTTCTCCGCCCTTCGATCAAAGTCGTGGCGGTCATCAGCCGGAACGTACTCGATCGAAGCGAGGTCTGCCAACCTCACCTTGCCGCCTGCAATGAGAACGCAGTCGGCGCCAATAGAGAAGAAGAGACAAAAGTGTCGCTGAAGCTTCGCAATGGCTTCGTAAACCTGTATTCGATCTTCGAGGCGAACAGGTCTGCCCCATGTCGCTTCGGTTACAAGACCCAAGACATGGCCATCAGAGTCAAGGAGGTGACCATAGACCTCATAGGTGAGGTCCAGGTCTCGAACGGCGTAGGCTGCTTCCATAGCCCTATTGACAATCCTCATCTTGTTCTTGTCCCAACCATACCAAATGTCTAGACACAATGTCAACGAAGTCGCGCCACAGAAGAATGGAATAACGCTTACCGACTGGCTTTCCATCCCAGAAGCCATTGGCCTGGCAATCATCGTTCCAGCGCGATATTTCGATTTCGTGCTCGTAAATCGACTGACTCCAGAGCGGGCATTTCACCATTTTGTAAAAAGGCTTTCTGCAAGGCAGGAGTTGGAGCTCGCCATTGGGTTTCCTATTAACATACACCCAGTTGGCGTTCTCGACGTCAATAGCATTTAGCAGAGTTTGCTGATGATTGATAGATAAAGGATCAGCACACGGGCAGAAAGAGATAGCAGAGGCCGACTCACAATGGACTGCAACGTCTCGTAGACATGCGCAAGGGTATTGAGGCGCACATCCACCGTGAAGTCTTCAGGACCGTAGGTGTCGGGAAGTCCCAGAGAATTCTTGAAATTCGACTGGAAAACCACTGTGCGCCCATTCTTTGCCAAGCAGTGGATCGTGTAGTCCGGGAGGGCGGTCCCGCAGATGAACGTGAACATATCCCTAGGGAGAGTTGTGCCAGTCGGCCGGGGTGACGCTGACATGCTTGAGCACCGAGCGCGTTGTGTGCTGTATAGTGGGCTAAATGTGGGTGCCACCGTTGAGCCCACAATCGGAAGGAATAGTGCTTACAAGTCTGCCATCAATCATTGTAGATCGCGATCGATGGTTCGGGCGCTTAATTCTGCACCAACAGTCCGAGTGATGGCTTTGAGCTTCGTGCATTGGGTTTCGGTTTGCAGTTCAAGGCGAGTCATATTGATGAAAATCGACCACAATATGCGTTGAGTCTAGGAAAAGACAAGACGTTCACGACACTGTATTAGATGTCCATTCGGGAAATATGCAAGCTTAAAATATGCTCTCGATGCGACTCGAGCCCCGAATATCCCTTTTTGGGTTCCCGGCAACTCAGCCTCCTTGTAAACAACTTTTTGTGAATGGTCTACACTATGTCGAATCTCCAGTGGGTGACGGTAGCTTGAATCGTAGGTGCGCAGAGTTCCCTCTGGCTCGTAACGCCCAATTTTGCAGTAAGGCTTTGTGTATACACATGCGCATAGTCGACTATTTAACCTTGGTATGAAGTCCTCGAATCTATACCATCCTCCCCACTCGCACTAATGTGTGTTATCCAACCTACCAGGTGTGCCAAGTGCCAGAAACCGGGATATGCGCTCCTCAGAGGGTGCCCCCAGAACCCCAAAGGATCCTACCAATGCCCTGCACGCCAGAGCGAGCCGTCTGCAACACCTCCACTCGTAATCCCGAGCTGCGAACTCTGTAACAGATAGCTTGTGACGGGTAAGCTGCAGAAATACATCTCATACGCGACACCCTCACTGACCAATATGTTCTCAGTCTGGTCCTCCTTGGCCCTGTCCGCGATCTGATCCTCAGCAGCCGCCTGAAAAATCATTCCAGAAGGAAAACTGCATCTCCCCAGATTCCCCCACCTCTAACTTATCATTAATACGCATAATTGCTCTCCCTCTCCTCGCTGGTCCTCAGGCTTTGAATTTCGCTCCACCCTGCGCTCCGCTTTGTAGGCTTCCGGCCACTTCGAGCGAGTCAAGCGGCGCATCTGAAGTCCACCTACACATGACGGCGCTCGACACTCCCTGCCCCACTTGCCCTGACCGCCTTCTTACACTACGAACATCGCCTTCAAGCTTAATCATTCGGACTCGCGACGCTTTCGCCCGTCACAACCGCGGACTACATTCACATCGCATCACTAGATACGCTGGAACCATATCTCTCTCACATCTGACAAGTTTCATCCTCATTGCATACAGATATTTATTTGACACCCCTTATCTATTACCTGGCCATCTACATGTAGCATTAGTCGTCTCCATTACATTTCTAGCCCCCACACATTGGTATTTACATCTATCATGACCCTTATCTGACGAGGACCCACCTGGCCCTACACACCTAGAGCATTTTCTTTCAAATTACCATTCTTATTTAACAGATTCACGAGCGTTGCCCTTTTCAGTACAGCCATTGAATTTCGCCGGCGACGTTTCGCAGTTTCATCGACATCGACACCGTTCTCCCCTGGAGACTACACGGTTAAGTTGAGGAAGAGTCCACGATGCCTTGTATTTTCAGCGCCCAACACTCGTAGCGTCTATTTTTGGAACCTTTCCCGAAAAGGCGAACCGGAGGAAGGAAAGCGCCCTGTCGTCAAGGAGTCGAGGTACCAAGTGGGAAATGAAATGACAAGCGCCCGTCGAGAAATGTGGCGCAGCCAAAATTATCCCGCCTCATCTCTGTTCAGACTCATGAAACTCATGCACTGGGATCTTCTCTGTCGATCACAAGCTGCGAAGATCGTAGCGGGATCCTTGGCACGCGAATAGATTTGCTCGAAACTGCCGCTGACCCAAAATTGACTGAAGAAAGCCGATGAGATTGGGAATTCAGCGTTACGAGACTCTGTGGACTCCCTCCAAGTCTCATTCTGCGGCATCCTGGACCTACATACTTCCTCGAACACCACTCACAACGCTCACAAGTCTGCTAGTCGCATGGTCGAGAACTTTGTGTCCATTCTCGGTAGCTTGAAAGCAAGGAATGGTTCGTCTACATAGGGTCTACAGAACTATGTTTTACCTGTTTACAGAAAGCCTGAGACTACGGACTTCTAGTTTAACGATCTGTCTGTCCACCATGCGTGACATCCTCGAAACGGCTCGGGTCCTCAATCCATGTCTCTGGTGGCAACACGGGTATCTTCTGCCTCCGCTTTGAGTGTTGTTGGTAAGGTGTTCTTGTTGATCTATCCCGGGTAGGTTGTTCTCGACTCGAAGGAGGTATCCCGCATTTTGATTGCGTCAAGCATCCCGATGCCTCTTCCACACTGTTGAAGAACAAAACTCTTCGTGTCCCTTGGTAATGCACAAGAGGAACGGTCGGGAACCCCCACGATTTCCTAGGATATGTGGGGAAAACGCGATGCGAAACCGAGGCCAGCCGCTTCCGTATCTCTTCTATCGGCTCTTCCGAGCTCTCTTCCAAAACCCCCGTTAGATTTCCGCGCTTATATGCTTCCCATGTAGGAGCGAGAACCGCGAAAGGCTTGTCCGGGCCGACGACAGGCGGAACGGTAATCACTACTTGGCGAGTTTCGAGGAAATACGGTACCATTTTGAGCTGTTCGTAAAGTTCGAGGTCCAGGAATAGGCGCTCTACTCCTTCCCAATGTCGCTCTGCATCTTCCTCCAAAAGGTCTCGCTCGCTCTGTGAAAAATGTTCTAACATCCACAACCTGACCGCTTTGACCTTTCCGTCGACCACTGACAAGCCCCCGTCATAGGGACACCATAGGACAAACCCATGCTGCTGCAACTTCGAAAGAAAGGCGTAAACCATCGGGCGATCCTCCAGCTCAAGCTCGCGCCCTTTCGCTGCTTCCAAGACGATACCGCATATCGCACCGTCGTCGTTGATCAGATGCCCAAGGACCCCAAAGGCGATGTCAAGCCCCTGGCTTTCCCTCCCAGCATGGGAAGCGCAGCCGACGAAATGCATATGACAGTCGTCAAAGCCGTAAATAATGTCTGATCCTTCAAGTTAGAGCCTATTCAGCTGGGAGTGCTATAACTTACCGACTAAAGTTTCTTTCCACAATGCTCTCTGAAGCCAGATGGGGGGCGAAAACAACCAATGGAGCGGCTTGATCTCCCTTTGGGGAATGAAAGGCGCCCAGACAGGGCCCAGAAGTCTCTGTAAGTTGCGTGGCTTTTGAACGAGTTGGTATCCGGTCGGTCCATGGGTTAGATATCCCCAGTTTGTGTTACCAAAGTCGGCTTGGAGCGAAGGCCGCTGTGTAGAGAAGCGGATATGTCAAGAGGTGTCTTGCGTCGTTACAGAGAACACACTCGCCACTGATTCGAGAACTTCTAAGTAAGACTCCCTGTTGCTTCTGCCAATGTCCTTTGGGACAGGCGATTGAATGGTAAGAAATCGGTTTCCTTTCCAAATGTAGTGGTAAATTGTCTGGTCGTCGGTAAAAGTGGAGATGTAAACAGCAACGTTGGGAGGCAAAGTCCAAAGTTCTCCTGGCATAATCTCTTAGTAGGCGCAGACGCGATGGTGTTGGTTAAACGAAACCTGGGAAGTGGATGGGGCGATGCCCGTTTCAACCCAGGGACCCACAGAACCAAATAATACGAAACATGATGCATGAGCTTGGCCAGACTGAACCAATTCGACTTCATTCGGCGTCGAGCAGAGAATCATAAAGAGCACAAGCTTAAGGTAATTAATTTGTCTAGTAGTTTACAGTTCATGCAATGTCGTCCATTCACGCTGAGACCAGATTTCATCGAAGAGAAGTAGCGGGTATCAGTTCTGCAGGGTATCGATTCTAGAGCGGGCATTGTGATCACAGAGAAAGACAGTCCAGAAGTCGCCGAGTTCATCGGAGCCAAAACCACCGGCGCTTGCCAGAAGTATGATACCCACTGGCATGTCGCTTCTTGCTTGATTCGTAGCATCCATGGGAGCGGGTCGCTCGCGCACCAGTGTAGTAGTAGGCGCAGCGGATGTAGGAACCGTTGCAGTATACCGTCTCGTATCGGACGACCATGGAGCAGGCGGGGCACGAAACTGTAATCACAGTGCACATTATCCCGGGTTGTTGCCTAGAGTAGGGGTCGAAAAGGGCCTCTGGAGTCGGTGTAGGTAGCTTCCTGGCGCAGAGGCAAGGCTAGCTTGAGGAGAAAGACTAGGAACTCTCTCCGGTGGATAGATAGTTCAAAAGGGCAAGGAGGTCGAGGGTGCGTGTCGCCTCTAGTCGGCCTAATTCGAGAGTCGTTTGTGGAGAAACAAGGAGCAGGCCGTTGAGGAGATGTGGCGATTTAGATACGGAGTTAGGTCTCGCTGTAGGAAGCTGCGAGTACGAGTCGTCGAGGAGAAGTTGCTCGAGTAGAACGAGAGATAGAACGAGGAATAGAACTTGGATGATACTTTCAACCAGCCCTGCCCATAATCAACTTATACTTCGAGTTTATGCCCCAATATGGTGGTTTCGAGCGCTAAGGATTCATTGAAGTGCTGTAGCATGAACGCGTATCGCGCGTCCTCTCCCTGTGTCAAAGCGCATCTCCTAGTACGAGCTATGCATAACCGCCATAGTCCACCAGCCTACGAAGCGAGTTTCAACAGCACAGTTAGTAGCGTCGCTAGAGACCCATCCTTCACAGTGTACACACATTCAAGCCTGCACAGTGATCGCGAGGCAGCATGTACACAAGTTGCATAGAGTCCTACTACTGCCACAGTGCACTTGACGCTAAACTGCAGGAGAGGCCCGCAACGCACAGCTAGTGTGAAGTTCGCCATAGAACGGAGCATGGAGAGAGGATCCACAAAGAGCGCAAAAGGAGCTAAGTGACGCATTCCAGAGTCAAAGCGAGACGCAACACATGTATTCGGGGAAGACAGAACAGCCAACAGAGCGTCGGGAGTCGGAATAAAGCCCAGTTAGGGGCTAACTCCTACCAAGGGACCCACAGTTCGCGAGCGATTATCGCGTCAAAGCGTCCACAAAGATTACGGTAGTCCTTGAAAGCCATTCAGTTAACAGCACATCTAGTGAGTCCCACATGTACAGAGAGTCGGGCGTCGGGCAGAGCAGCAAGAAACGCCTTGGTGGGCGGTTGTACAACTTTGACAACCCGCCCACAACGGATTGAACCTCTGAACAAAAGATTTTTGTTGCACAGGTTGATTCAAAACGTGGCCTTTACTCCGGCGATTTACCTTCTTATTGTCTTGAAGCCTTCGATACTTCATCGCATTCTGCTATGCGATGTTCAAGAGGATGCAACCCAGCCAGGATCGAGGTGAGAGAGCGAAAGAGAGTGGACAAGGAGCTGTTTGTCTGGCCAACGCATCAAGCGCCAATGATTGGTCAGCGGCGCTCAGTCCGAATCGGGTGAAAGGACGGTCTCTTGTTGAGACGCCGCCCTGGTCGCGTTCTCGAGACAGTGCTTGGAACTCGAGGAGCTGTTAAACTGAAGCGGAGCGACAGAGTATGACGCGTAACCTCGGCTAAAAAGAAAGTTAGACGAATGCTGTTAATGACGTTTAGTCTTAAACTGCAATCCTGGCAGCCACGGCCAGACTCCAAGAGCAAATCCCATTCATTCCTGCACTCTGCCTTCAAGAAAAAGGGCACTTGCTCGAGGCGTTAAAGCTGGGCTCGACTCTGTCCCGCGTATACGCCTTCCTGGCCCGACACCAGACGACTACAATATTGACCCCCGGACCTTCCTGTGCCTTCAATCCTCGGTACCCCGGGATCTCATCGAGTCTTCGGCAGGTCACACTCAAATCCATCGAATAAACGCTACTTAACTGTCTCCTCAAAGCCTCGCCCAGGTCCCAAGATTGCAGTCGTCCAGGCTGTCATCTCCCACAAATCCGATCATCAATAGGATTCCTGAAGACGAGCTTGGGAACCTGAAGGGTCAGATCAAGGACTCTGGCTGGAGGGCTCGCGCTGTCATCGCTATCTGTTACCTATGCACCTCTCTCGGTAAAAGCTTTCCACCATCACCACGTACCTAACTACTTACATGAGAGTTGGGGGACATTGCGTCCGGGACTCGAGAGACTCGTTCCGAGATGATGCCGAAGGACCTGACAGGCTAGCAAAACAACTCCCAAAAGTCGCCTAAATCCTCCCTCGAGGTGTCGATGATTTGTCGGAGAGTACGACATTGACGGAGGATGGAGTGACGGTGTCTATACCTACGTAGTAGTAGTACCGCACAGTCCTGACAGTTCTACACCCGGTCAGATCTACTAAGCGATCGTTCATTATGTCCAGTGTCGTGAGATACACTTGAACTGTTAAGTTAGTAATCCTTGGAGGTCCCCACCACTCTCCCTGACCTTACCAGTGACCGGCGACCACTCGACACCCCGACAGTCAATTCCAATTCCACTCCACAGGATCAGGACCATCCTTCACACACCAAAGACCAACACCAGAAGCTCACCAGGAAAATTACAGAAACCGAGGACCGAGGCCGACTCAGTGCAGCTTATGAATATTGCCCCCACTACTCCCCACACTGGCAGAGAGTACATCCTATACCCTCCGGACTCCGCAGATTTCGACCACTAACCACATCCGTCCGGATTTACGGAGGAACGGACTTACACATAGCGTCATCGCTAGATTTTGACAAGTTGAGTTCGAAACTTCTTCCTTCCCAAGTTGTCACTCACTTCGTGATGTCTTTTGGTACATCCGGATTCGGGCGAAGGGTCGAATTGGCATTAAGAGATACTCCTACCCGACCTGAAAGACAAGTTGGAAGTTGGATATCGTTGATTGCCCCATCGCTTTCCCATACTATATCGAGCGCAAGTCGCTTGCGTCCAGACGTCCAGCTCTGGTCAAACCCATACACACTCTTCGAGTTCCGTCACGCTTCATTGGTTGCATGCATCTGTGACTCCTGGCAGGTGCCACCGTGCCATTTCAAAGCGCATCCGAAAACAGCAACCGATGGGACGATTTCGAAAGGTGGGTGACGTTACAGTCTACGTCCACAAACAACACCAGTGGGAGAAGAAGAAAGACTGAAAAGAATTCGAGAGGAGCAGGGTTTGAAGGAGCAATCTCCGGACGTTCCCTGCTCCTCGGTGAAAGTAGTCCGTTCAAGATCCAATGGGTGTTACGAGTCTCCGGATGGGCGTAGAGTCACCACGGTCGATTCTCCGGTAGGATGTATTTACATCGTTGTCGTTGTTCCGAGACTGGCAAATCTCGCCCTTGGCCACATTTCAAACATTAAGGTTCAATCGAGACGAATATCACCCATGTCACTTGAAGGTCAAGTCTAAGGTCCGGACAGACACCCTGACTACAGTGATAAGAACAAGGTTTAACAAGACAGAAAAGTAAACCCATTACCTTGCCATCGTTCAACGAACACACCGTGACAGGCCTCCGACTTGCCTACTCCAGCCCACCACGACGTCACTACTTCCAACACGAGGCCCAACTTCTCGAGCCCGAAATAAATTGAAAGTACGCGAGCAACACGGATCGAGTCCCCCACCTTTTGCCTTTGCGGGGCATGGTGGCACGAAAGACCCCACGAGACCTCGACCGGAGTTGCAAAAGAAGACCTTCATGCACTTAGAAAGTAAGTGCACTGTGGAGTCAGATAGGTCCATGGTCCATACACGAGTTGATATCAATGATCAAGTAACCGGTGGGACACAGCGGGCAAGGTCACCGTGGTTTAATCCACGGTAGGCACATTGTCTTCGTGTCGTCACAAGTGTTCACCGGAACTGGGGAAATGAAATTAGATACGTGGTTGGCGGATGGACGGGTCAGGAACATCGAGTGGATCGAGGAGGAATAGGAAGTTTGGAGACTGTGGTTTGGAAGATACGGCCACGGAGAACCACCAAGATGATTGAACGTCCTCAAGCTGGTCATTTACCAGAACGCCGCAACTGATATCGGTTGGATGGGACCGCGAAGTGCTGCTGGTCCCGGATCGAACAAACTACTGAACATATCTGTCAGTGCCCTTTCGATAGTTGGCTGATGAACGTACCTCGCTGACTCGAGATCCCCTGCGGTGTGACCAATGACATCAGCAACCTGAAAACGAGGCAGCCTCACGTTCCAAGCGATAAAAGACCGAAAGAACCATTGATTACACGAGGACCGAAAAGAAAAAAAGATTAGATAAAGCAACATTAATTGAGCACTGGGCACAATCGATACAGGCTCGCGAGCATACCAGACGTCTACAAACTACCCAAGGACAGACATTGTTACCATGTCAAATAAAATAGATGCGTGAAGAACATGACAGGAAAGTGGTATCTATCAGCTTTACAAGGCTGCGGTAACTGCCAGAGTCGTGAAGCCTGCAAAGACGGCCATGAGGCTCTGGAAGGCGACGTCGATGGAAGGAGCCGCGCCGCTGGAGAAGATTCCATTGCCGTTGGAGGTACCGAGACCACCAGCAGCCTTGATCTCGTTGTCCATGAACTTGGCACCGCACTTTTCCTGGACGGCGGAGAACAGAGCGCCCTGCTCACCGAGGAGCTGGCTCTTGCCGAGGCCGGGAGCGTAGGGGACATCGGATTCGTAAGTGATGTAGGCGGAAAGGACGTTACGGGTGCAGGCGGTGCAAAGGGCCTCCTTGTCCAAGTCGGGGGAGAGGAGAAGGAAGGGGAGGTTGTTGCTGCTGAAAGCATCAGTGTTGGGGATGATGGTCTGGCCATCCTGAGTGTAAAGCGAGGACTGGAGGTCGCTGGCCGAGGAGTCGCTGAGGGGGTTGCCGGACATGACACACCACTTGCCGTCATCGCCCTTGGAGCAGATGGCCTTCTGCATGGGAACGATGGAGAAGATGATATCGTACATGCGGACGACATCAGCGTTGGGGCTCGAGGTCAGCTCATCGGGGCAGGCAGCGTAGAAGTTGGTGACCTGCGAGCTGATGACGCTCGAGGGGCAGGCGGCGGTGGTCGACGTCGAGCAAAGGTTGTTGAGAGCGCCCGTGATGTCGGAGGCGGTCGCGGTATCAGTCTTGCCGGGCGCAAAGCTGCTGAGGGCGGTGGTGAGCGCGTCGGTGCATTTGGCGATATCAGCGTTGGTGTTGAGGTTGGTCAAGAAGGTGCGGCAAGAGTCGCTGATTCCAGAGGGAATCAAGGGGTTTGACTGTGGAAAAAAAAGGGCTACATCAGCCACCTAGGAGACCCCTTTGTCGCTGTCAACGACGACGCACCTGGGCGACCGCGACGGCGACGACGGCGGAGAGGACAGCGAAAGACTTCATTGTGGTCGAGTAGAAAAGTGAGGAAGGAACGGACGGTGGTTTAGTGTCTTCGACGACAAAGGGTGGTTTGTAGAGAAAGACCTCGTTGCAAAGGGGAGAAAGGAAGCAAAACCGTGGAAAGCGTATGTTCGCACGCTCTTCGCCGCAACGTTTCTACCCCATCAGACAAATAACCCCAAGCACACTATCCTCTGCGGAGCCGTCACATTGTTCGCCGTTCGTTCGCCTCCACCTGAACAATGAGGGACGCACGAATATCGTCGGTTTTGCGCTCGAAGAGTTGCGGAAAAAGACAAACTTGATACCATGCTTGCCAAGGATCGCTTCTAGTCCTGGGCGTCAAACGTTGATGCCAACCATATCCTCGGAACCTTGGAATCTCTTCATCCGGAAAGCCTAACTTCTCGTCCAACCAATTTCACACCATCCAGGGACACCTGGCTAAATTCCTGGGTTACGCCGCTGTAGGCACTACTGTCGACTCGGATATCCTTATACCTCGGACTAATCCCTACCTGCAATCCCTTGTCTTGTCAACCCGTAATGAACTCGAAATCAAAATGCAACCCTAGCCGCTTGCTCTCGATCTAGACTTTTGCTTTCATCTCCGCGTTGGTCTGAATGCAGCCTTCCATTTAGCATCTAGCACGAAACCCGCCCATCTACTGCTAAGCACCCGCGTCTGATCGGGGAGCTCGCATTGAACCCTCGTCTCAAACACTTGTACATAGTCTCTTTTTTTGGGAGACATTATTTTCCGACATAACCCTCAACCCACACCTCTCGAATCCATGGGTAGGTGACCGAACGCGGAACCTGCGACGACATCGGTTTTATCCACCGCGTTTAATATTCCAACCCACCTGGCGTCTCAACTGCTTGATTGCTTGTTAGGGTTCTGACCACTACCTGTCAACCACCACCACTCACAAATCCCTTCAAGATTGGTTTGTCTAACTATTCAATTCACGCCAATTTGAACCGCCAATCTGGCTCGATCCAAAGCTAACCCTATCAGATACACCCAATCCATACAATCATACGGCCTCCGCAGTGTTCTGTGACGCCCAGCCTCCATCTGTCCACCCAGAAGATGGGGCCGTGTACGTACACTCCTCTCAACAATCCCAATACAATTCGACTTTCTGCCCCTGAGCACACCCTGTTATCGATACAATCTCTAGTGATTCTCTTCTGCGCCTCCGACCCAATACATACACACCACCATCGCCCCTGCCGTCGACAACCTGTCTCCGAGTATTCTCCAGTCCAGAGTGACGAGACGAAGATAGAAAAAGGTACACTACACTGCACACAACCGCATGCTGTAATCCTCGCCCGGTAACTCAATTCAACTCCATGGGAATGAATGGATGGTACGCAACGAGAATCACCGCTGCAGTTTCCCTCCTCGAAGGAGTCAGTAGTGGGTGGTATATCTTCGATCCACACGCATCAGTCCAAAGCAGACTGACTTTCATTGGCTCAAGTGTTTCATGGATGCGATGATTGCGTACTCCTTCTAGAAACAGTATCCTGCGCTGAATTGATTTGCTGTTGGCGATTGATAGTTATTGATTTTGTTACTAGGGTTTTCCTACGGTAATGAAGTCTGCAATGCACCATGGTATTGGGGAGACTTCCCGCAGTTCTACTCGCGGGGTTTGAGACGGCGGAATTCGTACGTTCCCCGCATTCAATTGTAACTGAGGCGATTCCGTCTTTCAATCTTAATTACCGTTTTGTATAGGGGTGAAGTTCCACTGAAGTCACGGTTGTGGCGGACCACGCACACATTGACAACCGCGCGATGAATACACACATGACGATCCACAAACAGATTGGAGAAGGTGCACAATCTCCAATATCTAATATAGGGTATGCGATTGGTCCAAGCAGCCCACCAGACTTTAACAAGCTTCCGGGATCTGAACCTAGACCCACCAACGTGACTTGGTGAACTTGCGAAGGATGTCAGATTCGTGATATGCCTGCTCCCGCGCGCTCTAGAACCATTCAAGATGTAAGGATTAAATACAGTTATGTACTACTATGTACTGATAGCTATAGCTAGTCGTGGTCACCGAGTCACCCGGGTCTATTGAATACATGTATCAATGACAATGTAAGTAAGCAAGGAAGCTCTGCGTACCCTGATATCGCAAACCCACGACTCACACCTCTGGCATGGCATTTCGCACTGGGCATCCCACAAGACTCGCAAACATAACCTACTCTATCTTGGGCCCAGGCCGTCGAAGTCATAACCCACCCACAAGGCAAAGGTTCACTTCCGGAAGGTTCAAAGGAAATTACTAAAAGGATCGTCGACTTTACTTTCAAAGGAAGAGGCGGCAGGATGAGAAAGTCAATAGGATCATTAGTTTTAGGGAGAAGTCGTCGGATATTGGATACCGTGACGACAAATCCATTCGATCATGCAACAATCATAGGTATGTACACAATGCGTATTCAATGTTGAGCATCTAAATGCCATCACCGACAACGCGAACTTTGACCGGCTACGCCACGTTCGACTCGCAAGGAAGGACCTCCCGTATCATCAACAGAAAAAGGGTGTAAATTCGGCTTCACCACCCCGACGGCCTGCTACCAGATATACGTAGCACGGACGATGCAACACCGGTGGAAATCCACTCCTGCCGGCGTCAAACAGGGTACGGGTGCATTCATTCACGGTGTACGCCCATAACAACGTCGACGTATGCTCATAAGATATCCCCCAATGGCGTCAGTATCCCGTAAACCAGTACGGCCACCCTTGCAACAAATCGGTCGACTTCAAAGAAGATAGTACATATACTTCCGGATCCCAAGTCTTACATATGTACTTCATATGAACTTGACTAATAGTACTACGGGAACAAAGAGTCCAGACTCGTGGAGCGTCCAAGAACTAGCTAATGGACGCGTTCATTCCCTTTAGATTTAGTACCATACCGTGTACTGCTGACTTACCAATGAAACGCGGGATTGGATGTTAGAATGAACGGGTCGAGCCGTCCGCATCACTGAAGCGGGAAGCGCAACATCCCATACGCGCCCGATTTCGGACTCCTACCGCGCTCGCGACTCTCAGCGCTTATTCGCACGTCCATATCCGAGTTGCCAACAAATTTAGGGTTTCAGGCTGTTTCTTCAGGAGTACCCTCCCTCTCCCGTCCTTCTTCCACTTTTGTATATCTAGGACCTAGGTACAAGGTACACACTACTCCTTTTCAAGCAAGGAACACCAACCCGAAATTATAAATACAAAGGAAAAAAAGGGGTCCAAAAGCAAAAAAGACACGTTCATCGGACTCTACGCTCGTGCCAGCCGCCTCGCCTTGACAACAAGCGCCCTAATTAGTACTCTCGTCATCATCATAAACTAGATGACTCGAGACCTCGGGCCAGATCCCAGGGACATGTCAGCTCACGTACTCGCATACATACACCGACGCAGCTCAACCATTATAGTATTAGTATACGGAGAGTCACCGCTAATATGGGCTCGCACGACGGGATGGACTAAATAATGCGGTATGTCACCAAACGAGATGATCATCCAATGAGGAGCCCAGGTCCCATCGGCGAGAAATTGACAATGACATTGACAGGGCCTGTGGGTCGAATGGAAGCATGAGAAACCGAATCTTACCGCGTTCAACTCTGACTCTAGTCGACACTTACAGACTTCCAAAGGTACTTGGTATGTGGCATATGTCATTTTATAGTCCGTGAACTACGCCGAGTCTTCCCGTTTGGCCTTGACCAACGTGAAGATCCCTCTCGGACCCTGCCTCTCCAACGAGTTCCTCCACCTCCCGACAAACGTTCCTCCATTCAGCAACCTTCCCTCAAAAAGCGACGTCCCAAGGTACTCTTCCGACTGGTTTTTCTGATCGGCCCATTCAAATGTCCCGCGCGACGGAGGGCGGGGAGTGGCGGCGTAGAGAAGGACGTTCGTCGGAAGACACACCACGACCGTGTGCATAAAGACAAAAAAGAATATAAAAATCACGTAAGAAAAAAGAACTTCATGTAGTCCATGCCATCGGGGAACTCACCGGTTTTCGCTTGAGAAGCACCAACCCGTCTTTGTGGACGCGCCCGACATAACGAAACCCCTTCCACGCTTGGTCATGATCATCTGTGGTCTACGGTGCAATGCGTGATCGCAGGCGTAAGCGCGTGGGTTCGCGTAAGGCTTTCAAAACAGTTCGAAGAAATAGAAAGACGAATAGAATTTAGGAGTAGGAATGGATAGTATGGACTCACCTCTCCACAAAGGATAGTGTCAGCGATCGGTGGCATGGGCTCTTTTCTCCGAGAAGGTCGCTCGCGAGTCGCACCGTCTTCCTGGTTCTCCACGCTTTCTGATTCGAGGTAATGGTGCTGGTCTAGGAGGCGCTCAAAGTCGTTCTAGTGTGTGCGAGATACAGGGTTAGAAGCACTTCTCCGAGCCTAACTATGATGGATGCTCCGAGACTAGAGAGAGAGAAGAAAGATCAAATCCGACTTACAGTCTGACTATCGTCAAAAGGTTCAAACGGGAACGAGTTGAAGCTACCATCACCCGATCTCGACAGCAACGGCGTATGCGAACTGAAGCAATGGTACGACTTGAGGAGGACCTGTAAAGGCTGGCGGTTCATCAGACCTGAACTTTCCGTGGCATCCTCCTGAGTAACTTCTGTCTACAAAGACCCATTTCAAAAAGGAAAAAGCTTGTCAGTTACGGTTCTGCCGAGTAGAAGACCCAATATGTAAAAAACGTACCATCATGGAACCTTTCCACAGCCCAGCAAAGGCTCCAAGCCGCAGGTGAGGGGCAGTAAGGCGCGGCCCTGGATGTTCCCTCCCAAATAGATGGTACCATTCAGGGTCATGCGATCTACTCCTCCCAGGAAGCGTAAACGAAGCGCTAAAATTATCGCGGGGAATGGAATCCGCAAACAACGGCGTCCTGCACCTTTGAAACTCTCGAAGATCTTGCCTTGTCGGACCTGTGAACTGATTGGCAAGGGCGATGGCGCGCGTCTCGGGGAGATGAGGTGGTATCAGGATCGGACGGCATTCTTTCATCGCGAAAATGACATTGATCGCAGGGAAGGAAGGTTGTAGCACTGAGAAGGGGTGGGATAGCGAGAGAATTCCGGATGATGGATGGCCATCTAGATAACCACACTGGGGTTTCTTCGAAGAAGTACTCGCGACGGAATCGCATTGGAAGAACGTCACTAGTTCCGAAAACCATAGAATTTGAGAAGGATGGGAGGCGGGCTATCAAGGACACAGACAGTTAATGTAACGTGAGAATGACAAAGTGCCGATCACGACAACTGAATGGTTGTGCGCTGCTTACTTACCACAGTGAAACGAAGGAGGAGAAGACAGAGATGTTCCAGGCGTTCGGACGATATTCTGCTTATGTCTCCTATACAGATATTCATCAGTCAGTACATATGGGTTCTTAACGCGGTGATACAGGAGTGAATAGGGACTCACGTTGTGAAAGCGACATGGAAAGAAGCCATACGAGAAGGCATTTGAGCTCCTGTGAACCGACCTCCCCGCTGTCAGACCCTAGATGCGCTTCGGCCAACGCGAGCAGTTGCTCTGGGAAATTATCCAAGGCGAGCTGTGATTCGTTGGTCCCATCGCTCTCGAGAATCATGCGCAAAGCACATCGCATGTCACCGAGTAAATCTTGGTCAGACCAGCTACTGAGACGTGACCGACGTAACAGTTTGTGTCGAGCCACGTATTCCAGCGCGAGCGTGGTGCTCGCGGGATGGCCAAAGGGCGTTGGGTTGAAGAGAGCAGGTGCGTCGAATTGGTGGTGAAAGAGACGGGCATAGAGGTGCGGACAGGCGGTGACATTGAGTTCGCGATAGAGTGCTTTGCTGGTTAACAGAAGATTCGGGAGAGACGAGGGTGGGCCAAGAACGGAACCAGAGGCGGTGAAGAAAGCGACTTGTAAGAGGACGTCGTAGGGGATGGATTCCAGACGAGAAGCCATGTTCAAGGTGGGCCAAAGTTAGGGCGTCAACTCAAGAATTGGGCCTTAGCTTAAATAGAACGCCCAAAGAAAGAGTGACGCACACCTTGAAACCGACGAAACTGGAGTGTACTGTGCGCTATGATCTATCAAGTTTGATCGCCGCAGCCAAAATTCGCTGGTTGTTGACTTCCAAATGGGCCCTGTATTGAATCAGATCCTGTCTCGACTGACAATGCGAGGTTAGATCCACGATCCAGAGGCGAGGCCATACCGAGTGTTTGCTCACCGAATTTAGTAACCCACTGTTTGTGATTTGTGAGGTGACGAGGCTAAAAAAAGAACGGGAAGACCGTATTTCATTTCGCGGGGCGTTTTGTGGGACCCCTCCTATCTCCGTGATTACACTCAGCTGTAGACTCAATTTGCGGAAACCATGCGAGTGGATCTGGGATCATGACTTGAACGGTCGGGATGCAAAAGTAACGAGAAAGCACAAGCCAATTCGGGGATAAGCGCCATCAAATCCTTCCTCAGGATTCAGGTCCCCGTCTGCCACCATGCCAAGCTGAGATCAATCGGAGAAGATCTCTACTAAGATGTATTTTTGTGATCCCGCCTGTCAAAGCCTACGGCCGCTGCTGCAATAGGATCAACTCGTCGGGACGCGCCTTTTGTAGCTCTGCATAGGTCCATGGTGAGCAACGGCTTCGTTCAAAGGTGTCTTTGAACCGGAAACCTTACCGATGAATGCGGTGGAACAAATTAGATACGTTCTAGTCGCAACGATCATGGGACATCGGGTGGGTGATGTGTGCATGAAACAAACCGAAGGACAGAGAGCTACTGCCGAGTCGGCGAATGACAATTAAAACAACGTTGTGCAGGGCCGAAAGTCATTTCGCAGATAAGACCCAAAAAGAGTTCCGTGGATTGGTTTGACGTATTATACATTCAGTGCAGCAACACGACGATTTTTCATTTACAACTCTGTTTATGGGCAACGTCAGCTTTGTTCCGTGTATTAAAGCCCGGTGGCACTCACTCTGCATGGCAGCGATATCAGTGCTCTGGACGTAGTCATCGAACTCGGCAATCTTCTCCTGCAACTCGTCGAGCGAGACCTTGTCGTCCTCTGGAAACATGTGTCTGTCAGTCACGGTCTTATCTCGGAAGCGGAAGGAACCTTACCGATAACAAGGTTGATCTGGAGCTTCTTGATACCGAAACCAACAGCGACCAAAGTACTGGCGCCCCAGAGCAAACCGTCTTGCTCGATGGAGCGGACGGACTTTTCCAACTCGACCATGTCGGTCTCATCATCCCAGGGCTTGACATCGAGAGTGACAACAGACTACCCAAACAATAATCAATACACCGGAATCTGATCGATTCGCAGAGGGCCGTCACATACCTTGGCTGCAGTCTTGGGTTTGTTGGCCTTTTTAGCCTCGTATTCACGAACACGCTCTGCCTTGATCCTCTCGGCCTCCTCATCAACCTCATCGTCAGATCCAAAGAGATCGATGTCCTCGTCGTCCTCAGCAGCAGCCTCCTTGGCAGGAGCGGCGGCGGCATCACCGAAGAATGCCTCGCCGGCCTTGCTGGATCCGGGAAGGCTGTCGTGCTCAGCGGCGTAGGACTGGATGTGCTTGTACCACCTGGCTACGTTGGGGTTGGCAGCAGCATCAGGGGCGGCAGAGATAGCCTTGAAGACGTGCACATCGGCCTGGGAAGGGGTGTAGCTTTCGAAAAAAACGGATTTTAAGCACCGATCTCAACGTCGATAACGACTAGTGACTAACCCTTCAACGTAGGAGCGGGTAGCGAGGTGAGCTTCGAGTGTGCCGAGGTTGACAGACATTTTTTGGTGGAGGTTGTAGATAAAAAGTGGTTGCCGTGAAATCCAAAATTTAAGGAAGATCGGGGGACGCTGATAAGTGATAAGGAGCTGCGCTGATTATCGCGTCGATCACGTTATCGCTCGGGCATACCGGGTACTGTGATTGGCCGGGGAGTGCCGGCGGGGATCAAATTGGCCCCGCGGCGTGATCGCAGCTCCGGCATCGGCTTCCCCACACACACCATTGCTTATTCTCTCCTCGCGCCGTGCCCTCTCCTCTTCCCCTCCCGATGATAACGTCGACCCCTGCTTCAAGTAGAGGCCCAATCATACCATTCTAATTATCATCATGACGTTGGACCGCATACCACCAGAAATCCTGGAATATATCGCCTATCTCGTTGCGACCGACGACCTTTTGGGACCACCACAACATTTAATACCACTCCTTTTGGCCAACAGGAAGATCCACAGCACTTTATCCTCGGTTTCCAACCCTCATTTATACGCTTCGATCTTTGAAGCAAAGTTTGATGTCTGTTTGGCGAAGAAGCGCTTGGGGGAGCACCGTCTGACGCCCAAGGTCCTGGCGAGAGAGCTGCAAAGGCGGATGGTGCTGCTCAAGCGGATCTACGGCCTCTCTGGGTCGACGGACCCCAGTGCGCACGACAACCCGCAGGAACAAGAGCAAGGGACAGAAGACGTCGTCGACGAGGTCCTGCTCACCGCATACCTGATGATGCTGGAGAACCAAGGACGGAATCATTCCCAGCTTCGCGATTACGCACAGATCTCAAAGTGGTTGAGATACTTCTGGTTCCACGAGCGTGGAAGGTCTGCTGCGATTAGCTCTGTTCGGAAAGGTGAATGGCCTTCCAATACGACGAGAACAGCGCTGGGGATGTGGTTGTTCTGGTTCTTCATGAAACCAGGTGAGTGCCTTGTTTGATTGATGAAACCCTATCTACGATCCCTGAATTTGTTGGATGGATAGACGAATACCCTGGTGGTGGGGATGCCATTGAATCTCCAATCAGCATTCTCAAGGTCCAAGCGATGGGTGCCCACAAGGTGTGCTTGCTTCATGTCCTCGGTGTTTAACAAGGTTGCTGAACCTGTGTTAGTACCCGTTAAGCGAGATCCCGTGGGCGGATTACCAGCCCAACTCTGGTCCAACGTCTGCCCAGGAAATTACCTGGTATGGACAGACGCTCCCGTTCATACCGCCGCCCCTTGCAATACCGGCCATCCTCTCGTACCTCGCGTTTACCAATCGCCGGCGTTCGCTTCCCTTGACTCCCTCTGACCCCACGATACCCGAATCCCCCTCGCGAGACGAATGGAGTGCAGACTGGGGAAGGGCTGTACTAATGGGCGATCCCAGCCAACCAAGAAGTGTGAAGAGCTGCTTCTCCCTCGGGAGGTACGTTGTCTTTGGACTGTTCTTGGTGTCACGAAACTAACTCGCGTCTCAGCATCGAAGGTGTTTGGGAGGGGTTCTTTACGGTGCGGGAATCATTAATTGAATGACTGCTATTGACTAACGATGAATGGCAGTACACCGAATTCACGACATACGCGGGCGTGTTGCGTGGCGCCCCGCCGCAGATCCTTCAAAAGGGTCTAGTCGGGAAGCATCAACAGACCTGGAAGTTGCGCGAACATCACTTACTCTCCGCCGACGACGATCCCAATCCCGTAACGACGCCCCTGGGCCACGGTGATCCCTTGCGCTCCTACATCCCCAACGGCACAAAACTGGTTGAACATCAAGGCGGTGTGAAGGTCCACGAACCAGGCAGGGATGTCGCATTGGAGTACACTAGAGCTGGCGCCGTTACTCGTTCGGACAACAAGGTGGTCGACATCATCATCACAGGCGAGGTTGGTTTCTCTGTTTGCATTCACCCTGTCAAAGCCCCTTGCTGAACCAGATTCTCGTAACTCAGGGTCACTCTGCATGGGGACAATTCAGCCTCGTTGGTCGCGTCCGACCCTGCGATGGGTTCATCAGTCTATCGAAGGACTATGTGGGTACTTCCAAATCGCAAAGCTTATCTATCTACCCTGGATAAACTCCGCTAACACTGTTTCTCCTTTCTACTTTCTTCTTTTGCGTTTTTGTATAGGTTGATGGTGATCGAGGCAAATGGCTTTATCGAGGATATCTTGCAGGGAATGTGTATGGTAACTTTGTGGGGAGGTGGAGGGATACACTCACGCTGTCGCTGTTCCCTGGGTATGAAGGTTGTTTTGCTATGAGCCGCCGGCGATAACAAGCAATTCGGTGTGTCTGGGTCAAGCGTTGGGGACAATTTGGGTTTTTCGTAATATTAATACTAACACTTGTGTATGTTCACTGTGTACTACTTGGACTTAGCTCCTCCTGCGTGCTACTTACCCTATGTTTTCCTCCTGTACTTATTAAAGTGACTCGGCCCCTATCCACGTGGCTGTGCTGTAATTGTATCATTCCGAGATGCAGTGCTTGTTCGGCGTACATGGTTGCTCCACCAAGCGCCTTTTCCGATGTTTCTGCATAAATACCAGGTTTTCCGCGCCAACGACAGTCGTCGTCGAGACGTCATATCAGGCTGGCCTAAAGCTCAGCGATTCAACTAGTAGAACACAGCAGCAACCGACCAGTCGCTGTGTACACAGCTGGGAACCCCAAAAGCTCAGAGCGAGGCAGTTCACAGCTTCAAATACCGCGCTGACAGTGCGCCACAGCCCACACATTCTGCCTCTTCGAGGTCTTCTACCACCACCCACCCGCACCACCTTCCGTACCCTAGAACCCTTTCCATTCTCTCACAACCTGACAAACTTGTACATATCCCAAAATGTCAGCAGGCACACCACAGATCGAGACGGTGACCGTCTCAACAACGGAAGAAGCCATCGTCGCCAACGCGGACTACCACAACCACCTCCTATCCACCCTCTCCCAGCTCGACTACGCCGAACCCGCGCTGACGCAGCACCGCTCCTACATCGCGGATCTGGAGGCCCAGATTGCGAGGAGCGATAAGAGGATTGAGGAGTTGGCGGTGAAGACGAAGAAGGAGAGGAAGGAGCATGAGCAGTTGCGCGATTCGACGGCGAGGCGGTTGGCAGCCAGGTTGACGGGGAAGAAGGAGAAGTTTGAGGCGAGGGAAGAGAAGGAGGAGCGGTGAGTTGTTTTCTGGATCTGGATTGAGTGTATTTTTGGCTCGTGTTGGCGCGTCCCTGTCGCTGTCGCTGTCGGACTGGTTATGGGAATTTGAAAGGCTAATAATACTTTATGGACAGGGAGTATGTTGAAGCGCTTCAGAATGAGATGGTGGAACGCGATAATCGGAACATGCTCCAGCAGCTGCTCACGGAGGCTCTATCTGAGGTGTGTTTTCCAGGGTGGAGCAACACTTGACTTCGTATCTCAGGGTAAAACATACTTTCTATCTATCTAGCGCCAAGATCTAGAACAGAAAGTGAAGAAACACGCGTCTCTGAGGGACGACCTGAACAAGCTATACTCACGCGTCTTCGATGGTCCTTCCCAATGTGTGTACTATACTCCTTTTCCTCTCACCACGCCCCTATTTTCTAACATGCTGAGGCCATCTATTTTGACTCATCTTGCCGTTGTTCCGACACACGCAGCCTTCCCGGAAGAAGATAGATTGGAATATGACGTTCATGATGCACATCGCCGCCATGAAGAGGCTCAGCGCGCTCTGAATGCTGAGAGCCAGGCGACTGAACTCCTGGCCCGGGCTAGCGGACTCATGGACCGGTGCCAGGGCAGTATCTCGGAGGCCTTGCGTTACTCGAGATACGGTGAGTTCGTCTTTTTTTGCCAGTCCGGTTGTTCTTGACAATCTCTCCCCTAAGATATGATGGGCGGTGGAAGGTGAGCAAGATACGAGTTCAGGCTCAGCGCAGGACTGACTGGATTGGCTCAACCCTTACTTTCTGGGATACCTTGTACCGTTACCGACAGCATGGCCGATTACATGGAACGGAACGCCTTGACGAATGCGCAGGCCTACGCACTGCAGGTGGAATCCCTCGTGGACCAAGCCATCCGTATATCCCCAACAGTCCAACCTGTCGGACGCGTAAATATAGCCTCTGGGTGCGTGTCATCGATTTTCACCCAACATCTTGACACGAGGCTGATAACTTGCGTGTCGTGTCATGTCATGTCGTTTGAACCTTCAAACCTTTCTTTCAGATCTCTGATGTCGGATGTGTTTTTCGATAATTTCTTTACGGATATGGCGTTTCATAGTGAGTTGGCTCGTTGTTTATTCCCTGATTATCACCCTCTTTCTGAATTCATTTGGAATTCGTCTCCTGCTGTTTGTGGAGTAACGCATACTAATCTTTCGCCGTAGAGAAGATCCAGAACTCTGCTGCCCAGGTCGTCCTGGCAAACAACAGGGTGCATTCTCCACCCTTCTTTCCATCGTAAACCCAAAACTAATTGCCCCCTCCCTCTCTCAGCTCAAGGCCGAACTCTCAGCTGCAGCCCACAGGCGAGACGCAGCAGGTAACCGGCTCATGGCCGTCTCCCGCGAGCTCGACGATCGGCGGCAAGAGTTGTTCGAGCTGCGGAAGGCGTTGTTTGAGAGTGTGGCGGCGCAGGTGCCTAAACCGCCGAGTTATGACACGGTTTTTGAGCCGCCGCCTGGTCCGCCACCTGGGCATCCTGAGTACCAACGACAACAGCAACAGCAGCAGCAGCAGCAAGGTACACCGGCTTCGCCTCCGCCGGCGTTTCCTGTAGCGGAGGTCGGGTCTGTTCAGGCTGTCCCGAGTCAGGTAGCTGAGCCTCAGCCGATGACGACGTCCAGTTCGACCTCGAGCTTAGGAGAGGGAGAGGGAGAGGGATCGACTAGCCCTCGGCCATGGGGATCCCGTGCGTTTGAATTTCGTCATTCGGGTTTCTGTAGATAAGATTGCTGACTTCTTCTCTTCGCCCTTTCTTTTGCTTTGGGTTTTGCAGGAAATCCTTATGCGGCGGCTATAGCTGCTCGATCGGATTCGTTCTCGAAATCCTCTACATAGGTGGGTATGTGGAAATCTTATCTGGTACCCCGTCTACTTGCGCTCACGCCCGCTTGGGGATGGTCTTCCTGGTTACTAGGTGCTCATTTGGGTTTGGGGGACACAGGGCCTACGGCAACGAGACGAGCGGGATTCCAAAACACTAACCTTGGAAAACTACCGCTCTCTTTTTCCTTCTTCTTCCCCTTCTTGGTATCCTTCTCTGTTTTCCTTTTCTTGGTTCTGTATCTCCCTTTCCTTCTTTGATCTCACAACTTCTCCCAAAGGACCCCCGTCTCTCTCCCGTTTCCTAACCTCTACTGTGTTAATGTAACTTTGTGTAATACTTTTTTTCGCAGTATGCAAGACGTTTTGTATGTTTGTTTGTATGTATGCTATTTTTTACCGCATGTCCATAGCCTTCGAGTTGTTCGCGGACGCCTTGCCAATCTTAATCTTAATTTTTAATCGAGGCTTTGCGGAATGGGTTCTTGTAGTTGCTGTAGTGAAGAATTCTATTCAGTTTGGAGGGCGGATGGGAACGTTGACTGCGTATGGACAATCCCAACCTCCCCGTCAATTCAAATGGGGTGGTTGGGATCCACATATACTAGACAGGTATAAGAATAGACCGCGGCAGCCTGAGACGCGAGATTAAACTCGAGATCAAGTTCCCGGGTCTGTAGACAGCCTACAGCCCGGCAAATGTCATTACGGTATTTCGATTTCCACCCTATTTTTCACCCAAGCCGTTATCTTGTATACATACATCCCCGTTTTCATGATCACTGGTAGGACCTTTTTGCCATATGTGCCCGTTATGTACTCGATGGCGGGAGAAGAACTGCGCGAGAAGATGTCGACTGTGTCCGACCTTCGTCACGCCCCTCCTCGTATGGATTTGGGGGGGGGGGGGGGGGGGGGGGGGTTTTTCTCCCTGGGGGGCCCCCCCCCGCGTTTTTAGGGCCAACCCCCCCCCCAAAGCTTTATTTTCACCCCCTGGGCCTTTGGGGTAATACCAAAGGGGCTTTACCGGTGGGGGGGTCCCCGGGGGGCCTCCAATTTTCCGAACCCCAATTTAAAGGGGCCATTTAAAACCCCTTACCAAAACAATTTAACCTTTCTTGGAATCCAGGGGGGGCCTCCCCCCTATTCCAAAAAATCTCCCCCTGGGGTTTTTGACTTTGGAAAACCCCCCCCAAAAAACGGCCGGTAATTTGAACAAAAAAATCTTTTTTTTGAAATCCACCAAGGTTGGGAAGGTAAAATAAGGGGCCATTTTTTTCGGTGAAGCCACCGAAAATAATTTTTAACCCCAAGCCCCAACCAAAAAATCCGGGAAGGGAATCCAGGGCAAAATAAATCTTAAACCTGACCGCTGGAAAAACCATTTTTTTCTTTTTACCAAAATACTAAGACGGATATTACTTGTAAGTGTTGCAAGGGTGAATATGATCTTGGTATGTATGTCGTGAATAACAACATTGTGAACTTCGATGGGCCAAAGCGAAACGGGGTGTCCGAATGCATCATGCATCATGGACCATCTCCGTCAAACCCGTCGAAGGATCCCGTCACTGACACAACTTGAATTCTATTACTTGCCTTTCGCAGTTTCGAAAAAGCCGAAAGTGTTTCGAGGGTTGGTTACATCATATCATGTTCTGCGTATTAATCCCGGGTGCCCCAGTGCGGTGAATCGATGGTAATCACGGGCTCCTGGACAGCCTGAGGGCCCTCGCGAATCGCTCATCGGGTTTTGTAAATCAGTTTAGCGACCACTTACATACATGCAACATGTACATAACGTCGCTTGCACGCAAATCGCGCCGTGAACCCGCGAATTTCGGGGGAATGGTAGCAATAATATGTCTAGACTGTCCGTCGCATGAACCTGCGCCTGCCCTTCGCACAGAGTAACATATTTGCAGACAGGGGGTGGACGAGGAGCAGGACGAGCCTGCGGCCTCGAGACGGATGTCGGCCCCAGCCGCGGCGCACCCTTGGGAACCGAGTCGGGAAACACGAATGGGACGGCGGTCGGCGGTCTTGGCAAAGGGGCGTTGGGATTGAGTTCGGGTAAGTAGTAGTACTCTATTGAAATACGTAGGTAACAGAATAAACCTGATGTCGGGCAGGCGTGCTGCGAGTTGTGGGTTGCGTAATTCTCGATACAGAATTTCCTTGGACGTGCTTTGGATAATTCGCCAAGGGAATAAGGTTACGAGCATCCTCGCCCGGAGAGCAATCATGTCCGTGCAGTGGAGCTTGCGCCAAATCTGCGCTCCACACTGCTTCGGACTCACCTCTAGTATGCTCCGTATGGTTATCAGGGTTCTATCTACTAAAATCCGGATCCCCTGACCTGTAGTGATAGTGACGACCGACACCACCCAACCTGCCGTTTCTTCAACCTTCCAGAAGTCGTGAACAGTTTAAATACAGAGTTGCGACTCGGACTGGCACGCGGACTCCGTCAAAGTGGACTTCTGATTCTGAACTCTTTCGAACTTTCAGAAATTCGTGGTTGTCCCCCGCGAGAGGCCCTATTTGTGTTTAGCTATTAAGTTGTCAATGCCTGGGAGGAGTCGCGGAGGTGATACAGTCGATGTATTGTTGGTAGATCTCGCAGCGGTCACCGGGTGTATCGAGTTACGCGATTGTGGACGTCCTGCCGTACTGCGCATTACAGCAAGGGCTGTCCGTTCAAATGGGTGCTTCTGCCGTGCACGAGCGCTCGATCCTCGCCTCTCAGAAGTGTCGATCACCATTGCCGCAGCTCTACCGTTGTTATCAGGATCAAAGTTCCCTCATATGCGAGGTACAGCAACGGTCGACCTTTGGGGTTTGAACACCGGAAACAAGGAGTAGACGACCACCTGATATCCCGCTTCTTCAGGTTCACTGCCCAGCTGACCCGTGTTCCATGGAAACCAGAAGCTGTCCTTGCCGAAAGTCACTGTATAGCTGAAATATTACTTTGTGTCGAGCCTGAAGCATGAAGCATGGGGATCGGACGAGTCTCCGCCTCGCGGAGTTGATATTTAGACTTCTTCGCAACGGCAACGGTCGTCCGGATTGTGGGTTATGTATGCGATAGATAGCTCGCTACTTGACCCTTAAGGTAAACGGGGAACTTGTCTCTCCACCGGTACGTTTGTGATCACGGTCTCCACCCATATTGCGAGCGCGATCCTCGCCAAAGGTTCGATCACTGTCACCAGCTCCACTCTCGAGACAGGCCTGGACTTACGTATGTGTCACAGGATTGTCGACTACAAGGTTAAACCCAAAGTACCGGAGTGGTAGTGTGTTAGAAGAAGGAGAGGTGGACATTGGAAGGGCACCTGATATCCCGCACCCTGTCCAGCTGAGTCCACGCCTACAACTTGAAGGAAGTCTGTTTAGCTTACTGTTAACCTGAAAGCGTAAAGGGTAAACCGCAAGTCATCCAAGTTCGGCAAATCAAATAAAATGAAGTTTCACGTTGTGTTGACGGTGAAGTTGCACCGTTTCATCGGTAGGCGTTACGCGTTCAATCGCGAGATAAACAGGCCCGGCGCATCTGTGAAATGTGTATTTATCGTGATGTGTTTCAAGAACCCTGTTTTTCTTCGTGGCTTGCATGCTAAACCTCGATTGTGATGGAAGACAAGAGCGATGGACGGACGTGGTGCACAGCCCGAGCCACAACTTACATACTCGAGAGGGACCCGTCCTTGACGATTCTTCCTGTCATGATCACATCCCAGCCACTTACTTCAACAGTATCGATACAGTCGACAGAACTTTCCGGAAAGAACAGCAGAAAGGTGTCCAAAACTCACCGTACATAATCACTACCTACCTCCGTCTTTCGAAAGGCCTTATCATCGCGATGACTCAGATCATGCGATCACCGCACATTGTCGTAAATAGGCGCCCGCGTCGGCGAGCGCCGAGCCTGAAACGGCGTCTTAGAAACCCGGATTGTACTTGCTTATTGGAGAAACGGACGGAGAAGTCGACACTGTCGATCTGTTCCCCGGACTTTTGCTAGAAGTCGAAGTTTTAAAATAAGTAAGTGCCGCTATGATATAGCGTGGGCCGTGAGTCGGGTGTGACTGTAGTACTCTAAGCGATTGCATTTGCGACGACGGCGAACTGGTCGTCCCAACGTTTTGTTGAAGTGTGAAGTCATGGTGTTGCTGCGGCAGTTCCAGAAGAAGAGATTTGAATACATACACAGGGGCTGTCTAACTGGCTTTCCCAGGTACATTGGTACACATGGGTAAATCACCATCATCTAGACCCCTTTGTTCGAGTACGAGAACGTTCTTTATGTACCAGAAGCTTTGACGCTATACACACTATACACACTATACAATTCAATTCCAAACCAACGCCAGAGAAGATCTAGAGGAGTTATGTGCATAGCACGACTCACCTGACATCCCGCGTCTGAGCCAATTTCCAGAAGTTAGCAGTGAATTCAAGGTGTGGCTGGCTGACTGACAAGTCCTATGGAACTAACTTGAAGTACATATGGTCGAGTTTTGAGTGGCCCGGTGGATCGGCTCCAGTGACAGTCACAGGTCACAGGATAGGAAAGGTGAAAGAAACTAAGATGAAGACTCGAAGCTGATTGAAGGACTGTTAGAACCCAGCAATTGAATATGCATCAAGCGTTAACGAGTTCGAACTCGAACCATTGGATCTGTCTATGTAATATCAAACCCTAGTATTCTCGAGATCTAAAGTTTGGACGACACAACCTTCAAAAGATAAGTCAAATGTCAAGCCAATGTCAAGCGCTGAAATTGACATTTGACGACAAGATAAAGATATGCCGATGTTCAGTTTGACAATCGCACGTGAAGATCGTCTGCTACGAGGTGGGAATAAGCGCCCGCTCTAGCCAAATCCCAGAAACTAGGAAGAGTTCATGACAGTATGGTCTGGACAACCGTGGGTCAGTGACCTCGCGGACGTCAGTAATGATGAAGGCGTTGTATGTCGTTGGCGACTGAAAGATTCTGAGCGTCAGAGAGCGAGACAGGTTTCCTGTGGTTAGGCTGTGGAAGCGCCTGACTGGGCTCTGGTGAGCACCTCGTTTGATTGGCACACAGCGGCTCGAAGCCTAGGGCCGACGATGTCATCCCATCTCCCTTGCGACGTCAAAGAGAAGGACGCCGTCCATGCCCATGTCGAAGGCAACTGCCCCAGTACAGGAGATATTCGAAAAAAGTCCATTGTGCGAGGGTAAACAACATGAATCGATGCTAACAAAAAACAAGAAAGGATTCCCAAGTCCATATAGACGCCAATGCCTGGTTAATTAGTCCTTGCGTTTATCAGACTTAGAGCCGGTAGCTTTGATGAGTTCGTCAGCGAGTCGGTCGTACTCTTTGGCGTTCTGGGAAGCCTGGCGCTTGAGGGTGGAGAAATCACGTTCTTCGGCTTCGAGTTCCTTCACGCGTTGTCTGAGCTTGGCGAGTTCATCTGCGTCGCCGGCCTGAGTCTGAAGGAAGGGTGAATGTTAGTATATTGAAGCAGAGGATAGTGGAGATGGGAAGTAGGGGTACTGACGGATTTCTTCAATTTGGCGAACTCTTCTTGGGTATGGATGAGGTCGAGCATGATGTAGAATGTTCGGGTGAGGACGAGGGAGAGGAAGAGGGTAAATCCGGTGAGGTATGTGTTTCTTTGAGAACTGTAAAACGCGGTCAGAGTTATGTTGGTATGGTTTCAGCTTCGTGCACAGTTACAAGCAGCCAAGGGCAGTCCAATTCAAAGAAGAGGACGTGGACACGGGAAACCAACTGGCTATCGCCTCAGCCCAGTCCTGGTCCTCCAGAGAGCATTCTGTTCAATCTGGCCTCACAAACAAGCCCTTTGCTGCCTGAATTCTGTGCAGGTAGCCGGTCGAGTAAATGATTGCTTACTAGAACTTTCGCGCTGCGATATCTGTTCGAACATCCTGTACAGCCCCCTGTGGCCCAGCCTTCATCGATTCGGCGTCAGCCGTTACGCGGAACATTCGTTGGAGGGCGTCGACGAAGAGAATTCCGACGAAACTGTGATCTGGGTTAGCTCCGAAATGTGGCCAGGAGACGCGATTTCGTACATGAAGGAAATCTTGAGGGCATATGCGATTTTGGCGATTATTGGGGACTCGGACAGGAATTTGAACAGCTTCTTTCTAACTGTATACGGTAGAGGTGCCACTAGGAAGCAGAATGTGACCATCTGGCGACGTTTCAGCCATTGTGCAGTGAATTTGGGGTGGAATAACTACCTCTGCTGCTAGGAGCAGGAAGGTGAGCGTGTAACTAGGTTTTGAAGTCAACCTTTCTGCTTTGTATACATATTTTGTGAAGACTTACTGAACGGTCATGACTTTGGTCTGTGTAGATTCAGGAGAAAATGGGTGGTGCAAGAGATTGAACAGAGGCTGCGGCGCGAGGCTTTTGAATTCGGGACACAAGGCTGTCCGCATCGTCCTGACGTCACCCGACACGTCGTTTCCCACGGATGAATGTGGCAGTGCAACTGAACCGAGTCGCCGCATTGGAGCGTGACGCAAGCGCGTAGCGCGTTCATTGGTCCCTTTCATTTTCCTATCATCTTGAGATAATGGCTCCCCTGGCAGTTCACATAAAGCACGCTGGAAAGACTCATGATGTCCAGCTCGACCCCGATCTGCCTCCAGCAGCATTCAAGGAGGCGATCTACCAGGTTACTGGCGTCCCAGTCGACCGTATGAAGGTCATGGTCAAGGGCGGTGTTCTGAAGGTGTGTTGAAGCGAAGGCCACTGATCTTACAGAAACTCAAGTCCTTTGTCGATAGGATGATTCAAATTGGAAGAAAATCGCTCCCAAAGCCGTTCGTACAGCCAGTTGATTCGAGGACGTGGTCGAGAACCTAATATGTGTCTAGGGACAAACCTTTATGGTGATCGGCGCTGCTGGGGAGCTCCCAAAGCCACCAGAGAAGCCTATCGTCTTCCTCGAAGGTTAGTCAGACGATATTTATACCAGAACGGAAATCTCACCAACTGGATAGACATGGACGACAGCGAGTTGGCAGAGGCTGTAGGTTCGCGCATATCACAGCTCCATTCACAGTCTCATTCTCCTTCCAGCTTGCAAAGCCAGTCGGCTTGAAAAAGTGGGTCTACATGACGATAACGAAGACACAACTCTGATTCATATCCACAGTCTTGGAAATACTTGCTATATGAACGCTACCGTCCAAGCTCTCCGTGCCATACCTGAACTGCAAACTGCCCTCAGCGCGTAGGTCCTTGCTTCTCCACTTGGCGCCCTGGTTCTAATCCACAACTCGTAAAGACCAGCCCTGCAGTCTACGACACCGTTACCAGGCTCATTGCGCGATCTGTACCACAACATGTCCCGTACCACCGATAGCATGGTCCCAGCAGGCTTCCTGCAAACGCTTCGCCAGGTAAGGGCCCACATGTTCTCCAAGCACGCTTCTAGTCCAACCAAATCTTCTTTCAGGTGAACCCACAGTTTGCCGAAATGGACCGAAGTGAGAAGCGTTCCGGCATGCCAGGGATGCCTATGGGGTACGCTCAACAAGGTGGATTGGTCCCATATCTCCTACCCACCGATCTGCTGACAATCACCTCGTTGCAGACGCGGAAGAATGCTACGCAGCTATCGTTAACTCGCTACGTAACGTCCCTGGTCTGACGGAAGATGGAGTAGTCGCAAGCACGAGTGCACAGGCCACGACTGGTTCCCGCCGGTTCGTTGAGCAATACCTGCTCGGTGTGATGACGAGGGAGATGACCTGCGACGAGGCACCCGAAGAACCGAAGACCGTCCAGGAAGAATCTGTCCTCAAGGTCGAATGTAACATCTCCGTTTCCACCAACTTCATGTTGCAGGGGATCTTGAGCGTGAGTTCGCACCGACGCTTCCTATTGATCACTTCCAATAACACTACTTTCATGATAGTCTCTTGACCAAAAGATCGAGAAGAACTCACCGTCATTGGGCCGCCAAGCAGTCTACACGCAGAAATCTCGCCTCTCGAGATTGCCAACCTACCTCACTGTTCATATGGTCCGCTTCGCATGGAGAGCCGATATTGGCAAAAAGGCGAAGATCATGGTAACGTCCACCCTTTGGACCGCTGGTCTTCGGTGAGCTGACTCGACACCATCATTAGCGCCGTGTAAAATTCCCCCTCGAATTCGACGCGACCGATCTCGCGACCGACGAGCTCAAAGCCAAGCTCCTCCCTGCCAGCCGCAAGCTCAAGGAGATCGAGCGCGAGCGAGCTGAGCGGCTCAAGGTCCGGAAGAAGACCAAGGTCGCCACTGGCCCCGCTCAGCCCGCTGCTGCTGAGAGCTCGTCTTCAGGCGCGACAGGAGGTGGTGACGTCGAGATGTCCGATGCGGCTGCCGATACGTCTGCCGCTGGTGGCGAGTTGCAGCCTGAGCATGTTTATAGGGAGAAGGAAGCCAAGGAACTCAATGAGCTCATCCATGCTGATTTGAAGAGTGATGTTGGAAGCAGTGCGACTGGGCTTTACGACCTCGTTGGTGGGTTGTTTTTCCTCATTCCTCCCATTCCTTCGTCTTCTGACAACCTGTGATCTGTTCTTTTTCCTTTCTAGCTATCATCACCCATAAAGGCGCCGCAGCAGATGCAGGACACTACATCGGATTCGTGAAGAAGAGCGTCTTCCATCCTATCAAGGGGCAATCTGCTCCGCCGCCTGCTGTGCCTGGTCAAGCCGAGGCTGCTGGGTCGTCGTCGACTACTGGCACTCCGAAAGCGATTGCGGAGATTGAGCCTGATGATGAGGATTGGTACAAGTTTGATGATGATAAGGTTTCGATTTTCCCCAAGGAGAAGATTCCGACGCTTGAGGGAGGAGGAGAGGATTCGTCTGCGTATGTTTTGTTGTATAAATCAAAAGGTGTGTGAGGGGTGGCGTGGTGTGGTGGGTGGGTGTGGTGGGTGTGCGGTGTGTGTGTGGTGGTGGACGAAGCGGGTGTGTAGAAGTAAAAGTGAAGTATCGAGTTGTACGTCATTGTTGTATTGAATGATATAGTCTATTTACTGAGGAACTGAGGACTGAGTAGGCGCAGCCAGTCATCCATCTGTGGGCATTGGTCAAAGTTTTGTATCGCAGAACATTGTCGAAGATGCACGTCGTCGGGATACAAAACCTACCCAACGTGAATTGCGAGCATACGATAGACTCTAAAGGTCCGGTTGGAGGAAGAGGATAAGTACTGGCTTCCGACATTGAGTTGTGAGCCGTTGTTTGATGGCCTCTCGGTCTTGGGACCATAGGATCACGGTGGTGGAAGGACCCCCTTTGTTGACCAGGGAGAGTGTCAGACGGGTTGATTGGAGCCATGTACGATCTCGAGGAAGCGATCCAGCTCTACCGAGAGGCGCTGGAACTCAGACCAACACCTCGTCCACACCGCGATTCTTCAATGGTCAGCCTTGCAAGCGCCCTCTGCAGGCGCTTTGAACAGGGTGGAACCATCCATGTCCGACCTCGGGGAAGCGATCCGGCTCTATCGAGAGGCGCTGGAACTCAGACCAGCACCTCATCCGGACCGTAGTTCCTCGCTTATCAACCTTGCAAATGCCCTTCTCATGCGCTTTGCGCAGATTGGAACCATGTCCAACATCGAGCAAGCAATCCAGCTCTTTCAAGAGGCGTTGGAACTCACACCAACGTCTCATGCGCGTCGCCACTACGCGCTCTACGGCCTTGGACGTTCACTCTTCTCTCTATTTCGTCTCCCCGCCTCTGAGATTGATATTGAAGAAGTAGTTGACTTGCTTCAGGAAGCGTTGGCTCTCCGACCGACGCACCATCCTCTCCGTGGGCAAACCCTGCCTTTTCTTGCTGATGATGCTTTGGAGGCTCGTTTCAATTTGAAGGGTATGGCTGAGGATAGGGAGGAGGCAGTCCGACTTCGTGCGGAACTCGCGGAGCTGCGCAAAAAAATTGAAATTTCCGAAGTCGGAAATAATACCTTTCGACATATGCACACCCTCCTGCATTTCTTTCTTTCTTGACCCTACTAGGGGTGTAACCATCCCATACCAATTATTCCTTATCCTTCTTCCTTCGCCCCCAAGTATGACAAATGTCACCACCAGTCTACACAGTCGTGATGTTGTGTCCCATATTATTACAGGGAAATCGAGATAGAAATTACAATGTCCGACTGCCCATGGTTGTAAAGAAATGGGACTTGAATGTCATTCCTTTGCTTCATTCGTTATCATGCCAGCCTATCATTGCAAGTGTCAAGGAGTCGTCGCCAATCGTACATATCCTGCTCGTCGAGGTGTTCGTTACGTGCATTGAGAATAGTTGCATATCGCAAAGGTCGAAGAATTCCTTTCACCACTTCCTTGGATTGGAGCACCTTCCGATGCCCTTCTTCGCGAGACCGGTACAGCGACAACAGGAATCGGACGTGCAGTGCATCGCAGGGGAAGCTCTCCCCATTAAAGCAGGTCCCCTGGGATCGCGCGATGGCGTTGGAGAACCCTCGTAGATACTCCAAGGAGACCTGGGATAAAGGGTTGGTCTTGTCTATTTCAGGTTCACAGAGCGTGTGCGACGAGTCGGAGGTGGAAGGGGAAGAAGGCGAAATGGAGAACTCATGTGGAGACCCATCAAAGCTTGGAGGCGAGGAGGAGGATGGACCTTGTAGCAAAGCGGAGTAGACGAGAGACCATGCGAATTCCCTATCGCGTCGTTCCTTCGTCGAGAGAATCATTAAACCTGAGATTGCTGGCTCCTTCGCTTCAATGTCCAACGGAGAGGTTTTCGCGTCGAAACTGGACCTGGCCAGAATCGCAATCCATGGTAGATAGTTCAATACCACTTCCAATAAAACTAGAAAAAGAGTGGTATTGGGTTAACCTATCGTTGAAGGAAAGTGTATCTGGGTATCATACCTTTGGAGAATTCGACGGCTCGAAAGTCGAGAGTGGGATCTTGCCATGGAGGTCGGAGCATCCCTCGAATATACACACCGGGGATGGCCGACATGACGTGGAGGTACATCCTGATACGATGTGGGGAGAAGCGCTGCAGCTGAAGGATGGCGCCGCGATCACGGCTTTGCCCAAGCTTTTCGAACCACATTGAGAAGAGTAAGGCGAGCGAAACCGAGACGTCCTTCAGTGGAACATCATTAGGAATAATGTCACCTTCGAGACTGGAAGCAGATGGTGGGTGGCTGGAGGCGTCGGAGGAGGGGAAGACGATGTCAAGAAAGTCGAGCAGACCTTGAATGTCGATGTCTTGCATGAGGAAGTGGAAGCGATGTGTAACGCTCGACGTGGGTCCAGGACCGCCCCTCAGAGCTTCCAGTATATCTGCGTTGGGGAAATGTCGTGTCCAACCCAGTTCGTGGAGGGCTGACAAAATCATCGTCCGCAGGGCTGCCTGCGAAATCGACGTTGACCCAGAAGTGGTATCCCCAATGGAATTCGGGCAGCGAGAAAGCCAGGCACTCGGCCAAAGGAAAATGGCGTGCATGAGGGTTTTGGCAAAGGACTTCTCGTCCGACATAGGGAGGTCAGGAACGGGGTTGAGGATCCTCAGGCAGAACAATAACGTTGGCCCTTCGTCTTGAAGCGAGTGGCCTTGTTGCATCTTGGCGATGAGGACGTCGAGGAGTCCACGGAGCAGCTCCGGCGAGCCTAGAAATCCACAATTAGATTGGGATGCATTGACGCGACATCTATCCTAAGGCTTACCATAGCTCAAAAGGAAACGCAGGTCCTCGTCGTTCCGGATCGGCCAAGGTAAACAAGTCGTCCCTGTCCTATAGTACAAGTCGATATACAACTCGACCTGCAGGAAATAGTATGATCTGAGGCCGGGCGCGACTAAGACGAGATGGCGGACAATCTCTGCCAGAACGATTCGTCGAAGTGTCATTGGGTGGAGAGTTGTGACGTTGTGCCTAAATTTCCCTGCTGCCTGATGCTGGTCGCTGATGATGTGCTGCGCAAGTGTTTGCAGTTCTCGCCATTCCACTCGGTGAACCCAGTGACTGAGAAGTTTGAAGGGGTCGTTGCTGCTGGAACACGCCTCTTGGATGATTTGCAGGGAGTAGACGGTGTTGCGCGAAGAATCGCTGTTGCAGAATAGCTGGTAGATGAGGAGGTGGGGTTTGAAGTCGTCGTGTGATGTTTGGATTACTTCGAAGAGAGAAGGATGATCGCGTGACCAAAGGTGGAGAGCGAGTGCGAAATCTGCTAGAGGCTTGAACGTTTCCCATTTCGTGCGGATGGCGGTGACGTCTACAGCTTTGAGCAGGGTAAGGCCCAGGTTTATTTCTGGCGAGAGGGAGTACGTTGACGTTGCCGAACGGTAGCGATCAGCGAGGTAGTCGAGTATTCCGACTTTCATCCCTGCGAATAAAGATCAGTGGGAGGCCACGGTCGATAAGAGAGCATAACTTGCCAAAGGGAAGGTTACTGTCGCTGCGGACGTCTCTTAGATCCACCACGGGTATGACGTGAGGCGCAAGCTGCGGTACCTTGGCGAGTTCAAGGAAGAGTTCTAATCGGTATGGAAGAAGGTCCCCTCGCAGGCGCTCGTCGCGCTGGAAGACGACGTCCAGCACATGAAATGCTATAAAGCTGCGCTTTGAAGACCGGGGTGCTTGCTCCAGGAGGGCCACCTCGGCCTTGAACCCGGCGATCTGCAAAACCTGTGTTGCTGTAAAAAGATGCACGTCTTGGAGGCAGTGGTGTATAATGGAATAGGTGTTGATTCCCTGCCGGTTGTGAATTAGGGAGGCGAGACCGTATGCACTGTCAACGCCATCGGTTTGCTGTGCTTTCAGTTGCTCTGCAGTGAGAATATCTCCTTGGTAGTCCCATGGAACTCCATCACGAACCTCCCGCCAAAGGAGGTCAAACTCCATCCAGTCTTTAATGTTCTGGAGCCGGAGAGTGAGTTGTTTCGGTGCGCTACACCCACGAAACCAGCGGACAAGGCGAGGGAGGGAAGGAGAGATGGAAATGAACAGTGAAAAACATTGGTGAAAGAGCCACGCCTGGGACGACTTGTAAGGACACTGTGGAGTCCAAAAGTGCTCGTTGGGAGGGAAAAAGGATTGGAGGGCGGGCAGGACGGTGGTAAGAGAAAAGAAAGCGCAGAGAAGCAGAACGACGAGGGTGATCACTGCTGCAACAGCCCAATTCAAGTTCCATAGGAACTCCAGGAGGCCGAGGAAGAAAAGGATGAGCGAACTTTGAAGAAACAAAGGGAGGGCAGAGATGATGGCAGAGACCCGCCAATAGACGAGGCCCTCGTAGCGCATCTGCCGCAAAGCAGAAGCCTCTTTGGCGGACATGTTATCATCGCGATAGGTATACTCGCGGATCCACTGCAAGCAGATGATTCCGACAAATACGGTGCACAGGTTAAGGGTAATGCTGAGAAACCAAAATATGTTGACGCGGATAGCAGAGCCAGCGCCCGGGAGAAGAGAGTAAGAATCGACGTCGCGGGCGCTCGCCTGCGGCCTTTGGTCGCCGCCGAGTGCGCTTACGACTTGAGATAGAAGATGAACCGCGGCTTCTTGAGGGTCCTCTTTTAGTTCGCGATACGATTCAATCGCAAAGGGCGTGACCACTGCGCAGGCCAACCCAGCCTGTTCAGAATTGAAGGTGAGTAAGAGCTAACATCGGGTAGAAATATCATCTCACCAACACTAGAAGCTTTTCTATCTCCTCCTTCCATGCATTACAAACTGATGTGTCCGTGGTCTTCAGGATCCCGTCCAGAGCTTCCCAAGGGTCCGTCGTCCGCTGAGGCTCGTAGCGACTGCGGGTCATCACAAGTCATTACGGAGGCCATGGCCAATAGCCCTGGCTATATAACTGCCTCGAGTGACCGTATTTCAGATTTGTATTGTCGCCGGGGGATTCTGATTACTGCAATTGATTCTGAGGCTGTTCTGGACTTTGACATCGCTGGCAGATATTACGTGTAATAGGGTTTGCCATTAATCTTTCTTGAAGGTGCAGTCGGTTGGAAAGAGTAACGCATGGCCAGTCGTGTCGTTGAAGGCAGTCCGGTGAGCAGACGATTCCTGAACTTGACAGAGAGAACGAGGAAGAGGTCAGATTCCGATGGACTCGGATATCACGGCTATGTCCGTTACCGATTCCCACGCTCCTCGCACAGCACTCGCCGACTCAGTTTGGTTCTCGACGATCATGGTCTCGTCAATCCTGCAATACTGAACTGTCAACCTTTCGCCATTTACAAAGAATTTGACTTATTGCTGACGAGACAGAATCTCAGCAAAGCTATTGCTTTATCTGGGCCAAGAATGGAGATAGATTCTTGATGATAGGGCATCCAACGAGCTAGCCGATGCTGTCCGTCCTGGTACCCATCTACTCTGTCGTAAAGATTCTCCGCAACCTGGGACGAGACTTTCAGGTGGGTCCAAACTCGGCCCTGCTGCTCATTTTTAGCGGTTGGAAGACTGACTGGCTGACGAATTGTTTTCAAGTCTTCCCAGCTGGGCAATTTGCGCAAATCGCAACCGCAGTGCTTATCAGTCTTAAGCGCTCTTAGGGATTTCCTAAGGTTTCGATGGACCCACGGTATTGCAACCAGGACCAATGTGTCACCAACAGACTCCGTAGTAAATAAGGGAACAGATACTCGTATGTTCCCTGGGTTCGTTCGGTTCCTCCCTCGACATGCAAGACATATCCGTCGAGCTCGCCCAGCTGGTGGCTATCTTCCTTCAGTCCATCCTATACGGATTGTATCTCGTCACCTGCGGGTATTGTTTCTCGCGGTTTCTGCGTCACGCGTCGGGATGGTTGCCACGCAGAGATATCGAATGGCGAATAATTCTAGTCGGCTTTGCCCTTTGGGCCATTGCGACTCTAAACCTTGCGCTGGGTATATTGCGGCTGATACAAGGGGTCCTGACCCACCAGGGCAGTCGAGGGGGAAACGAAATAGGGCGACCATGGATCACAACGGCCAAGGTATGCGCAATGTTTCTAATTATCATTTCCAGATAGCTCTGACGCGTCTTCTAGGTAGCTCTAATGTGTTTTCAAATCATCATCGCAGACTCCATAATGGTCGGTCTTTTTATTCTTTATGGCATCCACAGGCTGATACGGGTTCGTAGGTTTGGCGCCTATGGGTCATATACGAACGGTCCCTCTTGGCATCTGTAATACCCACCCTGCTGTGGGCAGGAGGACTGGTCATCACCATCTGGACCGTCTACCTTCGAATCCACGTCGCATACCGGCCAGGAGCCACCGAGGAGGACTATCCTCCCGAATTGCACGCCATCTGCATGGCCCTTTGGGCATTGACAATCTCTCTCAACCTCTACACCACTTGTGAGTTGATAGGCTTGATACACTGCCCAGAATCTCAACCGTCGTGTAGCTGCGATCGTCCTGCGTATCTGGCGCGCAGATAGAGAGACCAAGGCTTGCCTCCGAGCTTCCCAATTCAACAGGGATATCCAGCCACCTTCGTATCTCAAGCAAACGATGAAGATCGTAATCGAGTCGGGACTGATACACTCTGCTGTGACCGTGTCCGTATTTATCTGCTTAGCGCTCAGGACGAATGCGTCGTACATAACCACAGCCATCGTATGTCAGCAGACGTTTTGACTACATCCATTTCCCGCTGACAGATTGCTGTAGGACATCATCGTCATAGGAATCACCTTCAACCTCATCGTCCTGAGGGTAGCATCTAGGCGATTGAGAGAAAGCCATGCGAAGCAAAGTTCCGTGGATTTTGTGACGTCGTCTACTCTAAACGGCTACTTAGCGGAAACTGGGAGTTGTGCGAGCTCACTGAGGAGCAGGGACGGTCCGATACAGAGCCCCAGTATCGGTGATGGTCGACCAGTTGTTCACATTGACCCGCTGGATGGGCAAGAAAGGCAACCACAACCACATGTCTGACGGTACTAGAGGTACGCAGTCGTCCTTGTATCCACAAGTCGTCGTCTCTCACTTTCCTTGAAGATAAATTTAGATCATAGAAGTGTTCTATTTTTGCTATCCATATGCAATGCATCAGTGACGCGACTGCATGTTTTTACCCTGGGACAGAGTCCTCAGGCTGGAGCGGCCGACCGGCGATGACTCGCACGTATCATTTTCCTTGAGCAGGTCGACTCGCGAATCCGATCTCTTGAATTTTTTTGATCTATTCAATGTGTGGCATTGGTAATGTGTTCACTTTCGGCTTTCCAGGGTCTACCTTAGCATCCGGTCTCTTCGTCACGGGCACCGGCAGAATTGTGTTATGGCGACCATCTCAGGTCGCTTCCCCTGTTGTGCAAGGACGTCGGCATATGGTGGTAAGCATTCTCCGAACTCCAATCAATTGAAGACACCACTGAAGGTCCCGTATACTTCCAGGAGATGCAGGGAGTGAATCTTTAACGCGACGGTTGCCCTTCTCAACTTCTGTTGGCATCTGTTGAACGTTTGAGCGAACTCGGCTGATTGAGAAGCGCGTTGAAGCATTTGCGCTTACAGCCTCATTCCGAGTGCACCATGCACCATAATGACCAGTACCCAAGGTGATGTTCGCTAACACCCCCTAATCGTCTCCACACCCTTGCTGTTACACATCAATGATGCGCTCAGCCGAACTCAACGCCCCGCTATTCCCCATCAGCTTCGACTTTTGGCCCTCTAGGCTCTGTCATGCCGAATAGACACCAACTCAATATCTGGAGAAGTCCATCAATCTTCTGTCTGAAAACGGTTACTCACGCCCGTCAGAAAACGTCAGAGTCGACCCACACTCTCACCCGCGCTCTGCACCTCGTCAAGGTATGTATCCTGAATGTAACTGGTTATGTCGAGGATATGCGCGTTTCTATCGGTTTCTCCACCAATGGCCCTCCGACTCTCCACATTACCTAGAAACCTTGCGCAATGTGGGCCGTCAAGGTCGCCCTGTCCAGGATCCCTCTGGATGGACACCTGATTCGTGATTCGGTACCAGGTGGTACAATTACAAAACTCCCTGTAATTCGCATCACAGGACGATCAAGCGACCGGGTTTATCAAGAATAACCGATGTCACAGAAGACACCAGGGGTCAGTGATCACATTCAGCGATATGTTACTTCCAATCTAACCCATTCGAAGGCTGAATTTCTCAACAGGGTGTTTAAAAGATAGGAAGAGCGGCGGCCTTGTGTTACTTCCATCCCCGCTCCTCTCTCCTCCCTGTCCTCACATTCGATCTGCCGTTCGTTCCATTATGCCGACCTCTGCGGGTCTTCGACTCGTTCTCTCGTCGTTGTTGCTGCTTCCTTCTGCGTTCGGCGCTCTCCTCACCGACCCTTCCCAGTTACGAGGGGATCGTACGTATGACTATGTGATCGTTGGTGGTGAGTAACTTCATTTTTCCTGTTCTGTAAGACTTCAGCTTGACCTTCTTCGTCGCTCATTTATACGTCCTTCGTAGCTGGAAACGCAGGCAATGTAATCGCGGAGAGGATTTCAGCTGGCCCGCACCCCAAATCCGTGCTCGTTCTCGAAGCTGGTGTTAGGTAAGTCCCGATTTGGCCGTATGTCATCTTCCACACCGAGCTAATAATAACTATCTGATTAGCGATGAAGGCGTGCTGGCTGCTCAAGTGCCATTCCTAGGCCCCACTTTGACTCCAGGCACGTTCAGGCGTAACTTACTTGGAGGGGCTGACGTAACTGGCTGACTCTCTTTACCTTATGGCACTCTAACAGGTACACCCTTCGACTGGAATTACACTGTCGCTCCGCAAGAAGGTCTGGATGGGCGTACGTTCCCGTTCCCGCGTGGAAAGATGTTGGGCGGTTGTTCTTCCGTCAGTGAGTTGGGCTTCTTCTTGTGATTGTAATCTCGATTCTGATTGTGCTGAACGGATGCCTTGTAGATTATATGGTACACCACTTTGGGTCCTCGGAAGACTACAATAAACTAGCTAGAGACTCCGGTGATAATGGTTGGAGCTGGTCCTCAATTAAAAAGTATATTTTTAAGGTATGGTGTTTCTCTTGCCCGTTAAGCTTGCAATGCATCTGAAACCCGAAATCTGATCACTTGCTTTCCTCTTTTCAGCACGAGAAGATCGTCCCTCCCGCCGACAACTCAGACACGGATGGCAAGTTCCTGCCTCAGTTCCATGGGACTGGAGGAACCGTCTCTGTCAGTCTTCCAGGCAACTCACAGTCGATTGATGCCAAAGTCATCGCGACCACCGATGAACTGCCCGAGTTCCCTTTCAACCCTGATCAAGGACATGGGAATGGACAGGTCTTGGGAATGGGATGGACACAGAACTCAATTGGCGAGGGAGCTCGGAGCAGTTCCTCGACTACCTACTTGAAGGAAGCACTCAAACGCCCCCATGTCGACGTCTTGATTAACGCGCATGTGACAAAGTTGGTTACTACCCGGAAGAAGAGGGGACGACCAGTGTTTGACAAGGTTCAGTTTGCGAGTGGACCTGGGGGTGAGTGTTCCCATCAATGGTGTGCAGCAGCAACATTGTCTGATTCCTATTTGATAGCCCCTGTCACGACCGTCACTGCTCGGCGGGAGATCATCCTTTCTGCGGGAGCCTTTGGTACTCCCCAGATCCTGCTATTGTCCGGTATAGGACCGAAGACAGATCTCGACGTGCTCGGGATCCCAACTGTCATTCACAATCCTTCAGTTGGACAGAACTTGTCTGACCACGTCCTCCTTCCCAACATCTTCAATGTCAGGGGACAAGATACGCTTGACCAGATTATTCGTGGAGACCCGAATGTTGTTCCTGGTGTGCTAGACCAGTGGACTACGTCGAGGAGCGGACCCCTTGCCAACGGTGTTACAAATAACCTTGGGTTCTTCAGGTTGCCAGCGAACTCGAGTATCTTTAATAGCGTGAGCGATCCGGCGACTGGACCTACCGCCTCGCATTGGGAGATGATCGTCATTGTGAGTATCCCGGGTCTTCGACCTGTTGCCCTTGTGTTGATGATTTCGTAGAACTTCTACCTGAACCCCTTCGGACCTCCCATCCCTCCCGCTGGCACGTTCATGACACTCATCTCGGCGCTCATCTCTCCCACTTCTCGTACGACATCTTCCCTTCCAACCTACTCCCAATTCTAACTGCTCCCATTTGCAGGCGGTTTCGTCCGACTGGCTTCTGCAGACCCCTTCACGGCGCCCATCATCGACCCCAAGTTCCTCACGACCCAGTTCGATATCTTCGCTTTACGTGAAGCGGTGCGAGCGACCAAACGGTTCGTTACTGCGAGTGTGTGGAATGATTATGTGATTAGCCCGTGGGGTGGGTTGGCGCAGACGAGCGACGAGGGGATCGATGCGTATGTGAGGCAGCAGTCGACGACAGTTTATCATCCTGTTGGTACTGCGGCTATTTCGCCTAGGGGAGCAAACTATGGAGTTGTTGATCCTGATTTGAAGTTGAAGGGAGCGGAGGGTGTTAGGATTGCGGATGCTTCGGTTTGGGTGAGTTTGGATTGTGTGTTTTGGTGGACTGTGTGCTGATTTGCTTTGTAGCCTTTCCTGCCGAATGCACATACGCAGGGACCGGTGTATCTTCTTGCGGAGAGGGCTGCTGATTTGATTCTTGGGAGAGCTTGATTTGGATGCTTTCGATACCCCCAAGCTGTCGTCTTTGAAAGACGTCGTTCGCTCGTTGACTTCTGTCTGGAATTCTAATGGACAGCACACCACTAATACCTTTCCTGTATAAGATTGTACAACACTTGCTATTGAAATAATCATTCGTCTCTTCAATGAAACTGCCTGAACAGAAGTCGTCCCTTGAAAATACTGACTACTAAACTAATCACCCTGACACCCGCGCGGCGGCGCCTCGAGACCCTTGCCTCTGAAAATCGGTACCCACGATCATGCTTGTACTTGTTCCTGAAGTCAGAAGTGCGAATGACACAGAATAATCGTGACCGACAGAGGTCACGACTCACGACGGTGTTCGGAAAATTGAAATTTGACACCACCTTTGTCTCGTTCTCCTCGTATCAGCGACTTCAGAAGCTCTCGTCAAGACTCTGGTCCTCGATCTACCGCCTTTGCAGCGATCAGCCATGGTCGACTTGATCCTTCTTCTGGTTCTGTTCTGAAATTCCGATGCAGGCGACGGTGGAAACGGTCCATTCTTCTTCGCCCTGCCCGCAAACCTTTGTTGTTGTTCCTCTGTTCGTCTAGGTTCGGCTTTTTGCGACTTCCCAAGTGACTTTGCTTTCGCCTGGACCTTCTCGTCGCTGCGATTCGAACATTATCTCAAGAATTGCTCCAGAAAGGGGAGCAGAAACGGACGCACTCAAACCAAACCGGACCAAGGCAATCGAGCCGGATCGTGGCTGTGCGGCCTGTGCCGAATGTCTCACATGATCAAGATGGTCCGTGCGCTCTGCAAACACGGGACCAAACAAAACCAGGTCACAGGGTTTCTTGATCACGAACAGTCGTGACTTTCACGCCCCCCAATATCGCCCCTCTCTGCTTGTCCCCCGCTGATCTCAATATCTCGACGCCAGAACCCGCCGTCGTCGCCGTTCTTGTCGACGAACTCAATCAAGATCATTGTTACTTTTTGAAGACTCGGTCATCGCTGACCTTTTCGAGCTCAACGAGAAGAGCCAACCACCTGAAACCCTCGATTGATTCACTCCATTCGCCAATAGTCTTGTCGCTTGTATAGGACAAGTTAGACCGACATTTCTGGACGACGAAACTTAGTTAACGATGGCATCGGCTGCACCAGAACAACAACAGCCACAGCAGCAACAGCAACCTCCCGCTGTTCCACCTCCTCCCCCCGCACCCGCACAGGCCACAGCAGCTGCAGCGGCGCCTCCTGTGCCTCAGCCTGCACCGGGAACGGCACCATACGAATACCAGCAACAACTATTTAATGGCATCACTGGGATTGAGCCTAATGCCTTGCTGAAGATCCTGCGATCTCTTCCTGGAGTGTTTCCTTCTGTAGTATGTCCCATCCATTTTGTTTCCTGGATCGAAGATGCTCATATTCGTTCTTCCGGCTACTTAGAGTGGCTCAGATATTCGCACCTTCACCGGCGTCCGTCGCGGACTTGTGTCTCCCCCACACGTGATGCTAATGACCGCGTTCCGCGACCACGGGCGCACAGAGCACGGTCACGGGGAGATCTGGACATCTGGACTGCATGTTTCTTTTTGATCTCTGCTCTTTGTTCATGCCTATCGTGATTGCTTATGACGATCCTTTAACAGCTTGATCCTGCGAATCAGAAGCAGGATGCTGCTCAGGCCCTTTCCAATCTCTCGCAGTACCCTCAACAAGGTCTGCAGTATCCGCCACCCGCCGGTATCCCAGGTATCAACGAACCTGGCCCATCATCACATCCCCGCGGTCCCCCTACCCTAAATCAACTCACCGCTGCCGTCGCGATGCAGGTTGCACCCACCCCTGTACAGGGGCAGCAGCCTCCAGCCGATGGTGCCGGGAAGCCACCCACTCAACCCGCGCCAGTTCCAACCGACCCCAATGCTCAGGCGTCTACCTCTGCCCAGCCCGCCCAGCCACCACCACAACCTGCACCTGCTGCTACCCCTGCTCCTACGACGACTGGTGGTCGACGCCAACGAAACCCTGCAATCGGTACCGATGAGTGGGCTCGCCAAAGAAAAGACAACCACGTAAGATCTACATATTCTCAATCATAGACGTGTGATATCTGATTCTTTCTGTTTACAGAAAGAGGTTGAACGCCGTCGGCGAGGGAACATCAACGAGGGCATCAACGAGCTTGGCCGCATCGTTCCAAATGGAACAGGTGAGAAGGCCAAAGGTGCCATTCTCGCTCGTGCCGTCCAGTACATCCACCACCTGAAGGAGAACGAGGCGCGGAACATTGAAAAGTGGACGCTGGAGAAGCTGCTCATGGATCAGGCCATGGGTGATCTCCAGGCGCAGTTGGAGGAGGTGAAGCGGCTGTGGGACGAGGAGCGGACCGCGCGACAGCGGTTAGAGGCTGAGCTGGAGCTCCTTCGAGGCCGCCAGAGTGCTGCTCCCAAGGATGAAGCTACCGCGGCTGGCACCAAGCGACGGAGTGAAGAGGAAGGTGGTGAGGCGCCAGCCGCCAGCGCTGCACCAGCCGAGAACGCTGAGGAGAGGGACGGCAAGCGCCAGCGGACCGAGTAGGTGGCTGGTTTCCTCTTCGAACGGTGTATTATATCCTTTCTTTTTCTCTTCATTCCCTTTCTCTCAACGTGAACGCCTGCATCTTCAAGTGTAGTTGTACAAGAAACGAAGTCATTTTTCCCCCTTTCCCTATGCGTATGGCCTTTCTCTTCACTCCCACTGTACTTTTAACTTTTAGGCATGTTGTGTGATGTACCTGCATTTGGGGACGTGAGTGTAATTCAATGGTTTGAGTGTGCGTTGAACATCGCCCTGTGCCCGCGAGACTAGGAGAGCGCGTTAGTATCCAGATGAGGCGTTCCCTTTCAAGTTCCTAATCATTGACACTGACACTGACAGCTGTCTTCATAGATCGCCACTTACAACATCCCCCTCCCTCCATTGCCGTACATGACGCTGACAACTGTACATCACTGTGGGCTGTTATCTTTCCTTGCTTGTCTGTTGTGCCTGAAAAGCTGATTTCATTCCTGGAACGACGGAGCGAGAGGTTCAGTCAGAGACGGGTTGCATGATTGACGAATTCGTATGGCGTGAGTCTGACGCAGAAACCCCAGGGCGGTTCTGAGCATTTCTTCCTAGACATCCCCTCCGATGATGAAATGGCGCTCACCAAACCAGCGCTCATACTTTGGCCAATGGATGGCGCCAGCATTCCCGCGAATCGTGGAGGACCGCATGCACGCTATGTAATTCTACTCCGTCGCTGCTATCTATCCTCCGATTGTCCAAGACCCCCGAGTTCCGTCAAGTTGATGTCGGACTACCTGGAGATTGCTGATACCAACTTCTCAGTCAACCTTGGCTAGTACTACTTAGTAGCGCGCCCAACATTCCGATCCGGTCTCCAGATTTTGTTGATGAGCCTGACTCAGTATAGGAAGATCAAGGACAAGATTTACTTCCGTTGGAGAAGAGGATGTATATCAGTATCAGTCGATCGGCCAAGTGCGGTCGGGTTTTCCCTCGTGGTGAGATGACTGACGTCTATTATGAAGGAACGACCGGGTGCACTCCTGAAAGTAACTCAGGCCTCTTGAAAATTAAAAATTCTGATGTCGAAATCGAAGCTCAAGAGAGGCTTGCTCATGTAAGTAATAGGACCAGGGTGCAGTGGGGCTTTCCTGCCGCCCTGGATCATCAGGTTCGCAGAGCTCAATTGAGTTCTTTTCCATCAAAATCGAAGATGCGGGGAGGGGTGAGGGAAGCGGTGGTTTTGAGCGCTTATTCCGCTAGCCGCTTGGGAATATTAGGTCATCGTTGGTCTATCCCCGCCGCCGCGGGTGCGCAGCAACGCCTTGGCAATCTTTGCAAACTTAGGCCGTTCTTCTTTTTGTACATTAGCAATTATTGCTCATCGAGGGCGAGGCTTCGAGGAGTGCTGTGGTTGCGCAGGTTCTCTACAGCACTTGGTTGTTCAGATGGTGAGTTGGCTGCTGCATTTCGCATTCCATCCATGCGACTCATCTCATATGCCCGTGGTGTCTAGCGATAAGATAGTGCTGCCGGGTGGTGAATCACCCGGACTTTCAAGGGCCAACTTCCGAAGAAAGCAGGCTGGGGCCAGGCTAAAAAAACCATTCAAAAAGCTATTCATAGCGTTGATTCTAATCACTTTGGTCGCCAAGGGCAGGATAGAGCTCGCCCACATCACAAGAAGACGCCGGTATTGCTGTGAGTTGCTGTAATCCAATGAAACCAGATTTGGAACGGGCAGAATTGTGTGTTTTTATGTAAATTTTGTGTGGTGGGAAAGGGCGGTTACGGATTGCCACCGACGTGGTTATGGGACCTTGACACCATGAAGTGATCCCTCCGAACACTTTCTTGAAAGACGAACACTCTTCACGACTGTGTCTCCCCCTTCCCCCTCCCCTTTCTTTTCAAAATTTGCGCCCCAATCTCTTCCAAACCGGCCGGGGGTCGGGGGTCGCCTGCCGACCACGACGACGACGACCCGTTGGCACGGGCACTCGCACCGCCACCCGACGAAACCCCTGAACAACGACGACTACGGCTTGCTGCAGAGGCAGAGGCGAAGAAGATCAGCGATGAGATCGACGAGAGGTTGAGGAGGGAGAGAGAAGCTGACAAAAAGAAGAAGAGGCCCGTCAAACTGTTGCTATTGGGTAAGCGGCACATCTCAATGCGCGAAAACAATACGAGATGCGACTATCGTTTGTGTTACAGGTCAGAGTGAAAGTGGGAAGACGGCCACACTCAAAAGTGAGTTTCCAAACGTATATCTTATTGATATTGTATTCTTATTTTTCTATAGACTTCCAGTTGACCTATGCACGGAAGGAATGGGCAGAGGAGCGGGCTTCCTGGCGCTCGGTGATCTTCCTCAACCTCATCCGGAACGTCAATGTTATCCTCGAACACCTCAATGCCGAGATGTTCGACTACCCAATGGTCAACGATGATTCACAAGAAGACCTTCAGGTCGTCCCCAGAAGCCTGCCCAGACTGGCATTCACAGAGCTTCACCGACGGTTGCGAACCGACCTCGCGCATTTGGAACGTGTTCAGAAGGACCTCGAGGCGCGGCTAGGTTCGGCTAGTCTCGAGCTGCATTCCACGAACGAGACGTCTGCTGCCCCATTTGCAGAATATATGGAGGGAGGGCGTCGTGGTGAATTCGGGATTCATTCTTCGAATGGTTGGAAGTCTGCCCTTACGAAATTCCGGACACTACGGTCGACCACACAAACAGACTCGGACAGCAACTCCAGCCCTGTGGCAACGTCGCCATCGAGGGGAAACCGCGATTGGGTGGATGAAATTGCGGAGACGCTGGAGAGTTGCCGAGAGGATATCAAGATACTTTGGGAGGACCCAATCATTAACGAGATGATGATTCGGCGAAAGCTTCGGTTGGAGGACCAACCGGGATAGTAAGTTCCGGTGTGGGTTAATTGACATGGACATGATCTAACTTTCTTTAGCTTCATCCCAGATGCAGACCGAATAGCATCGAGGTTCTACCAACCGACTGACGATGATGTGATTCGAGCCCGTCTAAGAACACTCGGTGTACAAGAATACAAGTACATCTTTGACCATGGTGAGTTCATCAATGGTGCCTTCTCGAGTCCCTTCGATCTGATGACTGTTACAGGTCGGACGGTGGGTCAAGAATGGAGGTTATACGATGTGGGAGGCACGAGAAGTAGTGTGAGTAGGGTTTCCTCGGACCAGTGATCTTATGACCCACACATCGTAGCGAGGCGCGTGGTATCCTTACTTTGATGACGGTATGCACACCCCCACACCACTCAACGTTGCCCGTTCTAATCGCTTCTCAGTCGACGCGATCATCTTTTTGGCGTAAGTACTTCCAACTCACTCCCTGTACTACCTGCTCAAGTGAGCCAACCTTTGTCTCGTTTTAGACCAAGTGAGTTAACCATCTTTCTTCCCTGATATTCAAACTTATTGATATTCCTCAGTATCGCCATTTGACGAGAAGTTGGCCGAAGACAAGCGTGTCAATCGACTTGAAGATAGCTATCTACTGTGGCGATCGGTGTGCGCGTGCAAACTTCTATCGCGAACACAGCTCATCCTATGTAAGTGCACAGCAAACCATGTCGTCTAAGCTCGGTTTCTCAACCATCTCCCCTCACAATTCTAGTCCTGAACAAATGCGATCTCCTACAAGCCAAGCTTTCCCGAGGTGTGCGGATAAGGGACTCGGTACCAAGCTACGGCGATAGGAAAAACGATCATACGACGGCCACGAAATGTATGTACCTCTCCCCGCCTTCTTCGCGCGGACCAGCGCACTAAACCAACCTCTTGAAGATTTCCAACAGCATTTCAAGGAGATTGCCCGCCAGCATTCGCCAGTTCAACGCCCGTTCTATGTGCATCTTACATCAGTCATTGTATGTCTTCTTTTTGCCTAGGTTCTTTCTGCTTCCTCTTGGCGTGGCTTCGCGCCCGCTATGGGTCCTGCGGGTTATGGCCTTAGCTGACGTTCTTACTTTTATAGGATACACGGTCCACTGCGGTGACGCTTGGAGCTGGTGGGTTCTTTGGTTCTTGTGCTATAGATACCTCAATACTGACAACTCGCTTCTTCTCCAAACCCACTGGATTCTGATTATCTGCGGTGCCTTTGATGAATCATAGTCGAAGAATCCATCCTTCGAGAGCACTTGCGCCGAGCAGATTTGATGTAGGGACTTTTTGACAGCTCTTTTTTCGCTCGCGTGGCCTCCTTTCGTCGTTCTTCGGAGTCACAGCTCAGCTTTTTTCTCTGTTCCCTTTCTCTTCTCTATTTCCTTCCTCTCTCGAACAATATGGCTTGGCTTTCTACTCCATTTCACCTTCATCTCTGTCTATCAATCTCAATCCTGTCTCATGCTACCCGGTGCTTACTTGTTCTTTTACTACCGTTCTGGACACATCCCAACCCGGCATGCGGAACCGTGTTGTTGTTGCTCCTTTTAATTACTACGAATCATCTTGCGTTTTTTGTTTGGATAGTCCAGCTTCATCTCTTGCACAATTAGTATTTTGTATCATACATCGATCTACCCATTTGTTTCTTTCTTGTTGGATGCCTGTTTCAAATCAGAATACATTGTTTGTTCACCCTTTTGATTGGGTGCTGTGTAGATGGTGGGAATGTCTGCTATGTATGTAGTGCGTTGCGGTGACTTCGTAATACTTTTGGAACAGTGATCACTCAGGGTTCTTCACGAAATGGGGATGGAAGTGCATGAATAACTTAGTCAAGGGTGGAGAGACGGCTGGTATAGCTGTTGCGCTCGGGCGCGATGTACAAAAAATGCCGTATAGAATGGAAGGGAAGACGCTCATCAGATGGTGATAGGCGCCCGTACACTAACAGCCCGAAGATGTCATATTGACCATGGTCGAGAAAGGAAAAGTCGAAATCGGCAAGCAATATATTAGTCGCTCGTAATATCACAGTCATCTCTAAAACTGTGCCTACTAGCCTAGATACAACGAGAGCTGTGGATCAAGGCGTCGCTCAAGGTTTCCTACGACGAGAAGGTGGCGAGGGGAACTGGTCGATAATGTCCGAGAGAGGGCTTGTAGGACTTGGAGGATCTTTGATCGGTGCTTCCCTGGAGTCGCTAATTTTAATCTTGGGCCGTCCACCAGAGGCACCACCATGTCTCTCGAAAATCTCCTCGAGGAGCTCGCGAGTGGTGAACTCGCTCAGGATGTCTTCCCTGGTCCACAGGGACTCAGCGTCGACGAGGTCCCTGGCTTCGTAGAGGAAGTCGCGCGCGGCGAGGTCGTTGGCGTAGTCATTCTGAATGTGTATTGTTGAGAAGAACTGTTGGAGAGAAAGTGAGGCGTTGGGTGACGTACGTGGTAAGCGGACGTGTATTTGAGTCCCGCCAATACGACGACGAGAGACTTGACGATAACGTGGACGCGCATGCTTTAACGTCTAGAACTCCTTCTCTAGTAGTGTAGGAATCACTGTGCTTTGGAGCTAGTTCTCTATCGATGAGGGTGGGATACCCTCAGCCCTTTATACAGTCAAGTAAGCGCCGGTCTGGCGGTGTCGCGCCCATACATCGGGCCCTCAAATACACAGATATCTGCCAACAAGATCATTGAGTGTCTCGCCAATGTCTATTTTTGTCAACCGCTGTACACAATATCAGCGCCAGTAGCTTGTTGGATCGAACTTTCGTCACAGACCCTGCACATCTTTAACCACAGTGGGTACACACGGTAGGTCCTTGTGTCCTTGTATAGTCCACTAAATATTTTAGCTGCGACCATCATTCTTTGTGCTTCGCCTTATTGTTCCAGCATCAAGGCTACGGCGCTGCGCCGTCCACTGGCAGCAGATCATGAGGGATCTACGCGCGAAGGTCGGACAGCTGATGATGCTCCCTACGCCTGTCGACGAAGGACAATCGGGGAAAAGCAATGGTAAGGTGAATGGTGTCCTTGGAACGGCCAGCCGCTTGGCATAGCCTTCGCCAAACGTTTCTTTCCTGTCCCTTTCTCGGTTAAATTTAAGCGCCCGCAGGCCGAAGCGGCCAAAATGACTGAGATTGAAACTGATCGTAACCCGATCACGGAAGTCTCCTCGCTCTGATCATGACGCGACGCGCTTTCGTTCCTTCAGCGCTCGCCTTTACCTCCTCTCACGCGTTGCTTCCCATCCGACTATCCGTGACCGGCTGGCTCTGCATTTCAAGGTCCTGTGAAGAGATTCAAAGGTGAATTGCTCATCGACGTTGTCAACAAGACCAAGAAACCGGCGCTTATGATGTGACAGTATCACTTGCGAGTCGCGATGGATAGTTCCCCAGACGTCAATCGACTTGTAGATTCCAATGCAGTCCCGACAGAAGCCCAAATAGCGCGTATTCGTGAGCTTTTGGACGCCACGGAAGACAACATTGAAGAGCTCCAGGCGCAATTGAACCACCAGTCCGAAATCAAGCAGCTCTGCCAGCTCATCTTATCCCCTATGCGACGGATCCCCGACGATATTCTGCAAGAAATATTTCTGTTCACTGTGCCGACAGATTTGAACCAGTGCCATGATATCCGGGGTTTGCTGCGACTTACCGCAGTCTGCTCGCGCTGGCGGGACATTGCCTTATCCACAGCGCGCCTTTGGAATAGGATTTGCGTCATGGGCCCCCGTCGGCGAAGTCGCCTCCGCAAGCCAGTTTGGTTTTCGGACCCAAATCTTAGGCGGAAGTACCTGGGGTGGACCAAAGCGTGGATTACTCGCTCTCGAAAGGCCCCATTGTACCTCTACCTCGATCTGGGGTCGTTTGACGAGGATCTCACGGTGTGGAAAGACGTTCGCAGCGCGCTCAAGACGTTTTTCAAACCCATTGCCCCACGACTACACCACCTTACGCTTCTTTCAAGCTCCCTGGAACATATCTTACCTCACTCGCCCTTCACTGACAAGACGTTCCGTCAACTGCACTCGGTCATCATAGAGGCGCACGACGAAATCGATCCCAACGCACCAACGAGAACCAAGGCGGTGACCCTCTTCCCCGCATGCTCCCAGTTACACACAGTCGATGTTTCCAACACAGGACTCAGCGTAGAGCGCCTTAGCTTTCCTGTCGAGAATCTAGCACATTTTGCGATGGACTGCTTGGATCCAGATGGTGTACCCAAAGTCATGAAACGGTGGAACAAGCTCCGTACCCTCTCGCTTTCAGAGTGCGGCTTCTCCTCCTTCTTTCCCGAAGAGCCATCGCAGGAAAGCTCTTCGGACAACGAGCGAATCATCATGCCCAACCTCGAATCCCTCTCGATATCATTCGACGAATTCTCCATGGACATCCTCGTCTACCACACTCTGGAAGCCTTCGACTACCCCAAACTCACAGCCCTCCGCCTCGAAATACCTACCTGGTTTGGCCCACGAATTCCCGAATGGTCGGCCAGGAAAGAAATCACTTCTCTGTTCTCCAAGCTTCACGAACTCGACTTGGACAAATTCCCCGTCGACACCGTCGAGCACGCGAAAATGCTTTTCGAGGGTTGCCCTCAATTACGCAAACTCAACATGGTCGCCGCAGGGGACCTTGACTTTGACGAGGTTATGGAGTTGCTCATGGGAACCAAGTACCTCCCGCACCTGGAGGAATTGGAGTTACAGACAGATTCGGAGGTGATTTGGCGTGCCGACATTCATCGACTCGTCTGTGCTCGAGTCAAGCCAGCAACGTCCCCACCAGAACCTCAGCTTCGCCGAGTCAGGATATATTATTATGGCGTCGTTCAAGCATACCCCACCGACCATACAAATTATCCCGTGCCACCGTCTGTCGACATAAGCTTCAAAGTCACGCTCCCCGATAGATACGCATGGAGGAAGACGTCTTGGAATGGTTGGAGGAGTACGGTTGGTCCTCGACCGGAAGGGATGGATGTTGGTGACAATGCTATGTACTCTGATGGGGTCTACATGGTACGGCTGGGGCCAGATTTGTAGAGTTGGAACGTCCTGTTAGCTGAGTGAACGCAGCAAACTAGACAATCTGATACCAAAGTTCATCTTGATATGTTTCCACCTTGGCCAATCAACTCGTGCTTTAACTTAAGTCGTGGCCATTCCTTCGGCTTAGCTTTCATAGGCAGTGCGCCTCCTACTAGGCTCCATGAGGAGGATTCAGAGGTTCTCAGAGCGTAGAGACATATGGCTGTCATATTGGTCATGGTGCATAACGTATTGCGAATAACAAAGGAAGAATGGGAACAGTCTGATAAGAGATGACCTTCGAGAAAAAGGATTCATAGCTACCGCAATACACGAGCAAAGCGAGAAGTACAAATGTCTAGAAGGGTATATCAGATTTCAGAATGCTATTGGTTGTGCGACATCTCGATTTCTGCACGAAGTCGGACCGCCTCGTCTCGATCCTCAACCACACCCTTGAAATTGAAACGAGCCTCCAGGGCATCAGCAAGACGACGAAGAGTTCCTGGACGGAGAGGATGGGGCATTGGTCGCAGAGCCAACACTTCCTCGAGTAGGTCAACTGCTTCGTCAATGTCATTCTCTGAGCCGGAGAAACGGAATAAGGACAGGAGAGAAGATCCAAGGTTATGTAGCGAATAGAGGCGATACGGATGACCTGGTGGCCAGGTTGCCAACGCCTCTCGATACAGCCGGATCGCCTCCTCGAGGTCGGACATGGTTCCAGCCTGTTCAAAGCGCATAAGGAGGGCGCTTGCAAGGTTGTTGAGCGACAAAGAGCGGTCTGGACGAGGTGCTGGTGTGAGTTCCAGCGCCTCTCGATGCAGCCGGATTGCTTCCTCGAGGTCGGACATGGTTCCAGCCTGCTCAAAGCGCCTGAAGAGGGCGCTTGCAAGGTTGCCAAGCGAGGAAGAGCGGTCTGGATGAGGTGCTGGTGTGAGTTCCAGCGCGTCTCGATGCAGCCGGATTGCTTCCTCGAGGTCGGACATGGTTCCAGCCTGCTCAAAGCGCGCCTTGAGGGCGTTTGCAAGGTTGTTGAGCGAGGAAGGCCGGTCTGGATGAGGTGCTGGTCTGAGTTGCAGCGCCTCTCGATACAGCGTGATCGCTTCCTCGAGGTTGGACCTGGTTCCAGCCTGCTCAAAGCGCGCCTTGAGGGCGTTTGCAAGGTTGTTGAGCGAGGAAGAGCGGCCTGGATGAGGTGCCGGTCTGAGTTCCAGCGCCTCTTGATGCAGCGTGATCGCTTCCTCGAGGTCGGACCTGGTTCCAGCCTGCCCAAAGCGCGCCTCGAGGGCGTTCGCAAGGTGGGTCAATACCCAGATACTGCTTCGACGATCGCATTCCTGGTCACTTAGCCAGCGCTTGGACAAGGTAATCGTTGCTTCGAGATCGGAACTTTGTCCTCTGTGTTCGAAGCGGGTCAGAAGACTAGCGGTGTAATTTTCTAACCATTCAGACCGACTCGGATGTGACAAAGGACACTGTTCAAACAGATGGGACCGCACCTCAACGGCAGCATTTACATGCGCAAGATCGCAAGTCTGCTCAAACAGATCCTGATGGCACCATCCCAACCTGTCCCAAGCTTTCGGACCATCGGGTCGCAAGCGTATCGCTATTTCGAGGCACTGCATCTGGAAGGGTGTAGCACTGCCCTCGCGCCGACGCACCAGTCGGGCGAGACGGACAAGCACCTCTTCCATATCTTGGGTTCCTTCTCCCTTCTCCAATTCAATGTCGGGATAGAGAAGCTTTCCGACCATTGTACCCCACTGCTCCAAGGCTCCATTTGTCTCCACACCCGCCAGCAGCTTCGAGTGAGTTGTTGTAGCCCACTCCATGGGCAGACGTCCAGTACCAGTGGACACGTGCAATGGCCAAAAGCGACAGGCGTAGCGACGAGCACCGCGGGGCTGAGGGAGAGTGTGAGCGGCGGGATACGGGAGGAAGCCCTGAAAGGTCAGCTCCAGGCAGCGCTCACCCATGAGCGAATGACACTGGCGTTGGGAGATGGAGAAGAGTGGGGGCGTGGCGCTTGAGGCCTCGGAATGGATGAATTCGATGAAGGAAAGGTGGTACAGGGTTGAGGCAGGCCGCACATTGTCTTGATCAAACAACCCACGGGTTCTGAGAGCGGACAAACGCGACTGAATTCCCTTGATCATAGTGGGGGTTAGCCCTGACAATGACGCGAACTCGGAGACCGACATCGTTTCTTGAAGTACTGCGGTGAGCCCAAAAAAGTCACGAAAGTCTTCCTGATTTTGGTCTGTGGGGAACAGGCGGCGGATGGCATCGCCGTACAGCTTCTGAAGTCCTTCGGCAGCGGAGACGTTCCGATGCGAGCGCATGATCTGTTCCAGTCGCTGTTTAGGGGTCTCGCTATCAAGGCTGTTGTCGAGAATGGAGAACACAGTCGCCACCCATATGAATAGCCCGTCTGCTTTGCGCGCGATCAGCTCAGCGGACCTGCCATCAGGCCTCCCACCATCTCCCCAGTTCACTCGGTCAAGACGATGCTGGACGTAGGCTTTCAAGGCATCCTCGGACGCCTGGGGTAGGGCGTACATCTCGTACCGCGTGCCATTGAGATCATCGAGGACTGAATCCAGCGCGGGCCGTCGGCTGGTGACGATGAACCGAACGATAGAAGAATCCACATGTGGAAGGATACGGATGAAGCTGCGGTAATGCTTCCATTCGTCCAAAGCATCGATGATGATGACGAGGGGGTAGGGATACGAGAGCGAGCGGAGAGGCTGGTGGATGTACCGTTCCAAGTGGGTCTCCAAGTGCAACCCGGCGCAGGTCTTGGTAGCAGTTAGGATGGCGGGAACTGCACGCGGGTGCAGCTTGCCAATCTCAGACGCCAACATCTTGACCAAGGTCTCTGGCCCCAGGTTGTCCGAGGGGATTGCTGTGATGAAGGCTGATGCTGCGAGTCGGTCACACGTGCGGAGCTCCTGTACGCAGTGGTGGGCTAGCGTTGACTTGCCCATTCCTGCTGGACCATGTAACCAAAGGACGGCTTCCTTCGATTTGGAAAACCAGTCCGATATGAATTTCACGCTGTCTTCCCGACTCCCAGGGAAGTATTCCCCTCGCAGGGCGCTCACATCTGGGTGTTCTGGTAGCTGTTTAAAAGCAACATGATCTAGGTGTGCTGTCAGGATTTGGAAACTCTGACCCACACAGCATAACTCACCAACTTGTTCAGCCACACGTTCGATCCTGACTTGTAATTGGATGAGGTTCGAATTCTGAAAAGGGAATCTGGTTAGTAGAGGATCTCAATCGCATGGTGGATGCCATACCTGGAATAGCTGGACAGCAGCAGTCACGTCTCCAGCGAGTTTATCAAGCTCCTGTTTGTGGTTGCTGTTCTGTAGAAAGCACCAAAAGACATTCTTCTGACTTAATTCTTGACAACGTTGGACGACGGGACGCAGGTTCCTGCAGAGAGTCTAAGAAGGACAACAGCGCACACGGCCACCGAAACGACGCACGCTTCAAATCGTAAAACAAGTCTCTCGACCTCCTCCGGGATGTTGCCCATACTGGAGCACGCCTCAGCGACATTGATAACAAGCTCGCCCGCCTGGCATGCCAGCGCATACATGTCATTGTAGTTGAATTGCGTTTGCTTGGGACACGAGAGAGAACATTAGAGGTTGAACCTTCAACCTTCAACTAGATTCGCAACCCACCTGGACAGCTTTGAAGAGGCTCAGTACTGACCCCACGACCCCTTTGAGAACCGGCACATCAGCTGCTTCGCTAGCTTCTTTCAGGATATCGAGAACGGTGATCCCTGCCGCAAGCACGGCTTTCCAGATGGGGTGTCCCACCTCCGTCGCCTCAGGTTCCGGTAGCGCATGACGGGCGGTCTGTGGGCACAGGTTAATATCGATGGACGCTTTGGTAGAGGGATGCGACATACGAGCGAATGGATACCACGAGTGACTTGATCAAGTGATTCGGCCACTCCATCCTTTGTATGGCCAAAGTTCTTTAATAATGCAATGGCACTTTACGGCGATGCTTAGCTATCACGAATTGACCATGCGATAGAAGCGCACCTGTGGAACTCATCGATAGCCTGTTGGGCGCGTTGGGGCTCGTCTCGTGTAGAATGGGCCAGCTGGATGCACACAGTGGCACATGCCTGCAGGACTGTTGTCAACTGAGCACAGATGCCCCGGTAGTCGCCTTGGGGGTTGTCGTTTCTCTGCTTCAATCGAACAAGGATCAGGACTGCTTCCCTCAGTCGTCCCGATTCTTGAAGGAGACCAATCGCAGAGAGCAACACCATGTCTTTCTCCAACGACCGGCTTCGTTTGAATGTCTTCACATTGGGCTGCGGCGTCACTGATTGTCCGTGCTTCCCAGAAATACGGGCGATGATTCCCGAAAGGCAGCCTCGCTTGCGTCGTTTCTTGGATCTACCAGCATCCGCCATGGCCAGTGTTGTGGGGTGGTCAGGGTGGGGCAATGGTGGTGTTGTTCTAAGACGCTGGGTGCTGCGGTGTGATTATATTGGCTGGAAGAGTCCGGGGGCACTCTGCCTACACGCGATGGCAGCGTGCTCGAATGTCATATCCCATGGCAGTGCCAAGCTTCCCCGGGCCCTATCCAACATGGGCGCTTAACTGTCGGTCTTTCGGTTCTAGACTCATACATCGTTGGCGGATTGGGTCACGCACAGGTAACTGTCGTGGTTTCTCACGTTGCCCAACGCTCAAAAATTGGAACTGGTACACAGCTGGTACATACCATGGACCATGGTCATGAGTGCCCACAACGCATCTACCAATAACAAAAAACTAACAGGGGTGAACCGCATGTATCCTTAGCCCAAAAGGGCTGGGACTCGATGGACATCCTTTCATTGCTTCACAAATACTAGTACTGATACAATTTTTCTGATCTTCCTATCTACTTTAAATCCTTCCTCTGTCCATTTAAGACGAATCACGCCAAATAGGTAATAAGAATAGCAATCGAGGCTTAAAGCTCTTTTAAACCTGAGCGGGCTTAATGTTTCCTTCCTCGTCATAGAAAATCTCCACGGCCTTCGCACTCCTCAAGTGATCAACACCCTTCGACAACTCGCAGTCGTGGTAGAACAAGTACCACTTTCCTTCATGCTCGACGATACTGTGGTGAGTGGTCCAGCCAAGAACAGGCTCGAGGATGCGGCCGCGGTAGGTGAACGGACCATAAGGCGATTTCGAGGTGGCGTAGCAGATGTAGTGGGTGTCGCCGGTCGAGTAGGAGAAGTAGTAGGTGTCTTTGTACTTGTGCACCCAAGGAGCTTCGAAGAACCTTCGGTCGTGGTCGTCAGCGAGCAAAAGGTCGCCCTTCTCGTCGACGATGTGGACTTCCCGGACGGTTTCGGAGAACGTGCGCATGTCGGGGTTGAGTTTGGCGACGCGGCAGTGGAGGGCGGGGACGCCTGGGCCGGATGGCTCGTTGGGTCCGTCGAGAGCAGCGTTGAATTCGCCGCCCTCGGGCTTGGAGTAGCACTGGAGCTGACCACCCCAGATGCCGCCGAAGTAGAGGTAGGCGCTGCCGTCCTCGTCGACGAAGGCTGCGGGATCGATGGAGAAGGAACCGGGGATGGGCTCGGGCTCAGGGGTGAAAGGTCCCTCAGGCTTGTCGCCAACAGCGACACCGATCTGGAAGATACCTATACCCTCCCCATCAGCTGGCGATTGGACGAGAAAGGAGAAGTTACGCACCCTTCTTGTTGCGGGCAGGGAAGTAGAGGTAGTACTTTCCATCAGCACCCTTTGCGGCATCCGGTGCCCAAAGTTGCTTGCTAGCCCACGGGATATCCTCCAACTTCAAGACCACACCATGGTCGATGACCTCTCCTCCAACGCGATCCATCGAGAGGACATGGTAATCGACCATGTCATACTGATCTCCCCTGTCGTTGAACCCGATGTTGTTCTCGCGATCGTGGGATGGGTACACGTAGATGCGTCCATTCCAAGAGTGAGCCGATGGGTCGGCGATGAAGATGTTGGTGGTCAATGGGGCTGGCATGGTCGTCTGGTGAAGCTTGGAGGGTAGACCAGCGGGCGCGCGTTGTAGATCTTAAATATAGATAATCTTACCGTCCGAGAAAGCTCCGGCTATTCTCCCGTGGCAACCTGGTGGTTGAATAGTTCCTGCTACGAGGAGACATCAAGGATTTGCCAAGCTGCAGGTGGTTTCAATTGGCATCTTTATCGAAGCGTCGCGGTCCATAGATCCGCCCTATGGCTTCAACGCTATGCCTTAGAAATTTCCCAAGTGACCCGTGTCTATCTTTGGGTTGCAGCGATGCTGACGTCGAGTTCAAAGTCGTTTCCAGCCGTGCAGGGTTAAAGTGGATGCTGGGGTAGCGGGCGTTGGTCAAGCCTAAGGCCCCCGATTCGACCCCTGTGACATCATCCGGATTAGATCTATTGCGGGGTAATCGTACACCCCAGCAGTGGTTAACGGAGACGATGTGTAAAGGAGGGGAGTTTGGGGAGCTTTTCGTTCGGATCTACGCTGAAAGTGCGGGGTCCTCAAGCCTTTTGAATCTAGAGCTGCCTTGTATTTGAAAGCGTTCGAGAGAATTGGGACGATACCATCGCACTCGCGGGAATGAAAGGGTGATATCGACCGAAGAACCCTATAGACGACCGTTTCAGCTTCGGCTTTTGAATAGAAGGGCGACGGACCTTGATATACAAGCAATTGAATGGTGAGAACATAGGAGAGAACCCAAAATGAGCCAAAATGTCGTCGTCACGCGTAAGCGTTTCCCAGTGGCCCGAAAGGGTAGAAAGCAACGGATAAAATACTAATGCACCACGGATTGACATGAAAGGAATACTAAGAGTCGTTACTACTATTGTTCGAAAACTGCGAGCCAACGCGCAGAACTGGACTCCCCAAGCCCCTCTCCGTCCGACTTGAATCGTTATCTCCACTGGCCGTGGACAAGGCCAGCCTTGGCGGCAGAGCTGACCTAGGAGTCTGCCTCGCCAGGTCAATCTCGACATCACTATCCCATGCATTCCGACTATCCCTCCTCCCACTAGCGCTCGAATCATCATGCATCGCAGCACTACTTGAACTAGCATTCGCACTCGCAGATGCCTGCCTCCTCGCGCTTCGTCTGGCATGGAAGGTCCGGCTGGCAGTCGCGTTGGAGAACAACGGCAAGAGGTACCGCTCGTCGATGGTTTGGAACCATTTTCCGTCTTCAGTGGCAGGTTGGTGAGGCCTGTCGTTCCTGTCTCTTCGCTCGTCACTTTGCCGGTGTGCTGTTGGAGCGAGAGGGAGCACCTCCGCATCCGAATCATAGGACTCTGAAGAAGCCGATGAGAAGATGGCCTGGTTGGCGGTTGGTGAATGGGGTGCCTGGTTTCCGTAGTGAACTCCGACTCGTCCAGGACCTCGGGGTATAGCCGTGGACTCTTCATAGTCATTCCAGCGATTCCACTGCCCATTTCTCCCTCCCAACCGCACACCACCATACGGCGGGTACTCGTCTTCATCGCTGCTCCCTCCCTCATCATCGTCGACATTGGTCTTGATCTTCAGCACTTCAAGCATCCTAGATGTTGTTCCACCGAAGAACAGCACTGTGATGACTACCACCAACAACACCGTCATCCTTAACACCTTGGCGTTGGGCCCGTTAAAGCCCGCAGCGAGTGCCACACCAACAGCTCCTCTCAGACCCGCCCAAAAGAGCATCATCTGATACGAGTGCGGGAGAACCTCCTGCCTCTGTCCCCAAGCGTGCCGAGCAACAAAGTTGATGGCTTCGGAGAGGGGGAACACCGCAGCATACCGAGTAAACACAACGGCGATTGTTGTTATAAGGATGAACAGAGGCTTGACGTAGCTGAAGACGGGCTCGCTGGTGGGTGCGCTGGTGAAAAGGGCCATCCCGAGGTAGATGAAAATAAAATTTTCGCTGAGATGAGCGAGAGTGCCAAAGAGCGCTTTCGATCCTCGCTGCGTCCTGCGTGACATAGTGTGATACGCGTAATGCTTCAACGTGATGCCGCAGAACAGGAGCGATACGATGCCGCTGAGAGTGAGGCCGGTGGAAAGGAAGTAGCATATATATGCTGACAGGGCGACGAGGCAGGACTCGATGTGAGGGAAGTGGTTGAGATGGGAATGTTTTAGGAGCAGGGACATGACGAGGCCAAATGCAACGCCCAGGAGCATGCTGATGGTGAATGAAATCAGAAAGATGCCCACTCCGTGAAATAGTGAGGAGAGGTAGACTTCCGATCCATGGAACTTGCGAAGTGTTCTGTTAAGGGATTAATCTTTGAGAAGAGCAGCAGATGTGGAGGGGAAGCACTCACTCATACATGACGATACTGACAGCATCGTTCAACAGACTCTCCCCAAAGATGACCGTGTAAAGTTTGGGATCGACCTTGTACTGGTTGAAGATGGCAAGAATGGTCACAGGGTCGGTAGCGGAGAGGGTGGAACCAAAAGTCAGGCCTTCAATGAGTGATAAGTCCATTGACTCGATTCCCAACAGCGAGTAAACGTGCACAATGACACTAGGTCGGGAATAAGCCTGCAGTCTAGGGAGCGAACAAGGCCACTCACCCTACACCCACTGCCGAAATGAATGTCCCAAGGAACGCAAAGACGATGATAGACCCAAAATGGCGGAAGAAGTTTTCCTGAAAGCAAACTAAGAATGTGCTGGTCCGTGATATGGATCAGGTGCTAACCTGCTTGAGTTCGTAGCCAGAGTTAAGGATGATAGGCGGGAGAAGCAGATTGAAAAATAGAGTATGCTTGAAGGTCTAACGTCTAGGTCAGTAAATGGACCATTATTTAACGACGTTTCACGCACCAGCATCTCCCTAATCATCGTCCCCGGTGCCAGACGAATGATAAGGCCGACGAACATCCCTGCAAAGATTGAGACGGTGGTTTCATGCACAGCTCGAATGCGCTTGATTTGTAGATAGTAAGAGGTCCAAAGCGACAGAATCAGTAGCAAGCACACAAGGAAGAGCGACCATGATGAGTAGAACTCTTCGTCTTCTGCTGCTGGCGCTGACGGCGTGGGCGGTGCGGTGTTGGTCGTGTATGACGGGACGCGTATCGACATCGTTCTGGTGATATCTCGAATTCAGGGTGGATATCTGGCTGCAGGGTGCCTGCAGAATCTATGTTTGAGCACAATTCCATTTTAATGTAAGAAAAAGAAACTCACAGCATGTATTTAAATCGAAAGTCTTGTAGAGGGCACAATGTGACGCATTCAACCGCAGCCTTTACTGCGGTTCAGGGTATCTAAGAACTTGTAAACGCTGTCAGAAGTATTTCAGTTCAGAGAATTGTGTAAACTTACTAGAAGGCCTCTGGGTAGATCGTGGTGGTAGAGATGCAACCAGCAGCGTCGCTCGCGTCTGGCCGTTCATTACGTCTGTGGGAAAGTTCTGCATTCGGCAAACCGGCCCCGGCTGGACAGGCGCCCAGCGCGTTGACTGTCGAAAATCACCAGTAGTCCGCGTCCGAGGGTGAAAATGGAAATAGGGCCTCGAATAAAGCCTTATACATGACCCAACTAGTACTGAGAAGGCTTGTTTATATTTTTTATTGTAGATTTATGACCTGTACAGACGAGGGGAAAACACCCTCATGAGCACGCTGCCTGCGTCAGACCTTCCTAGTTGCGACCTAGCTGCCCTGCGCAAACCATTCTCGTCAAGACCTTCAGGACGTGGCCCGACTTTGTTCCGCCAAGAATTCCACCTCGTTGGCCTCCAGGGATACAGCCCTTCGCCATAGTGTGTTGATGAGAGTTCGACCTCAACAGAATCATCGATGGGACACTCGACTGCGTCATTTGGATGGGCGATAAAATAGTCCGGAAAGACGACGGTCACCTTTCGCAAACGTCGGTCGCTGGGTTTCGGGAGTTCCAGAGTCCTTGACCTAATCATTCGCTGGATGTAGGTTGCGACCACAGTCTCGGACCGGGTATGGGTGTATAGTTCTTCTAGCTCTGGAACGAGCTTGGAAGAGTTGTCGGTGAAGGTGAGAATCCACATGAGGCTCCTGAAGTCAAATTCCGGGATTGTGGCGAGACACAGTTTTCGGAGATGCGGGGAAGATTGGAGGATCGCCTTCGCCTCGTCCAAGCTGATTGGACATTGGCCCATATCCAGCTCTTCCAACTGCGACAATACAGACCGAAAGTCCTTGTCAGAGCACCAGTCGGGACCATCCATGAAACGTCTCCCTTCCGATTTCAAACAACGGGAGGTTAGAGACGGGAGTCGGAACCCTTTGAAGGGACGAAGGACCGTTGCTGGGTCAACACCTTCACAAAACCCCAGCGTCAAGGAAGCGAGATGCGGGGCAGTGAGCCTGGTCATAGGCGGTGGATCTTCCCTTCCAAGTCCCGCTTCTATCTTCTCGAACGACGCGCTACGCAAATCCAGCCAATGCTGCAAAACCATGCTAGGGGAGCCTGCCCGTCTGCAATCCACCGAGATGACACGAAGTTCCTCGCTGGTGATCTTGAGAAGGGGGAATTGAGGGCCGACCGAAGCGATGTCGAATACTTCAAGATGGGAGCAGTTGGGGAGGAAAGGTGTCGAATCCGGACGGAATGGGTCAGCCCACTCGCGGTTGACGCCGACAGGAAGGATTAAAATAGAGCGCAGCTCCTGGAATGTGCTATCCGTGAATGGAGGGAAGTACAAAATCGGATCCATGTCTTCTGAGATAAGTGTGAGGTGGTATAACCTAGGAGCGATAGGTTCGAAGAATGCCTTCAAGTCGGATTGCACGGTGTGGTCCATCGGGGTATAGGAGGCACCTAGGTCGAGGTAGAGGTACAAGGGCGCCTTTTTCGAGCGCTTGATGCAGAGATTCATCCACCGAAGGTGCTTCTTGCGATGAGCAGGGTCCTTGAACCACATCCTGTCATTCGGGTTGCCATTACCCGCGACGTACAGTCGGTTCCAAAGGGTCGCAGACGATTCTGCTACGTTCCTCCAGCGCCAGCATACTGCGGTGAGAGTCCAAAGCATTTTCCGGTCGCCACATTGGTTCAGGTCCATCGGTTGTGTCAAGCGAAAGATCTCCTGGAGAACGTCGTCGGTGAGGCGCCGCATAGGTGATAACAGGCGAAGATAGTCTTGCTCCAGTTCGCGTAGCTCTTCTAGCCTTCGCTCTGCTCCTTTAATGACCTCCTTTGTTTCTTCTAATGACGCGCGATATTGGTCCAGTTGAGTCTCCGTTGGGGGTCGATTTGACCGGAGCAGCTTGCGAGTCTCGCTGAAGCGGTCCATACTGTTCATGTGTCAGCTCTTCAATCTTGAGGCTGAAGTTCAGAAATATCCGACCTTCCAAACGTCAGCGTTAAAAAGGTATGATTGACGCAAATGGACTTGCTTCGATGGTGGAAGACGAAGCATCCCGGCCTGACCACCTGGTGCGAAAATTGTCAGTCCGCGATCCCCGGAATTACAGACGCGTCGCGTCACGACACGACACGATAATTACACTGGATGTTGACCCAAGTTCGAGCTTCAAATTCAAAGGTTCACAGTTTGGTGTCTACGTTTGTCTTGATCTCCATGATAGCTTAGCAGAAATTTATTGAGCGACTTTCGCAGTAAGACAGGCGCCTAACCAGCGGCATATATCACTCGATTGAATCTCCGATTAAAAACCCCAAAACGATCGTCCGCCTTGTGATTTGGACTTGTCCTTAACCTTCAACACCATCTTGATAAATCGCATCTATCGTCTTCGAAGGAACTACAGTTATAATGGACTCTCCATGGGACGACAGCATTGACGACGATGTCCACCGTCGTGAGGTCGAATGGGACAACATAGCCTCCAATTTCACAAATGTGAGCACGTTTCTGTTTCCTCGATCATGATTTCCTGAATTCATCTAGGCTGGATACAGGGAAGGAATCACCGCTGGGAAGGAGGGAGCCCTACAGGAAGGCTTTGACTCAGGCTTCGAGACCACAGGGGCGCCGCTAGGCCGAGAGGTGGGCCGCGCAAGAGGAATCGCATCGGCCATTTTATCCCTTCTCAACGATACCCCGCACGCCCTAGGACTGGACGAGTCTGCCGCGAACGACATCCGGGATATAGCCTCCCAGCTCTCGAATATCAGGTTCTCGGACATCGCGCCACCCGATCTGGAGGCGGAGGAGCACGAACGCGAGCACAGGCTGGCCAACGGAGAGTCGATGGACGTGAATGAAGAGATCCAGGCCAAGAATGATGTCGAGGGGCTCGAGGACATGCTGGCTGGAATGGGGTCCTCAACGAATTCAACCAAACGACCCACCATGGATGATTTTAGGTCCTTGGTGTCGCGACTAAACTCGTTCACGACGTCGATCGGCCTCGGTTTGTAAGTCAGTTACACGTTCACATCAGGTCAGGTACGTTCTTCAAACTATCACGGGGGAACAAGTTGATGTATCATACAAAGTCCAGAGAAGAAGGAAACGTCCAGTGTTTTACAGTCCAAAACGGTCCGTCGAGCCAGGAATCACATCACAGATAATCGGGAATCCCCCACATCTGGTTGGTGTTACCATCGGAGCAGGTCCAGGTCTGGAGGACGTTGGAGTTGGCGGTATTACCATTTGGAAGGTCGAGGCAAAGTCCTAGGGCGAGTCGATAAGGACGACGCGGCAATCCATCCCTTGTGCTTAGCTCACCTGTTCCTTCCAAAGCAATTCGGAAGTCGTTTGTGAAATACCATTGTTGGGCGGGAAGATTGTCGTAGCATTGCCAGATCTTCATCTGGACGCCATTGCCTGGACCTGGTCTTTGTTGATATGTGTGTAGAAATGAAATCGGGGGCACGTACTGGATCCGGCATCCAAGCAAAAGTTGGTCCCAGCGAGCCTAACCTGGGTGGATCCAAAGCTGAGCAGCCAGCGTTGCGCATCGGTGTCGTTGCAGTCGTAACTGGGAAAAAGGTGAGACCCAATTCCAACTTTCAATTTCCTCAGTCGAGACTTACATCTGGACAGGCGTTCCGTTCTCGAGAGCGTTGCCTCGAACGTCCATGCACTTTCTGGTGTTCCCATTCGGTACGACCTGCGCTCCTCGCGCGGATGGCCAGTTGAAGCCAGGGCAGAATCTGAGCCGTGTAGTCAGCTTCACACGAACGGACCCAAGTCATTGAAATCGCACGTTATGTCAAAGTTGGTGTCAGAGTGTTTGCAGCGGTAGCCTGGAGGGTTGGGTGCAGGGGCATCGGCCGGCGGTGGACCGCCATTGAAAACCGGCGGGGTTCGAGCTGCAGTAGTGCAGTTGCCGTCTCGACATGCAGCAGTGGTGCAGAAACCATCCTCGGGAAGTCGGCTGGGTGTGATACTGATGCCAGTGTTGAAATTGTCGCTGTTCCCGTCTCGAACGATGTAGTACCACCAGTAGTTGGGCTGCCAGTTTCGGAATTTCCACTTGATGAGCCCCTCCGTAGCGCACGCGTCTAAGAGCAGACACTCACCTCGAAGAAGAACCCGGCGCGGGTTGCGACAAGCTGGCCGTCGCGAATACCGCCATTCGCGGTGGTGTAGATGAAGCCGGGGCTAGTTCCCAGGTTCGGACGAAGAGCACTGGCGCCAGTTGCGAGTGTCCCTTGGGACTCTAGCCCGATGAACCATTCGATGGGCTCTGGGCACCAATTACGGATAATGTAGTCTTGAGCGAAAGCTTGGGATGCGAATGCCAATGCGGCAGACGCGAAGAGGGGGGAGAAACGCATGTGGAGAATAATCAAGAGGGTTCGGTAATAGACAAGGTGTGGGTTAGGTTTGAAGGCAGACCTGAGGAAAACGGAAAATGGGAGGAAGCAAAGTCCCTGTCGAGAGACGCCGAACACATATGGTATTTATACTTCGCATGGATCCAGGCACTGAGAAAGCCCGTCGACAATGTCCGAGCACCCTGCCATATTGGCGCCGTTTAAGCTACATATCGTTGTTCCGTAACTGATTAGGATCACATAGAACCTTTTGCTCTAGATGGATATCATAACGTATAATTTCTGTCCAATAACGAGTCGTAATTCGAGACCAGAACTAGGCCCTTTATTCTTCTCCAGAGGGGACGCTACATATTGGAATGCTAGACCCGATGGACCCGTTCCCAGTGTAGGGTGTACCCCAGCAGTAAAGCTTTCACGTCTTTCGGGTCAGCTAGGGAATGACCTGTGAAATGGGTACATCTGTCGAATAAACGAGATTAATTGCTCGACGTGGGTACCGACCAATTCAATTCAGGGATGGACTGGTCACCGGATAGCCAAAGCTGAGAATAAGAAGCAGTCCATCAGACGCAGCGTACGCTGCTCTCTCCTGTTACTTAGGGTCACAGGACTCGGAGGCGTATAATAATAGCACTCACTGCAGGACTCCGTACAGTACATCCCATAGTAGGGTTCCTTGCTAAACTCTGCCCTGGACACAGTGTCGATGTAGTCACTGACATCTGGCCCCCCCTATCTGCTCTCGTGTCGAAAATGAGGACGTTAACCCTCGCCCGATTCTCCCACCATACATGTACCGTACCTCTTTTCAAATTCTTTTGGAGTTCCAAGTTAGCGCCCGCAACGGAAATCGCCATGGATGGAAGGTGATGGCTTTAATTCCTAACAATGCCAAGCACCGGCACCGGCACCGGACGCAATAGTGGGCTCCTCGAATGTAGGGCGGGCCTGTGGATTGACCACCTACTTTTTTGTCCCTGACCACCATGTCGAAACTACAGCAAGATGCCGCAGCCTTCAAATCTGTTATGCACCGGCAGGACCTAGTCTCCTGGCGTCGAGGAACACAAGCAGCTTCGACATCAACAGCGACAACCAGCACGACGGACGGTGGCGGCGACTCGCAGTCCTCCCCACCAGCGAAGAAGAAACGGCCAAAGACAAGTATGGACCGGGCTTTTATAACCCTCAAAGGTTTACCAGTTGAATTGGGGATATGTCATTAGATGTCGTGTATTCCCAGCCAGCCGATACTGGCACGGGCACGAACGTCAATACGCAGCTGGTTTATGCGGTATCTTATTTGAAGGTGCGTTGACTCTGTTCTATATGATGCGGATCTCGTTGGTCTGACTGTTGAGTGAAGAATCATAATGGGCCTATACGATTAGACGACCTTGCCGCTTATACTAGCACCCCCGTCAACACCGACCCCGTACTATTAGAAAAGTTCAAAGCGCACGATCGTGTGGTGTACGACCCCAAAACCGACCTCTATTCATACAAGGTACACCCACCAGGTCTCACTGGTGCATTCCATCTATATCTCACCGTCTTCTAGAGCGATTTCACATTTAGAAACAAAGCCTCGCTTCTGACAGAGATCCAAAGGCAAACGCGAAAAGGAGGCGGTCTTTCTGTTCGTGCTTTGAAGGATTCATGGAAAGAGGCACCGGCGGCCATCGAGGAGCTAGAGCAGGAGGGCGATGTGCTGGTCACTAGGACGACGAAAGACGGTCAACTGCGGATGGTCTTCTGGAATGAGATCAAGCCAACGGACGAGGCAGGTGGGAAGCGGGTGGACCAAGGTGAGTAGGGTATTGCCGTCGGATCACACGTGTCTGACAAAAGGGCATCTAGAATTCCTGGATCTATGGCACGAGCTCAAGGTGCCTAACGAGGTGGATTTGCAGAAAGAGCTTGCATCCGGTAAGCTGCTGCCTTGTACATCTACGTCGTTGATTCTAATTTCTTGTGGCAGAGGGTCTACAGGTTACAGCCGCAGAGGCACCGGCACCCAAACCACCGGTTACCAAGAAGAAGGGCAAGCGTGGCGGGGCACCTCGACAGAGACAAGCGAAGATCACCAACACACATTTGAGGGGAGAAATCGATCTTTCGAAGGACTATGCTCCTCCTGGAAAGTAGTCGTATGGGCTGGGTGTAGAATTTGGACTTTACTAGGTATACGGGAGACTAAAGTACTTGAACATTGCCTATACGGATGTTGTCTTCCAGCAGCGCTACCTTGGCTGAGACGACGATGGGACCGCCGGGCATCATGGTTCGAGTGGAAGGACCCTGCACTCGACCTCCTCGACAAACTGGGCTGCCACTCGAGAATGGATGAGAGCACGGGCATCCTTCGTCTGACCCTGCGTCGGAATCATCAGGCTCAAGAGCCTTGTGCGGGCGCTGCCGCAGACTTGGGAGACTGGGAAATCTGACAACTCTTTTTCCTGAAGACCGACTCCCACGCCGTAGCAAGCTCCTCCACTTGTCAGCAATCGATTCGGATTCGTTGGTGGAAGGACTCGAGTCGCTTTCGGAGATGCAGTCCAGATCGCGAAGCGATGGACTGGTCGGGGAGTGGAACATTTCGCGGATGATGCGGTCCTGTGATCGATTTTCTTGGAGTCTCCTCGCGACGTCGGGGGATATCGTGCTGCGATAGTACGTTGAACTTGGAGGCGACGGAGGGAGATTATGGAATCCGAATAGAAGGGATACAGTGGGGTCGCGTTGCGAAGTGGGCGTATGTCTTTCGCACCGATATCGCATTGATCCCAGAGGAAGGCCTCCACATCCTTCAGAATGGAAAGCTTCACGCCAACGCAAGGGGGGGTCCATGGATGAATAACACCATTGGTACCAGGGTATGCATCGATCACATCCTCCCCCTTGTGTCTCCCAACAATATGACAACAGAAGCAACACTGATTGCTAGACCCTACGGCGATAAATCGATCTCGCTGGATAGAGTGGTTAGCTTTGGTTATCACCGAGATTTGGCGCGTACCTCTTGCAACATCATTGCCAATTCTTCAACGTCGTCGATCTCAGCGTCATAGTTAACTGGGTGGGGGGTGTTCCAATGGGTAATGAGACCGAGTAATGTCGCCTCTGGATGTACACTGCCAGCGAATTTCTTTCCTTCGTCGTAGTCGCCAACGAACGAAGAAGGCCTTGTGCATCCTCGGATGACGGGAATGGTTCTGAATCTTGGGTATTGCTGCGTCTTCCAGTTACAAAGTCAGATATTTGAGACAATGGTAGCAATTCATGTGCTACCGCCGATTGCTTGACGATGGCAACGTTGACCTTGTCTGCAGAAAGAGACATGATCTCTCCGACGTTCTTCTGGAGGTTGTGGACCGCATCGTGCCAAGATAGCAAGCCTTCCAAAAAGCGAAGGACTTGGTTGACCCGCGCTTCGTTTCCTTGCCATATGCATTGAACATTAAGTAGCGGTGTTCAAAATCCGTAAGTCGAGTGACACGGTGTCATTGAAAGAATTTGACTCACCTATCGTAACGTCCTCGAAAGTGCTGTGGAAGGGAGACCGCAGAACAGCAGTTCCTAAGCTTCTAGATCTTCGAGGAACGGCCCGAGCGACCTGTCAAGAAGGAGTGCTTCAAGTACTCCCTCTCAGAGCAAGGTATGCAACGCCATGCAATATTCATTGGCCTTGATGGTGGAACCCTGAGGATTGTTGCACGGGGAAGGGATGCGTTTGGTTCGGATGCGGAAGATGGGACTGGGACAACGACCCAGACTGCGCATCCAAAATCTTAATCTCATCTTCATTATCCGCATCCCCGCCGCCATATTCATTCAGATAATCAAACGGAACAATCCTCCCCATACAACCACACCACGCCAAACGCAATACCGCGAAACGAAGCAAGAGACGAACGAGAGAGACAAAACGCACCCTTCAAACACCTCCTCCACACCCCTCCTCACCCTCTCACCTACATCCTTACATCCAACATGCAACAACCGCCAACTAAGCGTCAAAAACTTGTTCTCCGTCTCCTCCGAAACACGTGCCCTATCCCTATCCTCCACATCCTCCTCTCCTCAGGTCCCGCCGGTGGTAAAAGTGGGGTACAGATGTCGCTCGAGCCCAAAGCGTCACGAAATCATAACTCTGAACCCTAACTCCTGCAGGCTGCAGCCTCTTGCTACTAGTAGCGGTGGAACCTGGCCGGCCATGATTTGTTCAAACTCATTCTCCTCTGTGTCTTCATTATCCCTGATGCCACCGATCTCGAAAGTTGGTCAAAAGCAAGTCAAAAGCAGTCAAAAGTCGAAATTCTCAAAATTGCGTCAAGAACAAAAGGTGAGAGGGTGTGGCTGTGGTTGTGGGACTCGAGTGCTCGCGCTTGGCTCGCGCAGGAACATTTGATTCAACCATATCCTTCTTGAACACCGTACCCTATCCCGAGCGCGAGCACGCCGCAGGCATGCGCCAGCGAGCGCATGACCTAACATCGTCTCAATCCCCGTGGCTTACAAGTGGTGCCGATTTGTCAGTCCCGCCCCCGCCCGGTCCCACATTGATCTGAGACAGCTGGCTGACATTCGACCTTGTTTCTACCCTTCCTTTGCCTGCAATGACGATGACGAAAACGACGACAAAGACGAAAACATCGTCAGGGCGCCGCAGGCTTTCCACACGATACCTGTACAAAACTTACCGCCCTGAGTTCGAGACCATTCTCCTCATTCTGCCAACCATAATGTATCGCTAATTAACAACCAGGTGTGAAGAAGCCTTCCCCGCCACCATCGAATTTACCCAACAGGAGACTAAATCCAAGCTTCCCTTGAAGCCCCTCTATAAGCCTGAGCTTCGAGTTACGATCCCGGTTCCCCTGTACTTTGCCGGTTTCATGGTTTCTGCTGGGTGGCTTTTCGAATGGAACCGCCGGAACGATGCGAAAGGAATTCATGCTGTCGCATCAAGGGCCACTCCCAAGTGGGCAGAGCGTGGCAAGGAGTGAGTACCGAGTGCTTGAACCTTGAATCCCTCAGAAACTGAATTTTGATGTTGGCGTTTTTTTTTACTCCACCACCGCAGAAAGCCATTCATGACACCCACTGTCTATCCCTGGCCTACCGGCGACTACATGGTCTACTTCATCTCCTATCCAGCAAGTCGGGGAGAACTGGAGTACTTCTATGACAACAGGGACGCCATCCTCGATCGCTACCTGGATCTCATGGACTTTCCGTCGCATGAGAGGGAGATAATCAAGACGAGGCTGTTCAAATGGTATCGGCTGATGCGCGCGACGATGTCGACCAGGGAGGACTTGATGGAAGATTTACCGGAGGATATGTGTTTGCAGTATGTGTCTGACTCCGAATGAAGTTGTTGGCGTACCAGAGACCCACGCGTCGTGGGAGTAGGTCGATAATCTAGTTGTATTTCTATGATTCAATGAATCTCGATTATCACGGGGAAAACGAGTACCATGCTCAACGTCAGGCGAAGTCGTTGAGGGGCTTAGAGTAACCATCCGTAAAAGCCTGCACGGGCTTGAATCCCCCGACGTCGGTAAACTACGCAATAACAATTATGTACCTCAATAAAGACAGCGTCTACGTACGTAGGATTGGTAAGGGTTCGTATAGGCACAGATATCGTCAGACTTTGAACCTCCTGCCCATCTTCGTCCCTCATCTTCAATCGCCCGAGCACAATCGTAGTCACCTCGAATGACATAAGCGAACTGCCGGACTCCCAGTCGCACTAACTCATCCCCAACGGCATCCTCAAACCTCCCAAACACAATCGCCGAAAGAACCGGGACTTCATACGTCGCCAGTAACGTCTACCACAGGAAAAAAGAAGGCGGTCAGTTCGATCTCGTCATGATGATGATCAGTGGAAAAAACAGACATTGCAACGTGGAACGTGAACGAAGAAAACAGAAACATAAAATGAGACGAATGAACGAAAGGCGAAACGCAATTCCTCAATCACCCAAAATGAAAAACGCAAAACGAAAACTCGAAACAAAGAAAAGGAATAGAAATGAATACTCACATCAACAAACTCATTAGGTACACTCTCAACGCCAACTGACTCCACCTCGCAAGACCGGGTAAGAGACCAGCAAAATGTATCCGTACTTCCTCCATCCCACTCTCTCCCATCCCTTCCACCTCCTTTGCTTTTCCTTTCCCTTTCGCATCCCCCTCCTTCCCTTTCTCCCCCTTTTTCATCCTTCGCCCCTGAAGCCACACCGGAAGGTCTGGAACCCACTCCCATCCCACCACCTTCCACCTCCCTAAACACATTCCTCCCCAACCCATCAAACAACACATCCACACCCCTCTCCAAACAAACCTCCAACACCCTTCCAAAATCCGCTTCTTGGATCGTACGACGCATCTCGACGATGAGGGAGAGGAAGGACGGATCAGAGGTGATATGTGGGCACAGTGGGTCAATCGTGGGTGGGCGGTGGGAGTTGGTGGATTTGTGCGCGTAGTGGGAGTTGGTGGATAGGTGGCGGTGGTGGGGAGGGGGGGAGGGGGGCTATTGTGTTCCCTGAGGTATTTTGTGCGGGGAGAGGACGTGGACGCGGAAGATGGGATTGCGACAACGACCCAGACCGCGCATCCAAGATGCTAATCTCATCCTCGTTATCCAGGCTATCATTCTCCGCGTCCCCACGCCCATTAGGATAATTCCCAAACGGATCAATCCTCCCCACATACCCATGACCCTCAACCCTCCCCCCATGATGATGACTCGTAAAAAAACTGCGAATTCGAAAGCTGCGAAGACGAGAGCGAAGTCGACGTCGCATCCTTCCTGGGTTTCCGATTAATACGTTGATGGGTATCTATAATAGGCATTTTTCGATACATGGCAATGACCGCTAAGGACACTGGCTACTCAGTCTGCCTTTTCCGGAACAGAACTGCTGCGTTTGGGCTGGGTGCTCTGAGCGCCGCAAACCATATGGGAGGAGGTGCAGAGGTGCTATCGTTCGGCAGCTTGATGTCGTAGTTGACCAGGATGTGGGCCACTATCAGCTTGATCTCGTTCACGGCAAAGATGCGACCAGGGCTGCTCAACGAGTAAGTACAGAGTGAGCTTCTTTGGACACGACCTCGAATCGATAGGGAACTGACCATGCAGGTCGGCCTTGGCCGAATAATAGGAAATTGGGATCGAGAGCGACCATTTGGTTTCGGAGATTGCCCAAGTTGGCCCCGTCCGAGTCTTGCAGGTCCTTGCAGAATCTGAATCCATCGAACTCTTCAGGGTGCTCGTACGCTTCCTGCATGCAACGGGGCTCAGCGGACAGATACAATCTCCAAACATGATTTCTACGTACTGGATCCAGGTGGAAAGTGGCACCTGCTGTGGCCATTGAGAACCCCTTCGGAATCACAGTACCATCAGAAAGTTGGTAATCTGTCCTGGCCTTTCTACCTGAAACGACTTGTGAAGTCAACAATGTCGTCAATCTATTGTCCATCAAATCTTTCCAAAGAAATGGACTTACGTGCGGAGGCTACGCAGAGGCGCGCTACTTCCTTCATGAAGCTGTCGAGCTTGACCATTCTGCTCATGGATTCCTTCGTCCAACCGTATTCTTGTGCGACTGACTCGATCTCTTCTCGGATGGGAGCGATATATTCTTGTCGGGCTGCGAGCTCTAACAGAATAAAGCTCAAAGTCTGCGCACGAATGGTTATGGTGGGCATTCGATTGTGAGACGAGTGAACGTACGATGACGGTGGTGTGGATCGCTGCGATGTTCAGGTTGATCACTCGGAGAGCCAGATCTTTGGTGTCGTTGAACTTTTCTGGGACTGTATCCAGTAAAGCTGAGATGAAATCGTTCTGGTGGAGTGACGCGCTTAATGTACCGCACACAGTGCTCGTTGGAAGACGAAGACATACAGGTCGCCCTTCCCACTTGTTCGAACCATAAGCTTTATCCAACCTCCTCCGTTCTTCGAAGAGGGGACCTAAGTATGCGTTCAGCTTCTTCACATCGGTAGGGAATCTGCTGAGCAACCTTCCGACGAGCCTGGACCAATCATGGTGTAAGTATAGATCAAAGGTGGTAGACTCTTCTGACTTACGGCTTCAAGGACTCGGGCAACATGTTGAGGATATTGGCGACGATGAAGGTGCGAGTGGTCAGGCCTGCCAAGAGCGCGCAATAATCTTCGTTTTGACCTATCGGAGAAGGTGGTTGGATACAATGTTTTCCAGAGGGTCGATGCTCACTTACATAGCGGGAGGCCGACGAGGAGGCGGTTGCTCGCTCTGGCCACTATTGGGGTAAGGATTTTCCCGAGAGGGCATAGCGTCCATTCTGCGATTTCAGGAATAGAATATGAAGGGCATTTGTCGTCAGCTCAAGCACAGACAGACGCACCACTGCGCTTTGGAAGATACGCTGCCACGCATTCGACTACTTCCTCGTTCACACCGCCGAAGCGCGATGGAAATGCCCTGATGAATTCACGGGCGGTTTTGACATGATACGGTTCCTCCGCGCAGGTGTTGCAGTCGCCAAACGTGTATTTACTTTGGAGGCCCTATGTGTGTAGCAGACGACTGTCAGGCTTTGGGAACGGGATGATAATCGGGTAGGTTGGACGCACCTCGAACGCGTAGTCGTTAAAGTTGAGTTGGTTTTCTCCGGCCTTTCTGACGTCCCCAGCCAGTTCGGGGCCGCTTACGATGATGAGCCACCGGTTGGGGGTTGTGATGGTCGGGACTTTGAATGCTCTGCCAGGATACTGGTATTGTCAGAGAATGGTACAGCCAGATAGTTAGCTGTGTGTTCGTGGACGCTCACCTTTTTGGAACCTTCGTTTATGATTCGATGCCCTTGGAATAGGAACTTCCAACCAGATAGATAGGACGATATAAAGCCGTCGCCGCCAAACGTCGGGATACTGTCGACCTGCATTTCAATGAGCGCTTGTCAGTATCATATGCACGACATGCGTACACACGTACCTTTTTCTTGGTCACTCGAAACAGATACCACTGGTAGACGAACCAGACTGCCCCTCCAGCCACTAGGATTTGGGTTGCGCTGTACGCCATGTAGTGGTTCAGGAACAAGTTGAGAAGACGTAGCGTCTGATGCGACTGTCAGTTCTGTGGAATTGGGTTAGGGGCACCCCGAACATCACGGACCTGATGTGCACGAAGAGTGGCGGTTCAAGTTGAACGTGGGTGGCAGTTTCACAGCTTGTGGGCGCCAGCTTGGCTATCGGTCAGACAAGCGATTTCATAGACAAAAGTCGGTGTCATGAATTGGTTGGGCGGCTCGTTCAATTGGCTGCCAGACGTGAAGGGGATAGATGTGCACCCGCCCCTGTGACCTCGGCGTAGCCGAGTCGGAGATTTGACCTACCGCCTCGCAGGTTGTTTTAGGCGCCCGGTAGCCTTGCATATCTGGTTCCTCCTTTGTAGGGTGACAATGTACTTAGTTCCTGAAGATCAGCGCCCGGCACCTCTTCTACGTCGACCACCATGTCTTGCTGATCACTTCACAGGCACTATCTGCAAGAGGTCAGTAAGGGCGATTATCTGCACGATGAGTCCGGCTTCCTTTCGAGAGTTATTTCAACAACATTCGCAGAATGCCCTCTGCGCAACTTGGGAAAACGATCTCAAAAGTCGATTCAAGTCAGACTGGCTGGGTCGAGGGAGCCATGTCAGCCTTCTGGATGCCGCTGTTCATTGGGCTTCTGATAAGTGATAGATCCACCCTCGCTGAAGTAAACATATAGAGTTCCCGCCCAACACCATTCGATGCCATCCTTCTCTCAACTCGAACAGTATCGTCGCTTTTTTCGAATGACGTCATCGGGCGTCTAACCCGTGACTACGCCCACCTCAAAATTGCTTGGCGCTGACCGATGCGAGCTGAAAACTGAGACTGCTGCTCGGAATGACTGACTGAAAGGCACCATGCTCCCCATTCAACTGTCTGATCTTCAATTCTCTCCATTTCTTCGGCAGTCAATCGCAATCGTCCATAGACCAGCCATGCACTTGAAACAGGCGTCGAGTGACCTAAACCAGGGTCTACTACCACCTCCATCACTCACCTCCACACAACCCATACAAAACTTCATCTAAAATGCTCATCTTCGAATACGCTCAAGGTTTATACCCAATCACAACATACGAATCCATCCTCCTCTCCGAGCTCATCTACGCCCACCTCGCCTGCACCCTCGGCCCCTCCACCCACACCTCCCGCGCATCCACCTGGCCCGCCGAACACAGGCACATAATCTACCACATCCTCCAGCGCGCATTCCTCCACCCGGGCGTCGCAGGCTCCGCCATCTTCCTCCTCGGCCGCCTCAAGCACAAGCGCCCCACACTGCAACTCGAGGGTCTCGCTGGCCTCAACGCATTCACGGCATCGTTCATGGTCGCTTCCAAGTGTTTATCGGATTATCCACTCCCGATGAACCGATGGCTCTATATCACCGGTAATCACTTCGCGGCATCACAGCTCTCCTACCTCGAAACGCAGCTGTGTTGTGATTTAGATTGGGATTTAGGTCTGGATAGGAAGGTGTATGATGATTTTACGGAGCTGTTTGCGGCGTGGATGGTGAAGAGGCAGATGGAGGCGCTTCCTGTGGATTTCTTTTCTCGGCCGGAGTTTGACCATACGACTCCGGTGGGGTTCGCCAAGTTGAATGGGGACGTGGAGGGTGGTGATGTGGATGGGAGTGAGTTGTTCGATCCGCTCTCGGGGTGGAGGGAGATGCCCCAGCCCGAGCTTCCCGCCGCCTGTAATATTGGTACGTCTAAATTCGTCCTTGCACAAGGCAGGGTATCTTTAAACTCTTGTTAGACCCATGTCTTGAGGCTGGAACCGCCAGTGGACATCGAGCGAACACCCATAGTCCTGATTACGTGCGCGAAATCCGTGAGTCCCAAGGCTCATCCACACTCAAGTCTTCAGAGATACGAGAACTCGGTCTGACAGACTATCTGAATTAGGAGCATCGAAATGTCCTTCCAATCTACTCCGCTCATCAAGGTATTCTCGGAGTCGTTCTCGCAGTCCAAGCCGCAGTGAACACCATCGAGCCTCGTACCGCCGATCCACCAAATTGCATCCTACATCTCAACTATGGAGTGCACACAGCTCTGAAACAGACTCAGTTCCGGATCCATATTGTAAGTCAAGGCGACGTCTGACCTTGTCGCAATGCTAACGCTGATGGACTCTTGCCCACCCACCTTTCAGTTCCACTCGACGAAATAATCGATTCCGAATCCGAATACTCCAACGAATCAAATCCCTGCTCGAGCTGGGTTGCGATCAACAGTCCAACCATCCCGCCTCCCAGCAAGAACCGAGCCGTCCAGTGTACGATCCTAGACGAAGGCATCGATGACACCACGTCACCTACAAGTGAATCCGCCAAATTGAAGAAATTACTGTCCAGGTTCAGACCACGCCTCCGAAGCACAAGAGCCACCAAATCTGTTTGAGGCTTGAGCGTACCCACCCAATACTAACCAAAAAAGAATCCTTCCTTCCCTAATAAAAGTCTAGTTCCCAGATCCGATGTTTAATGAGTTTATTCTATGAATGGTGTTGTTAATTATCCACGAATTATGCAAGGAGTTAGGGTAGTCAATGGTAGTAGATGCGTAACCAAAACATCAAAGGTTTTCAGTTCTCCGAAGTGGTGGGAGAACTCGACGGCGTCGTCGTAGCCGGAGCCTTCGTTTTCGGTGGTATATATTTCGTCGCCTGGTCCCGCCTAACCCGCAACGCCCATTCATAAGCCTTGACCAACCACTTGAGGTACCCAATATCCTTCACTCGGCCATACGCTACCAACCGATGATGCAACAGTTCCACATCCTTGAACGTCAACATGGGAGGCACAAAGTCGTCCGGAACGTCCGTCGCACCCGTCATCCGCACCAAAGGCTTCGCCGCAGCCAGCACAGTCCGGGTCGACCGCATAAGCGGTTTCGGCGGAGTCTGCCGAACAGCTTGAGGTCTATACCGATCCGCGAATCCGCGTACAATGTCCATCGCGCGGTCGATTTCGTTGTTGAGAAGGAGAACACGCATCATAGCGACGTTAACACGTTCGATGAGTCGGGAATCGAGTTTGCGGCCTTGGTATTCGCCGTCCCGCTCGATGATGTACCACTTTTTCCATAGTTCGTCGGCAAAGGTGAGTGCGAGCTCGCGTTCGTGCCCGCCATCCCGCTTCTTCTTGGCGTTGGCGCATCGCTCAAAGGCTTCGACGTAGGCTCTAACCGTTCGGTCCAACCCCAATTCCTCGTAGATAGACCAGAATACTTCACGGCAGCGGAACAGGGAAGCGTGGTTGTACAGGACGGACATGTACGCTGTGACTAGACGAGGCGTCAACTCGACGCCGCCGAATTTTTGGTGGAAGAGGTTGAACGGGGGTGGTGGGCCGTCGGGTAATTCCTTCACTTGCGCTTCGCGGATAGAGTTGAATAGGAAGTTGACTTCTTGCACTACTTCGCCTGGTGTCTGGGGTGGGATGTGGGCGAAAGACGGGGGTTCCGCTAATGGTCCTGGTTCGGCGTCGTCTGGTGCTGGCTCTTCTTGTGCCGCGGCCGCGGCCTTCGAATCTTTTGTGGGAGGGGAAGCCTTGGCTGGCCCGGCCTGCTTGACGATCTTAGTAGCCCCCCTGACGAACGGCGGTTTATACGCAGCATAGGTGTTGAAGACGTGGAGCATAATCTCTTCATCAACCCTAGCATCCACAGGCGCGTTAACAGCCTCCAACCCCTCCCTACTCCTCGTCATCTCTGCCAAAATCCATCGAACACGCCCGAGGTCGCCGATTCGTTTGGCGCCCTCCAGCAAGGCCGCGAAGGTCTTGCGATCAGGTCTGTAAGCGGAGATACCTTCGGCGTTCCGGTTCGAGTCCAACATCTGCCGTGCGATACGGTAAGCTTCGGCGACGAATTCCTTGGTGCCTGCTCTAGCGCAGGCAAGGATGATGGCGTTGTAAGCGCCGACGGTGGGTGTGAGTCTGTGGTCGACCGTCATTTCTGTCCAGAGGTCCAGCGCCTTTTCGACTTCGGAGGTTGTCGATACGGAGAGTGGGGATGCGCACGCCCTGATCATCAGGGTGTAGAGCACGACGTCTGGGTCTGGATGTGCTACGTATCGCATGTGCGCGAAGAGGTCCCATGCTTGGGCACGGGAGATGGAGGATGGTCGGGAGAAGAGGGCGGTGATGACGGAGGTGTATGTTTCCATGGGTGCTGGGACGGCTTGGTTTTCGTAAGAGTGGAGGATCTCGAGGGCGTTGGTGGGGATGACTGTTGGAGGTGTGTTATTGAGGTGGGCGACGATGTGGAAATGGCGTTGGGTTTCGACTGGTGGACCGGTCAGATGGCGGGAAAGGAGGCTGTCGGCGGCGGAGGCATTGCCTAGTTTTGAGTAAATTGCTAGAACGTCGGTGATGGATTGTTCTGGGACCTTGAGGCCAGTTCTCTGCGAAGAACGTTAGGTTAAGTTGCGGTGAATGGTGGTCGTGTGCGCACCTTCATCAAGTCCAGTGTTGATTCAGCCGACCTAAGGTCCCTGCTTTTCAACGCTGTACGAACGAGAGCTTCACATTCACGGCTGCTCAGAATCGCAACGGGGAAGCTCTGCTGTTCCTGCGTGGCAGCCTCTGGGCTCGCAAGCCTGTCCGTGTTCTCCAACCTTGTCACTATCGACTCCAGACGAGACAATATGGTCAGGTAAGGTCTCTGAGAAGTGGAGGCAGCATTGTCAACGTCGAACCGTTCGTATAGCGCTTCGACGATGGCAGCATCCTCCGCTGCTCTTGCTTTGCGCACGGCTTGCTGGTCGACGCGCAGTTGAGCTTCCTGCTGGTCCTCGACGGGGAGGTCGAGAACATCTTGGTAGAACGAAGTAAGCTCTTGTTCGGTAAACGTAGGTTCATAGGTGACCACTTCCTGAAAGATGTAAGGAAACCATGTCGAATACTTGATGATTGTAGACTCACCTCGACGCCAGCGATCTCCTCCAGAGCTCGTACTTGACGATCTAGTTCCTTCAAAGCCTCTGGAACATCTCGTTCATGCGGAGATACCCCTCCTAAAGACCTCCTCTTCCGCCTAAAGACTGAAGGAACATTCGAGCTGGGCGGTGGTGGTGGTGCTGACGGGGTCGAAGAACCAACTTCGAGGTTCCTGCAGACCGTCGAAGTGAAAAGGTTACGCTGTAGCCTGGCAGAGCTAACCCGTTTCAGTGCACAGAGACGGTGCATTAGACTCTTCAGCTCGTCGTTGTTTGCCTTCTGGTCGTCGACTGTCGTGGATGGGTAGAGCGACCCGTAGCGCCAAGATCCATTTAGTGACGTGGGAAATTTATTTTTCCCAGACGCGATGGCCGCTTGGCGCGACGAGCTCAAAGTCGCGTCTGCAATCTTGCCAACCGACCACCGCGATGACCATGGCTTTGGCCCAATTTCAATCGATTTGCGGCGCTCTATTTCCCAGTTCTGTAAAGGCGAGGCGAGGATGGCGACGGCGAAGCCTTGTGGTAGCCTCATGGCTCTAATGGTACAGCCCGTGTTTGGAACTCGGAAATGGAATCCCAATCTCTGCATTCGACCTCGACGATGAAGCTTCTTATACCAGCGATTATGGCGGGCAACACCTATGGGTACTGGTTAATGGGTGCAAGTGCGTACGACAACAACTGGGCCATGGTCCTAAGCTGATTGATCTGGTAGACAATATCCTGACTACACAGAGACTCGACCCAATCGTGAGGCCTGGGCGAGTGGGGACGCACGTCCATAGCGGTGAGTACGTCGACCGCCGCTGTGGATGAATATTTCAATGAACGCGACTTGCAGTGATTGGCGGGAGCAACTTTGGCTTCGAGTTGACGACTGACTTTTTGAGGGAAAGCGAATGCACATCCATACCCATTGCTGAGGACAAGAGTAATTATTGGTATCCTGTACGTCGCGACGCCCTGGGCTATAATCTGGAGTCCTCATCGCTGTTTCTAGCACCTCTACTTCTGGTGGAAGAATGGCAGTTTTACCAGCGTCGATGGCAGCCCTGTGATGTGAGTACCGCCCCTATCTCGCCCTCGCTGAAATCCATTGAGCGTTTCGTTTGGCAGCTGTGAGGATGTTCATGGATATAAAAAAAGGACTCTTTTGACACAGAATACCCAGACTACCTTTACTCGGATGAGCCAGGAGCAACAACCGCTTTTCCTGACAATGTGCGTTGCTTGTTAACTTCTTGTCACGCAAGGTAACTGATCTCCGAATCACAGTTCCGTATGATGTCCGGTGAGCTAACATCCTACAAAGTCGCGTACGAAGTGCTCAATTCCGTTAGGCGACCCCACCCTTCGAACCCTCAACGCTTCCAGCTTTGCCCAGCAAGCCGTAACATTCCTCTGCTTGAATTTCGAAGGGGAATCTGTGCGATACAATGAACTTCCAGACCATAGGTGTCCCAACGGCATCCGCGCAGAGATAGTAAGCAGGTACATATATGTACCCACGCTAGATCTAACCCTGCTTTAGAATTTTCCAAGTTGTTGGGACGGCGAGGTAAAGTTTTCCTCTACTCTCCACGACGCGGGCTTACCTCGAATAGAACATTGATTCAGAGGACCACAAGTCGCACGTCGCTTTTCTCTCCACTGGTCCGGATAATGGCACCTGTCTTGACCCCGCCTACCCTGTCACGCTACCTCGGATATTCCTTGAAGTGAGCCCACCGGCCCAAATCTGCCACTTTGTGCTTAATGATCTCTTCCCCAGGTGTATTGGTACACGCAGGGCTTCGATGACGTTCGCCATGAAGCTATGAATTTCAAACAGCCCTTCGTGTATGTGCCTCAGCTGTCATGTGTGGTATTCGGCCTCATCATCCCCTTCTCTCAGATTCTCGAACGGGGACCCGACAGGCTATAGTTATCATTCAGGTATACAATCGGTTACATACCCTTACTGTCATCGCAAGTTGATTCTATCTATTTGGTAGACTTCTTCAACGGTTGGGAACCTGGCGTGCTGCAAAGAGCGCTGGACGAGTGCAACTGCAATCCATTCGGTGATCCAGCATGCTGTGTAGAGCGGGGGATATTTTCATTTGATAACAGTCGTCGGTGCTACATCACCGAGGCTATCTTTGAACCTAGTGCGTTGAGCTGTTTGGTTGGACTTGTCCATGCTAACTGTTGTACATAGCATTGGGGACCCTTGATTCCCTGCCAGGGAATAACCCCGTTCAAGAGGAGTGTTACGACGAGTATCCTGATACCGTCATCCCGCCTATCATGGCTCCTGTCTATGTGCACAACGGGTCCAATTTGGCACCTTCGGATACGTCGACAACTCTCGTTCCCGCGCGGACACTGGTGACCAAAGAACGGCCACGGGGCACATGCATAGCGGGCTCTTCCTCGCTTCGCCAAACCACCACGAAAACGTTACTCTCACTGATACCCTCTTTCTGGGCCATTAGGTTGGCGTTTAGTCTTATCTAACTCCTGTTTTACCCAGCTGTGAAGGATGGAGGGAATGACGTTGAATGATTGGAATGTACCCTAATCTCCGCTTGCGCTTCGCCTATGGTCATCCGAATTCCTATTTTTCTATCCTTCGAACAGGAGTTGATTGCCGGTGCAACGGGAATCGAAACTGCCGCTGTAGATGGTCGCCGTTCATCGCGCAGGCATATGTCTCGCCCTTTTTCTCTCTCAACGGAGTTCATATTCAGTGGCAATAGCCTTCTGGTTTGAATTGCCTCCATTCCAGCCATACTGGAGATCATGTGTGCAGTATGTGCACGGAACAGTCTCAAATGGGGGCTTGTATGATCTGGTGCTCTTCAACTTAGTAGTGAGTGATTTTGACCATTGGCGTCGATCGACTGTCATACCAACACCATTGCCTGTTGACAGATTTTTCTGATATCAGCCTTACCTCTCGTCGATGCGCTCGAGTATATCGCGTTGGTATCGCGTGTCCAGGAAAATCGCTACCCCAAATCGAGCTGTGGCGAAGGAAGCATCCTTGATTCTCATTGTGCATTGCTTGTCTCTGGCAACCACAGGATTGACATCGCACCAGGGCTTTTGATAGCAGTCGATCTTCAGCGGCGTCTTCACGTCATGTCGAATGGAGTCGCGCCTGTGGCGTCGGGGCCGTAGGATCCAGGCTACTCTCCCTTTAGGGTCTTAAACAACGCCATGGTGCGCTCGAGCTATGGGGTAGACCATGGCCGGTCCACGAATTGAGCTAACCAGCGGTGTCCAGGTCTTCGCATCCACAATGGATGCGCCTCATGGGGTCTCAATTCACCTAGTCGCCAGCCTTAAAAGTCAACTTTGTTCGCAGTCGAAGAGCAAACCAGAACTCCCTACCTGCCCTACTCCCACACTTTCTAATCGTGTCGCTTTTTCGAGGTACAATGTCCACCATACACCAAGGCGATGTGTTTGCACAATATGGCCGCAACCTTGCGAAGGATATGCACGGTTTTCTAGAGGCTCGCGCTGCGCCTGTCCAGTCGCTAGCTTCGAAAGCCAGTGCTGCATGGAACCGGCACCACGCAACGCCGACTTTCGACACGCAGTCTCGGCATGACGGTGTTATCCCTGTCGGTATCATCGGCGGCGGGATGGCTGGTCTGTATGCTGGGCTCCAGTTGGCGCAGTGTGGTATTCCATTCCAGATCTTGGAGGCTTCGGATCGAGTGGGTGGGCGTTGTCTTACCTACAAGTTCGACGAGGGCGATGAGTACGACTATTTTGTGAGTACCGACAGCTCGATCTGCGAATTATTGGAGGTACTAACGGTTGCCTCGCAGGATGTTGGGCCTATGCGATTCCCTCTTCCACCCAAGGGACAGACCGGCGCACATACCCGCTTGAGAAAGCTATTCGATCTTCTCAAGATAGACTTGTTCGACAACATCATCAGGACTGACCAGAGTCTACTCTACTACAACGGCATCCATGCGACCACCGGTGACAAGAACCCCAGCTTCAACGCTGAAGAGCTCGGAATACCCAAATGCTACGTCGACTGTGGTACCAATGCCCTTTGGAGTGACTTTATCAACCCTCTGGGCGAGCTGCTCCTGAAGGACGCGAAGACGGGTGGAGGCGAGGGTTGGGAGGAGATGAAACGCGATTACGATCAGTACTCGGTGCGAGCGTATTTGCAGTTCAAGTATATCCCGAGCAAGGGGTTGCAGAAACGGTTTGGGATACCCGCCACTCCGCTTTCAGTCACTGTGGTTGATTGGATGGAGACGTATCAGGGGTCTGGGCTGTTCGACCGGGGTGTCACGGAGACTGTGCTGGAGGCTTTGGCGTTTGGTGAAATTGAGGCTGGTCCTCAGCCTGAATGGCATTGTATAGAGTGAGTTTGTCGATCAGATCCAGGACCCTTCTTGGTAGACTGACTTGTCGCGTTTTAGTGGTGGCGCTTCAGTTCTGCCCAAAGCGTGTCTGCTCAAGATCAAGAAGTGGGCGAAGAATATCGAGGGCATGCCTTCCGAGGTCTTTATTAAGAACTCGCCCGTCACCGCAATCTATCCTTCCGACCTGAAGGACAAGAAATCGCCGCTTGTGGTTGTGACCTCGGGAGGGAAGAAGCATAGCTATTCGCATGTCATCTCCACGGTGCCCCTTCCCAACTTTGCGCGTATTGATACTTCCACGCTCGACATCAGCCTTCGGCAGGCTCACGCCATTCGGTCTCTGGGGTATACGCCGGCCACCAAGGTCGGGATTCTGTTCAAGACGGCGTGGTGGAAGGAGCATAAGCAGGTTGGCGGGCAGTCGCACACTGACCTGCCTATTCGCACCATCGTCTATCCTTCGTATGGACAAGGCCAATCGTCTAGAGTTTTGATTGCTTCGTACTGCTGGACCAACGATGCCAACAAGCTTGGAAACTTGATCGACACTGGGGCGGATGATGTACTCAAAGAAGTCGTACTCAGGAACTTGGCGACGATCCATCAAGTTGATGTCAAGGTTCTGGAGGAACAGTTTGTTGAGATGCATGCGTTTAATTGGAATCATAATGCTTGGGGTGGAGGTATGGCTTTCAGGATTTGTTTTCGTGCCCTGGAGAACGTTTCTGATGTAGCTTTCAGGTGCCTATGGTTCCTTTGGTCCCGGACAGTATGCCCATATCTATGGCGCTCTTAACGCTCCTGCAGCAGATGGTCGACTTCAGTGGGCAGGCGAGATCCTGAGCGTTCGCCATGGGTGAGCTTGAACATTTGCACTTTGACAAGTCTAACGCTTTATTAGGTGGATTGAAGGGGCATTGGACAGTGCATGGGCGGCAGTGGTCAGATATCTCTATCTCTCCAATGCGAGCCCCGACTCTCTTCACGGTTTCTACGATACCTGGGACATCAATTGGGAGTGGCATGATGCAAGCCCTGCTGAAGATCCGAAGCGAGTTGAACGCCGTACCAGCAGTACCAAGGGCAAATCCAGGACGTCGAGGGCATTGGGGAATGTGTGGGCTGACATGAAGAAATCTTTGTCGCCTGGGGCGGGGAATACCTCGAACTTGTCCAAGGTGCCGTGTGAGGACATTCGAAAGTCTAACGCCGGTGGGACAGATACCTCAAAGGTTCCGAGGATACCTCATTCAGAGAATCTCCTCCTTCGCCATATCCTACTCCACACACCGGATCTACTTGCCACCCGCAATTGATAACCACCTAGACTACCACATAACTTTCTCGCACACGTATGTATTGAAATGATGTTCTCGACGAAATGCATAAGTGTCCCTACGCCCTTTGACGCTTCCTGAACAAGATCTTTGCGAACTGGTTAGGGCTTCGGTTTGATGCGAACCAGTGGGGTGATGGCGGCGTCTTGCTGTCTTCTGGCAGCTTGAAGTCGTAGTTCATGAGGATGTATGCTAACATGGCTTTGACCTCGTTGACGGCGAAGAAGCGACCAGGGCTGAGTGAGAGTAGACATTTGAGTACGGGAGATAACTTTGGTTGGTAAAGGTTCACTCACCAAGCGGGACGACCATGTCCAAAGAACAAGAAGTTGGGGTCGAGGGAGACCATCTGGTGACGGAGGTGGTCGAACTCTTCACCGCCTTCCCTCTTCTCGGCAAATCGGAAGCCCTTGAATTCTGCGGCGTCGTCATATACGGACTAGGATAACTGTGAGAACAAATTCGGCAGGGGAGGACACCGATCGAACGCACGGGATCAAGGTGGGTCGGGATGGCAGCCACAGCGACTCGGAACCCGGCTGGGAGGACAGTCCCATCGGAAAGCTTGTAGTCTGTCATGGACTTCCTAGTGACAGACACTAAAGGTGACGGTCAGGGCCCAGGTTAGTGGTGAATAGTGAACGAAATCACGCACGAGATGCCAATCCAGAAACACGACTGGATTCTTTGATAAAGCTATCCAACTTGCGCATTCTGCCCATAGCCTCCTTCGTCCAGCCATACTCTTCAATAATCTCTTCTACCTCCTTGCGCAGAGGCTCGATATACTCTTGGCGGGGTGCGAGATCAAAGAGGGTATTGCTGAGCGTCTGCTCGGCGGGGTATTATTAGTCCTGATCGAATTTCTAAAACGGGTGCAGAGATTCCCTACAATAGAAGTGGTGTGGATGGCGGCAATGTTGATTGAGATGATTCGTAGAGTCAAGTCCGGGAGGTTCTTGAGCTCAGGAGGAACAAGATCCAACAACCACGAAATAAGGTCGTTCTGAACGGTACTCGTTAGTTGGCGCGAAACACAGGAGTCGACAAGGGCTAAACTGACTGGTCGACCTTCCCACTTGCGTCCATTTGCTTCGTCCATTGCGATCCTCTCGTTGATCAAGGGACCCAAGTGTTTCTGAAGCCTCTTGTTATCCGCGGGGAACTTGGTGATTAGGCGGCCAACGAGCCTGAGAAGCGAATTAGCTAGGCCTTGGACGACAGGGTAACACTCAGCCGTACGGTCTCATAAATGCTGGTAGGACATTCAAGAAGTTGGCTGCCGCAAAGATATGAATAGTGAGGTTTTCTTGAATCCTGCGGTACTCCGGATTACGACCTAGAGAAGAAGAATGCTCATTAGTGAGAAAGCTCTTAAGGCACTAGGAATTTGTACTCACAAAGAGGTAGGCCAACGAACAGTCGGTTACTTGTTCGACACACGATCGGGATTAAGGCGCTGTGTATCGCATAGGGCGTCCAATCTGAAGTCCATTGGATACTGAGGTTGAGAATGACTATGCGCACACGTACCGTCACTTGGCGGCATAAGGTCGGAGAAGGATTCGTGGATCTCTTCCTTGATCTCGTCAAAACGTCCCGGGAACCCTCTTGTCATTGGTCCACGGACGACGTCAATGTGATACGGCTCCGTGCGCATATTCGCCGTCCCAAAAAGATGATCGGTGTGCAGAAGCTGCATTACGATGGGCATGTCAGCTAGATAGTAACCATTGAGAGTCGCTTACCTCGAATGCAACGTTCTTGAAGGAGAGTTGTTCCTCTGTGGCTTTTCGGAAGTCTTCAACTAATTTGGTGCCGCTGACGATGATCAGCCAACGATTGGGTGTCACAAGTGTTGGAACCTTGAAGGCTTTGCCAGGGTACTGCCATCACCGGAGTCGTGAGCTCGCTTTGACGGCGGCCAAAGTACAAGGCTTACCTTTTCATAGCCTTCCTGAATCATTTGATGACCATTGACCATGAATTTCCAGGCTGAGATATAGGATGTAATGAAGCCATCTGAGCCAACGGTTGGGATATGTCGAAGCTGTTGCGTGGTCAGTAGAGCGAAAGCCAATGATGGAGGACGTGCTGTTCACCTTGCGCTTGGTGATATGGAATAAAACCCATTGGTATAGGAGCCAGCAGGCAGCTCCAATCCCGAGAACCTGCATCCACGACATGTTGAGAAGGACACTAGTACACGTCTTGTCGCGACGGGATTATATATGAACGGCTCCCAGAGACATCGCCGCACCGAGGGCCGCATTTCAAAACCGGCTGACGATATTGGACAGCTGGAGACGAGGTGAGAACAGAGGCACTCAGCACACGGGGCCCGCTAGCTATGACGAGAAGCTCGACGAAGCGCAACAGTCTCCGAGTCCAAGTTTCCCAGCAGCCGAATTCGAAGCAGCCAAGCATGTCAAAATCCCCGAGTCGTGTGGTTGCGAGCTGCGAGGGGACACTAGCATTATGAACGACTTCTTAGGTGTCCCAGGGGGGTCAAATGTGAAATGTATATGTACCGTGCTGCAAGGACATCAAATGGACCAAGATTGGACGACTCTGCAGAGCCAGTTTCGACATCCACGATTAGAGTTGCCAGCGGGAGGAAGGCTAAAGGGACGACATTCCAAATAAATCCATTCTTTCATAAGATCCCGCTGTACAGAGCCAAAGGCGCCAATATCCAGCCTAGCCGCCTACCATCTATTAACCTCAGTCATCGGCGCTTAATGCCCAGTGCTGAGGGTCACTCAACCACAACGCAAAGATGATTTCGGGTATCTCCGAGTAGGATCATACCTGGCATTCTCAGTTGGAATCCTAGCCAAGAAGTTCGTAGACACATCCTCTGTCGAGGTTCTCTAAATTCTCCTGCCCATTGCTTTGCTGCAGCCAGTTGCCATTACGCAAACTGGCTTCATTGAACATTGCCTGTCGTTCTCGTAACGCCACCAATAAAGCGGGAACCGCCATGCTCAACCCAACAGATCAGTTATAACGAAGAGCGTCACTTTCAAGCTTTTCTTGCCCGTGTTCAACGGGGCTATACAAGATGCCCGTCCCCGAGGTGGATTAGATTACATAGAATAGGCTTGCCTTGATTCTGATCGAAGCTCAGGTCCTTCGATTCAACTTCTTCAAAGTTCTATGACCGGCTCCTCGGATATTCTCAGAGGTCCTTGCCCACCAAGGATAAAAGCGTCGTTCAAAGGCAGGCGGGTCTTATCGTCTGTAATGGCTAGAGCTCATGGGTACTAGTCTTAGTCACCGACATAGCACGGTTCTCCCGCACTTTCCCCATTGAAATAAGGTAACCTATTTGCAAATTTCCAATAATTGAGTTGCGTCTCATGGCACCGTAAAGTCCTGCCGCACGCTTCAAGCTTCCCAGTGATCCCCGCCATTGCCATCGAGCCCGAGTATAACCTTATTCCCAATAATACAATGAGGCAATTCCATTGCGGGAAAGGGGGTAAACATCCCTTCAGGCCGTCGATGGAAATCTCAAGGCTTTCCACACCGCCAAAATCCCCACCCTTCGCCAGCGCAGGTTCGGTTGGATATATCCCCTTTGTCGCATCTTACTGCACCTTCTCACGCGCTTGCAGGTTCAACGTTCGGCGCCAATGGGTATTCTATTCACGACATGACGTTATTGCACGGAACTTGGCCTTGAGGTGTGTACCTTCCGACAGCCTACCGAAGGGCTCTGTAACTGAGATATCTAGTCTACACCGACACATCATCCTCGAGTTCGTCTCTCCAAGCGAGCCGCGAAGGTGGGCGCTCGCCTTTCCCAACCCCACATTCAAGGCCCGCGATATCTTTGGAAGGGTCCACATCTTGTTTGACGGCAACTTATCACACTGCTTCTCCCGTGCAAGACCCTTCTCTATGGACAGGAAGCAGTCTCGCGGGAAGGACAGGAATGCAGTTGGAGAACGCCCAAGGTGCGGTCTCTTTCAATGTTAGTTTCGTTGCTCAACATTCAACCTTTGCTTTGATGCACATAGCCCCACTCAAGCCGCTCCAACATCCGTTCGGTTGGGAGTCTATAGCTACTTCCTTCACAGAATCGAGGCAACGCCAATGCTCGCCGCCGACGAAATTGGGAATCCATTCAACCTTGAAACGACCAAAGTGCTTTCTGAGTACCAAATCGTGTCCCTACCCACAGTGACGAGGCCTCATTGCAGCCTCGTTTCAAGCATTGACTCGAGCTCAGGCTGACTTTGATAGTGGCATTGCCCTCTTGATCTGAGGCCGGAGATGGATACCAGTCTAGGAAAGATTTACTCGACGTCAGTCGACCTATTTCGAAGTTCGTTACCCAAAGCGAAATCCACCAGGTCGTGAAGGGTTCGAGGGGACAATTGTTTAGTCCCCGTTTGGCAGGATCGAATCTCAGCTTGATGTTCGCGGCAACGATGTCCTGGTGCCTTCAATGTAGCAAAAGTGTGGACCCTCTTTCATGAATTCGCATGGCAGTTTGTTGGGACCGACTTGGTGAGCACTGAGCAAATGCCCTCATACTACGGGTATGAGTACCTTCGTGTCGCTGGCAATCTGTTTCAGCAAGATTGACATTAACGAGGTCGCAGCAGTCGGAAAGGTTGCAATCGTGAATGACATGCCGCCGCGTTCTTTCAGATAACACCAAGGTCAAAGATCGGGATGGGTAATACCCGCCGAGCACATTAACTGAGAGAGGGGTCGTTATGCACTAGTTCGGAAGGACGAGGAGTCCTTGTGGCATGGATAGGCATGGTATGTCACCCCTTTCCTCCCATCGTGTATGGCTCAAGGTCTGTGCCTTGTGCGGAGAGCCCTACCCGTCCTTCTCCAACCGTAGGACACACACACACACACACACGGTTCCGGAGGTTTCAGCATTTAAAGGTTTAGATTCTCTACAACACGTTGCTCTCCTCTTCTAGACCATGAATATCTCACTTTTAGGGTGAAGCGATTGTCATATCCAGGGCTACCTCTAGCATGGTGGAGGAACATGTCTACGACACTCCCGTGTTTGACCGCTGGTATAAATCTGGACTGCGACTTAGCAAATAGGGAACTTTCGTGTCAGAGCCATCAAGGCCTCAACACTCAACCCTCAAAACAACGCCCACCAACACCAGTGGAATAGATTGTACCAAGCCCAGACAAATCTTCAAGTTTCTTAGATGCTATGATAAAGACATTATATCATCTTTACTGAGAGCGGACACAACCACTCTCCGATCACGATGATGTTCGCGGAAATACAACTAAATTCTCGTACAAGTCGATCTAGGGCCACGAAAAAGTTAACATAATGATCGAATACTCGGAGAAAGATCATCGTAAGTGAATGGTAATGCTTAAATATATCAAGGGTTTGTGAATTGTGGAGACCGTGCACGACAGAGCCCTGAGGCCTGAGGGACCATTTTCTTCAACCCTCCGATTAAGGAATCTTCAAACCCATTGCCCGAAGCTCCGATAAGCGTGCAGGGTTCTGTGGGCAAAACCTTCAAGGCATCCCCATCGACAACGGTGATTAAGTCGGCTGTGCAAAGTGTATTCAAGTCATTATTTATGTGGCAGCCTCCGGCTGGATATATAATGGGAGACTTTTCAAGAGCTGCCTCCATCGCTCAACTACCCGATTTCCCTTTCACACTCACTCAAGGTCTCAACTAAAGCACGACAATGACATCGCACCAAGGCGGACCCACTCACCAGGTTGGCCCACGTGAAGCGGTGAGGAGAGCGTTACCTGCATCGTCTACTGTGTCGGCATGGACATGAACCTCACCATCTGTATCTCAGGGGAATATTCCAACTGTACCCCGGACTCCTCGACGCACACCTATGGCATGCACTTTCTGTCGAGGTACACGTCGTGCTGTTGTCCGAATCACAGTCGTTCTGAACATCTGTCCACAGGGAGAAAGCTTAAATGCGATGGAGGTCGCCCCTCCTGTAGCAACTGCAACAAGAGGGACCTCGCATGTAACTACGTTCCTGTGTACGGCCCAAGTGTCGCTTACCGTTCATACCAAACGCTGACACTTATCTTCTCACTGTTCACAGTTCCAGCACGCGTTCCTAGATACAGCCCATCACTCAAGACTTGTGTTTCGGTCCAGCATTCTTTCTATACCCCTACAGTGATTATGCACGTACGATACCCTCGATTCTATGTCATCCCGCTCCGGAGTAGTACCCTATGCGAATATGAACTTAATGGCGGTGCACCCAGTTGAAGGAACCCCACTTTCCGTTAGAGTCTATGTTCGAATGTACAATCTTATCTTGACGTGTTTGTATTCAATATACTCGATCCGCAATGGCAGTACTTTGAGTCCCCTTCGCGGCAGTCGCCTTGAACTGAACTTTGGGCTTCTGAGTTTCAACCTTCGGAGTTGGCCGATGATCACTTCGTCGCCCGCTTCTGCCCACCCACAATTGAAGCTGAACCAGACTTTACCCGAGCCAGCAGGGCATCGTACAGCTGTTCAAACAATGGTAGGTTGAAATGGACAAAGTTTAGGCTGCCTGCTGACAACGTCGTCAAGACCGTTGGGGATCCTCAAGATCAGCGCTCTGCCCAGAATTGCGTGCTTCCCGGAGTGAAATACCTTCCAGAGTTCATCTCTGTGCGCATGAATTGACCTTCGGCAAAATAAGCCTCTCTCACATATCCAGGATAGGAGGAAGAAGAAGCATACATCATTCGAAAAGTGAGTCGATAATCAAACACCCGCGGTGGAATTGAATAACCCGGAATCTCGGATCCCTCAGATCCAAGAATCGTCGCAACAGAAATGGAAGGTGCTCGCGAACCGACGGTAAGTATGCCTTTAGAGAGCCTTTTCACACAATGAACACTCATAACCGTCTCAAGACTCCAAATCTGGGGTACGTTTACTCGGGCACAAAATTAGACGCAGGCTCAAGCGTATTACCAGGAGGGGAAGTGACATCTAAAGGGATACTCTACGGCCAGCCACTGCCCGACTTCATTCGTAAATTGTAAGCTTAACAACTCTAGATTTTCCTTTGTTAACAGCATCAATCAGTCCAGACATCATTTCGAGAATCAAGGAGACGGGCGTCTTCGCCGACTCTCCTCACAAGGAACCCAATCACGTCATTATGAACGAGGTAAGTGTGTCACCCTCTTATTTTCAACGTCGACCATTGACTTCCAATTTCAACTGGTACTCGGGCGCCAGTATCGGCCAGGGCAGGGTATTATGGTAAGGCTATCGCTCAAATCCGAACTTCCTTTGGAAATAGACAGACCCCATTTCTAACTCCGATATTCCCATTAGCCTCACGAAGACGGGCCCATATACCACCCTGTGGTTGCCACACTGACCTTAGGCTCGCAATGTGTCTTTCATTATTATCAATACAAGGATCGTGGAGAAGAGTCGCCCACTGATTCTTCCGCCTCAACCGGCAAAGGTCGCCCCATCGATCCAAAACCGGTTCACTCCCTTCTCCTCGAAAGGCGAAGCCTTGTCATCTCTTTCGGTGACTTGTATACATCCCATCTACACGGGTGAGTTCTCGCTGTCCAATCTCCAGCGAAAAAAGTCAATGACTTACCGCCCGAAATATTCATTGTTGCATTACAATGAAAAGCATTGACGAAATGACGGAAGATTTAATCCTCCCACCCGCGAACAGCACGACTCAGACGCCGCCAGGTAGCAGCGGAGTGGAGTCAACAGCAACTCGGATAGATAACTTTCATTTGCTGCGGGATGAAGGCCTAAAGGAAGCAATCCGTCAGGGCCAATCCATCAAGCGAGAGACCAGGTGGAGTTTGACCTGTCGAGATGTGTCTCGTACTGCCAGTCTTGGAATTCGCTCTCTTCGAATAGGATAGACTTTGGGCGCTGGGAAGTGATTTGACGAGCGGGTTTCAGAAAAACAGGGCATGCGAACAGTCGGTTAAGTTGGGATTAATGAATGAATTGATTTCATTTTTCATGTCTTCTGACTTCATAGAAAAATAAGCCTCGTGTGCCTGGTTTTGGTCGCGCTGAGGACAGATAAGGATGTCTTGACCCGGCACTCAAGGACACGGAGTTTCACCATGATTAGCTGGCTCCAAAAGTCGATGATATTAAGTCACATACATTGCTTAAGTGGTGGGCATCCCTGGTCGAACAAAGGCTCTGAGGCAGCACCGCACTCACGTTAATTCGGTTGCCTCAAATGGGCGCACGACTCGGACGCACCACAGGGGGACATTCAAATCCGGAAACACAATGTCATTCAAATGGGCGTGGTAAACAATGGCGAAGGAAGATATGGGAGTGTATATTATGAAGCGTAAAGAGTCATGAAAAATGGAATCTCGAAGCAATAGAATGCAATGAATGGTAGAGCAGAAGAGATAAGAAATAGATCATGATCGCAAATGTCATGTCGCCAACCGAACAGAGATCGGATGTCGCGGACAACATGAGCACCAGCCTAACCCAGGCAAAGCTGGTGAGAGGCGGCAAACTCACGTCTCCGGACGACCCAACAGCTCCGTAGAAGCCAATATTCGATTAGCGAGGATCGTAAGGTTCGCATCCGCGACGATGACCTCCGGTGCGTAGTCCACACCAAAGATCTGCTTGATCGCCGCTGAAATCCGCTTGGCCTGTCGTTCGGACCAGAATGTAAAGTCGTCAGGATCGCGGTCTTCAACTTCAGGATCGTGATCGCCCTCTGCGGCTGGTGTACTGGGAACCGAGGAGGAGGATGGAGCACTCGTTCTCTTGCATGAAGCGGGCATCAACGAAGGATCAGAGTCCAAGCACAGAGGGACAACGCGCATGAGTGTTTCGCGGACCGAAGAGAACGTAGTATCCGATGGTTTGTCCACTAATTTCCCCATAGAATTCAGTATTGGAGACCTCGCGGGAAGGGTACACGCAAAACCGCCACATACCATAGATCTCCAAAGGTCCGTCCAAACTCATGACGTTGTACTTTCCGTCATGGTGGTATCGAATCTGGAATGAAAAGGATCAGCGACGTTGATTCCTGTATGTTCAGGCTTGACATCCTACCTCGTAGCGGCCCACGAGCCAAGGCAACGTGTTGCCTTTGAAGGTGATCGTCCCAGTCTGAGATTCGCGGTTGCTGCAAGGGGCACGTTCAAGACCCAGCGGAACGTCGCCGTCCCACTCTTCGTCATGGACGGGCAGCCACATGCCCATAGCGGAAGTCTTCGTGACGAGGGTGTCCTTGTTGGCCCCGACCTAATCGTTCCGGTCAACAACGGTGTACGAAGATGTTAACATAGGGGACGCAGCATACCCGATAGAGGCCGATCCAGTCTTTGCGGGAATGGTTGTGAGGTGCTTCCCACTTCACCGTGATAGGTTCGCCGAGATGGAATGCGAGAGTACCGGTGGTGGAGCTTGGAACAATAGAGACATTGTATTTGGTAGCATCATACGACGAGATATCGTTCGCAACACGGCTGAAATGGATAGATGAACGTCAGCGGCCATCCCTCAATCCGAACAGCACAAGAACATACGTGATAACCAGTTTCTCTCGGGACTGTTGCAAAAGGACCTTGGTATCCTGAACGACTTCCGAGAACTTGGGGCCCGCTGGAAGCAGAACAAGGACAGCATTCAGGGTCTATGTTTTTGTATCAAGCATGAGGCGTTGCCACTTACACTTCGCCAGGAAGTCCTCCACAGCCTCAGCGGTCTCCTCGAACACCTTGTCAATCGTACCCTTGACCTCTTTGACAACACGCTTGAGCTCCGGAACATGCTTGCCAGCGCGAGATTCAAGAATCTTTGCATTCTTGTTGGCAACGTTCTTGATGACCTTGACAAATCCAGCGTCCTTGCGGAGGGAATCACCATAGAGTTTGCGCATGTGAGGGCTGCGGAAAGTGGTCAGTCAGGGCTACGCGGGAACGAGAGATCGGGGCGCACTTTTCGACAGTGGTGAGGAACCACCAGTTGACGAGGTGCCTGACCACGGCCAGGGCGAGAACCAACTTGCTACCGCTGATTAGAGAAAGTCCGAACCACGCAGCGCCACCCATGGCTTCAGGATTGTTCAGGTATCTAACAGCATGCACCTGCGGTGAGTTCCGAGCCGTCTGCAATGCACAGGCCGTTGACGTACCTGTAAATTCCAGTGTACTCTAGGTGGGCAGGGAACTCCTCCATGAAAAAGTCGCCGAAGAACCACCCTGTGAAGGGGCCAAACATGTCAGGTCTATTCCATCTACAATCGCTGAGGAGAAAAGGGCTCACCAAACACGCCGAGGACCTCGAACGATTCCATGGTAGCCCAGATGTGGAGTCCTACAAGGAGCTGTAACAGAAGGGTCGCGTTAGATTACTTGTTTCCGCAATCCTGAACGCCGCCAAGCACGCACCGTTCCCAATGTATGGCACAAGAGTTCATTTCCGACGGCCCAGTCACTTGGTAATGAATACGTTTTCCAGACCACACCAAGGCAAGAAACTGTAAACGAAAAGGAGTCAGAAAACCATAATGTCACATCGGAGATGAACAAGAGTAACCGACCGTATTTCATGCACAAGCTGAGGTTGTAGATGGCCTTCCAGTTGCTAAAGGCCTCGATTATCGGACCTTGCACCGCGTCCTTCTCAGGATAGTGGTAGTTCTTCAAGAAGTGCCGTACAAGGAACTTGCTCTGACTTTGAGCACGAAGCAGCAATCCAAGACCCACGTAGTGGATCCCGAGCCAGGTTAAGGCATGGATAAAGTGAAGTGCGAGCATGACTCGAGGACCGACCGAAGGGATGAAGGTAATCACAGCCGCATAGAAGATGATCAAAACCAACATCGCGTCGGTTGCTCTGTGATAAGATGTTGGTCAGCTCCCGGATTCGATGAAGGAAGAGAGTGAGCAGGGTCCTGACCTGAAGAGGTCCACGTTTCGTAGGACAACAGCATCACGCCTGAAATATTTGTTTAGCAGATCGTGTTGCGAGAGAATCTTCTGTTTCTTCCTCTGTGGTTGGGGAGGTGCCTTGAAAGCTTGGGGCCTGTGGAGTTCCTCGTCGAGTTCACCGATGGATGAGCCCGTACTGCTGATAGATAATTGTCGCTGTTTCAAATGCTTAGAGCCAAGCGTGGACGACGGTTTCGTGACATTAGGGAACGCGGCACCATTGCTAACAACAGTGTCTTCGATCTCCGTCTCAAGCTCCGTCTCGGTCGTAGCAGTATCTCCTTCCGTGATCGCTGGGGTCGACTCGTCTTCTACAACGGGAGTCGAGGAACCTGTAGTAGTGCTGGAAGAAGCGACAGCGTTCAGTCCGGAACGGGCGGGGGTGGTGATCGGAGTCCTTTTTGCGATTGCCTTGGGTTTCCCATACATGCGTTCGATGTCTGTCGGCCTTTGGTAAGGTGTTTGGCGAGTAACCGGGGAAAGTCCAACTTACGCGGGTTCTCGAAGAAAACGAGGAATGCAAATTGCGCCGCATGAGCTGCGAGACTGACGAAGAGAACGGCATAGCTTCCAGAAATGAGAGACAATCCGTAGTATCCCGCGTAGCCTGGATCATAAATAAGCTTGAATTCGAAATATACGGCAGTATCAAGATCCTCACCAACTGAGTACATTGGGTGGGGAGCCAATTCGAAAACGCCGTCAAAGACAAGGTTTCCACGTTGGAAGAATACATCACCCCAGTACCATCCGTAATCCTTCACGACGTTGTGCGCCTCGGTCTTGACCCACAAGTTGAAGCCGATGAGAGCAATACCACCAAGCCACCTACGGAGCCTGTAAGTGGTGGTTCAATTGCCTTGATAAGCGTCACCACTGACCTCATCACATGGACGATGAACGAGAGGCCCTCAGGGGTCCTGAAGCAGGAAAAGGCGAACATGCAATAGGACAGGAAATCACTGAAAGAGGGTTAAGCAAATTGAAGGTACAGCGGAGGCAAAAAGGATTCACTTGACGAGGATCACATCTACCAGTTGGCGGAACAACAACCAGGTATTGTATTCCAAGGGCAGTTCCTAAAATAAGATATATTATTACGCGAAAGAGCAGGACAGGTCTGATCAAACTCACGTCGAACGAATAGTCCTTGCCCATCTTGTCCTGAAGCTGCTTTCGAATCCAGTCACGAACCAGTGGACGACGTTTCTCATCGAGCCAACCACGTCGCTGAACCTCCTTCACAATCCATTTCCTCTTGCTCTGCTTCGTGAGCACCCAGCCAAGACCTGCATCATAAGCTGCACGCCAGAAGGCAAAGTAGAAGAAAAAGAAGATCCGGCCAAGATTTCGCGGCAACCAAAAGAACAGGACCAATTGCAAGCCAAGCAAGCCCAAGTTAAGCATGTCTAGATGACTCTTTGGATATCTAGGGTCGAACAGGGTGGTCAGGACGTCGTGCGTGGTCGGTACGCGGAAGACTAGACCATCAAATATCAGATATACAATTCTATAGAGATAACGAATAGAAGAACTAACCTTCTCCGCTCGGTGTCTTGCCCCACACGACCTCCTCTGCCCTCGTACCGTTGGAAACGTGTTCTCCGTTGACAGTCTTGTCAGAATCCGTCGCTGGCGACCTGGAGCGCTGGGCCCCCTTGGGGGTTGTGTTCCCTTTGCGTTGCCGCAAACCATTTTGTGATTTGGACATATCGACGAGCTCGACGCGTACCACGACGAGCAGAGTCCTCCAGACGTGGCCGATTGTGAACAACCGTGAAAAGCCCCAGACTGAGTGCGTCCGTGAAATCGGCAACGACCGTTTGATGGCGGACACGACTCCCAACTCCGCTCTTAAGGCGGCCGTACGTAATATCGGCCCGACTTCCTGGGCTCCATTAGAAATCCTCGATATGCAGTGGAAAATTCTAGAAAATCATAGAATATATTTGAAGGACAAGTACAGGTGCAAACGTCCTCAAAAGCGCAGAAACACCAAATGGGCGCCTCTTGCACAGAGCTTCTACTTCGGGGAAGCTCGGGTATGGAGATAAGCGCTCATCCGTCAATAGACTCCGACCGGCCCTAAAGTATCCGACGATAAAGTCAAAATTTTGAGGGTGATGGCGTGATAGCCTCGCTTAGACTCAATCCACCATGTCCTCAACACCAGCCGTCTGCCTCATTGCCATCCTTTCGCCATGGGACAGCGCCCATCCACGCTGCAATGCAAGATAGAATTCCGACATCCAAGCGCGGCATTTCCTTTTGTTCTTACCCCTCAAAAGCCCTGTTGACGGTGGCTGCAACTCGGCAAACGTCGACCCTCAGCATATCACATCTTTTCGCTTCGATGTCGTGTTCCAGGGTTCTAAAACCCTCCTATGGCCTCTCGCCAACGCACGAACGTGTATGATACCATTACAACGGGCGCCTTTGTCTTGCGTGTCACAGGACTATACCCCTTCTATTCACTCGAGACTCGGCTTTTCCTCACCGTGTTAAGAGTTGCTATGTTGGGGAAGAGCAGAATCCATTTCAATAGGGCATTTATTTCGGCCGATCTCTTCTTTGGTAGGGTTCGACCTTACGAGGTGTCCAACATTCAACCCTTTTTTTGCGCTTCTATTGAGCGCTTGGCCCTGACAAAGGGCGCGACGGGCTTCTCTCCTGCGCTCCACTTCTGTCGCTATGGGGCCAGGATTGCCTGTTATAACTTTCTTCGCACGTATCTTGGCGCCGAGGGTCTCTTCATTTCTAACCAGTTTTTGCACCGCCGCTGTTGGCTACTAATAACAGGTACGACCTCGTCCCGCCGTTTCTTTAAATTGGGTTCTGACCTGCCGCTTACAGGTTAACATCTTTGTTTGTTATCGTACGGGTATCGAGGCGCCCCACTAGGGACTACCCCATGTCTGTTTTGAATGTCAATTCATTTGCGTCGGGTCCGCTACGATCCCCTTCCCTGCCTCTCGGATCCCTCGGTTACGACTCAGCTTCCGTCGACGTCCCGTGAATTGCACCGCATCGGTTACTACTCCTGAAGTTGAGCTTAGAAGATCGACCCCTACCAATTCACTCGCAACACGGCGTTTCCTACCGTGTTCTGGGTTACGGTGAGGGGAAGAGCAACAGGGCATTTTTTCGGTTGGTTTCTTGTATGGTAGAAGCTGATCTTACTATGTGTCCTACATCTTCTTTCCTCCAGACAGGGAGGTTAACGCTACCTTTTTGCATCGAGAACTGCAGTCCTGCGCAAGGCCTTTCGATGACGGGAACGAGCTGGGCCATCGACGTCAAGAGCTGGCCTTTGCTCGTCCGTTCGATTCCCGATTGTAGCACCTTATCAGAATATGACAACGCTTTATTCACTGAATGGCCAGCTCTTTGATTTCACTGGTGACTAAACATAAATTCGAATACGGCTGCGTTGTTATGTGATGAATCGTCGAATCAATCTAGGCAACTAGGTGTGTATCCGACATTGAATGTATTGAATCAGTACTTGCAATTGGCTGGAACTCCAAGCCAATAATCATGCGATGAGTAAATTAAACAGTGCTCAGAGGAAGGCCCGCGTCCGAGTACAATCCGAACGACCAATGGGCGAGGGACAAGGGAGAAACCATAGAACAGAAAACCGCCGTACTTAACGCCTCATCGCCTTCCACAAGGCCATAAAGGTCATCAACAAGATCATGAAGTTGACGAGAGGATCCACTCCATTCAACCTCGCAGCACCAGTCTCTCCATCATCGTCTCCATTACCTCCTCCACCACTGGAGTCACCCGATCCGCCCGACCCACCACCGTTGCCACTGCCACTTCCTCCCCCTCCCCCTGGTTGACCACCCTCAACAAGATCAATAACCCTAATCGAGTCCAACTCTGCAACCCCAAGGTCAGCACAAATCCTTTCACAGGCCGCGCCAGAAAACAAGAACCCGGACTCACCAAACACCCTATTCCTACCTCCCGGCCCACCAACATTCTCCACCTGCAGCTCATACTCAACCCCCGGGTCCAAATCCGCCGCCGCAAACTTGAGAACCCGGCCTCTCCACTCACACGCCGGTCTCACGTTCTCAGCTTCAGCCTCAGGGAAATCGCAGGGCGCGGCGGCTTCGTAGACGCGGGAGTGCAGGATCGTATTGTTGTCTCCTACGGTGGAGAGTGTAGCGCGGTATCGTCCGTGGGTAGCGTTGCGCCCGCCGAAGAGTTGTACACCAGTGCCTAATAGTAGTAGTGGAATGATGTTAGGAGTGTTTAGGAAGAGAAAGGAAGGAGGATGCGCACCTCGGAAGGTATACGTCAAAGTAGCGCTTTCTTCAGTGGTGGACAACGTTTCCCTCTCGATGTAGATCTCTGGCTTGGCTCCACCGGGGCCAGGAGGGACGTCGTCGGCGATCGTATGCAAGACCCACGTCCCATTCCTTTCCAACCGATCTTCAAACGCATCCGCGTAGATATCGAAAGACTTGGGTTCCGGGCGGCTTAGCATTATTCACAGCAATCAATGAGTCTGGAGACCTTCACTATACTAATACGAGCGCAGCACTCACCCGGAGACACCGACTCTCTGCCTCACGACGGCGTAATCGAACAAGAACGACGAGCCCTCGTTCAAACCCTCGCGAGTCCCGAGGTTAGTGATAACCAATTCATGCTTGCCCTCCGACAAACCCTGCAGCGAGTGCAAGTGGTGAGCGGGTCCTTCCGCACGTTCAGGGTCGAACGCAGTGTGAATGGAGGGTGTACCATTATCCAACGTGAGGGCGAACGCGCCATATGCCGGACCTCGGTCACCGTAGAGGTGGATTTCAGAGCCTATATAAGTCACAAGTAATCATAGTCAGATGAGACAACCAGGGCTAGATCTTCAGGGAGAACTCACCCCAAAACTCAATCGTAACATTCGCATTCCTCACCTCCGTCCTCCTATACGTCCCAAGGTACCACTGACGCTGCGGAACAGGCCTCACAGCCGACATACCCGAATCCGTCAACGGACTAACCCAATCCCCGCCCTCCTCCCCATCCAGCCCGCTAAACACAACCAAAGGCGAGAAATCATCGATCGTGGTATTGGTATAGGTTACACCATCGTCCGTGGTCTCGAAAAACGGAGGAGAGTTGGGGCTCCCAGGGAAGACGGGTCGGGTGTCAGTGTCGGTGGAGTTGTCGGCTGGGCTGCTGGTGGATTGGCTCGGGTCGATGGACGATGTCACGGTTGGGGGCCCGTCTGAGACGATGGAACTCATGGCGCTAATGAAAGGCTGCAAGTACGCGGGAGGTGAATGGGTATATGAGTCCTTTGGAAAGGATCAAGCACGTACCTATGTAATGTATCTTCTTATATGTCCCTTTGGAGCGAAGACCCGCTACACAATGCAGGATGGGACGAAACGCGGGGCACCCCGTGGAAACGGTTTAATGGTCTGAACGAGGTCTGACGTCTTTATATACCTTGAAGGAGCAGACCAACGGCATGCTATCCCCGTTGCCCACCCGGCCAACAGCCGACAGCCAAGCTATACCGCAATAACCAGAACTAAATTCAACAATTCCAGGACCCAAAAACAAAGAAAAGCTGTAGAGGTGTCTTGATCTCTGTCAAATGCGCAGCAGCAGCGTGTGTGCTGCCAGGTACGAAGCTTGCCAAGACGTCCCGCTGCCAAGTCCGACCCAGTGATGGTAGACGCGCGACTCGGAGGGAGGAGACTTTGTCAGAAACGAAGAGGAAGAGAATCGAAGGGTGAATATTTATTCAAAGGCAACTCTGCCAAAGCGTCCGTAAGGTTAACAAAATTGAACGTAGAGAAGACGAAAAAAGGATATATCGCCACAAAAACGACAAAACGAGGGATTACAAACAAAACCATTCAAGAAATAACTCTTCAAAGCAAAAGGATCAAAACGAAATGAGCCAAAACCGCACCTCCAACCATCTTCACGATACCATTTACCGCCCTGTCGCTGGTAGCTCCAATACTTCCCCTACTGGTACTCCCCAAATGGTCCTTCGCATCGAACCCAATATGCCCGTTCGATGTCTGCAGGACAGCGGGATCGTACGTCGCAGTGTTCATGGTTCTCGTCATGACGGTCGTCGCATAAGTCTTGACAGGATTATTCTCCACTTCCTCCAAGGCTCCGTCGGTGAGGAAGACGAGTGCTGCACCAGGCGCTGGGACTGAGACGGAACAGATGTTGTTTGCTTGGTCACATGGCACGGTTTGGATGTCTTCGTCGCCTTGAAGTCGACCATCCGATCCAAAGTTGGCGCCAAAAGACTTCAATCGGGTGTCAGTATTGTATCACAGCCAGTGTCGAGTATAATGCGCACCTGTCCAGCCCAGGTAAAGTTTCCTTTCTGCGAAACAGAGGAAGCCAAGAGGTACCTGGAGATAGTTCGAGTCATGCACCAACAAGAAAACAGCAAAGCAACTCACTTGACCCGGACTTGCGACGGACTAGCATTAGGCTCCCCAGTTGAGCCACCACCAACTGAGATCGAGATGGTGATATCGTTTGCTCCAGACGGGTCGTCAATAAAGTTGATCAGCAGCACTTTGACTGGACGTCCGTGTTCGTAGATGGCATAGGCGGGAGTATACACGTTTCCGTTATTGGCCTCGAGGTCGAGCACCTGCGCACCATTCGACGGCCCAAGGGCTTCAGCCATCACGAGAGCAGAGTAGTAGACCGGGCCAATTGTCCATTGGCGGAAGGTTGACTGGTTAGTTGGTGGAGCTAATGGATGTTGTCAGATGCGTCCGCAAGAGGATGGAAAGATCACCTACGAGTGAAGGGCTATACACCAACAGCGTTAGCGGGCGACAGTGAAGTGAAGGTGCTGAGGTTACTCACGTTATAGAAGACGTTCTGACCGCCAACGTGGAACAAGGCTCCCGAAAAGTTGGCGTGTGCCATCTGCATGGAGTAGTCCAATGCCCACAGGGCAGCACCAAAGGAATCACTGATTCCAGGGAACCCTCCGCAGGAGGCGGTGTTGGTTTCAAACATCAACAGTCCTTTCCCTCTGCTCTGGGCGTATTCGGTCGAGCCCAGGTAGGGCGCAACAATGCTAATCCCAGAATCGTGCGTCAAGAAGCTCTGGAAGACCTCCTGAGGATCATGATACGTTCCAACTCCGAATTGCGCAAAGCAGTTGTCGATCGGGTAGCTGAAGCAAAAATTAGAGATACGAAGAGTAAAGCAAGTCAGGGGTGAGGAGACGTACTGCTCCACGGCGAGATAAGCTAGATTACTGGAGAATTGGTCTACGAAACCTGTTTCCCAAACCATTTCAGGTGTCCAGTCTCCAGTTGCAACGTTGGGTCCAATGAGTAGCTGCCTGTTGGAAAGGTGCACGTCTCCCGACATCGCATTTATAAGGTTGTCGAATTCGCCCAGATAGTCGTATGGCCCATAGCTCTGGAAAGCAATCAATGGCACTAAACCGACCTCAACAGATGAAGGCCTACCTCATCCCTATGTCCGTGGCGAGCGTAGAGATCGGGTTCGTTTCCGGCTTGGAGACCTATCAATCGAGAACCAAGTACTTGCTGCCCCACTTCAGCAATGGCGAGCTGGAATTCGGATGTATCCCTGAATGGAATACCCAAGAACCAATCCACTTCGACCAGCGAGGATATATTTCCGAGCATGTATATCAAGTCTGCGGTGTAGTCCAACGGCGGGGTTTGCGTCTATCAAAACATCAGAACCAGCTTAAAGAAAAAAGGGCAAATCTCTCAACGAACAGGGTTCGACACGCCGTTCACGTCTTTCTGAAGAATTCGACCATTCGGAAGCTCGGGTACGAGCACAGCGGTTTCTTGGGTATTTCCTCCAACGCGAATCCGCACGCTCCCACCACGCCGCACGAGGTTAGACATCAGATTGAGAAAGGGGACCATCAAGACCGTGCTACTCGGAGAGGCAATGAGGTTCGATTCACTCGGAAAGGAGGACGACAACTTGAACGCACGAGTTTTTGCCCACTAGTAAAAGCAAAGGTCAGCGCATGTCGGTATATCGTCAGGAGAGGATTGATACGCACAAACCTGGTCGACAACCGACATTTCTATTGAGAATCCAAAGAACGACCCGCTTTGTGGGATGGAAACGCCTGGTGTGCCCTCATTCCGCAGCTCCAGGCCAAACTCGGTGACGATAGGCGGGTTCGGCGGCGGTGGGGGGTCCAAAACGGTTGGATTGTAAGCCGCAGCGCCTGTATACGTAGCCGCTGATACCGAGGTCGTCGCTGAACCTAGAGGTTCCTGTCCAGGAGGGTAATAGACCGTTACGGACGCAAAAACGCCGATAGCGTATGCCAAGGTGCCCAGAAAACCAAATGTGGCTGGCATCATGGCCTTGAAAGTTCCTCCGAGCGCCCGCTGTGTGGAAACGAAAGGAAATAGACGCTCGTCTGTGTCGAGGTGCTTGTGGATAGGTGGTGGTTCACTTTTGAGAGACAGACCATGAGGCGTGCGCACGCAAATGAGATTTTTAGCTTTTGATCCTTCATTACGTATTTATGAGGCTTCTTCTGGCGCGCTGGGACTCAAGACTCTTGAGACACGATCGTGAAAGGAAAACAGACTACGATTTAGAGCGTCTGTATAGGTCGGTATGGCTATTTGAAATCCCCGGGAGGATCTTCCACGCCAGCCAGCAAGTGACTGCTAGACCCAGGCTTTTAAAACGACAATCATGCAGTTGGTTCATACCTTCCGAAGGCCCGAAGGGACATACATTCAAACGCTTGCTCGAATTGGGTCATAATGGCGATGGTGATGGGAGTTACATCGCCTACACCAAATGTGCCGCCCGCTCCTTCAATTCAAGGGGTTGGGGCAGGAAGAGAAATGGGCGAAGCGACAATTACGAGCGCAAGGAGCGTGTTTTCACGACCGTTTTCTATGAGTGTGCTTCGTGAGGATGCCTGTCCTCTTCAGGGCAACACGGACGACGTTCGAATTCAAGTGCGCGTTTGAACCCCTTGAAATTGACTTATGGCCAAATTACTAGCATGGCGGAGAGTTACAGGATGTACTGGCTTCTTCATTATTTTAGGCTCCCGAGCCTTGACCATATCTTTAGGCTGGGTTCGGTATCACGGCCATCTACCGAGATTAGATACGTGTCGGGGGGCTAATTACGGAGTAGATATGGGATATGAATTCGGTTTGAAGAATCGTCTAATGTGGGCTGGGCAAACGCTAAGGTCCTCTACTGTTCTGCCTCCTGCCTCTTACCCCTGCCACGGCTACCCAAATTGCAGCCTTCGAATGGTGCATCTTTGTGGTTCCAACGTCGTTTGATGGAGGGTCGAGGATTTGATGCCCCTGTCTCAGGTCCAGAGCTGTGACATCATAGCGCCAAGACCGCTGGCATATGGGCGAACCGTCGAGCGCGTTGTCGAGAATTGAACGTCGTCCTGGCGCTTCTGATGGTAGGAAGAGAGGTGAATAGGACGGGCGGAGCATCGTGTGGTACGAGAAGGTCTCCTTTATCTCATTCATGCCGAAATTCGAATAAAAACGAACCCTGAAAGTGAAGGGCAGGGTTTAGGCGTAAACTCATTGAGCTCTAAGCTTCCTGACCGACGGCTCGTTTCATTCTGAGGTGCAAAGGGAATCGTGTAATGCGACTCTGGAAGGGAAATTTGGGGGAGAAAGACGAGTCCGGGGTGCCGAGGTAAACGGCGGTTGCGGGCAAGCACCGAGCTCGGAGAGCACAATCGGGCGGAGCCTATCCTGACGTGAGCGGGGGACTATATATAGCGGGGATCCAATCATTCACGTTGGATTACCACTCACCCACTTGACGTTTCCATTGACCATATCCATTATCTTCATCTTTTGACCGAATACCACCACCATGGCACCCACAACCACGACGAGCAGGCCTCAAACCAGGCAGCCTAGCTGGGCTAAGGTTCCACAGGTTGACTCCAAGGCCGACCTTGTCCCCACAAAGGCGAGAGAGGCTTTGGAGGAGAAGCTGAGTTCGTCGCAGGTCATTGACCTCGAGCATCGATATGGTGCACACAAGTGAGTACTATTTCCCCTTTTCTGGTGCCCGCCTGGTGCCATTTGTCTTGTTTCTTCTCGTCTTTCTTTCGCGGTCGCTTCTGGGAGTCGTGTCGGGACAACGGCCAACGTTTCCTTTGTGTTCGCGGGAGTGGAGTCGGTGTGTTGTATCCCGAGTCATCCCTATCGCACTCCGTCCCCTGTTATGGGTACCTCGCGCTTGGCAAAGGGCCCTCGCTATTCCAGTCCTTGGTCACACGACTTCGCCTCTCCATGAAGTATGCACCGACTTCCCAGCTCCCTTCCTCCTCCAAGAATAGAACACCCTCCTTGTCAAGTCCCCGCGTCTTCGGCCCTCCGGCTCGCTCAGCCCGTCCCCTCCCCTCCCTCCGGAAACGCCATTACACCATAGATGCAATCCATGTCACTCCGTCGTCGCACGAGCCATAGTCCATGCTGTACCCTTCGCCTCCCCCTATCTCCAAAGTCAGACAACCTTCCCCACCTTCAGTACTGTGTGTGTCTGCACTGGAAAGAGCCACCGTCGACGCCACTGCTGCCCCCCTCCCTGCACCAGACTTCCAGAAGTCGACGGCAGCCTGCGTTTGAGCGATCACACCTGCCACCAAGTACACCCCGAGGAGAAGGATGAGGAGGGCAATAGCAAGGACCGACTCGCCCATACCGCGTTCGGCTCAAGGGTTTCTTATGTTGTCGTCGAGGCCTACAGGCGTCGGCCTTTGGCTAGTCGACCATTTCCTCTTGTTCTATATACGAGGATAGACAGGGGCTTCAGCTAGCAGGACAGTTCATCATCGCTCGATAGCCAGTGGCGGACATAATCGAGGTGACAGGGGGAAGAGGGATATCAACCAGAGATAGGGATTACTTCCAGTCGAAAGAGGCTTTTCAAACCCTCGCAGCAGCTGCGTTGGTTTGGCTGTTCCCATTTTGATCCTTATTGCCTCTCGGCTCCTTTTGAGGTTCACGAGGGCTCTGGCTTTCGCAGGAAGAGAGGTTTATCATCTGAGGCTTTTTTGCCTTTCCGCTGACGGGAGGTGGATGGTTGGGCTAAATATGTAACTGGACCTCGTACAGGCATTGGTGATGCCCGAGGACAGCGAGCGTTTGGGGAACCTCGCACTCCATTACCATCTCCCTCTACCGATGTCTCTTTCATGCTTATCGTTCTCTTCGATGCAAGCGCTAACCTCTTCCGCGTTACAGTTACCACCCTTTGCCCGTAGTGCTCGATCGAGGGCTAGGCGCTAAGTGGGTCCATTCTTCATCCTACTACGCGTCAACTATATGCTAATTTGAACGATAGGGTCTGGGACCCCGAAGGCAAAGAATACATTGACATGCTGTCTGCCTACTCGTACGTCTATCCTGGCTCGTCGTAGACTGGGCTGTCTGAACATGATCATCAGGGCAGTCAACCAGGGGCATTGTCACCCTGCCATCCTTCAAACACTTCACGAGCAATCAATGAAACTCACCCTCAGCTCGAGGGCATTCTACAACTCTGTATTTGGACGCTTTGCCAAACTCATTACCGAAGTTAGTTGCCCCCTTTTTCTTTGACGTTTGAGCCGGGAGAGTTGACGTTCGAACCATGCTGCTAGATGTTTGGCTACGACATGGTCTTGCCGATGAACACGGGTGCTGAGGCTGTCGAAACTGCGCTCAAGTTGGCGAGGAAGTGGGGCTACAAGGTGAAGGGGATTCCGGAGGGCAAGGCGAGGATTTTCAGCGCGGAAGGAAACTTCCATGGAAGGACCTTGGGCGTTATCAGGTTCGTCTACTCACTTTTATTTGCATCTCTTTCTGACTGGTGATGCGTTTTGTATCACAGTATGTCGACGGACCCCGAGAGCAGAACAGGTTTCGGTCCATACCTCGAGCGAGTGGGCCCTTACTACACGACCGAGGAGGGCGGAGATGGGGATAACGAGGCTGAGGTGAAGACCATTAGATATGGAGTGATCGAGGACGTGGAGAAAGTCTTTGAATTGTATGGAGAGGAGACGGCTGCGTTCTTGGTTGAACCTATTCAAGGAGAAGCAGGGTGAGTGTCAACATGATGTTCATCTGCGAAGACACGTTGATTGTTTTGTCTATGACAGAATTGTCGTCCCTCCGGAGGGCTACCTTGCAAAGGTACATGCACTTTGCAAGAAGCACAATGTGCTCCTCATCTGCGACGAGATCCAAACTGTGAGTCGGGTTGTTACCAGTTTCCTTGAGGAGATTTTGACGCGTTTGTCGATAGGGTCTCTGCAGGACAGGCAAGATGCTTGCTTCCGAATGGGAGAACGTCAGGCCCGATATCGTTCTGTTGGGCAAGGCCTTGTCAGGCGGAAGTATGTCATCGTTTTCACTCTCGCAATCTCGATGTTCTAACCCGTTCGTCAGTGTACCCTGTCTCCGCTGTCCTTTCCTCATCCTCAATCATGCTCACCATTCAACCCGGCGAGCACGGCTCCACCTACGGTGGCAACCCTCTTGGCTGTGCAGTCGCCATCACTGCGCTGACGGTCCTCCAAAGCGAACGCCTCGCTGAACGCGCTGAGCGCCTAGGACAAATCTTCCGACTCGGACTGAACGAGTTCAAGAAACACGCGTATGCAGGCCAGGGACACTCTGTTGCTGGTAAAGGCGGCAAGCTGATTCGTGAGGTGCGAGGGCGGGGCCTTTTGAACGCGTTGGTGTTTGAGGAAAGTGCGAGCGAGAAAGGGAGGTCTGCATGGGAGTTGTGCTTGTTGTTGAAGCATCGGGGTGTGTTGGCGAAGCCTACGCACAAGAACATGTGAGTTCCAATGCTTACTTCAGTTTGGAAAATTACAAATGCTGATTGGTCTTTGTAGTATCCGATTTGCGCCTCCGCTTGTGATCGAGGAGGACGATTTGAGGAAGGGAATTGACATCATTGGGGAGTGTTTGAGGGATTTGGATGTGTTGGAGAGCATTCCTGGTGATACAGAAGAGGAGAAGCGTCATGTTGACGGGCTTACGCTCTAAGTCAGCGTCCTTTGCCTCTGCTCATCGAGTTTACGAGGTCGGTTGGCCTTTACCAATCCCTCGTCAGCTTGGTTTTGCAGTATCTTTTTTCTCCTGTCATGTCGTTTCCTCCTGTCATGGCGATCTCAACTCGCTTCTTTTTCACATCTGCCATCTTCCGTCTGATCCATCCTCTTCTTTGACGTTGACCCGCTTCGATGTCGTGATCATTTGTTAACATCTATTCTTGTTTGCTGCATATCATTGACAGAGTCTCCTTCGTCATGCACGTGTGCTTGCCAATGTATCATTAGCTTTCTTTACTTCCTTGCTTGTTTATGTCGCCTGTGCGGCTTTCTGTACGGCGTACGAATTGTAATACTAGTTTGGATATTACATTGCTAGCGCTTCCCTTTAGCTGGCTGCTCTTCGAGCTTTGGGAGGTGATGTGAGTCTGGGCGCGCTCCACATTGCAGGTCCGGACTTGTCGAACCTGTTCGAACTTTAGTGTGCAGTGATGGTGTGGAGTGTCGTAGATAGATGGCTGTTGTACTTTCGAAAGGTTCATGTGTTCTCAAACTCGTGAGGTAGTAAGCGTTTTGACGAGTACTTTACAAAGCTTCACCGACTAATGAGAATGAGAGTCGATTGTTAACGGACGTTGGGAATTCGAGGACGGTTGCAGATCCGCAGGATGTCAAGTTCGAAGTTGATCAAATCATATCTTTACAGTGGCGAGGCCGTAGATCGATGGTTGGAACGTGGTCATGTCTGCTCTGGCCTCAGGTTAACCTCAGGTGCAAATACGCGAGTAAGGGTGCATTTAGAGTGGACTTGAAGAGATGTTTCGGAACAACAACTGGTGCACTCGATTTCCATAGCATTTTGACTGCACATTTATCACCATTCGTACATACCGCATACGTGGGGGAAATATTAATAGGACAGATTGTAATTGCCCAATCCCCACTGGACACGATGATCATCTCCTCGAGGAAGTCGAGAGATTCCACGCGCAATGTATACATAGCACTTGACAGGTGTACATACGATTCCGAAGTCAGCCACTGGACTTCTTCATGTGGGGGCCCAGCGTTCCCTTGGGTAAGGCTCTATCTTCTCTTCGCCTCGCAGTGCATAATCTGTTTCACGATGGGCTTACAAAGTCTTCCCTCAGCTCCACCAGCTTTGCAGGTCTGGCTGATGAGAGAATGTTTCAAGCCAGTTCCTGTCAAGTCCTCAGCAAGGAAGTATGGATTCCCAAGATTCGGATTCCAAGCTCTCGTCTCGTCTCCAGCTCGAGCCCAAAATACCTCCGTCCGGAGATATCGAGGTCCCGGAATGTCGGGAATGGTGGCTTGGCGTGTCTTGGCGTCCTGCCGACATTTTCGCCGACCCTGTTTTTGGCAATCCGGAAGGAGCTGGGCTCGCGGGTGGAATGACGACGACGAGTCAAACGACTTGGGCTCGAACGCCTTTTTCAAAACTCGACGCTTTCATTCTATTCTTCTTCTGAATCGCGTGTTTTTTTTTCGCGACGGTTTGTGGAAAGTGGTATAAAGAGAGGAAGAGATCCCCCTATCTTTATGTTCGGACTCAGACTCCAAGGTTGAGTTGGGAAATAGAGGTCAGTTGACCAGTGCTTTCTGAATGGCTGACTTGCTTCTAACGGCATATACCCTTCGTTGATACGTAGATTCAAAGTCAGGTTGTCCTCGTGGAACTGTGTGACGGACACACCTCAGCCTGTTTTCAATTTGTAACCAGGACCGCCACCTCGACATTTGAACAAGTTTGCTCGTCCCGTCGCGGTATAAAGACAAGTCGTTCTCTCTGTCACAGGACCTTGATTTGAAGGGATTCGGCGCAGTTAAGACTGCATTGGGTTTGATTAGCGGCGAGCCTAAATTCAGCGAAGGAGTACGTGGACTCGCTATTGTGGCCCCTTTTTTCATTTCTACCGTTGGCCATTCCTTTCCGCGGCAACGCACTGTTTCACCTTTTGTGCAACGGTCTGACCACCACCTTCCAGATTCAACGGGCGCCAATTAGAAGGGATAGCCTTTGCCCTAGTAGCGCGAAGCAACACGAAAGGGTCATACAACGTCCAGGAGCCGTTCCCGCGGGTTGATGCCAACGTGCACCTCGACTTCGACGCTAGTGGACGATTCCTCTTCTTCTTCCTCGATGTTGCAGCAAGGTCAAAGCATGATGTTCGCCAGCGACGAACGGTCAAAGACGTACAACGACCACAGCAATAGCGAGAGGTACGCAAGGCACAATAACGCAAATCCTAAGAAGAGCCTCAAGCTTTCGTTGCCTACCCCACCTTCGCCCAACGAGATCCTTGACCAGAGTATCGGGAACGATGCGGACGACATCGACAGCGGTGAGGCAGAGGGATGGTTTTGGTACCTGGGCAAACGCGTGCGTGTGCGCAAACCGGGGAAGGAGTATTTCGTGGAGAAGGATGTGGACGACCTAGGTGTGTGGACTAATCTTTACATTTATTGCTTTTGGTTTGGGGTCGCTGGTTTTGAGATTATGTCCGCGGTGGGCGAATCTATGCGGTCATGGTTTATTGTTCTTTTGGGTGGCCATGTTGAGTTCCAAATTGGAACGAGCGGGAGAAAGTCCCTCTATTCTTCTCAATTGGATGCTCATTCCGCTGTTATTGTTTCGAATTCAATGGTCGTAGTCCCCGTATATTTACGAGGATCATGATCCTCACCCTATTCTCGTTGATCCTTACTCTCAACGTTCCTGGCGTGAACTTTCCGTTTGATACCGAGCATTTTGACGGGCGTTGTGACTGACTGAACTCTCATTTATATCCCCCATTCGTGCATCTCTCTCTGGCGTTTGTCGCGCATACGACCGCACTAAATGCATTCTCCGTCCCACAAAACCCTCGACGTCCACCTGGTCGTGGCCTCGACGACGATCGTCACCTCTGCGGACGCTATGCATCCGACACCACCACCGCCCCGCCGCGCATCATCGTCAAACTTTCCCTCTGTGCTGGTCCGCGAAATCACTCCCGCTCGGGCACCGCGTCGGGTCCCCTCTGCTCTTACGCTCGCCAAATCCCCCGTGTCGAATCAATACGCTCTCCGTTCCCCTATCCATCGTCAACTAATCACCTACCGTACGCTCCCCACACCTACGCCTGCCACCCGCTACTCGGATCTTGTGCCCATCTCGGAGGTAACAGTGGAAGAAGAGTATGATTGTGGATATCTCAATTTAGGCGCCGAGTCGCCGCACTCGACGGGGTCGATATCGCCTTTCTCGTTTAATGAGGATCGACCCCCTGCGAATTGGAAGCCGGGCCCATCGGCATCTGCGAGACGAGGTTCGGTGAATGCAGGCAGTGGCGGCAATAACAACAGCAACAACGGTGGGAATCAGAAGAAGAAGACGAGTGGACCTGATAGGGATTGTGGGATCTGCTTCGAGTATGCGGTGAAACCGCTGAGGACGTTATGTTGCGGTAAGATCTTTTGTGAGCAGGATTTGCGCGATGTATGTTGTTTGTTCCTCGTATGTCTTTCTGGATGTTGCTGACGCCGAGACAATAGTGGCTGCATGGACCCAACGCATCTGGTTTATGCCCCAACTGTGATGTACCGTGTACGCTTGAGGACAACACGCTTTCGCTTGTTTCACCGTCGCTTCGCTCGCCTCCGCCTCCTCCGCGGAAACGGTCCCAGCAGTTCGATAGGACGATGTCCGGTCAGCGACATGTACCCTCGCCGCTGTCGACGTCTGAGCCTATCACGCATCACCGGAAGCGGTCGTCGTCGCCCAAGGGGCTGGGTATATCGACCGAGAAACCTGCACAGCAGACGAGCCCGTTATCTGAGAAACAGACGCTCTCGTCGTCACCGCTCTCACCTCTCTCCGCGGCACACTGGTCTCTCCCATCCGCTTCCACCACCACCACCACCACCACCTCCCACTCCCACTCCACCTCCAAATCCACCAACCCCCTCACCATCCTCACCTCCTCCCTCCCCTTGGGCCTCACACCCTCCAAATCCACGCACGGCTCGACGACGCCCTCGATGTGGAACAACGGCAAAGTCTTTAGTAAAGGTGGTAAAGTGCCCAAGGGGAGTGTGATTGATTCGTTTTTGACGGAGAGGAAGGAGGATCGGTATGGGATGTTGGTTAGATTGTTGACGTTGATTGCGGTGCTGGGGGTGCTGTATGTTATTATGGGCTAAGGCGAGGCAATGGGGGGCCTGATGGGTGGTGTTGGGAGCGAGAAGTCCTTTGGAGAGTAAGGTTGGTTGGTGGAAGCCAGTCCCAACGTGAGAGGCTGTGGTGCCTTTCTAATCGATACCGGGGCGCGGAGCCTCCTTGTTTTGAGTATTCCCCTCTTTTTTTCCCTCTTGCTGTGCTTTTTGCTTTGCATCTGTATCTATAGTTTCTTGATCTCGTTCGTTTTATCTTTTTAGCATCGTCACCTATTTCCGCCAGTTTTGGAACACTCGCATTTCAAGTTTCTTTTTGTCATTTTATTCTCATTTGATCTATCTATCTATCTATCTATCTTCTCGCCAGCTCGGTTTGTACAAGTACGGATTTACGATTCAAACTATCCTCTTTCTCCCTCCCTCCGATCTCTTCCAGTACATAGTTTACAGTTCGTCCTACTACTCTACTCGTGTAGTGGGGGAGCTTTTAGTTACGACCTCGTTACGATTTACCTATTTACGTTCTGATTTTTGTTTTGTTTCATCCTTCACTCGAGCATCTCATCATCCGACGACCGGGTAGGTCCTGAGCTGGGTGTGGCCGCAACATATATGGGACTCTGCGGAACCAGCTGCCATAGTACCCAAGTCGCCTTACCCTACAACCTTCCTCGAGCGATCTCATTCCACGTTAGCCGTCGCGAAGGGACCTCGAACTTTGCCACTCCGTAGAAAGGATATGCTAGACATGTAGATGTCGTGATTGTGAGTCGCAGAGCGCTACGTTTGCGATGGCTTCTCGCACTTGAAAGGGCTTGGTGCCACTCGTGTAGTATGTATTGCGAAACTGACAACTTCCAGTTCCGGTTTACAATGGTCACTCAGGCTGACCCCCTTCCATTGTGTCATGGTGCCTCTCAACATCAAAGGGAACAAACGATAAGATCCGTTCAGGTTCCTCAGAATGCAGTCAAACGAGAGAAAGGTAACCACGGACAGTGCCAAGTTTTTGATCTCGGGGCGTGGTTGAAACCTTTATTTGGAAGGAGTGTTGCCCGATCGGCCTTTTGAATGCCCAAAAATGGGCAATAAGCTGGTTGGGATGGATTTGACGGACGAAGTTACAACACGTTTTGGGCTCCCAATGAGATGGTGGGTGAGATGAATTTTGGTGTCCGTCAGGTTAATTCCTCTCCGGGGCTAGGTGTGCAGGTTATAAATATTTCTCGGTCTGTTGTTTCTGGATTCAAGTCTCTTCGTCTTCCACATATTGCTTGTAGGTGAGTTCGTTGCTGTTTTGGCATCTATCTACCTCGCTCACTAACATTCCAGCCAGCTTTATTCTATTTGCATCAACAATATCTCTTGACTGACATGACAATCACGTATTCCTGGAAAGCGGAGTCCCATAGTAAGTCAACCATTCTTCACACTCTCGAGACTCGGGGAACTAACCTTTCTCCAACAGCGGACAAAGTCAAAGTCTCTTCCAAGGTCATCCCCTTCCTCGACTTCCCAGTTATTCAAATCCACCTCCACGTCTCCAAATTCGACTGGGAGGAGTCCGGTCAAATGGTCGCCCACTTCCGACTCTTCCTCGAAATTCCCGGGCAGAAATCCATCGTGTTCGATCCGGCGCGGAATGACGACGATGTCTTCACCTACAACATTCTCCTTCAAGTCAAGCTGTGCAACGGGATCTACTCGACTTCAAGTTCCGCCGTTGCAGTGCAAACCATCCCCGTCAAGGCGCATTTCACTGTCAAGGATGTCCTCGATTATATCATCGGTGTGAAGCAGCGCGATCACTATGAACTCGTTAATGGTTTTGGATGTCAGAGGTGGAATGCGACTGTTCTTGCTGACTTCGCGGGAAAGGGGTGGGTGGGGAGAGATGTGAATGATATGGAGGCGGGACCGTTGAAGGTCCTTGTTGATAGAGTTAGGAATTTGTATGGGGATATCATGGTTTATGACCCTCCTGGCCATCCCGGCAGGTTCCTTCGTGATGCGGTTTATGCTTAGTGTTCGACCGTTGACCGCCATGTTCCTACTCTTGTTGTTGCTACTCTTGTGCTTTGTTAACCTACAGCTACCTCTAATGCATCCTACTCTTACTAAGATTATATGTCGACGCGTGAGATACAATGTTCGTTTGGAACGAGGACAGTGTAAGTTCCTTCCACCATTTTTTCTCTGGGACTCCGGCGAGATGACATGTTCCTGTGTACAGGCCCCCATCCAGGTAGACTACTATAGCGGTAAACTCGGATTAATAGTCGATGTCTAAGATACTGCATGGGTTATGGAGCCTGTGTTCTGTATCGCACTCTACCAACCGCTGGGATGCCTTCGTCATCTTCGGCGCTCGATTAGCCGCCCATCAGTATTTCCTCTCGGAACATCTACACTAGAAACAACAACGAGATCTAAAGTAGTCAAGGAGCTCTAGGACTTCCCAACCAGTAACAACGGCATCGGGAAGTCAACGGTAATCTTATCCAACAACTTCACACCACCATCCACCTCTCCGTTACCCCCCTTCGACGACGACACCGCGATATCCCTCGCAGCGGCCTCTCGCAAGTTCTTCCAGAATCGAATGCTAACATCCCCGCCCCTGATGAAAGATTCATCATATGAGGTCCCCCGTATGGCGTCGAGATCCTCTTCAAGGAACTGCGTGTCTTCGGGAGCGTTGAGGTCATCCGGGTGCTGCTCCTGGTAGGCGTTGTGCGCGCTCCATGTGCGGATGTGACCGAGGAGCTGAAGCCACGTCCAGTTAAGCGACATAATTACTGGGTAGACCTTTCTCTCAGCTGGGTCTTCCACTTCATTCGTCTTACGTTGTGGGATTGGGTATGGGCCTGGTGGTGATAGCGGTGAATGACGTCATCCGCGAGGCAGGGTTCAAGGGATGGATGATGATGGGCGTACCGGTGAAATACCGTCTTTCGAAATCGACGAGGCACCCTTCGCCTGATTGAGGTCCGAGTACCTCTTCTGGACTTGGGAGGTCGACGAGGAAGCGTTCCGCGCGGGTCTTTTGTGGTCGAGGGTAGTATTGTCCGATGGTATCGAGAAAATTCGTACTTGCGGTAACATACTCTTCGAATCCGCCGTATTCTTTGATAAGGCGTTCTGTGCTGGGGAAGGCCGGTAGAAGGCACTCGACGTAACTCTTTCAATGCTTAATGAGTGCTTAGATTGAGGTTGTAGGTGAAGGGTATCTCACCCAGAACGCGGCTGTTCCTCCTTTCCGAAGAATGCGTCCGATTTCAGGCCAGACTTTCGTCATGTCGAACCAGTGGCAAGAGGTAGCTACGTATAAAAGTCTGAGTTCCACAATAGTAGGAGCGAAGAGGTGATTCCCGCACCAGCGATAACAAGGTCCACAGTCCCATCCTCCGGTACCGCCTGATGCAAATCTTCTGCTGGGCTGACACAGAAAGTGTACGTCGTGTCGTGTTGCCCCTTCGAATTCGACCGTGATTCATAATCACCCACAAGCGCCTTTTTCGCACTTTCAATCATCGTAGCCCCAGGATCTACACAGGTGACACGTTTGAACCGTCCTCGAAGGTACTGGCTCGCCTGTCCCGTTCCGCAGCCCAGATCCAGTGCATGATCAAACTGCCCTCCTTTCTGCCGATGGAACTCTAGGATTTGGTCGAAGAGCTTTGGAGGGTAGACAGGCCTGTGAGAGGCGTAGAGAGAGGCGTTCCATGTTGGTTTCTTTGGCGTAGCCATGTGTGGTTGGGGATTCAGACACTGGGTTCTGAAATAGGGGCCCAGGTATTTGGCATACGCGGATCAACCAAACAACGCGCCATTTATAGAACGCGTCTGGTAGATATAAAGTCGTTGGCCTCCCTTCCAGCTTCCTCGCGTCTCTTTATTCCCTTCTAGTACCCTGCTGGTCTCACCCAATGCGCCGTCGGATCCGCTAGGACAGAGAGCCCGCTCAAAAGTAACTCGTTCGTTAACCGCCGTGACTGCGATCGAAGAAACCCTTGAAGAATGGGCCCGTACGTATAGGTTAAGTTCTCACTGGAACACGAGTTTCAATCACTCTAGGTGACCCAGCGCCCGGGGAGGTTGCTTTTACTGAGGGTCATCCGTGGTTGATTGGAATTTCGAACGAGTGTATGTTGATTCACGGGCGCATGTTTCCTCAAATTACGTCATATGAAGAGTGCAAGGCGGGTATTTCTGGATTCTGCTTGCCAGTTGGATGTCAACGAAGACGCGAAAGGTATGCTGACCCCCTGGCAATACCTACTTCCCAGTAGTTCTGAAAAGTTGCAGTTGCCAGTTCAGGGCGCGGGTAAGTAGCATTTTGATCTTGGCGCGATCACGGCGTCGCGCGTGTCGGGCGACCAATGAGCGACGACCATTTTTCCCTTCTACAACTACGACTACGACGCCCAGCAGCAGTTTTCAATCCATGGCCTTCATCCTCAGTGTAATTGGCACTGATCCGCCCACGTCTCACATAGAGCGCCCAGTTGATCAATATCAAGGGCCACATGCCTACCAGATCTGATGGGCTGTGCTTGGGGTACCAGCGCTGGATGCAGACTACAGACCTTTTCTCGAACGCCGACTTTCCAAACGAAAAGGACAGCGCAATTTGCATCTGCCCTACCGTAATCAGCCTTCCCCGCAGGTCGATCGCTGCCAAAGACATTGAGCCAGGTCCAGGCTGACTGTTACGCTCGCTAACACCCGCCATACCCCATCACAATGCGGCACTCTTCTCTCTTCTGGGGCTTGCTGGCAAGTGCCATCCTCTCGAGCTCATCGAGCGGGGTCCTCGCCCAACGCCGCCCCTCGAAACGCAACCACGACACCCACGACTATTATGTCGTCGAGCACAAACCAGACGGAGGGGCCCCGCTGCAAGAAATTTCGAATCAACTTGGTGTAGAGCTGGTGGAACGGGTGGGAGAGCTGGACGATGTTTGGCTGGTGCGAGCGCCCAAGCCGACGCTTCAAGGAAGGGGGGAGGAGGAACAAGTCGATCGAGTTCTCCAGACATACCAAAATCTCCGCGCTCTCGCGCGTCGGCAAGCAGAGTCTTCGACACTAGACGCTCGATCCGAGGGCACCGGCTACGAGCAAGCGACACGGCTCGTCTCGTCTATATCTCACCTCGAAAAGCAAGTGTTGAAGGAACTCGAGAAGAGGGCCCCACCGCCGATTCGCCCGCCGCCCGGGCCAACGGAGGTCATGGATAAATACAAGATCGAAGACCCGTTCTTCATCATGCAATGGCATTTGGCGAATGGTGACTACCCGGAGCATATGATGAACGTGACGCCGGTTTGGGACATGGGATACACTGGAAAGGGTGTCATTACCTCCATCCTTGACGATGGACTGGACTACACCAGCGAAGACTTGAAGGACAACTTTGTATGTGTTCATTCGCTGTGTCCGGCTTACGACTGACCATTTGCTGCAGGACCCGGATAATTCCTACGACTTTAACGACCACGAAGCACTTCCCTACCCCAAACGCGTTCGGGACCACCACGGCACCCGATGCGCAGGTCAGATCGCTGCCGGCAAAAACAAGGCCTGCGGAGTGGGAATTGCGTACGAATCCAAGGTTGCGGGCGTACGTATTCTTTCAGGACGCATCACTACTGTCGACGAGGCTGCAGCCATCAACTACGGTTTCCAAAACGTCTCGATATACTCTTGTTCATGGGGCCCACGAGATGACGGAACGAAGATGCAGACGCCGCCCTACATTGTGCGCAAGGCGGTGCTGAACGGTATCAACAAAGGACGTGGAGGGAAGGGGTCTATTTTCGTATTCGCCAGTGGGAATGGAGCCCATAAGGGGGACCAGTGCAACTTTGATGGATACACGAATAGCATCTACTCGGTCACCGTTGGTGCAGTGGATTTCAGAGGGCAGCATCCCAAGTACTCGGAAGCATGCGCGGCGAACATGGTCGTGGCGTATAGCTCAGGAAGTGGACAGCACATTGTGAGTATTACCGAACCGCCTTTCCGTCTCAACGTTAACCAGCTATTTTAGGTCACCACTGATCGAGGCAAAGACGAGTGTGCTTTGGTTCATGGTGGCACATCGGCTGCAGCTCCGAACGTCGCAGGTGTTTTCGCTCTGGCTCTCCAGGCTCGACCTGACCTCACCTGGCGTGACATCCAATACCTCTGTGTCGAAACGGCTCGTCAGATCAACCCCAAGGACCGTGATTGGGAACGAACCGCCACTGGACGCTACTACAGCTACAAGTACGGCTACGGTGTTCTCGACGCTTCTCTTTACGTCCAACGCGCGCTCACCTGGAAGCTCGTCAAGCCCCAAGCATGGCTCGAGACACCCACTATCCAGCTGGACGGCGGCACTCTGGATGCTGAGGACGAGTGGGAGGGCGGTACCCCGATTGGCAAGGAGGGTGTGAAGAGCAAGATGACGATTACGAAAAAGATGATGCAGGATGCGAATTTGGAGTCGCTGGAGCATGTCACGATCAAGGTGTGGATTGACCATACGAGGAGAGGAGACGTCGAGGTCGCCATTGTCAGCCCGAATGGGATTAGGAGTGTTTTGGCGGGTGCGAGGGAGAGGGATGATTCGATGTCTGGGTTCCCTGGGTGGACTTTCATGTCTGTCAAGCATTGGTACGCTCCCGAATTCGTATCAACATGGCCTTGGGTTTGACGTTACTTTGCAGGGGTGAAGACCCAGTAGGAGATTGGACGATCCATGTCACAGACCAGCAGTCTGAAGTTGAAGAAGGCGCATTCCTTGGTTGGAATATGATCCTCTGGGGAACGACAGTTGACCCATCTAAAGCCAAATTCTACGAGATGGATCCTAACGAGAAGCTACTCCCGCCAAACCGAAGCGGAACCATCACTCCCCAGCGTCCAGAGCTACCTGGCTCCCATACCGAGAACCCCAAGCCAACAGGAGCTGGCCATGCGATCGAAGGCAAGCCCACTGCTGAGCTCCCACACGACTCTACAAGCCCCGATAAGACCCTCGGAGATGCGAATGCTGGCAAGAAACCGGAGAACAAGGGCTGGATTGGAGGTTTGAAGGATAAAGCTGCCAAGCAAACCTGGTTGGCGGGTATCATCGGAGTCCTGGTACTAGCGAACATCGCGGGTGCGATATACTTCTGCTGCTGGAAGAAGGGGTGCGGCGATGGCGAGAAGTATAATGCGCTTCCTGGAGAGGAGAATGTCCCGATGTCGTCGATTAATGGTGGGCAGTATGACCAGGATGGGGAGAGGACTGCGTTGGTTGGTGGTGGTGATGAGGAGGAGGATGGTGTGGATACGAGGCCTGCGGCGAGGGCGCAGCAGACGGGACCCCATCCACAGGCGAGGTCTACGGGAGGGCTTGGGTTCCATTCGGGGTTCCTGGACGATGACGATCCTATGACTGCTGCTTCTCCGAGGTATAAGGATGGGTCTGTCGTGCAGTCGGCGGTTGGGGAGCTGATTCCGACTGGGGACGCTCCTGCGGCTGCGGCAATGTCGTCTTCTTCGGGACCTCAGCCGTCGGTACAGCAGCAACCACGGAATCTGGTGGAGAGTTCGGAGGAGGAGGAGGATGACGAAGATGACGACGACGAGGATGATGAGGATGAGGATGAAGACGACGAGGAGAGCAGTGAGGAAGACAGTGGATCTCAACAACCTCTGCAACAAAATCAAGTCAGGAGGCCAGGGGAGGTTGACTCGAGTGCTTCTTTGATCTAGATTGGTTCTTGGGTTTGGGGTATGGGTAGTGGACACAAACATGGAATTCGAGTGGGTTGAAACGCTTAACTGCTTTATTTATTCGTCATTGGAATCATGTATGTTTTGGTATTGTACAATTCTACTTATTGGCTTTTGGGAATGATGATTTCAGACGCTTTGCGGAGGTTTCAGGATTCGGAGACTGTGTGCGACGTGTTCCATCTACTGTCAAGCTTCATGCTGTTGTTTGAATGTCCTGGGACATAGTCGATGGTTACTTACACGTTGTGCCCTGTAGAGGGGAGGTAGAAGACGTCTTGATAGACCATGTGAGACTGTTTGAACACCGCAATTTAACCCTACTGGTAACTGCACATGTCGGGCGCTTAATATCATCCCGTGAGACAGGCTCTTCTGAGGCTGTGTGTTGGTATTGTTTATGCGTTCCTTTAATTCCTTCCTTCAAGAACATCATATTCCCTTCTCGGATTCTATTTCAGAAGCTATAAATTACATATCCCCCAAGACATATGCAGTCGACAGTGCATAGTGAGGCTTCGTTCTGCCATCTCTCACCTCTCCATACCCCATGTTCAACCAGTCCACCAACTTCAGCATCGACAATCGACATGGCGGGAAGCTCATCAATGTGAGCGGCGACTACATTCACTACGAAGGGGTCCCAAATTCTTCATCGACATGCTCTCATAGCCCCGACCATGGTGAGATTAGACCATCTCAGTCCAGGATCGACGCGGTGTTTATGTGGGTTCACAGGTATCAGCGTACTACGAAACCACATCCTCGCGAGCGCGATGCACGACGCGGACGATGAAGCCGATAATTATGTTCCCGGATGCCATAAAGGGACAAGAACGAAAGTGCAAAACGACCTGTTGACCTGGATTTATGATTCAGGTGAACCTCAAGCTGTCGACCTTGAAGATGTCCAGTCGCCGCCTCCTTCCAGCTCAACCTCGACCAGGATAGCCTGGCTCAAAGGTCCAGCAGGGTCGGGCAAATCCGCCATAATGCGTTCCCTGGCGGAGACCTGTGATGCTGAAGGGGGGCTGGCTGCGTCCTTCTTCTTCTCTTATCGCTCGGGCGAGCGCAGTACGACCAAAGGGTTCATCGCCACATTGGCGTACCAGATTGCACAGAAGATACCGGATGCGAGGCGGTTTATCTCCGCTGCTATTGCGAGGGACGAGGCGGTCTGCTCGAAGAGGTTGGGGAAGCAGTTGGAGTTGCTGGTTGTTCAGCCTGTGCAGGAAGCCTGGGCTTCTCGGTCTCCGTATGACACTTCTCAATGGCCCAAGGTCATCTTCATAGATGGGTTGGATGAGTGTTTAAAGGAGGGACATAAACTGGAGATTCTCAGGTCATTGCACAGCGCCATAGCCATCCATCAACTTCCTTTTTCCATCGTCATTTCGAGTCGTCCTGACCAACCGATGCGGGACCACTTTGCTGAGATTGCGGCACGGGAGTTTGTACTCGATGAGCGGTACAAGCCGAGCCTCGACATTGAGCTGTTCTTTCGCGCTGAGCTGGAGCGTATTCGGCGCAAGTACAAGATCGAGGATGTCAATTGGCCAGCGGAGGAGTCGATCCGGCGACTCGTGGTGAACGCGTCGGGCCAGTTCATTTATGCGACGACTGTGTTGAAGTTTATCGACGATCCCAATGAGTATGATCCTCAAGGACAGCTGAAGATAGTCCTTCTCGCAAAAGCTAGGCCACTTTCTTCTACTGCAGCACCGAGGGGATATCGCAACCCCCTGGCCCACCTTGACGCACTCTACTCCGCCATCCTCCACCGTTGCCCGAATCCTCGACTTTCGGCACTCGCTATCCGCCTTTTGAACAGCATTTCTCAGTTTCGTGAAGAATACACGAGGGGAAAGACGGGTATTAATATCATTCTCCCGAGTCTGATGGGGGAGGTGGCAAACCGGTTTCTGCAGTATAAAGCGAGCGACGTGGAGATGCTGTTTGGAGGCCTCCATTCGCTTGTGCATGTACCTCAGCGGGGGACTGCGGACTTGTATTACTTCCACCATAAGTCCCTTCTCGACTTTTTGGAGGATAGGGAGAGGTGTGGACCTGATCTGTTCGTATCGGAGGATACGGTCATGGTCAAGGCTGCCCTGCACTGCCAAAGGTGGGCGAGCGCTCGTGAGTGGAGTCTCCATATGTATGGTTTATCGACTGATTGACGCACGTTTCTTTTTTAGGTCACCACCAGGTGTCCATCGACAAAGTACCCCCGGGCTGGGTGTTTCCTTATGCGAGGAGGATCATCTCAACTGCTGTGGTCGGTAAAGATTCGAATTTGGACTGGTGGCTTGACTATCTCTTCTCGAAAGAGTACGTTTCGAAGGTCGATGATCTATTTGCTTTAGTGCACTCAAGCGTAAGTCCTTCCCAGGCTCCAATGTTGGAGGGACTAGGCTAACCCGATTGTGCAGTGTCCACGGTTCCTGTGCAGGAAGCTTTGTAGGCGCTGGCGAGGGGGGATCGTCCGGAGATGCAAAGTGTCAAGATGGTCATTACCCCACAAGAAGCTTCCTTCTGTAGCAGAGATAAATGCCTGATATTCTCTACCCCGTTTTTGAGGCGCCAAGCAACGGATCATGAGATAAGCGCGCAGATTGAACCAATTTGATCATTGATTATCGTACAGCCACGAGGGAGAGATAAGATATGTATTTCCCACGCGGGGACCTCGTGAACAGGGTTTGTTCGCTTCAACGCGAGCTGCCAATACTATCACTATCACGATCACCCCTGCCTACTTTCGACCTACCTCCACAATCCTCACCCACAGCATTTGTAAGAAGACAGTCGGGATGGCCTGACCGTTCTGTGAAGTAGAGCTTCGAGCTGTGTACTCTGTATACGCCAAGAGAGAACCAAGTCCAACCGGCACCCAGTGACAAGGATCAGTCGACTGCGGATGGTGGGAGGTAGCGGGCGGCTCACGTAGACCCCACAAAGGTCACCGGCGCTTCAGAAAGGTCACTTGAGCCTACCAGTGGACTTGGAAGTAGAAGTAAGTTGTGTCCAGAAACCCTCAGTCTAGCCCATTGACCAGGCATCGTTCGACAGGAGTCTTGAGGTGTCCTTCCAATCTGAAGGTGACTGGATTACCCTGCGCTGAGCGGCTACAATTGCGGATTTGCGGACATTGTCTGGTTTATGTGCGTGCTTGGCAATGGCGTGTGATGGTAGCCACGGGGAGTCCACGCCGTCAGTCTATACATAAATAGAGGAACGTGGATCTCCCGCGAAGGTCTTCTCGTGCCCCTTTGGTTCCTAGGCAGTGCCCTCTCTCGTCCAAACTTTGCTGTTTCTCTGCTTCAATTCTCCGAGCCTTTGACGATCCCAGTAGCTCGATTCCCACTGCGTCAAGTCGCGAACTCTTCAGGAAGGCCAATTTATCCAAGTACGTCGCGTCTTACAAAGGCTCCCTTCTTCTCAAGAGGTATAAAAGTCTCGCGATATAACGCCTATCCTACAGGACATACACCTCTATCCCATCGTGAACCATGAGCTCACCTTCTCATACCTCGTCTGCGAATCCCAATCAATCAACTAGCAGTCCTGCGTTGAACTCAACGGAGCCGCCCTTTCCTGTTCTCCCTCCAAATCAGCCTCCGACCGTCCGACTGGGCGATGATGGAGCCAATTACTACGTCAACACCACCATAGACGACTTTTCTCCTTTGATGACTTTCTCGGATGGATGGATTTCGACGATCGCTGACATGAATTCTTCCAACCCTTTGAAACCAATCCCACAAAGGAATTGGCACCTCTGGACCTACAAAAGGACAGAGACACCCAATGCAACTGTTAGCATCGAGTTCTGGGGTCAGTTCCGATTGTCTCTTTCCAACCGCCTGAGCCGTCACTGAATTATGTCACAGGTTCTGAACTTTACCTCTACGGAGACACTGGCCCCGCCTATGGTGTTTACTCTCTAGCCCTCGACGACGAGACGCCGACTGTCCACACCGCCTTTTATCCTGCTCTTGCAGCCGGGAGATCCCATCTCATGCATACTTTGCGCAATTTGACGGAGGGAAGGCACGAGTTGACCATCACAAACCTTGGAACTCGAGATGGCTTAAATGAGGGTCCCGCTTTCCTGCTGGACTTTGCCGTCGCGAGGCAGAAGGTCGGCACAATTGAGTAGGTCTCGGTGATGTCATCGATTTGGACCAAGCTAATTTATCGCTTTACAGGGGTCTCCAGCCCAATGCATCGGACGTGAGGGACGAGGCCCTGTCCGGTCTCGCTACGAATGGAACATGGTCGCTCCTCAATATTCAAGATGACGTAGTGCCTGGCGAAGGCGGTCTAAAGCCGGCGATCTACGTTGAGCGCCGAGCGCTTTTCACTACAGATGATTGGGCGACCCTCGTCCACAGATTCCAAGGTAGGGTGACAGCAATCGCTTCCTCATCCCCTTGAACCTGACTCTATATGTGAACAGGAACGGGCATCCAAGTCTTTGGTGGCTGGAATTCCACCCACGGTTCTTACAGAGCAACCCTCACCGACACTGGCAACTCCACTGTGCTGCATTCCAAGATCTACGACACCGCTGCAGTCTGCGGCGGCAGCGATGCACCGGGATGCGAATGGCGTGGTACCACCCTCAAGTTTGCAGCCGCTGACCTCAATCCTGACGCACAGTATGAATTGACCCTGCAGAACGTGCACAGCGGCGGCAATTCGGCTTTTGGTAAGGATCCCTTCTGGTAAAAAATCAAGTCGTGGAGCTGACTGTCCGCCACTTTTCTTGCCATACAGAGGTTGGTTTCATCCGAGTCTTTGGCTCCCAAGACGCACGCGAACCTGGTACTGGCAGCAGTGGGGTCCCAGCACCTAGCACTGGCGGTGGTCTCCCAGAGCCTGGCTCTGCAGGACAACAACCTGGGGGCGCATCGGACGAGACTGGCTCGGGTCGGATGTATTCTTTGGATCCTTTGCTTCAACTCTGGGTCCTCATGTTCCTCTTCGTCGCCGCGTGGAAAACCCTGAAGCACTAAGTTCTCCATCTGCCTGCGACTAAGTCCTTTTCGTCCGATTGTTTATCGCCATTCTTTGGACATTACCGATGTACCGAGTCAGTGCTTTTTATCAACAATAGTGCGTGCAGCTGAGTTTCATACGGAGTGGAGACTTTGTTAATGAAGAAGTAATGTCCCAAGTTTGAAGACGTAGGGCTGTAAATAGTCACCGGCCTCGCATACACCCGCCCCCGCCTCATTATGAAAACGCCCGAACAATTCCCTCTCCGCGTAGCCGACCAATCAAACTGCCAGGCTTCGATGCTGCCAGTTAATCGTACTTCCGCTTCCAACACCCGGCTTTGTTCGGTTTGACTTCGCCACCGACAAGCGTAGGGGCGGAAGGACCGACTTTCCATACCATTCAATCTGCCCTGTAGCCTCTACCTAGTCCTTGGTTCACGGCAGGGGTCGTAGCGATAAAGATGTTGGAACTCCACTTAGCCGAGGCGAACCTCGATTCCTCTTTCTAACAATTCCCCGTCCTCCGCCCAACATCGACATTGTTAACATGTCGATGTACAGTCCACTGCAGATACTTGGAATTGGGTTGGCGACGTGGTTGCTCTACCAATGGTATCTCTTCCATGCCACTAGACGAAAGGTGAGCTTTCAAGTCGCACTCGTGCTCAGCGTCTCACCACCGACTGTGAGGTATAGGTCCAGCACATCCCTACCGTCGGAGGTGACGGTTTCATCAGTTCGTATATCTCTGGCTGGAAGTTTTTGGTTTATGGCCACCATATGGTCGAAGAGGGATATAAGAAGGTATGGGTCACCCTCCCTGGCGTTCTCCACTGCAGGACTCAGGCGCTTGATCATCGCAGTACCCGGGAAGAGCGTTCAAAATACCTACTGTTACCACCCCCAACCGATGGATGATTGTGCTGAGCGGCCCAGAAATGGTCGGGGACATCAAAAAGGCGACTCCAGACCAGCTCAGCTTCCCCGATGCAGCTTTCGAGGTGCGTAGAGTTGTCTCTTGTCACCACGGTCCCTGTGCTCACAGCACTACTTGCCGCCCCTGTAGCTCCTCCACAGCGACCACACCTTCGGGACTAAGAATTGTCGCCTCCACCCGTACCACATCGAGACCGTCCGAGGGCCTCTCACGAGAGCCTTTCCCTCACGCTTTGGAGAACTCAAGGAAGAGATGGTTCACTCATTTTCGCAGTTCATGCCTGCAACCACTGGTAAGTCGGCACAATGCCGATTCCGACTCTTTATTATTTACTTCGACAGCTAACATTGACGATGACGGCCGGTTTCTAATTTTAGATTGGACACCCTACACGATTATGAACACGCTTACGCCAATTATCAGCCGAACAAGTAACCGACTGTTCGTCGGTCTTCCTCTGTGTGAGTGGAGCTTCCGTTGTGCGCTCCTCCGAATGCATTTCAAACGTTCTGACCCTTGATTCCTCCAGGCCGTAACTCGGAGTATTGCAGCTTATTGGAGAACCTTACAATTCATACATTCGTGGTTGCGAATATTCTGAATCTTCTACCCGAATCATTCAGACCGTAAGTCGCTTGATTGCATTGGAGGATGATACCCGTTTGATAACCTCTGGTTAGTATTATTGGACGACTTGTTAGCAGGTTCCCAGGCGATCTGCGAAGGCTGAGAAAGCATGTTGACCCTCTTTTCATTGAAAGGAAAGAGCTCGATGCGATGCATGGTAGTCGGAAGTGGGAAGGGAGGCCTGTAAGTCCATATTCAAGTTGTAGTGTCACTTACGGACTAAAAGTCGACCTAGAGTGATATCATCTCGTGGCTGTTGGACACGGTTCCCGAGGAATTGGACAATCTTAATGATCTGGCGCTTCGACTGGTTGCCGTCAATATCGCTGCTATTCACACTACGACTATCGTGAGTGAACACCTCTCCAAAGGTGGTGAGTCAACAGATGCTAACGTTTCGGGATAGACCTTGAGCAATACTCTCTTCGAACTCGCATCTCGACACGAGTACATCGCACCACTAAGAGAGGAAATCGACCAAGTTCTCAAGGAATACGGATGGACAAAGGAAGGGATGGGTAAGATGCGCAAGCTGGACAGTTTCATCAAGGAGGTTAGCCGCCTCCACACACTTTCTGCGGGTGAGCGTCATAACCGTGACAGGCCCCTTCGAACCCGAATTCACCATTTCCGTTAGTATCGATACAGAGGAAGTCCAGGGTGGACTACAAGCTCTCCGACGGTACCGTGATCCCTGCGGGATTCAGAGTAGCGGCTGCATCTTCACCGAGTCACTGTAATCCCGTACGCTTTTCTCTTTCAATCGGGGTAAACCCATCTGACCCCTGAAACAGAACGAATACGAAGACCCAATGTCCTTCAACGGTTTCCGATTCTCAGAGATTCGAGAGGATGCCAAAGAAAACCAGCATCACCGCAACCAATTGGTCTCGCTCGACGCCAACTTCCTTTTCTTTGGTCATGGACGGTCTGCGTGGTAAGCCTCCAGTTCCATCCTCCCGGCCTTTGTTTGATGCACTGACGCGCTCGGCGCAGCCCTGGGAGGTTCTTTGCAGCGAGTGAAATGAAGGCGATCATGTCCCACATCTTGATGAACTATGATATCAAGTTGGAGAATGACAGCACCACCCCTCCCTCACATTTCTGGTACGCAACGCTCAAGTCACCAAGCCCGACTGGCCGAGTCTTGTTCAGGAAACGAAGTGATGTAGAATAGTAGACGTATAATTAGATTCCATACTTCAGCTACTTAGCGCTCCACAGAAACTCTGGTATTCCATCAATGCAAAGATAGCGCTCCTTGACCTCCGGACGGGATAGGCGCCATATATGACTGCAGAGGTCACGAGAATTGCACTACAGTTGCGGATTTAGCTCGTTGCTTCCGTCGTACTTGATTCCAATGGTAAGAAGAGAGTGCCATTGTACCAATGGATCCTGTGCAAGAGGGGCTTCGCGAGGTGCAGGTGCAAGGAGTCCGTCCCCTGGTTTCTCAAATCCGATTGAAATGGAAGAGGCCTTATCGTCATGGACCTCCTAGCATCTAAGGCCAACTCGGGGCAGGGGCCACTTGAAGCTATTGACTAGATGGTTTCCTGTCAGGGGAACTGGCGTTATTTACTAAGTACGGCCTTGCTGTTTTCTGACAGGCAGTCTGCTTGGTCGGAATATGGCACTTAGGCCTTGAAGGCCCTTTGCTGCCTCCGTATGCATAGGTTTGAACAAATGAAACGATATCAATCCGTTGTGCATAATTTCCGTCATGCCGTATACAGGTTTAGACTTCCGTTATCGTCTCTTCTGAACCATCAATTGCTCAGAATGAAGGCATAGTGCGCACGCCATTCAGCACATCTCCTTGCAGAACTTCTACATTAAAGCGCGCTGCTAAATACAGTGTGAAATACGCCGTAACCACTAACTTACGGTGACCTCGGTCTCACCAAAACCCCAATACGCGAGATAATTCAATTGGAGAGTAGTCCCATGCTGCTTCTTTCCATACCATGTTGCAGTGGAACTATCCATCTCGGAATACCTCAATGGGGGATTTCAATCGCAAGTCAACAAACGACTCTATACTGGGCAACAATGTATTCAGGAGATTATAACACCTGCTGATAGAGGATTCTGCTGACAGTTTCCGGGCGGTGAATGCCTCGAGGTGCTCTGCGTCCCTGAAGGTGATGGCACAACCCTCGATGATACTAGATTAAGATGCAGGTGCGGTCATATCCGTACTCCGCGATGGATTCCAGAATTGCCAAAACATTCTTGTATAGGTTTTCATAGACGATATGCGGTATTCAAAGGAAGCAAAAATGGATACTAGATTCACTTTCGACAGCCACAAACGCTTTCGAACGTTATTTAGGGAATGCTTTAAAAGAATATCCGGGGTAGGACGGCCACCAATTGAATCATCAGCTCTATTAGCTGAGGTACCATTTTGTCTAGAGCTTGAGCTGGAGTCTAGAGTAACGCAAGGCTCACATACACCCTCTCCTTTGTATAATAATAATACTCCGCTTGTTTTGACGAAGAAAGGCCGAAAGGGGGGGTGGGTGGCAGTGGTCCATCTCTTGACAATATTCATCCAAGGGGCAGCAACTTGAAGGGGTTCACTAAACGTTATCGGCCAGATAATCTGGCACGCACGCCGCATATCCAGTCCGCGTGACTCCATATGAGGCGTTTTGAGTGAAAGCACGCGCTTATCTTTGTTGATACCAAGTGATAGGTGGCCGGTCCACATCCCGTTAGCCGCGGACGCAATACACTACAATGATGCTGCTTCTATTGGCTTCAACGTACCTCGCGGGCTCCGGGACTCGCGTTTGAAGCGCCAAAAGAACATGATGGCATCGAGCGCCCAAACGCTGCGGGGCTGGTACAAGGCCCCTCTTTGGGAAAGGTTGTTCCATGAGGAAGCGGCGAATGACATACACACACCAATTGTTTCCATTCCGTAAAATCTGAGGGTGCTCTGTACCTCATACTTACCTACTGCTGTGTTGGCGGCTTGTCACTGGAGACAGGTGCAACCATCATCGCCACACCCAGGGACGGTAAGATCAAACATGTATAAAGGGACAGAGGTCGTAAACTGGCTGGTTAGAGATTTCGGCATTCTCTCCCCTTCTTCTTTTTTGATTCTCTTCACTCAGGTTTTCTTCTCGCTATGACATTCTTCAACGATTTAATGACCGTCGTTCACCATCCCAACCTCCTCCCCATAGCGCTCGGAGCTGCCGTCCTCGGTTGGCTGGTCTACCAGTGGGTTCTCTTCACCATTGCCACGCGAAAGGTCAATCGTCTGCTTCTCATACATTTCCAATGCTGAAACTACTCTGAACAGGTCCGAAGCATCCCGACGGTGGGCTCTGATGGTTTTATCATGTCGTACTTCTCAGCCTGGAGATACGAGTTTGGCATCGGCCGTCAAATGATTCAAGAAGGTTACGACAAGGTACCAACGTCTACATAACCTGTCGATCGCCTTCGAATACTTACCACCTCACCCTTCAGTACCCAGGAGGTGTTTTCAAAGTTCCAACCCTCAGCTCGCCGAACCGCTGGTTGATCGTCGTAAGCGGCGCCAAGCTGGTCGATGACATTCGGAAAGCTGGGAAGGACGAGCTCTCCTTCAGTGACGCCGGTTTTGAGGTGGGTCCCAACTGCGCCATTGCCGCCACTCTTCCATCAGGCTCAATACCTCGTTTCTGACGTGATTATTTCATGGACAGCTTTTCCAAAGCGACCACCTGGTTCAAGGTCCCGGGAAATCTGTGAATAACCGAGACACAACCTATCATATCGGCGTTGTCCAGGGTCCCTTGACGAAAGGATATCCACATCTCTTTGAGGAGATTCGAGACGAGATTGCTCAGTCATACAACGATTTGATACCGCCTACAGAAGGTATGTTTTCACCCACCACATTCCGCCTCAGTCCCCTTTTCCTATCCCACCGGATCATTATATTGGCACCATCATTGATCGGACCTACATCCCAGATTGGTCACACATCCAAGTCTACAAAACAGTCATTCCGGCCATCTGTCGAACAACCAATAGATTGCTTGTTGGCCTGCCTTTATGTGAGTACAAGCTATCCCTGGTGGGGGTTTCGAATATAAAACGTGTTCGTGTTTGCTCACTTGGCACAAAATCTCACAGGCCGTAACCCTGAATACCGTAGCATCCAGGAAAACCTTACCGTCCATCTCGTTGTCGCAGGAACGTTCCTGGGACTATTGCCCCCATTCTTGAGACCGTAAGTTCTGACCCAAACGCTAGTTCCGCCGGTGACACTTGGGTAAAAATGTTGATACGAGGGTCAACTGACTGCCACCTTGTCATCTACAGGCTTGTCGGGCGTCTGATCACCAAATTTCCCGCCTCCAACAGCCTCGTGCAAAAGCATATCACTCCGCTTGTCGAGGAGGTTACTAAGATTAACCAGATTTATGGACCCAAGTCGGAGAAACGGCCCGTGAGTTCCTCACATAACTCTTCCAGGTGCAGGCAGACGCTGAAACTGGATTATCGTTGCAGAATAATCTGATTTCCTGGCTGATGGACGCCGCTCCTGAGCAATGTCGAACAATGGCTGACATTGCTGGGAGGGTCATCTTGATCAACATTGCGGCGATCCATACCACCTCTCTCGTGCGTCCTGCTTCATCTTTTCATGCCGATCCTTCCGCGAATCGTAACCGAATTCACAGGCTTTGAACGACACATTGTTTGAACTTGCAGCGCGCCAGGAGTATATCGTGCCTCTCCGCGCTGAAGTAGAACAGGCGATCGAAGAATATGGCTGGACTAAAGAGGCGATGACCAGAATGTACAAGTTGGATAGCTTCATCAAAGAATCGTGTCGAGTAAATGGACTCCTTGCAGGTGCATATTTCCCCCTCTTTACTCGAACTATCGCTCACCGAGCTTCATTTTGAAAGTCTCGATGGTCCGTAATGCCAGGACGGATTATCATCTTTCGAATGGGACGGTCATTCCCGCTGGCTTCAGAGTCGTTACTGCAGCTGATCCTACTCATCATGACCCTGTATGTGTGACATTCATATGAATGGGAATGTGTCAGTTACTGACAATGCCTTTAGTTGATCTACGAGGATCCCAATAGTTTCAAAGGATTCCGATTTTGTGGGCCGAACGGGAACGACGAGAGCGCAAACAGGCTTCGAAACCAACTGGTATCGCTCGACCTCAACTACATGCTATTCGGTAACGGACGCTCTGCATGGTACGTGCCTCCACCTTCCGTTTCGTGGTATGGGCTTGATCTCACCGAGGTTGGCGCTATATACAGCCCTGGTCGATTCTTCGCCGTCAATGAGCTCAAAGCAATGTTGGCTCACCTTTTGATAAATTACGACTTCAAACTCCCTAATGATGAAACCGAACCTCCGGCCCCGATTTGGATTGGACACCATCGTGTCCCCAACCAGACAGCTGGAATCATGTTCAAAGAACGTATCACGAAGAAGCAATGAACCTAGAATGCACTGGAAACGACCCCTTCATGACCTTCTTTCCCATGAATTACTCAACTTTTCCCTACGATTCATTCATCCTCGCCGTCCATACATCTAGTGTTACTGAATAATGTCTAGTCTGTTGTATTTGTAGTAATTCTCTTCGTTCACGAACTTTTGCGACTGAAGTAATAGATCGATACATCAAATTGCTTGAATCCTGAATGCCTTACATTCTATTCCCCGACACCTTTTCTGACAGTAACGCGATTACTGTTCCTTGAATGAAAGATCCTGAATTCCGTTGGCCATCGTTCTCCGGGTTAGGGTTTATCTGATGGTATGGACTCGCAGGTCGGAGACCGGAATCCCCGCGACTGCTTGTCTCTGTACTTGCTCGCCCACAGCTGTTCGCCTTCTATTTCTATGACTGTTGCAGCGGTAGAAGCCCACAACGGCGGTGAAAACGGACAACATGGGAAAGGACGACCGCCGTGAACCCTGTCGCCCGCATCGGCTATGCAAACTTGTGTTGGTGAACAGAGGGAATGTTTTCGAAGCAGACGGGGATGATTGTTCGGACTATGGAGCACGAACTAGTTGCAGGAGATACAATCTTAGATTGTAAGTGTCCCATTGATTCCCTACATTTACAATCCTGTGTCTAAGTTTATGGGCGTCGGTCAGGCCTCAAATCGTCAACAAAAGTCATCAGCACGGCTTGGCACGACGTCCACTGTGAGACAGATCCACCTCTGCCCCACCCTGTTCACATTTCCGATGGTCAACCGGAATCTAAAGCGAACAGTTTCCGAAATGACCTAGTGTATTTATACCTTTGAGGGTTGTACGGAAACCCTAGGTCCGGCAAGGCTCGAGTTTGGCTTTCCCTTGCTTCCATTCACCACAAGGCGCGGAAATTTGAATAGTGGGCCCTCCATTCCGGACTTCACTTGTTGGTAGCCCGAAGAGAAGAGGGAGCCAAAGGAGCGATAAAGGACCTCGGTGACGTGTCTCCCTTCGAGAGCTGACTATCGTCATGTCTCTCAGCTTACCCTTCTCTTATACCACCCTCCTTGGGACGGGCGCTGGAATATGGGTCGCATATCTGTGGCTTCTTTTTACGACCGCCAAACGGAAGGTCAGTGCGATTTCCTAGCAAATATGCCCATTTTTCATCCCCTTGTAGGTCCAACACATCCCTACCATTGGACCGGACGGCTTTATCACGTCGTACATCTCTGCTTGGAGGTATGAGTTCGGGAAAGGAAGAAAAATGATCCAGGAGGGCTACGACAAGGTACGAGCGCGGATGAAGCATATCGCTGTCGTATTTTGCTTACCCGTTGCGGCCAACCTATAGTATCCCGGCGGGGTCTTCAAAGTGCCTACCCTTACAACGCGCAATGGGTGGTTGATAGTGGCAAACGGGACAAAGCTCACTGAGGATATTCGCAAGGCCACCGATGATCAGCTATCGTTCGGAGATGCTTCCTTCGAGGTATGTTCCTACCATTGCGTCGCGCTACTGAGAACTCATTCTTGCCCAGCTATTCCAAACAGACCATTTGCTCGGCGCTGGCAAAAGTATCAGTGATAGGCAAACGCCCTACCACGTCTCTGTTGTTCGCGGTGCTCTCACCAAAGGCTTCTCTTCACGGATGGAAGAAATCAGGGACGAGTTCGTCCAGGCGGTCTCTGACGTCATGTCAATTGGAACAGGTAAGAGACCCGTCGCTCTCTATTTCCTGCACTGACAGTTGTGAATAGAATGGTCCAGCTTCAAGGTTCATAAGTCGCTATTGCCCATTATTTCCAGGACAACCAACCGCTTCTTCGTCGGGTTGCCACTATGTGAGTTCCTTGGCCGAACCTCTCTACACGAACAGCATACTCAAACTGTTCGAATTATAGGCAGAAACGAGGAATTCTGTCGTATCCAGGAAAGCCTTACTGTCCACTTGGTTGCTGCAGGGACGTTCCTCAATCTTCTTCCTGCACCGTTCAGGCCGTAAGCATCTCTATCTCGTATTTGTATTGAAACCTAATTGGTTGCTTAGTATCGTTGGGAAACTCATCACCAAGTTCCCCTCAGCAAATCGAAAGATAGAAAAACACTTGGCACCACTTTTCCAGGAGAGAATGGAAATGGACGCGAAGCATGGACGCAAGTGGGAAGGAAGACCGGTTAGTAATCAGACCAACATTTCAAGCTATCTGTCGGATAATACTCACCAATGCCCCCTATTTCCTAGGCCGATGTGATTTCGTGGCTGCTAGATGCTGCCCCCGACCACCGCAGAAACCTTGAAGACCTTTCGGGCCGAGTAATCGCCCTCAACATCGCGGCTATCCATACGACCTCTGTGGTAAGATCTGTCTAGCATTTTACTTTGCGGATATCTGACTGTCTGCCAGGTGCTCTGCAACACCCTTTTCGAACTAGCCGCCCGTCAAGAGTATTTTGCTCCATTGCGATCTGAAGTCGAGGATGCCATCAATACCTATGGGTGGACTAAGGAAGCGACAACGAAGATGCGCAAAGTCGATAGCTTCATTCGAGAATCCAGTCGAGTTACAGGGATCACTGCGGGTACGAGTTGCGTTCTAAACAGCCCGCGATATGTTCTAACAATGGCACAGTGTCAATGATAAGGAACTCTAGATCTGACTTCACTTTCTCCAACGGTGTTGTCGTCCCCGCCGGTTTCAGGGTAGCGGTACCCGCGGACGCCACTCATCGCGATCCTGTAGGCTTCCCTATTTTCGTCCTCTCCCCATTGAACTAATCTCAACGCTTCTTCACCAGCAATACTATGAGGATCCCCACACCTTCAAAGGGTTCAGATTCGTAGATGAAAGCGAAGACTCGGAGGGTTTCAATCTCGACAGCCTCAGGAATCAAATGGTCGCATTGGACACTACATTCCTTCTTTTCGGCAACGGCAGATCTGCTTGGTTAGTTAATCCTCTTTTTTCCGAAGCAGGCGGACTTACACTTTCTCCCCGCGGCAGTCCTGGACGCTTCTTCGCTGTGGCTGAGATCAAGGCTATGCTCGCGCACCTTCTCATGAACTACGATTTCAAGCTGCCGAACGATAGCAGGGAACCACCCACTCCCCATTGGCTTGGCCATACCCGGCTCCCCAACGAAAGCGCCGAGATCCTCTTTAGGAAGCGGAAGGAGTAAGGGCAGGACGGCTGAAGTATTAGATGTGTGTTGTAAACGTTGGGCGCTGTTGCGCCACTTGTACGCAATTATAGTTGCTTGCCTGACATCAGCTTGACCCATTGCACTGGTGCCGGGCTTTCCTGAAGGCCGATTGGTGTTGGCATTGCCTCCCCTACGATAAAGGTGCGTATTTCTGGATACAGTTGATTCATCCTGATTGTCCATGATATATTCGAGCAGAGGGTGGATGGACGGTGTTCTGCCCACTGAACATATGTTCCTGTTTCAAACGCACCAAGATTCCGGAGATCTCGACCCGCAGGTACATACGGTTCCTGACAGTGGAAGACATTGATCTTCCATGTTCTGTCCGAAAGACAAACACACACATACCTGTGTGATGTTCTCCATTCCCGTGTACATCGGGAAAGGGGAAAGGGCGGGCACGGGTGTCAACGGTATCGCCGGTGTGTTTGAGGGTCCCTCAAATCTCCACTTGTAAGTTGTGGGTCTATTATTTTACTTTTGTGACCGAGGCCGTGATGCCCGGGGCTCAGTCGACCTGAACTTGAACCCGGTGCGGTCGTCACTCTATACAACCTCCTGGTCCACCTCTTGGTCCTGGTCCGCAGGCACAAATCCATGTGGATACATACCATTTTTCATTCCGATACCAGAACACATAACCGGGGTTGTCTGTCCGCTGATTCTTCTTTCAAAATCGTTCGCCTAGGTATACCCTTCTGACACGAACTGTCGTCTTCACGTAAATGATACATACAGCGCCCAAATGCCCGGCTATCTCAGCTGACATTGCAGCATATAATAACCTTCATTGATTGTCTAACTGGATCCTTGCCTCCCACATCATGACATACGCCGCTGTTCTGGGATTTTTGGCCTCATCCTGGATTGTGTACCAGTGGGTGACATTTACTATTTCCACACGCAAGGTAGGCCTTCTCCCCCTGTGTCTAGAACTTCCGCCACTGACGACTTGAAACATCGTTCAGGTTCGCGATATACCGACCGTGGGCCCTGATGGTTTCATCTCCTCGTACCTCTCAGCCTGGAAGTATGAATTTGGGAATGGGAAACAGATGATACAGGAGGGCTACGAAAAGGTAAGCAGGATATCCATCGTTTTTCTGATCGAAATATGACATCATGAGCGCTTATAGTACCCTGGATCGGTTTTCAAAGTCCCAACGCTCAGCTCTCCAAACCGATGGATGATTGTGGTCAATGGCTCCCGGTTGATAGAGGATTTACGAAAAGCTAGCAAAGAGCAGCTATCTTTTGGAGACGCATTCTTTGAGGTGTGTAATGATCGCCCTTCGCTTGAACGGAACCGTCTCTGACTGATTTACCGAGCAGCTTTTCCAAAGCGACCATCTCATGCATGGTCCTGGGAAGAGCGTCAACCGTCGCGATACTGCAGAATATCATATTGGCGTCGTTCGAGGGCCCTTGACCAGAGGCTATCCTTTCAGGTTCGAGGATATTAAAGACGAAATATCCCAGTCCTTCTCCGACCTGATTCCTGTGACAGAGAGTAAGATCATTTGCTTCTCATCACTTCCTATAGCGCTGAACTTAATTTTCTAGGCTGGTCCCCCGTAAAAATCCACGATGTTATTATCCACATCATATGCAGAACCACCAACCGGCTTTTCGTTGGTTTACCCCTCTGTGAGAGAGCTTGGGTCTACCACTTGCTTGCCACCACCTGACCATGGCGGTTCACGTCACAGGTCGCGACCCCGACTACTGTCGCATCCAAGAAACTATTACTGTCCACCTCGTTACTGCCGGGACCTTCTTAGCCCTTCTACCCGCAGCATTTCGACCGTACGTCCTTCACTTACCCGGTCCGCTCGTTCCGTTCTGAAGTCGCCTTGGAATAGGGTTGTTGGGCGCCTAATCACTCGATTCCCCTCGACGATTAAAAAAGTGCAAGATTGTATTACCCCACTTGCCGAAGAAATAATCAAGTCCAAGGCAGCATGGGAAGGCAAGAATGTAAGGGAATATCAGGACATTCTGACATGTATTGTGGTCGGTTAATTGACGCCATGTTCAAGGGAAATCTCCTCTCTTGGCTCTGGGAAGAAGCTCCGGAGAAATGCAAGACCCTCTCTGACCTGGCCGGAAGGCTCATCATGGTCAACATAGCTTCACTTCATACTACAACTCAGGTGAGCTTCCACTGTTAAGTTATCTACTAGCGCCTCGCCAGCTCAATGCTGTCTCCAGGTCGTCACCGACACGCTCCTCGAGCTCGCTGCTCGCCAAGAGTACGTTGCACCCTTACGGTCTGAAGTTGAATATGCCATCGACGAGCTGGGGTGGACCAAAGAAGCCATGAGCAAGATGCACAAGCTGGACAGCTTCATTAAGGAGACTTGTCGATTGAAAGGACTAATGCCAAGTGAGCACCCTTTGTTTGATCGTCTAGATTTCACAGACTTGACCTTTGCTTTCTAGTCACCGTAGTTAGGAATGCAAGGGTCGACTACCGTCTTTCGAACGGCGCAGTCATTCCAGCTGGATTCAGAGTCTCTGCTTCAGCGAGCCCTCTTCACACCGATCCAGTACGTTTCCCGACCTCATCCCGAGCATTTCTTGTATCCTGACACGCACCCATGTTTGTAGATGGTCTACGAGAATGCCGAGTCCTTCGATGGCTATCGCTTCGCCGGATCGCAGGAAGATGGTTCAAGCAATGGCCACAGTCAGCTGGTTTCTCTCGACTCCAACTATCTACTTTTCGGTCATGGACGTGCCGCATGGTATAAGCTTCCCCCTCATCTGCCCAAAGAGAATGGCTGACTTGGCATCTCATCCTAGTCCCGGTCGTTTCTTCGCTGTTAGCGAAATCAAAGCAATGATGGCGCACGTCTTACTCAATTACGACTTCAAGCTTCCAAACGACGAAACTCGCGCACCTGAAGCCGATTGGTTTGGTCACCATCGTGTTCCAAACCAAACGGCCGAGATTATGTTTAGAAAGCGTCAAAGCATTCATTAACGAACCTTTATGTAACGAGCCCTCTCAACGATGGTGACTATCATCAGCCTGCGGAGCACAGTTCAAATTCGGGAATTACCGTCTTGCTAGTGTTTGATCTCATGAAGTGACGTGAACAGTGAAGATCCCACCCCATTGGCGCCTGGGCGCTACGCTACTCTCGGTCCATCGTTCAACAATGTTGACATTATGACTATGATACAGTTTGTTTGATACATGTTGCAAAATACGACTTCAACAGTTCACTGGCACCACCCAATTAATTCTGGGCAACCTGGATGACGATCTTGCCGACGTGCTTCTGAGACTCGAGGTGGGCCCAGGCGTCAGCAGCTTGATCGAATGGGAAGACCTTATCGACGACTGGACGCGTGGTCTCTGGGTGGGCTTCAATGAGCCTGTTCATAGCCTCGAACCTGAAGAAGTTAATCGAAACGCCAAACCAGGGGTAAAATAGAGCACGTACTCAGATACCGGGCCGATGTAAACACCTCTCACGAGGATGGACTTGCTGATGACAGGGAGGATGACGTCCATGGTGGTTCCCTCACCCTTTTCGGTTGTGAGCATCGGGAAGGATGAGCGATTCGATGACACTTACCTGACCAACGAAACCGATGACTTGAACAGAGCCACCGATCCTCACAGAGCTGAGAGATTTGGCGAGGGTTCCGGGGCCACCAACTTCAATAACACGGTCGACTCCCCTTCCGTTCGTCTAAAATCCATGCTTAGCCATCGTAGTGCCATGAGCGCCAACGGAATCACTCACAATCTTCTTGACTTCCTCATCCCAGTTAGGCGTCTTGTTGTAGTTGATAACATGGTGAGCGCCGAGCTTCTTCGCAATCTTCAGCTTCTCGTCGGAGGACGAGGTGGCAATGACGGTTGCGCCGGATGCGACGGCAAGCTGCAGTCCGAAGCTGTAGGTCTATATTTAGCACACCCAACAAAGTTCGATCAGGGAGAGGCACTCACATAGAGACACCACCAGTTCCAAGAACGAGGACAGTTTCGCCTGCGCGAACGGGCGTGGGGCCGACAAGAGCGTTGTAGGCAGTCAAGGCTGCGCATGGGAGGGTGGAGGCTTCAACGTAGGAGAGGTGGGAAGGAATTGTGACGAGGGACTGGTAGAGGCCTTTTAGTAACCGACGCACGCCGAGAACAGAGAAAGAACGTACGTGGGCAGGGAAGGTTCGGTATTGAGTCAAAACTCCGGGGGATTGGCCACCCAGCGAGGACTTGATAGATTCAGGGGTAGGGTCTCCGTGCAAGTGGTCGGTGCAGAAGTTGGCGCAAACACGGTCACCAACTTTCCATCCCTTTACTTCTTCTCCAACAGCAACAATCTCTCCAGCCATGTCAGAGCATGGGACGATGTTCTCAGAGACTCTGTACAATAGGTTGAGCGGAAGGTTCAAGATAAGAATTGCTGAGACTCACCCAACATTGTAGAACCCCTTGGCAATGGCGAAATCGCGGTACTGGATTCGGGAAACTAGTGTCAATCGAACTGGTCTCGAAAGTACGATTTGTTGGTGAATGTACCTGCAACGAAACGGCGTGGACCTTCACCAAGACTTCATCATATCGGGGCTTTGGAACGTCCACTTCTTGTTGCTTGAGATTTCTGTAGTCCCCAACCTGTATCGCGATGATGTCAACGTCACATTCAAATGAACTCTTGTGGAGTTTGCTTACCTTGGGAAGAACGTACTGAATGGCCTTCTGAGGAACAGACATCGCGGCTGATAAGGTTTAGACGATTAAGAAGCTGTCGATACTAGCCGGGACAACTGGACGACAAAGGCTCTTCCACCCACCCTCCGGTATATATACGCTGAAAAGTGGCTTATAAACACCATGGGGAGCAAGCTGATAAATCGAAAGCAATGTTTCTACGGGTTTCTTTCCCGTTCCGCGACGCTTGGAAACATTCTTGGCTCATGGATGTCATCATAGGAGTGTCGCAATTTCTTTCAGCCACCGATTTTTCTCTCCGCGATTGCTTTTCTTGGCTTGAATATTTGACGCGCGCAACTCGCATCAAGGATGAATTGATGGAAGAATTCCCGCGCCCCCTTCGTTTTCGAGCATCCGGCGGGAGCAAAACCCTTGAACCGACACAGCTCCCTGCAGCATCATCATGCCTTCCGAGAAGTACACAGTTGCTGGCCCGAAGAACCATTACATTCTTCTTTCCATTGAACCTCCTACGAACGACGCTCTTAGCGTACGAAAAGCCATCGCAGATTCGCTGGCCGAGTCCTTTGGAGAAACAAGCAGCGCGATCCCAGTGGATGTTATGTCGATTGCGGAGAACGGGGAAGAAATGGTGGTCAGGGCACACATAGAGTGGGGAGATGTAGTCAGTTTGCCGATGTTGACTCACTAAACGGTTCCAACATAGGGATGCACCGAAGATCCTGGCCTCTGTGATTACATCTTCTAAACCACGATTGTCGGTTCTTCAAGACTCACCCTTCTTGCCTGCCCTCACGCGAAGCTGGCAACGTACTTGGTGATCTTTGCAATGTAGTATTCCCGAACCCGAAGAAACAGATGCAAAGCGTTATATATTCCACGAGAGCAAGTTTAACTAAAGCAGGGACTGATAATATTACAAGTAGCTAAAAGGTCGTCTTTTAATCAAACGAGAGCGATGCAAACTTTACGATGAGAGGTAAGCTACGTTCGAGAATCGAAATCATGGAGTACGTGGTCGACCTAGAGTACAAAGTGACTTCCGTTAAAGCATTAGGTCCGTCGGGTGTCGTAGATCATATGCGTTCGTCTAAGCTGTGTCTGGCGAAAAAGAATGGAAAGGGAGACCTCATGAAGGCGTCAACCCAGGCGGCGCGAACGCCTCTTCCGTTGGCGACTTGCCACTGCCCATCGTCGCCGTGTGGTACGAGGAGACCTTGGTGCTCCGGCTTCCATTCGTCGAGTCCAGGTAACGGTCGTCCTCGTGATCGAAGAACAGGTTGCGCGCAATATCATCGAGATCCCTCGAAGCGCGCTTGCCACTACCAGACGGAAGGTCCAAATGCGACGGGCTCTCTGGGGGAGGAACCTTCTTCACACTGTGCACCGTATCGATGAGCTCCCCTATCTCCGAGATGTCGTGTGAGCTGCTGTTGTGGAAGAACGTCCCTGTGCCGGTGGGGTTGGGCGAGTCCGCGCTGGCGTTGGATGTCCCAGTCAACAGCCCCAACGCAGCTAACCTCTCGGCTTGCACCATTAAGCTGTTGGTACGGCTCGAGGGTTCGCTTGGGGTCGAGCTCCGTGAGGCCAGGCCGTCGGCACTGAGCATCGAGAGGAGGGTGTTCCTGGTGGGCGGGCGACTCGATCTGGTCTGGAAGCTGTGTCGGGTGTTTCCGTCCGCGAGCAGGCTCGATGCCGCGATGCTGCTTCCCATCTCCCTGGAGCCCATCGACTCAATGGTCGGCATGCGCCTCACCAGGCCGTTCATCATGGGAACCTGCGTATCCGCAGGGTAGGGTTGGCCGAATTCGTTGTAGCCCAGAACAGGGGGTAACGTTGGGCGGTTACCGTAGAAGTCATCCTCCTCTCCTTCGTCGTGGTTGGATTGCCTGACCGTGGTGTCTCCATTCTCGGCACCATCGTCGTCGTCCGAGGAAGAAGTCCACTCGTGCTCCTGTTCGGGGGAGGCTGTTCGAATCCTGGGTGAACTATCGCCCGTGTAGCGAGAGGAAGCCCTGTCCCCATCCGATCTCGCAAATTCGAGAGCATCGTCTGTCTCCCTGTGGATCTGGGAGACCAGGGAAGTGAACCGATCCGAGAAGCCACCGAAGTCACCACTCTCCCTCTCCTGTTCAGGAACAGAGGCGAGCAGCGAGGTAGGGGGGTTGCGGTGACTCTCAGCCGATAGTAGGCCCGAAGAATGCGAGCGCTGGAGGCGGAGACCGCGGGGCGATCGGCCTGTCCTTGAAGAGAGCAACGAGGCGTCTGACGCGAGGTGGCGAGAGTCGAGATTGACTTGGGAGGCGGAAGCGTGAGTGGTTGGAGTCTCGGAGATGGGGTGTACGCCGTTGACATGGGAAGAATGGAATGAGCCTGCATCAGAGGGTTTGTGGCGATGTTTGTCACGGAATCGTCGAGGTTTAATGGGATTGATACGGCGAATCTTGACGAGAATGAAATGATATCCAAACTGGAGGCGAAGTACATCATGAGCGTCTGAATGTCACACAGAAGTAAGAGGCACCTACAATGAAGAGAGCAGTGACAAGTAGACGTAAAGTTGAGAGTACAACCCAGAAACCCCACGTCGACGCTTGACCTCTACAGTACTCGGCACGTCTGGACCAGACCACGTCAATGTCCATATAGCACCTATACTTCATCCGCAACTGCAAGTCCGGGGAATCTTTCCAAGCGAAAAGCAGCGCAAAGTTGACCGCAGCAGGCGCGAAAAGGAATAGCAGGGAGGTATACGTGAGTGTCCAGTACATCGTGGAGACGGAGTGGTTCGAGAGGCCACTAAGGACCAGTTGAGACTGAAAGAATGACAAGGTTGAGGCACAGACTAGGAAGGCAAAGCAGAGTCCGGAGCTGATCCCTAGTGCAAGGGAGGCCGTCTGTCCAGCATTGGATTCGAACATCGTGAACGATAAAAAATATCGAACGGCATTGTAAATGGCCCATCCACCTGGAACAGCAGAAACATGTTAGATCGCGACATTTTCACAAAATGGCTGCCTAGCAACGAAGATACGCCGTAGAGTGCGGTGCAGATCATATGGTGAATTCCATTGCATCCCCGTTCAATACCACTTCGGGACATATCAGGCGGACGAGCACAGCGGGCCACAAAGCCCGCAGGACAAAGATAATAACTGGAGCAACCGGTGTACTCACCAATGGCAATTTCGAATGCGATCCTAGCCCAACTCCACCTCTTGGAAGCTCTGCGCCGTGCAGGCTTCCAATGGGTTGGTTTCTCCGTTTCGACGAACGTATTCTCCTCCGTAAGGTTCGGAGATGCCCATGGGTGATTCGGAATGCTTGGGGAGGCAACATCTACCCTCGATCCCCCCGTTTCTCTCGTCGGACCCCCGAAATACGTATCTCTAGACGAGTTACTTGGTGGCAAAAGTGGTTCCGTTGGATGTGAGTGGAAAGTCGAATCCGTCTGAACGGTTACGCTCGACACCGTTGATAGGTTTCTCGAGTGAGGTGGCACATTGGCGCGGCCCTGTAACGATTCCCGGGTATATATCGAGTTGTGGAGGTATACAGCCGACATTATGCGTTCACTTGCTTCAATGGTATCCCATTCATGCAGCAAGAACGGGCAGAGGCGTGGATCGAAATGCTTCTGGAATTCTCTGTGGATTCATGAGCTCGTTACAGCATTTAAGAAATTGGAGCACCCACAGAAATACAGGAAGAAGAAAGCGCCAAAGGACACGTCGCGGTGGTGGCAGAAGGGAATGAAGTTCAGACGGTCGGCCATATTTGGGCATTCGAACTTGCCTTTCTCGGCGTGATTGATGGGACTTGGCATTTTCTTCTTTTGGGCTGGAACAAAACAACGCGTGGTCTCGGCCAAATAGACGCCCACCACCTGAGCGCGACAGCCCTTCTTGGATGTCCTGCCCTTGGTGGAGGATACCTTGTTTACCTGAATCCCAAAGTAAAACCTCCCATCTCTATTGCAATCTTAAACATCTTTGTTGATCATCTACCCCGCCTGTCTCACCTCTGCCTTTTCCCTGTACATACTCATAAGGTTGCTTGAATGTGTCAGACGACGAGCCCCGTTGACGAGTCAACAAAGGGTGAACTCATAGTGTATCCCCATGTGCACTGTAGCTGACGGGTAAGGGCTCGGAACCGATGGACGTAGTATACCATCATCGTAGACGCACCGTTTTGTCGACGTGAAAGACCGAACGCGGCACCTTGAGCAACGATGGACCTTAATCGCATTAGCCTATAATGTGGCAATACAACGAGCCGCGTCTCCAGATAGAGGGAGATATTGAGGAAGCTACACCCTCCCTCATCCTGAATGACACGCGACTTAACGCCAGTTCTAGTGTTGTTGCGAGGTGAGGTGGAGGTACCTCAAGGTGAATGGTGGCGTTACCTCAAGTTACCTCGTTGGACCTTGAGGTCCATTCCCACGAATACCTATTTCTATACTGGGGATGAGAAAATCAAAAGTTGCAATGAACACGAACAACGCTCGCGGTAAGAGCAAGTTTCTTAACTAGTTACTATTCAAAGGTGTTTGTCTATCCAGAAGGTCATTAGTATGAAATGAAGGGTATTCCGCAGTTTGTCGGCCATATCCCAAGGTCTCGAGCTGCCCCAAGCACCTGTTCACGTTGAATTGGGAATTCGGTATTAGAGGTCGGGAAGTATAAGTGGCCGCATCAGACAAAACCAAATAGCTGCTATCTGAGATTTAGACGTCCTTATTTCGCGGTTACGCCGCCCACTTGCAGTTTAGAGAGCCCTTGTGTGGGATAGTAGGACCCCTGTGATATCGTGGTTAGAGGTCTCTTACCTATGCCAAGAAGAAGCAACAATTGAAGCCTGCGAGTAATTTAGCGAACAGTTGTATGTGAGGGATAGTCCTTATTTCACAGGTAGGTCTTATTTCAAGGTTAAGGCCTATTTCATCGATAGGCCAGAGTCCCGAAGTATTGCAATTCGCGAAACACATCTTATTTCACCAATAGCACTGGCAGTCACTACAATCTAAATATATACCTTATTCTATGAATACCGCTGGTCGCCCCACGACCGCCACCCGGGCGCCAAGCCCCACACTCCCCCAAGCGAATCGGTGAAAACGTGTCGACTCGCCAACGCGACGACGAGCGCTAGGCGCGTTTGTGAACGACTATCTTCTCGGACCAAGAGTCTGGTTCACGAGACTACGTTTGTGGGTCTCAAGAAGCTCGAAATCTGTGAAGGAAAACCTACCTTACCTTTACAAAAAGAAAAAAAGAAAAAAGGCGCTCGAAGTAAATTCCAAGATTATCATACAAAATCTACAACTTCTGCACGCCATCCATCCCTCCCGTGGCCCGAGTAAGCGCTCCGAGTAAATGGTGCGCCCCGTGTACGGGCATACCGAAATGTGCTCTGCAAAACATCACCCTGAAGCTTCACCCAAGAAGAGTCTCACCGCAGTTCTATCCTGCTGATCGCAATGAGGAATGACCATGAGCAGTATCTTCTTGTTGCCGGCCGAGGGGGACGATGGTGTTGGTCCAACTGTCGTGAACAGCCGGTATAGCCCCTATTTTTCATCTTATCTTATCTAATCTGTTTCGCATCTTATCGTTCCACTTTCCTTTACTCCTTCGCCTCCTTATTCCCTCTATGGACTCTTTCACTCATGGAACACTGCCTCGCATTGCCCTTTGCCCTACTCTATCGTCCTTATTGTTACGCACTGCCTTCTGACACGACTCTGACACCTTCATTGTTCCATTATTGGTTTCATTCTTGTTCTTCGCGCAGCCTTCGCGCAGCCTCATGACCTTTCTTATTGTTCTTCGATGTTTCACCATTTGTTCGTCATTCTGACTCACTGCGGCTATGTAGACAGTAGAATAGGTATATAAGCTAGGTAGTCTGCTCTGTATTTCCTCAGCTTGACCTCTTCGTCAATACATCGCTTCAGCCTTCATCTGCATTCGTCGCTCATCGCTCTTATCTTACTCGCCGCTCTTATCTGCTCCGCATCACTGGTCTTTGGTTTGGTTTAGTGTTCGCTCTTCGCGACATTAGGTCAAGCTACCCCCGTGCACTGGCAACGCCGATCGTTGTCCCTGCATTCCGGATCCCCTGGCACTCTGGTTGACCTGCCGATCAGGTCTTACTCTGGCAACTCTGGTTTTCCGACACCGTCAAGATTAGCTGCGCAGGATACCCACACTTCTTCGCCTCTAGTAAAGACCTCAACCCTGACAAGTGGTTTGGCATCGACTGCCACCTCGATAGCAAGGAAGAGGTTGTAGAGTGTGACAGTTCCCCCTGCCCCTACCGCCTCAGTCTCCGGCCCACCTTTCACCAGTTACGACGCCTCCAGACAGCCAGCTTCTACGCTGCTGTTTGCACCTCCGACAACGCCGTAAAAGCCCGCGAATTTGCCGAATCCAGGAAAGAAGAATCGAAGAAGAAATCCCCACCAGTAACTCCGCCGCCAACCGTCACACAGCTCTTACCAGAAGATTCTCCCCAGTCTTTCCATTCCGCCGACTCTACCCCTGCCCCAGTAACAGCAACCACCAGCACCGCACCAAAGTCCTTTCGCCCTCCGTCAACATCATCTGAAGAAGACAGTGAGGAAGAGGACGACAACGACAAGGAAGACGAATCCGAAGAAGAAGACTCCGAAACACCCGTCCCCTTTCACGTTACCTACGCCGCATTAGCAGAAGCCCTTCCCGCAGTAACAAGTCTCCGCCCGCTCCGGACACTCCACCCCCACCACAGCCCTTACCCTCACTCCTCGCCGCGCCCTCACACCACTTCCCATCCCCAGGGAGTCGGAGGACACGTCTGTTGCCCAACGCTCAGATAACGAACCTCCCACTTCCACCTTATCACCATCTTTATTATCCCCACCCACTTCTCTGCCGCTCGTCCAACAAGACCCCGTTACCAAACCCGCAAAGCCTATCCCCGATCTCAGTATGTCCGACACCACTCTTCTCAAGTTGCTTGCCGAGCCAACAAGAGACTACCAGGCGTATCCAGCAATCCCTGGATAAGCTCACGGCTGCTAAGACCGCTTCCACTAGAAGCCCCGTCAAAGCGCCTGAGCCCTTCAAGGGTGACTCTAGTGATACCCAGCGATTCCTCCGCTATTTCACCAACTGGGCCTCCGCCGAGTCCGAACTCAAAGGAGATGACAAGAAGTGGATCTCAGCTGCCCTCTCGTACCTTCAGGGTGCTGCTGCCTCCTGGGCTGTCCAATACCTGGATCAGATTGCCGCCCACGAGGCTGCTGCCGACGCTGCTCAGAAGGCCGCCCACCCCTGGCCCTTCAGTGGCGATTGGTCCACTTTTGTGGCTGCCTTCAAGAAACGCTTCCAACCCGCCGACCAGGAGAAAGCAGCTGAAGCCCAGCTCGAGGCCCTTACCCAGGGACTAAACAATCTGCTTCCCAGTTCGCAGCCAAGTTCATGGAGATATTTCCCCGCACCGGTCTATCCCAGAAGGATGGTATGGCACGATTTTCGTCGCAAACTCAGTTCCAACGATCGCCTCATGCTGGATCTTATCGCCATCACCAAACCGGACGATGCCAAGCCCAAGACCCTTCAAGACTACTGCGACATCGTCAACCAGAACGATTTTACGTTTCACGGAAGCAGCGCCTCCTTCTTGACCCCGACTGCCTCGTCTCGCTCTGCCCCTGCCCGTGACCCCTATGCGATGGACATCAACGCGACCCGAGTTGGACCTAGTGGCCGTTCCCGTGAGGACTTCCTCCAAGCAATGCGTGGACGATGCTTTGGTTGCGGATCCTCCGCCCACATCAAGAAGGACGGCAACCACGGCTCACTTCGTTGCAACCACTGCCAGCGTCTCGGCCACTCCGCTAACGTCTGCCAAGACAAGTTCATGGGCTATCCGCCCGGTCGAGGACTCACCCAACGTCGTCGCGTTGCTGCCACCCCAGGAGGTTCCCTTCTCGCTCTTCGATGACTCTTCCACACCCGCCGCCACCATTGCTGCCACTTCGCCTGCCCCACCTGCTGCCACCTCGTCTAACGTTTCACTCGCCGATCTCTTGGTTGCTCAGAAGAACCAACAGGACATCCTGGAGCGCCTCGAGAAGATCCAACAACAGGGTTTTTGAAGAGGGTGCCTGCTCGTGCTGCAAGGCACGCACCCCTTTTCTCCGCTGTACGCCGTCTCTGAGTATGATTCAATTTATTCATGTACCATTAGCTCTATACGCGAAATACACCCCCGGTTCCTCGCATTTCGCATTCGCATCAGACTCAGAGGCAGAAATCGTACGGCAAACCCCGCAGCAATGATCGATTGTGGCGCCACTGGCAAATTCCTGGACAAACCTTTTGTGGAGAAACACCGGATCACCGCTTATCCCCTTCGACACCCAATCCGACTTCTCAACATTGATGGAACCCCAAATCAGGCAGGATGCATCACCCACTTCGCTCGTCTGGAGCTCACGGTGGACGGCTACTCCGAGTGGACGGATTTCCTCATCACCGATCTCGGGGGGGAAGATGTCATCTTAGGTCTCCCTTGGCTTCGCAAGATCAACCCCCAGATCGACTGGCGGAAAGGCACACTAGAGATTTCCCCTCCTCGTATTTCCAGTGTCACCATCGAAGAAGTCCCCGATGAAGACGCGCAGCCCCCTCGAAAGGAACCCCCCTCCGGCAATGCCATTATTGAACAGATCTACAACGACCCCGATCCGC